GCCATTGATTCACTGATCCATCAACCACCTAAGATAATCGTGACACTTTTGTTTGCTTTGCTGTGTCGGTAAGGAAACGTGCCTTTGACGTCATAAACTGTTCAAAATTAAAACCAATCAATGAGATCTGGATTATTTTTTGTTTCAAGTTGTTACTGAGGCGATACATGTTTGACGACACGCATGATCGCATTAATATCATAAACAAAAACATACTTCCAAAAGATGGCGTCATTTTAGTAACATCCGGGCTTTGTTCACTTGTCATTCGGGCTTTGTTCACTAGAGGGAAAACTGAAACATAGACGCAAGAAAAGAAATCTACGAAAAGTCAAATGCTCTAAATTGTTATTTTTCAATGTGCATCCTGTTGTATTCGGTTGTTTGACAACTTGATGTTTCCATAGGACACGTTAACTTATAATATCTCGGCAGATCATTTTAGAACTGATGTCCTTGATATTAATAGTACGTAGATATCGTTTTGTGTTAAAGAAACATCCATTACTCTAAAGAGCTATTTCAGTTTTGTTGATCAGACGGAGTCGAAGTTTTGAAATGTAATCTATCATACAGGGTGCTCTGTGCAGTATCAACAGCTAATTGAGTGCACTCCGACGAATCATTTTAACAATTTGAAGCCACATTCGGGATACAATAATTAGAAATTTGACAATTTGAGGACTGTAATTATTTCACTGTTCAATGTTAAACCTTATATTTCCCGAGTAATCATTAAGACTTTGATCTGGTATATTTATCAAAGTCGCTGTTTGAATCAATCTTCATTAGCTGCTTAATTTACTTTTAGACTGTCAAAACAATGGCTTAGGAAAAACATTACAGATCCCGAAAGAATCTCTGAATCGTCAATCCATATTATCTCTTAACACGCCATTCAATTTGATTTTGATTTGCGTCTCTATGATTTAACACGATCAACTTGAATTCATGGATGAAACAATGTGTTACCATGCATCCCCTCTAGAATAGCGAGTTTTCTCGAAAACTTGACATACAAATAGAATTGGACAGCATCTTTTCCATTCAATCGAGGTTGGGCCATACAGCCGAAGGTAAGCCATACAACCGAAGGTAAGCCATACAACCGAATTTTGCCGATTCAATCTGACGGAGAATGCCGAGCCTCTCTTTTTGACCAATTAGAGACGTCCTCTTCACATTCGTGGTACCCTCAGTCGGCCAACTTCGTTTGCAAAGAAATCTTCGGCAATCTGTGGCTTTTCTTGGGGTATCTTCGATTGCAAGCCAAAAGTCGACACCCCAAATAAAATATTCCCCGCTGGCAAACAAACAAATCCTTCAAAATACCCAGTCCAGCATTCAAGTTCAAGATTAATGACTTTTTCACGTCGCTTGGCACGGGGTAGATCATGGCCTACATGTACCTGTTTCGAAATTTTCATCGGCATTAATTCATGAGCAAAAGTCCGTGGACCAGGAAATTCATAGATCACTTATAATTTGGATTTATAAAGTCTACTTCATAGTTGATCCATGAACTTGAATAGCAATAATACTCCAAAACGCACGTTTTTGAGTTCGCATCACAATTCACAAAAGTTCCGCTCAATCTGATCTCGAAAGAGGAAATCTAGTTCACTGTTGAATAGTCCTAACAACTGACAATTCCCTAAGATTTATCATATAGTTAATGTTTTAATGGCTTTATTACTTGATTGCTTCCCTTTTAAATATTTATTTTGCTTCGGATATTTAATAACATTTACATTGTAAGATTACAAATACTCTGATTAATATAATTAACGTTCAAGATGTTCCGCTTCCAACCATTCATTCTTATATTTTTCCGCCAAACAATTTTTTAAAGGAAATGAGTATAAACGGCAATTCCTTAATCAAATATAATCTAGCTAGAATCAACTTACTTGAAAAATGCCACATTTAGAACAAATTAGCCCAATATTTATAGAATTTTGCATGAAAATTACAGTAATAAATATTATTAGAAATGTAAACGACCCTAATTTTACAATTCGGTCCATTTTGGATGTATTTTGTAATAGAATGATATAATGTTGTGTAAGAGGATTACGATGTTTTACTCATTCTAATAGACGTAGTTTGCGTATTAAATTAGTTCAAAATACAGAGATACAGAATAGATTAGGAAAACAGGTCAGTTGAAAGTACACATTGGGAGAACATAAAAATTTGAGATGAGAAACAATGAATAAAATAGATCGTGAGAAACCTCTATGGTATTCATCATCAAATTGCGAAAGCTCATAGTTTAAGAGGAAGAATTCTCAAATACACAGTATGAAATACTATCGGCATCAAGGGAACGTAACACTGGTGCCGCACAAAAGGAGGCCAGAGCAGAGTGACAAATTAAATGGCCTGGGTTAGCTTGCAACATGGCTATTCACAGTCCTGAACACCATGGAAAATGGCTATACTTTAATGGTATTGAGTCATGTGCCTTCAATTTTGGCTAGTTTTATTTGTCATGTGCAGTTTATATTTTTGTAGAGTTTCTCTGGACCAGTATTGCCCTTATAGGAAATATCCAACAGACTGCTGGTTAAAATTACCCTGCAAATAAACAATGCGGAAACAATGACACTTCCAATAAATGAGATACATTTAAATATCACAAACAAAAACCAGTAACTTATTGTCAAGCGGAATTAGAGATAAAAGAACAAATTATGTGTTTTATCTCCATCAGTCAATGATAGCTTACTTGCTTCATTGCTATGATTAATGTAGTTTTGATATGCCATGATATAGTGAAATATGATTTGTGTATTTCATGATGTGCATCGTATTTTGGAAACAAAAATGCTTGCTATTGAACATAAATTTGATATACAATCACGTGAAACACAGTACACGAAGAGTATAACCACGTGAAACACCACATACAGTTATGTACAGGTAGCAACAAGTATACCCTTTGCGTTCGTTCGACTTCGCTTCTCAAAAGAGAGATTCGTCTTCAGTAGTGGTTTATAAGTAGACTCTGCGCGCAGGGTGCTATAAGTAAAGTGTTACCAAACCTTATAAATAGTTTTAACTTTGACCTTTTGGAAGTTAACTATGAACTTTAGGAAATCTCTTCTTGACAGAGATACAAAATGGGTGCCATTTTTATTCTCGAAATATCACACCTAATCTCATACTATCTAGTACATCCAAAAGTGTTACATCAGTTTGCTTGACATTTATAAACGTAGCTAAGTGTATAGGAAAATAATAATGTCTAATTGTCTAGACGTTTTGACAAAATATCTTGATGTTAAATCTAAAATGCGTGCCACTTTTGATTGCACAAACAATATGTTAAAAGCTTTTTCGATCATAATCTCAACAAATATTCCTCCTACAGAACAAATTGTTTCACTTTTGGCACTTGTCTCTATGAATATCGTGTAAAATTTAAAGATGGCTGCCACTTTAATTGCCGATATATTATGCTGGGGTATCCCAAGGCTCAATCCTAGGGCCCCTTTTATTTTTTCTTTATAAATAATATTCCAGATACAATTCAGGATCAGTTTTGAATAAAATCCTAGAAATACTCAAATCTAAAATTAAGCTTGAAAAATATCAGGTACAGGTATAAATAGAAATTTTTTAAAGGAAATGTTATTCAAAATAAAAACTTCCCTTATAAATTACGATCCATTTCTCTTTCTTTGTGAAGGAGTAGATAGGGTAAAAATCATACACATCTAGTTTTTTTCTTTAGGATCAATATTGAATTTTGTAGCACATAATAGTTGCCAAACAAAAAAGCAATGAGTCCAATGAATCCAAGGTAATTCATTTATTTTATCTCAGCTTGACTACTGTAATATTTTTATATGACTCATCACCAAAATATCTCTAAGAACACTTGATTCCCTACATTACCAAGCTGCTATTTTTGTTTTGGGAGCTATAAATAACGTAACCGCAAATCTGATATTCAAAAAAGATTTGATGTAGTCAATTGGCAAACATTTACTGAGAGAAAAAATGCGGAAACTAATCTATATGTTAAAATTCCACAATCACATTGTTCCAACATATGTTACAGACATAGATAATTTTAGAAACATGAATGCTAGAACTTATAGATACTGTACATATATCTCGTAGACCATCAACACCTTGTCTTTATTCATTAATAAATTTGTTAAACAACCTGCCATCAGATATTAAACAACCGACACCATCTCTCGGTTTAAAAAAAATGCTCAATCATGTGTGTTGAAAGAAAGATATTTCTTCTGTGGGTTCTTTCAATCTAACAAGAAACCAAGAACATTTTTAGATTGAATAAGAACAGATCGTTTTTAGAAATATGACTTTTTCACTCGTCAGTTTAGTAATAGTCCAGAGTCCAGATCCGACCCATACATGTGGCTCAGTAGACACAACCAAACATTTCTTTTTAACTCTCTTGCCAATATTTCATAAGAAACTTATATCAGTTTAGTCAATTATATTAAACGTGATTCTGTCGGGGTGTTTTAGGTAACTAACAATGAGTGAATAAATCGCTTTTATGAAAGTTGTTCGAAATAATTTACGTTTCGTTTGCATAAAAGCAAGTTAATAACTAAAACCATAAACCATGTCTTATTGCTCAGTTCATTATGCCTTGGGGTAATTTGTTTTATATCATACTTCTTTTGTGGCCAGGTTCCTGAAGTTATCTACTGACTACGCCTTTCTTTGATCGTTCAATATATTGCGAACAGAAACACAGATGACAAAGGAGCCATGTCAGAGGCGTTAATTTGGCGCTTGCAATAATACGAACTAAGCATCGATCATACTTTCAATTTAGTATCGCATGCTGAAGAATGATAATCATGTTGTTGTTATATATAAGAACAACAATTAATTCAAATAGAGTATAATGTCAATACATATATTGCTTGAAAATTCATGAATTGTTTGGATATGAAGAATTATCTTTGATCATGTTGCTGTAAATGATCATTATGTGACTTCACTTTCAGATACGGAAAGCGAATGAGACTATACGTACAAGGCGAGAGAACGACTGGCACTGACGCTGTGATCAAGACAGTTGGAGCAAAATATTTAGTATAATAGTACCAAAGAAGACTGCTGTTTTATGAAGGAAGTAGACCGTGTTGTAGTTATTATAGAAAGTTATTAAGAAACTATAAAAGTGATCGATCAATCGTAGAAAGTGAAACACAATACAATGGAAGAAACCGGAGTGGAATATGATTCAGACACAATTACGGAACTTACCCCTATTGTAAACACTACAATATTAAACTTGACCGATGCTAACCCAACGAAAGGCAACGTAGCGGATGTCAAGTGGGACAAGTGGTTTAGGATATATGTACTATATGCCGAGATTATCCTTGGAATAATCGGTTGCTTACTTGTTTTGCTTTGGCTTTGGCATAACAGGCGCAGACGATCCAGGGTCAATTTACTTATTTTACACCTGACAGCCGCTAATATTCTCGTCATTCTTTTCGCATGTACATCGCAAATAATCTGGGAATATTTTGATTACATCTGGTATGCTGGCCCCGTGATGTGTAAACTCGTGAAGTTCTTGCAGAGTTTTAGCATGATGGCAAGTACGAATATGTTGGTCGTGTTGAGTGTGGATAGACACCAGGCCATAACAGCTCCACTCAGCTCCCCATTCCCGGTAAGAAAAAGTCCCCTAAATTAAAGCTTATTTGTTTACTTCTAATTCATTATTTTTACAGACCAAATGAGAATTTTGTAATTTTCCTCAAGTTCTAGTTCCAGTTCACGATTCACAATATGATAAGCGTCTATATTAAGATTAAACATTTATATATTAAGATTAAGCATCTATAAAAGCATTGACATGTCATTTGTAAGTTGCAGTAATTCTTTCTGATTTGTGTAATGCAACGAGTGAAACTGGGGAAAATGGTCAATTGAGAAAAATAGATAATATTGTTGCATGCAGTCTACGATCTAACGTTTTCATATTTTTGAGAAAAAAATTAAACGTCCAATGAGCACCTTTTCAATGACATATTTCTAGTTAACTCAGAGTGAATCGGTAGCTACATGTAGGGGATGGTCTGGTAAATCAGATATTTAATGTGCTTAAAATGAGAACCTGTTGATTTATAGACACGCATGACGTCTTCCCCATTTAGAATATTTAAAGTATAGCGTTGTCAATGAATTATTAAATTGTCTATGGCCATTGGCGGATGACTCTTCATGAGTAATTTATGAACTATTTTTATTCCCCTGACACTCATTTTTAGGTCAATATCATAAAAAATCAGAATTGTCCATGAGACTATTCTTAATTCAAAATCATAGATGACATGATTTAATTATAAATGCACTTGATAGATTATGACCTCGCTGACGGGTCTAAATGCAAAAACAGCAATCAAGAATTGTTTCGCTCGAGTACACAAATCTAATATTGTTGTTCTTACGTTGTTCATTTATACACAATTTCATCTCCACAATTTGCGATTTAATAACTTTCAGGTTATGAAGCTGACGGGAATTGGATGGGGTATCGCAGGGGTTCTCTCCCTCCCTCAGTTCTACATATTCAGGCATGGCATCCGTGATGGTGCACCACGATGTGAGTCAATATTCCGCGATGTGCCTCCTTCTCATCGTCAGGCGTATCTCACTTTCGTTCTCCTTGTCACGCTCCTTATTCCACTGGCAATCCTTACTGTGTGCTACGTCAGGATTTTTTGGAAGATTGCAGTAAAAGCTCGAGAGGGAAAATCAGGAAATTCCGAAAAATCTGGGAAAGTCCTTCTCCAGTCAACACCATCGAGTTCATTGCCCAAAGCTAAAATTAAAACCTTAAAAATGACCGTCGTTATAGTCAGCGTGTATATTATATGCGGACTCCCGTACCCGTTTTGTGAGATGATATTTGCATTTGGTGATTTTGAGATGGTACATCCTATAATGTGGTCTATATTTGGTGGGATGGCTGTGGCAAACTCTGCGGCTAATAGTTGGGTATTTCTAGCGTTCAACGCCGAAGCCAACAAACTTTGTAAGTGCTGTATCAACAGAGCAGGTCGTAAAGACCACACGGGTAGCATCTGCTCCGAATTTAACACTCACAGTACCGAAGTGACTACAAAAAGGACCGATCATCACACACATGTACACTTAAAGGGAGACTATGAACTAAAAATGAAAGACAGGCCAAAGGTGAATGGAAACAATTCCTACGCGATCATATCGACGAATCAACGCGAACAAAGACAATAGCACGTCAAAAGATTCCAAATCAAAAATATCGTTAAGGCAAGAAGCTTCAGATTTTGATAACCACAGAGGGTGTATGCCAATAAATAAAGCATCCTAAGAAATATAAGCCTCTAAGGAAAACCTAAACGCACTATAAAATTTGCATATTATATCGAGACAAGAAAACTGAAATGATGCTACAGAGAGCACCTCCAGAAAAAATGTATTTATTCAATCACGTGTAAATGAATAGTTTGGCATCGGGTGTATGCTTTTCTTAAACAGTCTAAGAATGGGACACGATGTACAACTACTTTGATAATTTTAAGGTCGCCCAATCTTTACATTAATAAACGTGACTCGGGCAACTGGATTGCATGGCGTTTTAAAGCCAGTTTATGTTCAAATCTCTCTGTTGTTCCTCAGATACATCAGACCGGAAAACAGGCGGAAAACAAAACCATAAACAGTGCTGGGACTAAGAGATTTGTACTTCGAGGAGCTCGAGAGTGTAACTCATTTATTCAATCATTCTGAGTACCCATGCATTCTATACGAGGACAAAGTCGTGGGCAGCAACAAGAATACATGTAGATGGCAAGTATCATATTGAAGAGACAATGTTATTTGACTATCGTTCTTTCCCAATTATCCATCTTGATTTATTTTATTGCTTCTGGCTGAATGTCATAATCATCTAATCAGTCACAAAAACAGAAGTTTTCTTCTCTACACAACCTTTATTATTTGAAATAAGGACGTTTTGAATTCTGTCTGGATCATTTTTCAACTTTAAAAAAGAAAAACCTGAAGAAAATATTTAAGAACATCGTAATTAGTCCATATTTAACTCATATGTAATTAAAGTGTAAGCTTGTGTAATGTAAGCATGTTTATATATGGATATTAAGAAGAGGTCTAAATGGCATACGATATACTGTATAGTTATTGCCTTGCGTTTGTGAACTGCCCAGATGTCATCACCCGGCTTTGGATTATAATGCCAGTTTTCTGGAATTAAAATGATATGGTGATGGACAATACAGAGTTATTTATTGAGTCCAATCAGTGTGATGAGAAATAGCAAATTGCGATTGCAAATGGACAAGCGATCAAGGGCATTCTAGCAGCAGGCGAATCAGATGAAAGAATAGTAGTGATATACTAAGAAATGTACAAGAATGTGTTGAATAAATTGATGATTTATGATATGTAAAACATTTAGTATCAATGTAAATTGGAATTGATTAAAGAAGCAATCGATTTTGCGTATGCAAAGATTTCTGACATCACAAGTGAGGACAACTTATTTTGTGATTTATGGCGATGGAAATATTTTCAAATATGTAGACTTCGGATACTTCAGTAAACCATAACGTGAACTAATTGGACAGTTTATTCAGTGTTATGAAAATCGGACGCGTGAACGCCTACATGACATGAGAAACGTGCTTACATTATGCTTCGAGCAAACAAATTCCACGTCAATATTGTCAGTATTCCACTGGTCAGTATAGGGCGAAGGTTATGGCAGTTGTTATATTCCCTTTCAAATGGCGGATGGGTAGTGTCGATTTCGAGATTGTCAGTTTTCATGAACGTAAATTATTATGTCGTGGACATTTGTATTTCCCAATGAATATCGAAACATGATGTAACTTACTTTTTTCAGCGAACGCTATATTATTTACAAGATACAACAATTACGATAAACCTCGAATCAATGAGAACGCTCGCAGTCGGTTAAAGCTTGGACAATAACTTAGGATTTCAAGGTTAAAACAAGGCATTAATATGCAAAATATCATAATCTGGCATTTGTTACAGACGCCGAACATAAACCACCGAACACCAACCACCAAACGCCGAACACCGTCGCCACAAACAAGTCGGAGAGCCACAATATGTCACCACTTGTGGTTCTGACATAATTAAAGGAGAGAAAAATACATGTATGAGTGAAGCCTCTGTTCTGTAACATTGTTGTACCTACCTATCTTTAGTAGTAAGTCATAATACAAATAACCTATAATACCTTGATGTCAAATTGTTATTACACATTGGCTAGTCGACAACAATCCCAAGACTTTTGATATTGATGGATTATCCATCAGCATATTCCCATTGTGAAATCCTTAATCCTAATCAATCATTTAACAAATTTACTGTTGATACCTCTATAGCAGTCGTTGACTTCCTTCAGCAATATGCAAGATATCACGTTTGATAATTGTTGATATCACACCAAGAGCAGAAATATAAAATAAATAATAAGAAATATAAAATATAAATGTATACAAAAAAGGTAACCCAAACAAATCGTAATAACTCGGTCATCTAGTATGGTTTTTAAGTAATATTTGGCACCATTATAACTTTTTCAATGTCCTCTCATTCCAGTAGGTTCCATTGGTCTATTCCCATTTTATGATCATTTTGCAAAACGTGCTCAAAATGCCGATCTTGTCTATATAGGGACACTTGAACGCATCGGGTGAAGTTTTCTGACTACGCGCTCGAAGATATCTTGTATAATGGCAATCAGATCTATTTAATGGCTCTCATTTTCATTCTATACTCTTTGTCAGTGTACACATTAGGGAGTTTAAGCTTGCAATGTTTTCACAACCTAAACGTAAGCGATGCATTTTTTGGGCGATTGGTCATACGTATAAGTTGGCGTTTCGATTTTATACGCAAGCTTAAATTCTCTACTATCTATGAAATAGCCCCAGTGATAAAATTTTGGGGGTTCATATTGGGTGCTTTGGTATGTTTTGGAATTTTCATCATTTTTTGTAAAATGACCATGAAACCGTGACCATTTTGAACTGACCCATGAAACTTACTAGAATGAAAGAACATTGAACAAAGCTCTATTGTACCATATTACTATTAAATCTCCAAACACACCATTCATCTTGCACACTAGTGACATTGCGTTTTTTAGATCTCATAAGTCTTAAATAGATTTTATAAAATGGCAGACAGAATCTCTCATTTTTGTTGTTTTAACTACAAAGCGAGTGATGTTTCCCCGTAAAACACGATTTATTAAGACTGACAACCTCTGAAATGCTTTCGCGGACTTTTTGACAGTTTTGACGTACGTGGCACGAAGTTATTCCGGAAAACAACAACGAATGTTAGACCAAATCAAAGTAGAAATATACATTAGTCTCAAATTCCCGATTAACATTTAAAAAACATAATCCAGTGGGAAAAGTGCTGCAAAATTATCAATTACAAATACACGAAGTTATTCCGGAAAACAACAACGAATGTTAGACCAAATTAAAGTAGAAATATACATTAGTCTCAAATACCCGATCAAAATTTAAAAAACATAATCCAGTGGAAATAGTGCTGCAAAATTATCAATTACAAATACAATAAATTGATTGAAATACACGTGTAATTAGACCGTATATGGATACTAAAAATGTTAAACCAATACATAACATATACGTTTAAAAGCCCAAATCCCTAAACACAATTACATGGTTCCACAAGCTCCATTGATTCACTCACTCAACTTCAAGCTGTCTATACCCTTTGCAAAATTAATAAAAAATTAAATCATGCAATAATTGGCTCAATCTAAGAGTGAATAATTCGTTTTTGAAGTCAGGGTTTTATTTCTATTTACAAAATCGTATTTTGCGGCAATTTGATTCCCCTAAACCGTCATTTGCCGCATGATATAAAATTTCTGCTCTGAAAACGAAAAACTCAATTTTGCCGCTGACTTTACCATGGTAAAATGAACTTTAAGAAGTGTTGGTGATTTGCCATCGTAAAGAATGCCCGTTATACGAAGATAGCATAAATATAATCTAAATCGAGTAAATTGGTTTTATAACATCTTTAAATTAGCCTTTCAATTTTACTCACTAAGCCAATTGTGCCCCTTAGTATTATTAATATGACAGAATTATTCAATGAGTCCAGGCTGTTAATGGTCCCGTGTGACATTTTTGCTACAGCTTGGTAACATTTTGAACTTTAGAGAATTTGAGGTGATGAATAAGAATGTTGATGTTGCCATCATGGACGTCGTTGCTAGGGGCAACAATTTACATAGCAACCACACATTTTACCTTGCTGTGGGCCTGGATATACAAAAGCTGCTGTATATATATTTTTTTGTCATTTTTCATAATATTCATTGTAAAGTAAGGAAAGCAATTGGGGAATTTGTTATTCAACACAATTTTGTTAACAATTGATTCCTAAGCTATTGTGACGTCATAATAGCCCAAAATTTGATATTATTCCTAATTCACAATCATTTACTGCACATTACAATCTTGTTTTACCTCATCAAAATGCCTCAAGAAAATATCGAATAAAACATTGATCACGTTTTACATCAAAAATAACAATGTCAAACTATTTATATAGTGACCTAAAATCACCTACTAAATCAACACTTATTACATGACTTATGATGATCTTATACTAAAACAGAGTAGCCTAATAATAGCTGAAAGGGATAATTTATCAGCGTTAAAATGTCCAATAATTTTGGTTACGTACTATAGAACCGAATCTACACTAGCATCCTCCGATCACAGGGCTTCAAAGTCCAGAATAATTCTTTCTTTGATGCTACACTAGTAGATTAGAAAAGTTGACATTTTATATGCTGATCAGGAAAAAGAATACCTATGTTGTGGACTTCAACTGGTTTACAAACTGTCAAAAGTAATGTCAGTGTGACGTTTGACACACACTTAGACGTACGTTTTGCCAGTAAATATTTGTTTCCAAAACCCAAATTTTATATCTAAATTTCATTATGATGGCACCACCAGAAATAGTGACATATTGTAATAGTTTCCAACTATTTGTGGACTTTTTTTAATGCTTTGTACTAGTTGTTTTGGTAGGCCCGGTGATGTCCTCAATTGTGTCCTCGTGTACAAACAGCAAACCGTTTGGATACGATTAATTGAACAATTGCAAATTGATTAAAGGAGTTGGTGACACTACATGTACATTCTAATATATATATATATATTTCAAATGAATAAAATCTACATTTAAAATATATCAAAATATTGTTAAATCCCATCAGAGATCAACGTCTTTCATCTATACTCGATTAATTTTTGTTGTTTTCAATCCAGTCCAGGAACTCTGTGACTCTGGTGTAGACGCCGGGGTAGTTGCGGTCAGCGCATCCGTATCCCCAGGACACGATACCAGCTAGCTGGAATGTGTTTCCAACCTTGCATACGAGGGGCCCGCCGCTATCTCCCTGAAAACACAACAACGTGAAAGTTGGTAACTAGGATTACTGTAAGTTTTTCTCCTTTGTTGCTAAAGGTCGGTGAACGAATTGATGTTCTTTTTGAGAGATCAGTGATGACGTAACGATATTACGATAAATGCGTGTTTGTTCCTCAGCAACCAGTCATTATACCATTAGTATAATATGGACACAAAAGTAGAAGCAACCAATCGAAGCTTTCGAAAACAAGCTAGCTTACGTGTGAACTTAATACACAGCAGCATTAGCATATTAAGTGGATGATTTAGAGTCATTACATCATTCAATTAAGACATCATTGCTACTGTGCTTTAATCCCTAATTGCAATTTGTTCACATTCTTAACACCTTGCCCCTGCAATACAATCCATAGTTACCAAATACCGACGAGAAGTAATACAAATACGGGTCCAAATACCTTTATCTAATGATAATAAAAGCGGATGAGTAAATATGACAACGCCCCCTAGGAAGTTTATAGAGCCATTATGATATTTCTACCGTGAGGGATAGAATATCATTCAGAGTGAAATGACCGCTATATGGATTTTAATTTGCGCACCAGACACAAAATAGTACATGTTTTCCCCATGTAGAAGATATTTATTATTGCCAATTTGCTTACGACAATGTGGTCAAAGATCTAATCTGAAGGGAGTAGGATCTAAAACAGGCAAGAATGACACAAAGCATTCAATAGGTCATTTACAGAAGCCATCAATAAAAATAAATCAAAGACAGGAAGATTATTATGATGATTGATTAGTTGTTAATCAATCAATTGCGAAGTTGATTGTAAATGAAGGCGGATTGACATCGTGACCTGACACAGTGCAAACATAAAAGCGTCACCTGACACTGTCGATTACTGTCGTAATACCATCTAATCATTTCACTAATTTCAAGAGAATGTAAACCATCTTTCCAATATTATTTAAAGTTTATCAATCAAAGTAAACAATGCGGCATTTTCTAACAAAGGTTGATCATTGTAATCTCCTAAAATCTAAGTTTTCTTTGATATTTTTTCATCAAGTGGGTGCAATATTTCTCGTTTTCATAATTCGAAATTGCCAATGCATAGCCTTTCTTATTTTCAAGTGCAATCTGGGGTGATAATGGAAATTCTAGGCAAGCTGCAAGTTCAATCATAAATCATAAGAAAAGAGACGCAATGAAGTTAAAAAAATAAGCCTATGAAATAATACCCCTAGTTTTTTCAAATGACATATGACAGCACTTCACGACTTATTGTTCGGTCTCATTCCGTATTGTATCTAAAGGAATTGCATCATTGGTAGTATTTTGTCCATATATGGAAAGACTTCTGTGTCTCAGCGTTTGAAGAGAGAACCGCGAATTAGAGTGTTTCTACAACTTACCATTAACCCCTACTGTTACGTAATAGTATTGATTACTAACCTGACATGAATCTTTGCCTCCGGTGCCGATCAAACCAGCGCAGATCATCTGGTCGGTGATTTGGCTAGATCCGTACTGTTGGCCACATCTGTAGTTGCTGACCACAGGAACATTGACGTATCTGAGGATGGATGGCAGAGAGCTGGCGCCTGTAAAAATATGAAGAACCTGCAGTTGCTAACAATGGTGTATTGCCTATCTTGGCATAAATGGAAGGGAGTTACAAGAATAGTAACGCCTTTAGAGAACATTACGAGCCACCGTGTAGCAATTGCTAATGGTGCATCTGGGAAAGGATGGAACTGAGTTTGGAGCCTGCAAAAACATTGAGAAGCTTGCTTTCTGACAACAGACATATTAATATGATGTATTTATGTATGGATGGATTGATCATGAATTGTGTCTACAAATACATATGGAACCTTCAACTTTGTAGAGTATGTGATTATGGGTTGTCTTCGTGTCAAGTGGCCAGATCTGGATGGGATTGCGGAATGAGGACATGTCTAGATCTGTAGAAGATAGATATCCCTATAAGCAGCATTTCTTTTTTCCCTGCCACTTATTATGGGTAATTGAGTTTTGTAATAATATAGTTGGAAAGGTAAATGCTCTCGCGGGTGCCATTTAACAAAATTAATCATTCTCCCACATTCCCATGTCTGTATGGTTGTTTATCTAAAACTAAACTAGAAATTACAATTAATTAAGGCAAAAGCAATACTCATTTGAATTTTTTCGTTTTGTCCCGAGTTCTATCGTAAATGAACTTAGAATTAACCTGGAATCATTCATGAAAGTTACATGGTGCATTTAATTCTGTAAAATATGCTAAATCGCCTCCACTTAGGGATATTATTTCCATTTCATCGCTAACTATTGTTTGTTTTGCTGTGGCAAATGCGTACATTTAAACAATAAAACCGAGAATAAAAATTCAAAATCTGAATGAGTGGATGTCCATTGCTACTATACAGAATACTTCTTGGGGAATGGGGTAAGGGTAGACCCATATAAATATGTTCTTTGGATGTGAAAATCATGATGAAATGTTGAATGCTTTCCATGTGTCACGTTAATGCCGTGTTTTAAGGTAATCGCAGAATCATTGTTTTTTTTTTTTTATTGTTAATAGATGCAATTACTCGTATAGATGACAGTTCATTAATTTACATGACCGAGTTGGTCTTCACACCAGGTTTGTGTGAATGCTACTGCTTTCAATCTGCCAAATACATTACATTAACTAAAGAACATTATTTCTTCTCTTATTGATTCCTTACTACAATGTCTAACATTCGATACTAGGCTTTAAGTATTTTCCCATCCCAGGTAGAATGGAAAAGTATCTTTATCTTTGCTGATGTAACTTTTACATGTTAATCTTAAGTATACACTGTACCCACAGTCCTTTTCGCCATCTTTTGAAATTCCTGGACGCTTTTGGTTAACTTTAAATACTTTTTGACTTAAGTTCTGTACCTGAACTCTGGGTTCCCCATCCGCTGACGGTACAGTATACTCCATCGAAATCTTCATACCAATCTGGGGCACAGACAGGCTGGACATCCTCGTTGTATGTGAAAGAGCTCTTCAGCTTAAGAAGGGCGACGTCGTTGTTTAAGGTGCTGTCACTGTAGCTAGGATGGATCTTGATGGAGGAGACGCCAATCGATACCTCATTGGCATCAGTGGAATAACGGTTGTGTTCGCCGATCACGACATTCAGGTTTCTTGCTCTGGCACTGAAAGGAAATTGGTTCAAGTTCACGTCGTTATGATATTGCATATTCAACTATTATCTTAAAGTTTTCGAAAGGGATGCTGCACAAATAGACTTAGTTTTACGTTCGCCCATTGATTCTTAACAAATTCAAATAAAAATTGGGAATATTTTCTTAACATCACATTCTATCAGAGATATATAAAATAGTTTTATATGTCCCTGATTCTATGTATGGTAATTGCTCAATGCTTCCAAACTTACCCGATGACGCAATGAGCTGCAGTTAAGATCCATTGGTTGTCAATGACCATACCACCACAGATGTGACTACCACGGGATTGAAGAGATATCTGAAAGAAAGTTAAGATTATGAAACGTGTTTGGAAGTATAATGCGCTCAAAATTGTGCTCATGGAGCCATCTTTAAATTGATAGCGTTTTCAAATGAATCTGATTGGTAAATGAGAAAGTCAGTATTATGTCAGCCATTCTGCATTGTGGCAATACCATTTTGTCCTTTCTATCACAATTTTTGAAACATTTTTTTCTTATGAGAATGATAAAATTTACGCTCTTTTGGAAGTAAAGGAAACAAACACATTTATCTTAAAGTTATCTTAAAGTCTACAATCAGGCTGAGTTAGATCCAAAATTGGGTCCACTGGGTTGTTAATTTCAAATTGTCTCTTGAGATCAGTCTTGATATCTCATTTTGATATGTTTGATGTGATTAACCATTTGTTGTACATGTATATGGCCCATGTAACCTCACGACCATGTGACGACATACCTGCCAAGGGAACTCTCCTTGTCTTGCCTGTTGGCCACCAACGACGTAGTAGCTCTTGTAAGAACCAGCATCACTGTACTTGCTAACTCCACAGTTGCCTGAAACACGCGAATGGTTGTATATATTTTCTTAATGTCCCTTGGTGATCCAGCTAAATAACTTCTTTCTAAGCTCTAACAGAATTCAATTTTTTTGTTTTGGAAGGAGTCTAAGTATTGTTCCATGACCCCCCCCCCCCCCTTGATATACATATTATACACGGGTACGTATATGATCCAGATTAAGGGCAGAATCTGATCTATAGGGGGTGACAAAATTACAAGCAACATGTATAATTGACCTACCAATCTATTCCTTACATTATCAAATACAATATCTCCCAAAAGATTCACGATATTTTACAAAGTGCTGAAGTTATCAATGATTCAAAGTGCAAAAATGAGTGAAAAATGTTTAAATTCTCCCAAACAATAAGAATGGTAACCATTCTTATAGAAAAATGATACATTATTGTAAAAAATTTTAGTTTTCCTCGAATAAAGTATGCACTTTTGTGATTTTTAGAAAAGAGACATGACAAGGTTTGACATGAGCCCAAAATATTCTAAAAATAAAACAGTTTTTTGTTTAGCCTGCTCGCTATATCTGATTCTCTCTTTAAATATTTTTGTTTTAAAATTGAGTATGTTCCTTCACAGTTTACGTACTTGTGGGGATTCTTGGTCTGATTTCAGGTACAACTCCAATTCTTTTATCAGTCTGCTGAGTCTTCTTTGTCTGGCAACAAATCTCGTCAGCGTTACATCCTGTCCTGGAGTATTGTTCCCCAACGGAGCAGAATCCACCGAAAATGGAAACGCAAGAACCACCTTCCAGACTGCATCCTAAAAGTCGAAAGCAAAGGTTTATAATGTGTATTGTTCCCAAACGGAACAGAATTCTCTGAAAATTAAAACATAAGACACGCCTTCCAGACTTGATTCTAAAATTCCGAAAAGAATAATTTCATATTGAGAATTGTAAAATTCGGCGTCCACATTGCCATTGTGTACTGCATCTGCACAGAAAATGAAATTTCTGTATACGATCACCCTGTATTCTACTCTTTGGACCACCCTGTATGTAGTGAAAAGATAACATTGCCATCTTTGCTTCCATAGTGCATTTAATAAGCGACTGAACCTGTTCAAACTAAAGGATTGACATCAACGATTAATTCAAATTGATCTTCATTGAGATATATAATCGTTAAATGTGAAAGCTATTAATTATTACATGCAGAAATATCCTAATAAATTCATCACAATTGAATATTGTATATCAAATTACCTTCAAAGCATTGTCAAAAAATAAAGTCAGAACTGTTGAACTTATTTAAATAATAGACATTCTCTGAAATGAAGAGTAAAACTAAAAAGTTGTAACAAATATTTAGAAAGTTCCTATCAACTTGCCCTTTAAAAATATGATAATATCACCTTTTGAAATATTGAGCTCTTAAATTAAGCCGCTAAATCCCCTCTCATTCTTTTTCTAACAAAAAGAGAATGAAAGTGGTGTCGGCGGCGAATGTAAACGTAAAACATCGCCAGTATGATTAAGATGAATAGTGACTTACTTGATGCAAAGCTGGCTCCGAACTGAAGTGAAGCAACGAGGATAAGTGCAAGGACCTTCATGTTGATTGTTCCTTCTGTTTGATGAATGGAGGAGAGACAACCAAGCCATTTAAATACGAAGTTGGGCAATAAAGATACTTCACGATGCACGATCTTGAGATAATACCCTTGCTAAACATGTTTGACACGAATCAGTCACTCTAAACATAATAAACATACTCGGAACCTTGATAGGTACTTTGCAAAAATCATAAATCGGATGGAAAATTTAAATGTCTTTTTTCATATGAAACAATTGATATTCTATAGAGCTTTATTTATACAATCGAAGAAAAGATTTGACGTGCATGCATGTGTCACGTTAATTGTAAAAAGCAGCGATTGGGACGTTGAAAGGGATGCGTGGTTGATTGAAGTGATATTGTCTGTGGACTTAGCATATGGTATTCCATAATTAGTAGAGTCGTAAACTACCTCTGATAAGTCATTCACTTATTCAATACAAGTGGGCATATCAGATAAAGGTACAAGAAACTCCAAAACATAAGTTTTGTGTACATGTGTTTAACACATGTTTTATAGTTATACTTTCACTCTTCCGAACTCAAGTTTAAATTTTCACCAGAAGAAGAAAACTATCCTCATTGCATTCTCTTTCAAAATGGAGGGAGTGGGTGTCGACTTCGATATATTTAGCTTTCGTCGAATTTTACTATTCTATACTGGACACGGCAAATAATTTTAGAGTCATATACAGGGTGACACAAAAAGTGCCACCTATTTAACGTTTCGTGACTTTTTGTCTGCACGATTTCTGTCATGTTCTTTAGCACATTACAGCAAGACTCCATGGACCAACTCAACAAGAAGTTTCAGATGACTAGCTCAACTGAATGCACCTTTATGAGTGTAGAGCACATTTTATAAAATGAGCTCTAAATGTCAGACACACCTGGATTCTATGGGCAAAGTTGTCGACAACCCTAACACATTTCCTAACAGAATTCATTTTAAACATATGAAAAGTTTTTTCTGCAAAATGTCAGTAACTTCTGAGAGGAGGAATTGTACTGAAATGCGATAAAGTTGAAAACGACTTTAGAGAAAAGTCACGCGGTCCATTGTTTTCAAGCTGATTTTGATCACCAAAATTTGATATCTGAAATTTGACTTTCGATGCCATTTTACCTTTGAGGAACTCTTAGATCTCTTCTTGTATATTGTATATGTGCAATGAGAATAAGAGAATGAGATCTTTTTTATATAAAAACGAGTCAGATTTAAAAATGTGTTGAAGTAGAGTCAAAATCCATGGTTTTTAGGATAGCCGAATTGTAAATTTTTTTCCCGGGAACCTCAATTGAAAAATGAGGCATGTTGATTTCATGGTGAGAAAATATTCATGGTCAAAACTATCACTGTCTTTTGCCATACCATACCTGGTCCTTTCGACCATATCAAGCTTGGATAATATGTGTGAACTGTGAACGTTTAGATCCAACGATATAATTTACCGTTTAGCATACGATACCAAAATTACTACAGGTATAAGCAATGATGTAAAAAATGAAAATCGTGGGTGTTTACAATTTAAATTAACCGATACGCCATACCGTACCAATCTTTGCACCACACCCACCGGTCCATTATCGTAAGCTCCGAATACCAATGGTGTTATACAACAGAATGATTCCATTAATATAACAACTTTTCAGAGAATATAAACTATGTTGATTGAGCTCTATCAATTAGCGAAAGGTCGAGAGCTGGATTCCGATGGGGATAAACGGCTAGTGTATGTATCAAACTTAGGTATGCAACTTAGAGCTCAAATCTTTGTTGAATTTATGTTTCTGGCTTGTTCTATAGTCTCACCTCAAATAGCTTCAGTTTTAAGGTATACTCAGGGAGCGTTGGTCAAAAGCAATAACTATTTCTTAATCAGTCCAGGGATTGGGATCCGATATTGTTAAATTCAATTTTTTTAATCATAGGTATCATAACAAGTTATCAAAAATAAAAAATATCCTTTATGTATTCCTCAGTTTAATTTTTTAAAACCTACATCATAGTTTTTGCTCCAAATCAGTTAATAGTAACACCGTACATCTAAAGTGTACGACGGTATATTTTGTCACTGTACGTTATCGATGGTTAGGCGTGATATTATAATCATGTACGACGACTTGGGATGATATACCTTTGAATCCTTCTCGATTTGCACAGTTGTGGAACTGACTTTAGGCGAGGCAGCCGCATCGCCTGCTACATGTATGGCTATACTGATTAGTGGCCGAGAGTAATTCATCGCCATTGATTAAGAAAGCTTTTAGTAGATTACTTGCGATAATCGAAAATTATGTCTTAAATTTAAAGGTAGAGCAGAGATCAAGGGTGTCAAAAAGTTGCCAGCAACATTTACAAATAGCAAACTAACGTGTTGTTTGCCATAACTGTTTATAAATATCCCTAAAATATATCATCAATATCATTTCTAAAGAATATTTGATATGGAATTTTGTAGATTCAAATAATAATGAGAATGTTTACAGATTTCCTAATTCAACAAACTTGTTTAAATATCTATGAACTTTTGGACTTTAATGAAGTCAAAAAAGACAAAGCGATTTTGATCTGTCTAAACAGACACTTTTAAAGCTCCCCTTTTCTGATTCTACCTTTAATGATAACACGTATGCTTCCAGTTATATTAGAAATCTCAATTTCTAAGCAGAAAGCATACGTGTTCCAGTAGTGGGTAAATAACGTGAACAAAACATATCATTTATTTGATTGTTTAGCGTTTCTAAGAAATCTAATTGTCATCGTTTTTGATTTACAAATATTTATAAGGATGGGACCACAGACAATGATAACAGGATATATCAATGGAACTGACGATGTTATAAATGATGGAACAGGAATGGGATTTGAAATGGATCCGATGTCTTTGGTGTATATCGTGAGTACTTTAGTAATGTCAATTCTCTCTATCATTGGGTGCTGTATCCTAATAGTATCGTTCATAATCTATAAAGAACTCAGGACAGTGTGTCGACGACTATTGGTGTTCCTTTCTATATGTGATTTGCTGACGGCAATTGGGAATATCATTGGCGTCATATGATACATAGAGAGGAGTCGCCATGGCAACAATCACAACTTGGGATTATGTAAGCTCCAAAGCGCTTGGACTATTCTCTCTAGCAATTGTTCGTTTCTATGGTCAATTGCTATAGCAACGTATCTTTACATTTCCATAGTGATTCAGAACAATAGGAGGGCAGACAGTTTGGTACCAGTTTTCCATGTGATTTGCTGGTGTCTCCCAGGTAAACAAATAAATGCTACAATAATTTATTTAAATGTTTTGAATAAAGAAATCATAAAATAAGTTGTATCGAAGAATTTGTTACAGACGCCGAACCTGAACGCCGACCGTCGACCGCCGAACACCATCCACAAAAAGTTGGAGGCTATACCAATATGTCATGAATTCTGGTGGTGACATAAAAACCGATTAGATTTATTTCTTTTAAACCCATATCTGGTTCAAAATCTTTATAAATTGACTACTTATTTGTATCATTAAAACGTTACTCATATACTGTAGCAAGATTGATTGACTTCGTACAATTTACAATGCCTATTAACAATAAGAGTATATTATACTATTGTATATTATTGTAGCTATTATCACCATTGTTGCTACTGCAATGGATGTATTTGGCTTTGACAAAAATATTACAACAGCCTCGTGGTGTTGGATCAGTCCCAATGTACGTTACCAATTATTCTGGCAATTACTTACTGGTAAGGTATGGGAAGTGGCAGCTTACGTGATGATTGTCATCCTGTACACGCTCATAAAGTACAACCTTATCCGCCAGGTAAATAATTATAAGGCTCACTAAGCTTGTATTCGCGAATGCAACTAACGCCTGTCGGCTACCGGATTAACCTCGTATTTTATGGGTAACTCATTTAAATATGAATAGTATCTGCCACTATTTTTAAATGAGTTGGTCATAAAATAGTAGATTAATCCGGTAGCCGACAGGCGTTACATGTAGTTACATTCGTGAATACAAGGTAAGTCATTTTGACAAATGTTTGATATATTTGGATAATACACCTTGATTAATTTTTATTTGTTCCACTTCAGTAGGTAATGTGTGAGCATATTGTATACATTATACCTTATTGGTAAAGCATGATTACGACGTAGAAGTATTCTAAAAGTGTAATGTATTAATTACTAATAACCCTAGAAAATCGAAACCATAGAAACCGTATTGTATTGACCTAAAAAATTCTGATCAGATCATGAAGGAAATAAGAATTTCCAATAGTTTTGCAAATTCTCCCATAGGGTAAATACCTATGTTATCAAGATTACCATGGCAAACCTGCTGCCATGGAAACGTTCAAGTGGAGTGTAAGAACACTTCACTGATTTCAGTGTATACTCAAAGATCACGGTGGCTAAACGTTACGCGGTCCAGACAGTCTATGGTTGTGCAATGATAGAAACTCTGCACCGCGTGCCTTGTCTTGACCGGTGTGAAAGAAATTATGGTCCCCCGGGGATTATGGTCCCCCTTTTTAAAGGCCCTTACTGGCCCTGATTGTGTATAAGATAATAAGGGAAAGGGGTCATCATATAAGTCAATGGAGAGTAGGACCATAAATTAATAGGACCTCCTAACCTTTTACACCTGGCAACGTATAAAAATTCTGAAGATTGTGTAAAACTCATTTCATTTTATTTCTCAGATGCAGCGAACAAGAGTGCTCCGTGGTAATAGAGAAGGGGATACGAGCTGCAACGAGTCGGTAATGTTAGACGCTAATCGAAAAATGACATTTGTGCCAGCGGTATTTATCACTGTGAGAATCTGGGGAACTTTAAGGTTTCTACTAGGGGCAATAGATCCAGTGGCGGCATCTAGCGTGTCTTGGATTGCACCATTACAGGTGCGTAACCGCAGTAGCAACTGTAGGATAGTCCTGAAACACTCATTCAACTGAACTACAAACACTAACGTCGCATCAGATGGCTATTATGAAAGTCTTTGATATAATGTCCGAAATTGAGTTATCATAGTGAAACCTGCCAATTTGAACACTTTTAGTCGGTCCAAGTTATGTTCGGATTAGACAAGGATTTACTGTAATAACTTTTGGATTTGAATAGCTTCGAATTCCATGGTGGTTACATCCATGCAGACAGATCGTCTTAAATTGAATCCTTGAATCCATATAATAACTTTACCAATTTATTATATATCGAAGATCTTTTGGGAGATATTGTATTTGAGATTGTAAGGAACAGATTGGTAGGTCAATTGAACATGTTGCTTGTAATTTTGTCACTCCCATAGATTTGATTATAAATGGTGAATGACAGTCACATTAAGTTTTACGTATGAGAATAGCATGACATTCTGATATTTCGTAGCTGTTTTATCTATTACATCGTACTTTCAATCACCGCCATCACTTTTCAAACGAGTTACGTTTACATATCAAGACGTCATGCTATTCTCATACTTATCAAACATTTTTGTAGTCCCCATAGTTATTCTAGGCTCAAAACTATTTTGTGCTTTTCTCAATTTCAGGGAATTGGTGACAGCGCTCAAGGATTTGCAAACTGTGTCCTGTTTTGTATATTCACCGAGAGAGTGCGCAAGCGTCTACTTTTTTGTTGTAGGAAAAGGAATAAGTGTACCAGTGAAACATATAGTGGTACTCACATCTTGACAGAAAACCAGAGTGATACTGCCAATAAGGACATGGCAAGAAATGCCACATCCGATTGAATAGGACATTTCCGCGTTCTATCACCCATGTAAAAATAAGGCACAAATCGTCGAGATTATTCATGCTCTTAATTAAAACGACCATAACACACAAAATAAAGATTAAAATTGTTTTGTTTTCAAAATTTTATGTTTTTTATTTTCTTTTGTATTTTTTAAAAAATCCTTAAATAAATCATTGAGCAATATGTCGATACTACATTCCTGATGCCGAGCTCTGCTCAGCTATAGTAAATAATGTCCTATTGCAATCCCGACGTATAGATAGAAACTTCCAACCAATACGTATGCCGCCAGGTATTTTACATAAATTGGAATATCTGTGTTTCCAACTTTCGGCTCTGAGTCAATTCCTGTAAAAAATTAAGGGACATTCTTTAATTCATTAGCTTAGATATTTTTCAATTTTATGAGTATTCTTATTGATTAAATATATTCCATCACATTTATCCTGTACAATTTACATACCAACAGTCTTTTGTCTCCCATTCCCCCTTTTCATATTGTCCTTCTTTACATTCAAGTCAGAGTCGTCCTTTGCATTGTCAATGTATTTTTGATGACGTATGTACGAGTCAACTGCTATCTGAAGGCGACATATAGCATCATCAGACCAAGAGTCACTTTTACGTGGAATTATTTCACTCCATGGTCCCGGATCGACTGAGCTGGATAATATGGAAATACGTTCCCTGCACGGACCAATAGAACTGTGTTTCAAATCAGGCTTGTCGGTCTGTCTGTAAACGTTGTACTCATCAGAATCAACGGACGTGGATGATAATACCGAAAGACCTGGTAAACCATCAACTTCAGAACTGCGATCTAATTCGGTCTTATTCGTTTGTTTCCGGATATTTGATACCGGTCCAGAATCAACAGAGCTAGATACAGGTTTAGGATCAATGGAGCTTAATGTAATCGAAGAACGTTTCGAAAATAAAACACCATCATCTTGAGGAGAATCGTGATCAAATACAGTCTTATTCTGGACGTTTGATACTGGTTCAAAATCAGTGGGGGAGGTTGAAAGACATTTTTCAGACTGAATGCCATTGTCAATGTTACGATGCTTTTTCAATGATCTGAGGACATAGTTGAACTTGTTGACATGTCCACGTTTTTGTGTGGCGTCTTCTCTATTCTTCATTGGAGTATCACAAAGATTAGCAGACGATGTTTTGAAGAGAGGACTGTTGATGCTATGACTTCTGATAATATCTGTTCCACTGACTGTGTCTAAAATGAGGAAACGTTTATAATTATACAAAAATGACAGATAAAATGGCAGTGAATAAGACTTGCAATTCTGTTATTTTGAATCATTATCTTGAATGGTAAAGTAATTGAAGGGTCTTCTGATTATTCTATTTCCATGAGACATCTTGCGTCTCTTGAGCCAGAAAAGCATGTGGTCTAATTAATCCAAAACAATAATGATCATATATCATAATTACAGAGTGTTTCATATGTATGCACCCCCCCCCCCCATACACTCATACATGTAGCATCGCCAACCTATCACATGCAATGTACCATTTTTGTTCCTTATGTTACATACGATTGCAGAATCCAATGGTGTCCCTGAAAAATACAACGTATCAAACTATGTGGGTATGGGTCATTTCAAGGGGAATTTCTGGCCATTTCAAGCAATTCAAAGTAAGGATTTAGCTTCTGTATTGCACATTTCTAGCAGTTGTCATAATGGCAGAGTTCAGTCCACGCGTGTGTGACAGTTATGCACAAAGATGTATAGATAGGATTCATGCAGTGGCTTTTTGGGAGGCCATGGACCCTGGTGCGACCTCTGGAGTAACTATACATGGGTATGAGACAAAGTGAACAGATCACCGACTGTCCAAAAATGACCAAAATGCCCTCTAAATGACTCCGTACATGCAAAATTTGATACGGGGTATCTTTTTTCAGAGACACCACTAGATTCTGAAACTTTGCAATCTTATGTAACTTTTATGTATAAAGAAGAAATTGATATATAACATGATAGGGTAAAAATGCTACACGTACTGTAGGAGTTTATGAGGGATCCATACATATGAAACACCCTGTAGACCTATTATAATAGTTGTAAAATTACTTAGCTAATTAAAAATCATCACGATGGGGTTCACATGGTTATCGTGAAAAATTCAACGTACAGTAGCTATATGCAGATTGACTTATTTCTATTCCAAGTCAATACTTCGCAATACCATTTATAACTTACCGGCGAGATGTTTACATAGTTTTCGTCGTGCAATCGTTTTAAACAAAACGGAGACATGTTTAAACCCCTTGCCAATGTAGAAGACAGCAATCAAAAGGAGACCAAATACCAAACAGTCAGACATTGTAACGTTCTGTAGAATCTTTCGAAAGATAAAGTCGTATTCTAAAATAAACTAATTCGTATTTAGTATAGTTCGCACCCAGGCATGCATAAAAGATCAGAAAGGTTTTAAATGCATTTGGGGACACATATTTTGAAGATTTTGAAATGCATATAACGACCAAATTAACGTTAATTGAGATTTAGATAAGTTGAAAGTGCCCATGTAAGTTTAAAGTGCCCATATAATATGAAAGTGGTTATAAACCTCCACGATTGATAAATTCTTACCATATTGATTCATCCATTGATGGATGTGATGAATCTGCTGGGGAAATATCCTCCTATATTCGTCAAATGTAGCATCAAGGTAATCTACCACCGAATTTGAAGAAAGAAAGAAATATCTTGCCTCGTGCTTCATCTCGCGAAAATATACCATTATTTCTGGGTTTCCGATAATTACATATAAACCAATACACAATATCGCAAAAGCTAAAGCTTTGAGTCCTATTTGCAAAGTTGCCATGTTGAGAGATCAAAAAAGAATGAGAAATCCAAGGAGGATTGGCTCCCAGAATGCAACACCGATATTCTGCAAAACAATCACCTAGCGATAGCTTTGTTGGAGAGTATCGGGTCATTCTCCATGCAGTCGTACAAATTATACAGACACGAATAGCAAATGACGCATGCGTGGAGATTAAAGAATATCGAGTTGGAACCCTGGCTTCCAATCCTCCTTGAGAAATCAAAACAAATGTGTTGCTATAACTATATCAATGACGTCATGAATGAAAGTTGTATCTTGTTTAACTGTGACGTCATGTTATACTTTAATAAATCAACTACGTCATTTGTTTAACGACTTAACAATGCACAACAAAAATAAAACACAATCATGGAGTTTGTATGGTGCCTCGATGCATAAAAGGAGATAAGATGAGATGAGTTTACAATTGACCTCATAATTACCTCACCGCATACGCTTTTCGTTTCGTGCAACTTTTCCAAAATATCAGTAAATATACTTGGGCCGGTTGATAATAAATACAAAAAAACAGTTTTCCTTATGCTACTATGAGTGCATTTTCAATTTCATAGAATGTCTGTCACATTTGATCTAAGGCTACGATACCGCGGCCGTAGCTTCGCAGAGAAATGTGCAGCTGAAAATTTAGGAATACACTGTACGATGTAGATTTTCTATTGGGGGGCCTCTATTAATATCTAATTTTAGAAACTATGACAAACAGATTTAGGAATATTTTAACTTTATGAACTCTCTCTCGAGATGGCATGTAATGTACTCAACGTTACACTTGGATCCCATGTAGTAGCAAAAAAATTAATAAACAGTACATTCCCAGCATTGTGTGAACATCAAATATTTTTTTGATTATATTGTAAATACATGATTAGAACTAATTCAGTCTAAGAACTGTATTGAATCGATTTTTTGATGTCCGTTTTGTTCATACAATTTCAATGAATGATTATGATCTCCTAGGTAGCAGTAATCGTCCCTCTATTAAATAATAGCCTTTATATTCGCGATGTCTATTTCTTTGGGACGATAAGTACTGGAATATGAGCATGATGAAGAACGTAGTCGCTGACACTGCCGAGTATTGTACGTCTAACCGTTCCAAGTCCCCTTGATCCAAGCAGAATCATATCAGCGTGAAGTTCGTGAGCGGTTTCGCAAATCGCTTCGCCCGCTACGCCAGATTTGGTCCATGCTTTACAGTGTTCAATCTGAAATAATTGTAATTCGTAGAGCCTTGGTTGATACTGTTAGTCATGACGTGGTCACATAGTATTGGATAAGATAGGATACTCATTAGCCGGGCGCCGCTGTTGAAAATCGGAGCAAAATGGTTTACTTGTTCTGTTGCCTGACTTATCCTACAAGGCTTCCACAAGTGGACTGTTTTTCTTACTTGATTTTATTGCATCAAACCGAGTCATTCGAAATTGTTGGGAAATTTGTATTTAGACAGAGTATTGTTACAGATAGAAAAAGTAAATAAACAAAAATAACTTTACCCCCGCTTCTTTGCACTTTGTTTGGTACTCGTTCAGTATTTTCTTCGATCTCTCTTCCGAGTGCTTCAGAATATCAGCTACAACATGTGCTAAAATCAATATGCAAATGTTTTAACTATACTTCACCTAATGAGAAAATCTGTTAAAACCATTGACATCACATATGTTATCGGAAATGTATAGTCGGTGTATATATTCTATACGCTATTCTGTTTGATGTGGGGGTTTGGCGGGAGTTTGTGGTAAAAAGGGGTTTTCATCCAATGGAACTCGATGTTTTGAAATTATCATAAAATCCATCACTCTATGCATTGTATAAATTGAGACTCATTTATCGAACTTTCGATTAAGATCGATATACTTGCATCATAAATAATGATCTTGATAAAGGAACCCAAATAGAAATCTTATCGTTCATGTAAAGACTCGCTATGTACACTCAATCAGCTTGGAAGATCTAGAATAGGATAGTTTCTAAATAGCAGAAAAATCAATGAAATCTCGTGCTGCCATCTTTTATTCAGCTTTTAACTTGGGCTAGAGCTCCATTCATTTACATGCTAAAATCTTGGAAAAGTGGCTTAATTTCATGATTTATCAAAGTGTGTTTGTTGAATCTGTATAAAACTTGAATGATATACCACATGATGACCCTGTTTATGTACATGATGTGATTAAACATGCAAATGTTGATTGACATACAAATAATTCACGGATTTAAAGAATTTTAGCATTGCATCTATGGACATTTGGCCCAAGTTTTTTTAAATTGTTATAGAAAATTATTCAAATTACATAACTGTGTAAATCAAAGCTATTAAAGGAGAAAACATTTCACTGAATTCAAATATGCCATTTAAAAGAAGGTAATGTAAGTCATTAGAGGTCTAATATGCAAGTCTCTTAAAATCTCACGAAAAACGAGATTTAGCGAGATTTCAAAAGCTACATGGAAACTATACTATTGATGTGTGTTCTAGGGTATATGAAAGTTCTTCCAGTATAGCGCCCATGGGTACTTAAACAGTTTGTTCTCTGCAGGAATCCCCAGAAATACATAAATGGAATGTCATGAATTGACTCTTGGTTACCTTCAGTTGCCATGAATGATGCAGATGGAAGTTCTACATAGCGACAGTTGACGAAATTAACTTCATTTTCTGGTCGGTGGAGGTTTTCTTTGTAAACTGAAATAACCAACACATATTTATCAAGGTGAAAAGTGTTTGTAAACAACACAGGTCAAAGACCTCAAAAGAACACGTTTTTGGAAACCCGATAAGGCAAGGTCATCTCTGTCACTAGTACCAAGGACGGTGGTAAGCAATCAAAATCTGTGTATCGAGATGAAGACAAGACTTCAATGCATTTAGAATATTCTATCACCTGAATGTATATATCCTGCCACCCCGTTACCCTGTGGCTGCTATCTCAGATGCGGCAGCTTGATTGTACCTTGTTGATTATTTGAAAATTCCACATACGTTCATTTTCAGTGATCGGAAGTCTCCTGTCAGTAAAGACTAGCAATGATTGTCATTGTCCATAGTTTGTCTTCAAATTTTCTTTATGTTACAAATCGTTTCACTCGACACTTTGATCATTCTGAGACTAACATACATGTACCTAAACATGGTGTTGGTCTCAAGGTCATTCAAGTATTCAGTACATTTTTCAGAGTGATAATTTTCCATACATGCCACTAAATGTGCCGACATAAGTAAGAGTTCATTCAATTCTTTCCCGACATACATTCACATGGGATTGACATTTTAGTTTTTATACTGTAGAGCAATACTTGCCCTGTTCTCATTCTCCCTCTTCCACACCCAATGGATCACTGATGGCCTTGTTGTTTTAGTTCAGAAATGTAAACATCGTACATCCATATAAAACAATGTTATCCGTTTGGTGATTTTACTTACAGTTAAATGCTTTAGTGGCTCCTTCACTTTCGTCTATAGGAATTAGGATCTTTCTTCCAGGCATGTTTTACTATATGTACTCCGGTATAATATTTTGAATTCGATAAAAGTTCAGCAATAGATTTTATTCAATGCGAGTAAGTGTGCGGTTCAAAGTTCTTTTAAAACATGTCACCTTTGACAGATAAAGTTCTTTAAAACTGTATATTGAGTACGGGGATTTGTATTGTACATTCGTTTTTGCATTTTCACAATCGTGAATATTACAATCTTTAAGTGTGTGTAAATTCTATAAACAGTACAAGTGTTGATTTTTTAGTTTTACACCGTTTTATAGTAGATTCATATATCTAAAGTAGTGGCATATTTAACAACGGTATAAAAGTTTATAGCGTACCTGAAAAAAGTATGATATTATTTATATTTTGGCCGTTTTAAGTGCATTTGCAGGTGTGGAGAATTGATCTGCTGAGTGTCGGTTGTAAGTCCCTACAATGGTATGCACTTTTACATACTATGCATGCAGTACATATTATGGGGTAATTTGAGAAGGCAACAAACCACATTCTGATAAAAGTTTAATTACCAACTTAATTACATTCGGTGACCTTGACTTTCATCATGTCTTAATTTGTTTACTCCAAAAACCCTCATCGTGAGAGATTCGTTTTCAATCAGTTCCTTACATTTCATGTTGCTAAGTGTTTGAAAACAGAAAGATGTAACGAGGACGGTATTGCTAGTTTAAAGATATGAAGATGTAACGGGTGTTAGAATGGTATTGCTAGTTTAAAGATAGGATGATAAAGGGTATAAGAATGGTATTGCTGGTTTAAAGATAGGGATATATAAAGGGTATTTGAATGGTATTGCTAATTTAAAGATAGGATGATAAAGGGTATAAGAATGGTATTGCTAGTTTAAAAATAGGAAGATGTAAAGGGTATTAGAATGGTATTGCTGGTTTGAAGATAGGAAGATGTAAAGGGTATGAGAATGGTATTGGAAGATAAAGGGTATTAGAATGGTATTGCTAGTTTAAAGATAGGAAGATGTAAAGGGTATTAAAATGGTATAGCTAGTATAAAGATAGGAAGATGTAAAGGATATTAGAATGGTATTGCTAGTTTAAAGATAGGAAGATGTAAAGGGTATGAGAATGGTATTGGAAGATAAGGGGTATTAGGATGGCATTGCTAGTTAAAAGATAGGAAGATAAAGGGTATTAGAATTGTATTGCTAGTTTAAAGATAGGAAGATGTAAAGGGTATGAGAATGGTATTGGACGATAAGGGGTATTAGGATGGCATTGCTAGTTTAAAGATAGGAAGATGTAAAGGATATTAGAATGGTATTGCTAGTTTAAAGATAGGAAGATGTAAAGGGTATGAGAATGGTATTGGAAGATAAGGGGTATTAGGATGGCATTGCTAGTTAAAAGATAGGAAGATAAAGGGTATTAGAATGGTATTGCTAGTTTAAAGATAGGAAGATGTAAAGGGTATGAGAATGGTATTGGACGATAAGGGGTATTAGGATGGCATTGCTAGTTTAAAGATAGGAAGATGTAAAGGGTATTAGAATGGTATTGCTAGTTTAAAGATAGGAAGATGTAAAGGGTATGAGAATGGTATTGGACGATAAGGGGTATTAGAATGGTATTGTTAATTTAAAGATAGGAAGATAAAGGGTATTAGAATGGTATTGCTAGTTTAAAGATAGGGAGATATAAAGGGTATTAGAATGGTATTGCTAGTATAAAGATAGGAAGATGTAAAGGATATTAGAATGGTATTGCTAGTATAAAGATAGGAAGATGTAAAGGATATTAGAATGGTATTGCTAGTATAAAGATAGGAAGATGTAAAGGGTATGAGAATGGTATTGGAAGATAAAGGGTATTAGAATGGTATTGCTCGTTTGACCGATATGAGACCCTTTGCCATCTTGACGATTACGTTTTTTCAGCAGTAGGCCTAGGCTATTTTCTATAAAGTTGCAATATATAAACCTGTTAGGATGGCCACTTCTATCACTCGTGTTTTATGCACTATGTACCACTGATGCATGAAAGAAGACGGTACATATTTATATGTCACCACCAAAAGTACATATTGTTATGGCCACGTTTTTTGTGACGGCGGTTGGCGTCTTACGTTCTGCGTTTCTAACACATGACAGGACTATGGTTACATTTTGCATGTTAATGACTTGTTTTTCACTTGTAATGACATATAAGTAATCTCATCGCATCAATATATTTTTCTCAAATGCTTCGGTTTTGGGTGTATTGATTCATATTTATGCTTTATAATGAGTACATGTTTGTTACGTATAAATAAGTCTTACATAGTACAAACATATATGTGAATGCATAGAGTAAATAAATTAAAATGTTATGAAAAATATTATTAAATATACTCATCTATACTCAAAAATCGACTTGAAAATCTGTGAAATCATGTGGCTCCCTATCTTTAAAAACGCGTACTAAACGCGAAAGTAAAAGTATACATTTCATTTACATTCTCTTTAATATTCTATCAAGGCCTAATCAATTATTCAGACACTTAATTCACAATTTCTATTAGTAGGGCAGTGATTACACTGATGTAGATCCGTGGTCGGAACCTAGAAGGTACGATTTTCCCTTATGAGTTGTAGGCAGAATCTCCACGACATTTTATCTCAAAGGTGTGTCAGTATCATATATTTAAGAAAATCTACACGTTTACGAAAAATAGTTCAGAAGACAACAGAATCATCGATGCAATACCTCACTATCAATTTACGTAAACGGAAGCGAGTTAAAAATGCAGTTAAAAATTAACCGTTTTTGAAGTTCCGTTTATGTAACAAAAGTTAGGTATCATATGATGATTCTATCGTCTTCTGAATTATTTGTCGGCAAACGTGTACATTTTGATACTAACACAGTGATAAAAACTGGTGACAATTGTATCTTCGGGGTTCCGATATTTAGTTACCGAAACGCATCTAAATAGTTTAAGAGTGCAGTACCAGTGCATTCCCTTGTCTAGAAAGGTTTTCTGTATAAGTAAGTATATTTTCCATGACTTAAAGATATTCCCAGACTTTTTTAATTTTACAGGTGAGAAGTACGTTTTTGCATTTAGATAAATTCTTGGGAATAAATTTTTGGTTTGTGTATCGAAAAATACAAAGTTGCAATTCTAATGTTTTAATTTGGTGTGTGATGTTGAAAATGACATTGGCAGATAACAAATAAAATATAACATTATAAATATTTATTTACTTAGTTTAACAAAATCTGTCAATGTGAACAACCACATGAATACAGGTATTAAGAAATATAGACCTCAGAGCAGGGGTAATATTGTCGAATACACCCCGCAGGGCAAGGCACAAACGTTTTCTGGTTCGAAAGCTTTTGTGCCTAGCCCTATGGGGTGTATTCGACGATATTACACCTGGTCTGAGGTCTATATTACGATTCGAACATGAAATGTTGACTTTGTTTACAGTTTAATTTATAGAAGGCGTTAATATAGTCATGTTCGAATACACAGTAAAGCCTCATTCACATTTGCTCTACGGTGGGCGTACGGCGGCCGTACATGTAGCTTCACAAAATCGATATAGAAAATCTACATCATGCTGCTTATAATCTAATGCTGCATATTTTTCTAGATTTTGAAATGCTACGGCCGCCATGCGATTGCCGTAGATCAAATGTGACTGTGTATAAGATAAATAAGTGTACAGGTCTGAGAACAGCTAGAGTAACTAAGAAACAGACAGTAATTTGTAATTGTAAAACAGCATTTAAATACAAACCATAACAATTTAGAGTACAAGTTAGGTTTAACATCATGTTCATTATATGTTAAGACTATCTCGGAATTTAAAGGCGACACAGATAAACAAAACTGTAAAACTAAATCTCAAGGACAGTTAAATGTCAATATATCTGTTGTATGGATTGATTTGATTGTAATTTCTGTTTGGTAGTAGCTTTTGCTTATACGATAGATACGTAGATACTAGTCCACGGTATGAAATTTCTAGGACGTCTAATTAAGGAGTTGGTGGCACCATATCTGCATAATGATATTTGAGCTTATATTTAGATACCTACATGTGTCCCGCGTTTTATTTTTGTATAGCCGTGATAAATACGGCGGGCTTTTAGGCCGAATAATGCATGTCATTATCAGGGGTCAAAAAACGTGTAAAACGTTTTTCGTATTTTTTTCATAATTTAAAGTACAAACATTAAAAGAAAATCACATGAAAATATTTTTAATATATACATCAAGTTTCTTGGCTATAATTTTGCGGTATGTGTTCCTTGAAATACCTTATATATAAAAAATCAAGGTTTCAACATTTTATGTCGTTTCGGAGATATTGGTGAAGCAATCAATATATTGGCACCTTTATTACCTGTGAATAACATATGGTTATAATATGTTAGTTTTTTACTAAATTAGTTGTAATACATTTTGAGATATGGACAGCCGTATTCAGGGGTCATTTGCCAATAAAGGGAGACTCGTTGTTCTTCTTTGTCTAATACCGTCTGCGATTGAAAATTGTTGCATATGGTTGAACATGAATTAGTTGCTTATATAAGGACCATATCTTCAACATTTGACTACATGGATCTTTGAGAAATGTCGGCAATAATGTAAAAATGAATCGATGTAATGCATCGCAGTGACAAATATAATTGTTGTTATATTATACTGTTTGTTACACATTAATAAAAAATCAGAATTCTGAAGTAACAAAACATGAACGCACAAGTGGAAATGGAAAAGGCACAGCAACAAATGGAATGTGTTCAAGAGTATACTAATATAAGGGAATATCAAAGCATTAACATGCAAAATGCCAACGCATATTCGTTACATACACCGAACGCCGAATATGTACTGTCAATGGACTTTATGTTGGAAGCTATAACAATATGTCATACCACTCTTGGTGGTGACATACGAAACACTAGCAATCCCAAAGTCAAACGTCTATCAACCCCTCCCGACCCACGAGCTAAGTATAAACATCATTCCAAGACCATTACACCAAGCAGCACCTCATTATACTCGAGTCATTACAACACAAATTGAATAAAAATACAAATAGTGAGCCAATACTCAAAACAATACTAATAGTATATTAGATATACAATATTTAGAATTTGGTCTTAATGCTTTGAGATAGATATTATAATTCGTTTAACGTTTAAAAGGGTCAGCATCCCACTGCAAACCTAAAGCCTTCAGTTTTAGCAATTTAATTGACAATGCCTAAAATAATCCCCACATCCTTCAGCATCTCGAGTACATAAACTTAAACGGTCGCAAAATCCAGAAATTATTTTACAAAAAGGAACACTGTTCATTAAACAAAACAAAATACCTCAAATAAAAATCAGTAACTATAGCATTTGGATTCACTCGCATAAACCAATCCTCTCATGAAAGCTCTTATATAGAACTAATAATTCGTTTATAAATCACAGGTAATATTGCCTAACATAATGCATTCGCAAAAAAGTAACATCTCACATGAAAAATCAAAAACATAATAGCCTCATGAATATACTCACAAACACGAATACCTCACATATAAATCGTAACTGATATAACAACTTCTTCAGTATAGTATATTCCTCGCTTATTATGTGGTACTGTATAAAATGCACTCAAAAAACCTCATACTCCACATCACGCGGTACTAACTTCGACCGTTAATTTGAATTTTTGACCTACCAGGTGCTTGAAAATCAAGGATTGCAAGTCTCATACTGCACCGTTTTTCTTCAAACTTATACCATTAAAAGCAAAACAAAATTGCCTTTCTGTCGGTGCATTACTTGATTGTAAAGAGTCCCTCGTTCACGCAGCGTTTTGGTCCCCAATTGTCGGAAGGCCTTCTTACAGCTGGGGACCAAAATGCCGCTGGAAGTAGGGTCTCTTATTAAGAGAATAATGTACCATCAGAAAGGGATTTTTGTTATGCTTTGAATGGAACAAGTTTGAAGAAAAACGGTGCAGAATGAGACTCATAATCCTTGATTTTCAAACATCCGGTAGGTCAAAAATTCAAATTAACGGTCGAAGTTACGACCGCGTGCACATAAAAACTTGGATTAATCAAACGTTATAGGATGCGCCTCACATAAAAAAAACAATATAGCATCACAGAGTGCACTATTTGAAAGAAATACCTTTTATAAAATTTCAAATAGTATCACTACTACCCACCTAGTTACACAGACGTATCGTCAGTGTATCATGGCTGAACTACTTCCGGGATTTGAATTTGGTAAGATATTTTTATTTCTCGATTTACATCTACTTATAAGTCACGATGTGGATTATAATTTGGCTCGAAGTTATGGGAGATAATCTAGTTTAAGAATGTGTCGATGGTTTTAGGTTTGGTATGTTAACGAAGACGCATTTCACATATTTAGTCCCTCGCTTTTGTTACACTGACGACCGGCATTAATATTGCCAATAGTACATTGATATTGGTCGTTCGTCAGTGTAACAAAAGCGAGGGACTAAATACCTGAATTGTGTCTTTGTTAACATATAAAACCTAAAACCATCGACACATTCTCAAACAAGACTATCTTCCTTAACTTCGAGGCAAATTATTATCCACAACGTGACTTATAAGTAGGTGTAAATCGGGAAATAAAAAAATCTTACCGAAACCTAGTCCCGGAAGTAGTTCCGCCATGATACACTGACGATACGTCTGTGTAACTAGGTGGGAAGCAGTGATTATACAGAATATAGAATGAAGTTAAAAGAAACTTGTACTCCCCTAAAATAAAGTGTATGGATAGTACTCACAATTAGCAACGACCCAGGGACAATGACTACCACTCCACATAAAACATTAACAATGGCATTCAACTTCTTCACTACTTCTTCAGCATAGAATTTACTCAGAAATGAGTAATACATGGTATTCAAGTATAAATTAAATTACCTCCTTCATATGTGACATATGATTTCACCCAGAAACTAGTTTTTCTAGCAATACCCGATATAAAGACAAAAGAGATATAGCCTGGGAGTAGCCATTTTGTCCCAAATTCTATCCAAAATGTCATGAATATGTACGCACGAGTGCCAAATGCGAAAGACCAAAAATGACAAAACATAGCAGGAAAATGAAATGTCTAAGATCTCATTGCCAAATGGAAAGAAAATCCAACTATCCCAAATCAATATACAACGTGAAAGGAAAATGTATCTTACAACACTCACAACAATTCGTAAAAGTGCAATTTGCATGGCTTTTGCGACATAGAGTTTGTGCACAAATGAATAATGCCTGATTTGATAAAAAGTTACAAATTAGAAAATGAAGTATGGCTTCCTAAAATTGAATGGAAAGATCGGAAACGAGAGATGTTGGATTGCTGAAAAAATTGAGAGAACCGGTCTTACAAAAAATGATTCGATGTTCTCTTTAAATATCGGAGGCTCGTCTGAAAGATTGGATGTGTGCAACACTATAAATTTCTCCCAATTCCAATCGGGACATCCATCACGAAGGTTGGTTTCTGGTTCTTATTAATGACAGTATGGCTCTCACTTATAAATTTACATTTAGAATAGAACGAACATTTGTCAATTTATGATCGAAACAAAAACTAAATTACTATCTTGAATTTCACAAATCTTGCTCTACTGCATCAAATCGTCCTGAATATAGTCACTCGTCAACCACGAACGTTGATTTCTGGTTTCTTAATCAATCATTCTAGCGTTCTCATTTATAGAACAATCGATAATTAAAACTGAAATATATTATAATGCATTCAATGTTTACTTTTTTACAACATTGCATGGTTATTTTATTGTGGGGGCACAGCATTGTGACACTATGATATTTGCGACGCATTTGACTGCGCCTTCTTTATTCCTCGATGCAAATCATCTAGTTTAAAAATGTAAACATTCCAATACCAAAATTAGATTAATTATTTAAATGATACATCATTTATATTTTTATTTGATTACGTTTTAAATATCATTAACAATAATCCGCTGTTTGACCCTTGAAAACGCAAGAAATATTTCCGTGAATATATTGTTTCTATAAGTACAAAACTAATATGTTACTAATTATAGATTTTCTGAATATTTCGCATAATTTGGTCACATCTGCTCTGTCTTATTTTTTTCTAAATAATAAAACGTTGAAAAGTACCCTAGTGCAATGCACTAATTGAAAAATGACATTTACGTTAAAATAGTATTATATTTCTATGTAATCCTAATCCTTTAAATTATATATAAGTTTCGATTTACAATTTGAGTCTCATAAAATGCACTAAAATGCGCATGAAAAGTTTCACGTTTTTTGACCTCTTGTGATGACAGATATAATGCGACCCGAAAGCCTTAATATTTTTTACCAAATGGCATTTTAAAAGCATAAGGACATATGCCCCTCCCTAAATATCGGTTCAAATGTCGTTATGCATATATGGTGCCACGGATTTGTAATAGCTATGAGCCATACCATGGACTATAGGGTCGAGTATCTCTTGAAAGCCCGTGTTTTACAAATCAAAAATTGCAGGATCATACAATTGTGTGCTGCCATCTATTTTACATGACCATAATTTGGGTGGATCAAAGTGAAACAGGTACTTTTATACCCAGATTCAACAATATATAACAATCCATTTATACCTAGCTGCATTACATCAGCCTCAATAGTCTCGTTTCTTCATATAAAGTTAGTCTCTCTTTCTCATATAAGTTAGACGTTATCTATAGCTAATCAGTACACATGTAGCTTGCGTCCACTACATGTACATGGTATTAAATAAATACATGTATGTTCTCACCTCCTTAGCTTTAACATCAACATAATGTTGCAGACATTTTTTGTCTACATGTACACGATATTTGAATTGTTCTTTAGCAAATCAAAACTAGGCTTCATGGAGCAACTCCGCAAGAAGTTTCAGATGACTAGCTCAATTAGATGCACTTTTATGCACAAAAGTTCATTCTCTTAAAATTAAGGGGGAGGACCTATTTATTTGACAACCTGTATAAAACAAACAGGTAGTCACTAAATAGAACATGCAGAGCAACGCAAAAAATACTATCATTCATATTTTTAGTGTACAACAAAATTACTTTAATCCAAGTGGTTTCAAAATAAAGTTTCTGATATGTGTTCTCTGTTCTGAAATTGAGTCTGTGTCTATTAGAGTGCACTGTTTGGGCGATACCTGCAAAATACAATTCTCAATTAGCATTCGGCAGAATACACATTCAGGAATATCCACTTTATTTTTTAAAATTCTGTTCACATTGAGTTATTAAGAAAAACTCTACAACAATGTTAATTTAAGTGAATCATGTACATTACTTTAAACATGTGCGTGTACTTTAATTTACATGTACATCTACTTTACGTTAGACACACGAGGAATAGACCTTACTCTTCACAAATACTTGTTCATTAAAGTACAGATTTATCTATGTGTACGACGTATAGTATTGCACATAGTGTCACAGAAATGCACAGACTGTTCTAACAAGTTGAAAAAAAGAGAAAACGTCTCTATTATCTTTCTCTATTCATAAAAGTGTGTACTCTAAAACTGTACTGAGTGACGTCAACAGCTAACAGGTAACACTGTTAACATGTATGTACAAAAACATTTTGTAGTAACTCATATTCTACATTTTACAGTTAGGCATATATTATATGTAGTTTATGGTAGTCTAGTGTTAAATCATATATACTCTTTTTATGTATTACACTTTCTTTGTACCTGACCCTCAGGGGTGTGAATGTACTCAATAAATATTCAATATTATCTGTATTATTATTTACTCACAATAAGAACATGATAGCCAGCCATGCGTAGATGTTTCAGCTTCAACTTAGTCATGCCAAGGAGCCTCCTGCTGTTATTGCTACAACATTGGTTGAAGCCCAGGAGAACCACTGCGACTCTGGATGGACAAAAAGAAGGTATTTACATCACAAAATAATTTAGCCAGTTTTCCTTATTGTTATGTAACTACAACATATTTCATACATAGGGAGACCTGGCTAAGAGACTACAACTGGAATAAACCGGAAGATTCCACCTGGAGAGACCAATGCCAAAACTAATAAAAATCACTTTGAAGAGGTGTCCACATACACACAGGTTTTCCTGTATTGTGATATTTTGTACAATATTGGGGAATGTTTTATGCTTTCACTTTCAATGCTGAATAACTTTAGGAATGCTTAAGACACAATGAATTTAATGTTGCTCACCGTCTACATTTGTTATCAATGGTATCAATAGGCTCCAATATTCTTCCATCTAGGTGGCTAAAATATGTGTAAGATATATATACAATTGCTTGATTTTTGTAATGTTCTTAAAATATTGTAATCTAATGAAATTGCTTTAAATGGTCTATACATGGTACATAGAAGCTTCATTTTAAAACCTCATATTCTATTTTGGGTAAATTGCATATTCTATTTTGAGTAAATTGCATATTCTATTTTGAGTAAATTTGATATTCTATCTTGAGTGAAGGGAATGTTCTAAATCTGTGAGAAATAAGCATGTATTTAAGGGTAAAAAAATGAAAGAAATGTTACAAATATGGTATAATGCTACATGCATTCATATTAAATAACCCCAAAATTGCCAAATGTAAAAATGCAGTGGCGTCTAGAGTGCTATTTTTCTTACCAGGCCTTTTCATCATTTTGCTTAGCATTCTCCTGTTCCATCTCACTCTGTAGCTTGAATGTAATTGAGTTCTCTACTGAAGCTACAATGTTCTTCATAGTGTCTTGTGAAATGTCCCTTGTCCTTTGGAATTTAGTATATGGACTCTTTTCATCATTGAATTCTATTGGCTGATTGTCTTCATCTAGTCTTATTTCAATGTCTGAAATATGTCACAAAGAACTGTCTGATGTAAATGAACAGAAACAGGTCCCACCAAATTACATATTCAGTAGGAATCCACTGGGGGACCCAAGACTTTTATGAAGGCCCGTTTAATGAGCCTTTATGGACAAAAATGGGCCTTTTAAGGTCTTAATTTTGAACTTTAGGCCAAATTATCAGGATAAAAATTTTTCTGAGCCAGTGCGGAATTTTTTTTCAGACTTCAAATATGCACCCCCTTGTTGGTTCCTGGATCCAACCCTTGAATCCCAGATACATATACAGTGAAACCTGTATCCGAACACCTCTCTTATCCAAACACCCCTCAATGTGAACACATTTTCTCAGTCCCAAATTTTTCATCTCCTATCAATGACTAACATATTCATTAAACCTTGACATGTGTACTAATCCGAACACTTTTGGCCTGTCCCAAAGGCATTCAAATTGGACATGTTTTACTGAACTGTAACTGTAAGACATACATGCTAATAAGAAGTACATAAGACCAGCTCTCATCTTATTTTAAAATACATCAATATGTTATGATACCTACATGGACCTCAACAGGAGCCCCCTAAAATCGATAAATGAAATAATGACTTTTAAAAATAAACTGACATTCTAAATAGCAGTGATATGTCAGTTAACTGTATTGTTGTTAAAAGTCTCATTTGAAAGGAAAAGCAATGAAATATCTCACCCATAGTTTTAAAATGGTCCAAGATGGCATGCCATTTCACTGCCCTATGCCCATACATTGAAGTGAGGTACTGTACTAAATGTGGAAGACCAGTTCTCTTGGCCTCGAAGTGTGACTGTGCAAATACATTGGCCGGCAATGTAGCTAGATATGCCTGAAAGCAAAGTATAATGATACATCTCTATGTGACTCATTGTGAATTTCTCAAATTTTTATGGTGACCAAATGGCAAATATCAAGATTTTGCATCCATTTTGTATGAATCTGTCCTAAACAACTGCCTATCATGACACTGATCTATTCTTGTGTGTGGTCAAATTAAGTTAAAGCTCATATGGTTTAGAAACTTATACCTTACCTCAGGTACACGTAATGACCTATCTTCAAAATGGGTGGAGTTAAAAGCCAAACACCTGTCAATCAACAGCATCCTATTCCCTTTGTCTTTTCCTGGAGATTCTAAAAACAATAAAGAACATAAGTCTTTGTGAAAACAGATTTTATAGCAAACCTTTATTGTCATAGGTTGCACATATGAATATTTACATGGATCTTTATCCGAATTCTCTGAAGAAAATTTTATAAACTCTGGTGTGCCTCAAGGCTCTATTCTAGGCCCCATCCTATTTCTGCTATTTATAAATGATCTCCCAGAGGTCATCCAATCAAAATGTTATATTTATGCTGACGATACTTCTATATATGTCCCCGTTCACAAGTTTGAAAATGTTTTAACATCAAATACATTATTACAACATGATCTAGACAATGTCTATGACTGGTCAAGGGTTTGGGGGCTTAACTTTAAGCCCACGAAAACCAAAGAGATAATTTTTTCCAAATCTACTCAAAATGTAAGAAACTTTCCTATTTTGACCTTGAGCAACAGAATAATTGAAAGAGTAAATTATCATAAACATCTTGGAGTTATCTTAGATAACCACCTTGACTTCAAAGAACATATAGCCCAGTTAAAAGTCAAAATTGATAAAATGCTAAATCCACTTACAGCATTGAAAAATAAAATTTCATCCAAACACCTTGAAAGAATGTACCTATCGTTCATTTTGCCAAAATTAGAATTCGGATCAATCTTTTATAATTGTTCACCACATTATGCCCTAAATACCTTGGATAGGTTACACTACAGAGCTGCCTTGTTAGTCTCTGGGGCCATTAAGGGCTCCTCTGAAATCAAAGTCTTAAATTCACTTAACTGGAAGACACTAAGTCAGAGAAGAGAAGAAAAAATGGCAACTCTAATGTATAAGGTATCCAAAAACAAGACTCCTAGTTACGTACAATCTATATACAATGAACTTAAAAATCCAGGTACAGAGCGTGTACTTCGTGCCCAGCACGAATATAATATTCCAGCAAAATCTTCAATGAAATTTACAAACTCTCCTGCCATAGCACCAATAAGAATATGGAAAATGATTTCACCTGAAGTTAAACGCAGCCCCTCAATATCAGCCTTCAAGTCAAGGTATAAGAAAACCAAATATAACCCAAACCCTAGGTCTGTGTTGACAACAAAATTGAACTTAAATCGATCTATTGAAATTAAACTAAACCGTTTAAGAGCAGACCTAGCACTTAAATCAGACTTTTTTAGGCACAATTTCAACAACTATCCAGACCCAAGTTGCCCTTGTGGACATGCCCAGCAAACCAAGTCCCATTTATTACTTTACTGCCCTCTATCAACTGGAACAAGGTCAATCTTTACCCAAAAACTACAAGAGCTGCAAAATTTTAACTTTAGAGAATTTGCCAGTCTAAATAGTGTAGATAAAGTCCACACCATACTTTTTGGAGATCATAAATTCTCAGATAAATGTAATGCTGATATTATGAACCTTACGGCAAATTTTGTTGATTCTATCATTTAGCATTAGCCTCAACATTTCATCACCATCATCATCACTATTGTTATCATCATCTCAACTGTGGCCACTGAGACTCTTATAAACAATACATTTACAATACATGTCTGAAACCACTTATATCAACTTTATTTTGCTACTTTTATTTAATAGGGAGGCCAACAATGTAATTTTACCTCGGCCTTCCTAGTATGTTAAATATTGTTATATAAAATTATGCAAAGAAATAAAACTTAACCTTAAAAAAAAAAAAAAATGAATATTTACAAAATTATGAGAAGTTTTTGAAAATTAGGAATTCTTGATAGGAAATATTGTCTTATGACATTATGAATCCAGCTAGCCAATACAGTAATTTATAGGGCATGATTTATCGGTAAGTTCATATTTTATCTGTTTCAAAAGAGTTAAACTGAAAACCATGAACATTTTCATGTCAGGATGTGTAGCTTGAGAACGGTGAAGGGAACTGAACATTTACTTTTAAACCCTTCTCTAATAGAAATCTTACTTACTACTTAGTTTCTTGACGAACTTTCTATCAGTGACAGCTTGTAGCATGCTCTCTGTGGCAGTGTCCATTGTCAGCATGGAGGCAACTATATCCACCATTTCCTCAGGCCATTGTTCACAGTTCCCACATTGTATATAGTCTTCAACTATACTTACAAACTGATCTATCTGGTTAGGAGTACATGTGTGGTCGAGATGGGATACTGCATTAAGTATTCTTGCTACGTCCTTTATTCTAAAGTTTTCAACTTTGAACATTTCAAGGTATTTATCAATACAAAGAGTCATCAAGTGTTTATGGTAGTAATTTCTTGAAGAGAGCGCTTTCACCATTCTGATAAGTGTATATGGATTCCCCACAGATGGTACTCTAATACAGAGTTTATCTGCCAATTCACCATAGAAAGATAACTTAAAGTAGCCACCATGGTTCAGTGATTTCAGAATGTTTTCCATCATATCAAAGTCTATATTGTCAATATATGAGATCAGAGTTTGTGCAAATTGTTCAAGGAGATCTATAGATCTAATACTGTGATTCGATGAGAACATTGTATGGGCAACTACACCAAGATCATTCACACTGAATGAACCAATATGCTGAAGAACTTGCTGCTCCATACAGTGCATGAGGACATCACTTGATCTGTGTATATTAAGACTACAAAAGAATAAAACTTCCAAGATTTGGCCAGATGAGAGAGATGTACTGTCTACTAGGATTTCCTCTGTTATATAGTGCAGTAGCTCGTCTATGTACAATATGGGAATATAATGTAACTTGAAGAATGCCACAGCAAGGTTTAACCTCTGGGTTGTGTTCCAGTCATGACATCTACAACAGCAGGTTTTTTCTACTCCCTTAATAATCCTAGACTCACCGTTGGTGTAACTAGTTAACACTTTCATGAGTTCCGTTGGGGAGTAAAGTTCTAATATTTCTTTTATCTTCACATTGGACTTATTAACCAGATACTGCATTTCTTTGGTTTCGATTGTGTTTTGATTGGTGTTTATAGATGAAGGAAATTCGTTATACCCAACTCGTCTCTTATGCTGTTGAATGAATTCATAAATTTTACTGCTGACTCGATAAGACACTTTGGACATTTTTCTATATGACAGAATACATACGGCTACATGTCTGTTAAATGTTTTTACATTTAACGAACTGTGTAATATAAAATGCCACATCATTTTGAGGCTGACAACTCTTAACTCCTAGTGTAATTGTTGGGACCTCTTAATACATATGCTGATGATTACATTCGTGGAGTGTAAGTGTGCTTATAATATTTGCTGGACCACATATTTTCAGGGCTGTTTCAGGGCCTCTTCATATCTGAAAATAGGAATATGAGGAAAAATTAGAAACTTCAAACATTCTTCTCTCGTCTACCCCACACATTACAAAAACAAAGGTATAATAAGGAATGAACTACATGTACTTATTGGGGTTTGGACAGCTTGACAAAAGTTGTGACGATACATGTAGTCATGTTCTGTCCATAGATCAGGAGCATGTAGAGCCATCTATTCTAGGTGGGTGGTACCCCCATAAATGTACTTGTTATTGAAAACTTGGGGTTGTCAAACTGAGATTTCAATACACAAGTAAATGTACATGTAGAGTAGTCTAGGCTACATGTAGAAAAACCAACCAAGTTATGGAGGTACCATAGCCTACTCAAGGGCTAACTTAAATTACGTAATACCCGGAACGTTCGCAAATTGGCGTTCAGTTTTTTTACCGCATCCGATTTGAATTAGCCAATTAAACCACGGACTTCAGGTCCATGATACACCATTGTCTAATGAAGACTGTAATGACCCTTGATAGCAAGTTGCTACTACAGTCCAGTTGTAGTGGCTTAAGCCTTTATAGCTCAGTCGGTAGAGCATCAGACTTCGGATCCAAGGGTCCTAGGTTCGGGCTTTGTATAAAAACCTCCTACCTCATACCCACCTACCCACCTCCGTGGAACATGATACAGTCATTGAAGGGTTCAATTTTAAAGATTATTAAATCTCAAAATAGCTCAAATTATCAACATTTCTACAATTCCGGCTTTATTTTATGATTAGACAGATGACAGATCCATAAATGAAGGCATATGGATGCATTTTAATGTGTTATGACCTGAGGGCGCCCCAGGGGAATAAATAACTAACAACCGCGAGCATGCATGTAGGTCAAACAAGCCAGATAAAGAAATTGAAAGAAAGTGTGCTAAATTTGATGTCCCGAGTGGGAATCGAACCCAGCTGGGATGTAATAGCAACTTGCTATCAAGGGTCCTTACAAATGCATCTATAAGTCATCATAAACTAAGATTTAATAAACTAAGATCTTTAAAATTGAACCCTTCAAAGACTGTATCATGTTCCACGTACGTGGGTAGGTAGGTATGAGGTAAGAGGTTTTTTATACAAAGCCCTAGGTTCGGATCCTATGCGGGGCATTGAATTTAGCACACTTTCTTTCAATTTCTTTATCTGGCTGCCGCTTTTACACTATGCTCGTTAGTTAGTCATTCCCTCGGGTATTACAAGACCAAACAAAGCCCTGCGTGCCGTTTCTCATTTCAAAGTAGTTTCGCAGAAACTCGAAGCTCCTTATATGGTATGGTTTTGATTTGTTGGGTTATGGACTTATCCTAGGCTATTATATAGCCAATATAGGCCAATATAGGCTCTAGAGACTCTGCATCTAAGCATACATGTACAGTGGGGATCATAAAGAATTACAAAAGCTATGAAAATTACATGCTGTCGCACATTTAATAAATTCTTACCTCAGTGTATTCAGTGCTCTATTTTCTCCGTCTGAGTAAGTCCAAATATAGTGGAATTTGTGTCCCTAATGACAAATAAGAACTTCAAAAGTTGAAGTGGATATTCACATGTTATGCCGACTCTTCAAATGTTGAGGTGATTTTGTCGCCCGATTGCGCCGGAACGGAGGATTGGCTCCCAGAATGCAACATGACACGTGCCAGCTTCCAAAATGCTGTTCCGTCATTTTGAAACATGTCATGAGTAAATACGGTAACTGATGTTGCATTCTCACAGGTAGGGATCAAATTCGCCCCTTCCCGTTCATACCGCCGTTTTCCGTAGAGGTTACCGCGCCTTCGAGTAGAAATACCGCCCCTTCGAGTAGAAATCACGGACAGGTAGGTCATAGAACTGCATCTAAATCGTAATTCACAATAATTATCCGATCTGTTTATGGTCTAATAAGTTGAATCACATATTTATCTACCATTTTCACCCATGTCCCACGCCAGCTTACCTCAAGTTTCTTCATAAACGGGCGCACAGTCGGGAATTATCATTCGAAAATCTCTCGTGGCCAGTTGTTTTGGTAAAACTCGTGTTTGTATTAGTTCCCCCAGCTACCACATATAATTGGAATTGTGCATGAATGTTAAAGATAATATCCTTTTGTTCGTTCATATAATATTCCATCCCATTTGACGATCAACACAATTTGACACGAAGCTCCACTGTTTCTTTGTAACAGTTCCACACCTTATTAGTAGGTGTACTGTACGTAGCCAATAAAGTGCTTTGGTTCCTCAGACGCAACCTCCATCAATGGCCTTAAAAAGTGAAGGCTCAGGCATATAAGACACTAGTCCTGCAGAATATGCCAGTTCTGCATGGGATCCATACCGGCAAAAATATTGATATGTTGGAACAGGAGCAGAGAAGAGCAGCCAGGTTTGTAAATAACTGTTTTTTCAATGGTGTGGAATAGCACTATATTGGGAAGGAATTCTCTATTTTGTACACATACGATGTTAGTTTCTCGCGAATAGGCCCATGGGCGTTTATTTGAAAGTGGGGTGTATGAAAAGGTTTTTCCCTCTTTAAAAAGGTAACTGGTCAACTCAACCCCAAGTCAACTCAACCCAAGTCAAGTCAACCCTTAGTCAACTCGACCCCAAGTCAAGTCAACCCTTAGTCAACTCGACCCCAAGTCATCTCAACCCTTGGTCAACTCAACCCTTAGTCAACTCGACCCCACCATATTTAAATATCTATAAAAACAATTAGATGTACCTTTCATTATGATATTGATGAATTTTGAAAGAATTAGGGATAAATTAGAAACTAGATATAAATCGGAAATGTTAAGTAATTTTCTGAATTTATTGATTGTAAAAAAGTTAGGTGAATTAATTCTAAAAGATTAAATCATATTGGTTTTATCTAGAGAAGTTTATGCTAAACACTTTTAATTTAACAATTTATAATTTTTATGAATATGACATTTATTTACCAAAATAATACGTGATTAATATGAGTATAGTTTTAACAGAATTAGCCTAGCCTATCTTAATAGGGCTATTCACGATGCTATTCATATATTTCACACCTTCAAGGTAAATTGGCTGGCTATTGGATTAAATCCAATATAAATTTGTTTATTAAAAATTATTTCAAATAAATGCCCAGTTGGCAAAACATTCGAGAAAAGGGATGAAATTGCGAATAGTACATATGTAAGGTAATACGTGATTAATGTCGTTCAAGTACAAATGATTAATAAAAATGAGGTCACATATTGGTCAACGTTTTTGCCCACGTTCGTGATCATACTAGTGCGTGAGTATGAAGGCCATGTGTCAACTATACAATCGATAATATCCCCCTAGCTATTCCTCTAAATAAACGCCTATCCTCCTTGGAAAATTGTTTTCTCCCTCTTAATATAGGCCCATGGGCGTTTATTAAAAATTCTTTCAAATAAACGCCCTGTGCAAAATAAACGCCCGTAGGCCTATTCGCGAGAGAGAGTAAAGAATAACTTGTAGATTTGTGATCATAACCACTGGCGAATCCAGAAGTTAACAAGGGGGGGGGTGTACATTTCAAATCAAAAAACTTTGAATGCCCATTTTTGATAATTTGACCTAAAAAGGCCCACTGCAAAAATTTTGGGCAACAATTGTTTGTGGGCCCCGGTAATTTGGCTCATTAACATAAATGTGACGACGTTTTTGCACTTTAACCAACCAGGACAGCAGAGGTTTTGATTTTCGTGGCCTCTTTGTTTAAATGTTTACGACATAAAGGTGAGAAGTTCTGCTGTATTTTATTGCAATTCTTTAAAAATCGATGGGCTGCGATTTGAGAAATTCTAATCTTTTTACATAGACTATGATTTGTATCGTTTGTATCGTTTTTGAAAGAACTCTAAAAACGACACAAATCACGTGTAAATAGTTCTCTGTGATCTGAACTTTGCCAATTTAACATTAATCTGAATAAAGGAGAGTTCTACCTAACTGAAACCAAAATATGATTAAGGTGCGTAATCCAAAAACGAAAACGGCGGAATTTGACAGAAACTGTAAAGTCGAAACAATGCTGGTATAACAGGTATATATTCTTATACATTTAGCCATTTAAACAGTAAAATCGATCAAATTTTACGTTGGACGAGGTGTGAAGGAACATAAATGACCCCAAATCCAAGAAAAACGTACTTAACTGAAATGGTGGATGTCAGGGGGTAATTTGTGTGCTGTCCTACGAGCAACCTAGACATATGTAAGTACCCTTAAAAACGTAGATGATATGAAACACATTCCTCTAACTGAATATACTATGAAGAAAGGGCTAGGTTGACTGAATTAAAAGATAGAGCCTTTGTATTCGTAAATTCTGTCGATTATCTACTCGAAGGAGCGGCAACCTGTACGGAAAACAGCAGTATGGACGCGAAGGTGCGATCTGATCCCTACCTGTGATTCTGGGAGTCAACCTTCCTTGGATAACAAACATGGCGATTCATGAAAACATTCATTCGATTTGGTAGGGATTTATCCATTATTTGCAGGTATGAAGCTTTTTGTATTCATTTATTGTGCTACTTTAGTGAACGGGAATTATTTTTCTACCGCTTGGGAGAGTTTGAGACATGAAACTTGGAAATTAGCTCATTGTGACAACTTGTGAACGTTGAGTTTTATTTTTGTCCCCCACTGTACATGTATCATGGTGACTCAAGTTTCTGTGAGTTACTCGAGTCTCTACCCAACAGTGGCCTTAGAAGAAGGTAATCTGTGAGTAGTTCAAACATTTAGTTTACAGCTCAATTTTGAAAGAAGTTGAATCAGTTTTTGTAAAATTGAAAACAAATCTGATTCTGAATGAAAAAATAATTCCCCCCTCCCTAGCTTCGCCCCTGAGATAGTATAAGTGCGTGTTGATACATGTTCCTGCACATGCATTGAACTTAATTGATTTATTACTTCAAATAAAATACTTTACCTGAAGATTAGTGGAGAAAAACTACTTTATCATAACTAATAATCACAGATTAACTACCATTTGTATGGGGTGTGTCATTAAGAGCTCTCCAAAAAGAGGTAAGTAGAAAATGAAAAAATAATAATTCTACCGTATTACTCATGATAATTACGTCAATATAGTATAGATTATGATTGAACTATAAGCGGAACAGTCCTTTATCAAAGTTTTATATAATGATATTTTGAAATCGGAATAAGGTATGTACTTTTCACAAGAAATGTAAAAGACAAATTGATTTTGAAGTCACGTGGGTGATAATAAGGTAATTCCTTGAAAGTATTTGACATTATGACAAATCAATGACAATCTTAAAAACAACTGCACCATAATCTTTGAATTCTAAGCGAACATTTCTGTGGGTAAAGTTTAGTCTTGGGTTTCTCTTGACATCGTCCTCTAATTGCGGTGTCTAGGTCTCTGCATCTGCTGCCAAATCTCTAAAGTGGGGGACAAAAATAAAACTCAACGTTCACAAGTTGTCACAATGAGCTAATTTCCAAGTTTCGTGTCTCAAACTCTCCCAAGCGGTAGAAAAATAATTCCTGTTCACTAAAGTAGCACAATAAATGAATCCAAAGCTTCATACCTGCAAATAACGGATAAATCCCTACCAAGTCGAATGAATGTTTTCATGAATCGCCATGTTTGTTATCCAAGGACGGTTGACTCCCAGAATGCAACATCAGTTACCGTATTTACTCATCACAGGTTTCAAGATGGCGGAACAGCATTTTGAAAGCTGGCACGTGTCATGTTGCATTCTGGGAGCTAATCCTCCGTTCCGGCGCAATCGGGCGACAAAATCACCTCAACATTTGAAGAGTCGGCATAACATGTGAATATCCACTTCAACTTTTGAAGTTCTTATTTGTCATTAGGGACACAAATTCCACTATATTTGGACTAACTCAGACGGAGAAAATAAAGCACTGAATACACTGAGGTAAGAATTTATTACATGTGCGACAGCATGTAATTTTCATAGCTTTTGCAATTCTTTATGATCCCCACTGTAGTTCAACAAGTTAAACCTAGTCTGGGCCTTATTTCTTATCAGACATATCTTGTGGCCCGCCCTAGGTTTTTGTGGGAATTGAATAGAGGACCCTTGGATCCAAAGACTGATGCTCTATCGACTACATGTATAAAGGCTTGAGCCACTTGCTATCAAGGGTTGTTACACCGCCTTTGGAATGACCACCCCTCGTGGTCAGCTCTGCTTTCCTAGCAGTGACTACCACACACACATGGGTGCCAATGATTTGATCCCACATTTGACACCAATGTATTGACCCTAGGGCGGCCCCAGGGGAATGACTAACTAACAAGCATAGTGTAACAATTCCAGAAATTGAAAGAAAGTGTGCTACAGTAACTTCAATGCCCCGTATGGGAATCGAACCTAGGACCCTTGTATCCGAAGTCTGATGCTCTACCGACCAACTGGCCCATAGTAGCAACTTGGTATCAAGGGTCGTTACACTCCCAACTGCAGTACATGAGTTGTACACATGCCCATGGTACATGTAAGTGTACTGGGAATATTCAGTGTCCTTAGCAAGAGCGATAACAGGTACATGTAGCATCTCTAAAGACTCTAGCCCTCCCTTATCTGCACTTTCTTTTATCAGATTTAGAAATGATTTTAAATATGGACTACATTTATTTTCAGGAGCAATATTTAAAAGTTTACAACTGGAGTACATATACAATGAACATGCATGTCAGTGTAGAGTGCAAAGACTATTAGACATACCATACACATACACGTAATAATGTGTAATATGCATGGACAAGTGATGGGCCTATCAAAGAAATGTATTCAACATTTGATCTTTAAACAATCTTGGAGAAACAGCCAACAATTTTCCATCATAAAGAGCTTGAAATGGCAACAGTGTAGTTCTAGGAACAATGTAGCATTAGTGATTCCCCAGGTTAAGTTAATGAATACATGGAGCAATTTGAAAATACCAAACCTAAGGAAGACAAATGAAATCAGATATGTTCCTGTCAAAGATAGATACCATATACACAAAGGTGAAATGGTTAAATATAGATCTGAAGAAAATGGATATCTACACTCAGTTCTTGAATCACTTCCTGAATATTTCACACACCTCCTAGAAAAGAGGACTTCTGGTAATAGTCAATGTGAAACTCCAGTTGATCATATACATCAGGAAATTATCAAATTTAATGGAGCAAAAAATGAAGCTACTTCAACAGTAATCGAAATCTTAGAAACGCTTCTCAATAGCCAGGAGGAAGATATAGCTTTGGAAATGTCATCTCCAGAATTTGAGAGCTTCACTCTTAAGATAGTGCCATTGTTAAAAAGAAATGGGAATAGTGACTTAGTTAGGATCATTACACTCTTGAGTCAGTTACCATTTGATCAGTTGCACAGAAAGATTAAGGTTAAGCAGGTGCTTTGGATGGGGCTGGATGAACTGCTGACTTCGAGAACTCTTACCTTGGACATGAAGGAGGTCTTAAAATTATTGGACTTTTTCTATTTACTACATTTTAGTCCAACAAAATCTATGAGGTCCATTGATCATATATTCAATAAGATTCAAATTCATCTTGATGACCTTTCAAAGATTGACCTAGTTTCTTTGATGATGGCAATGTGTGTTATTAGAAAAGGACCCCCAGATGTAGTGACCAAAATTGAACAACGCATATGTGAATCTATGAAAAATACCATATGGACGGTCGAAGAAATGATGATAGTATGTTTAGGTTTGTTTAAATCTAGAAATAAACTAACTAATCCATCTCTTCACGTCAAACTTCTTAGGCAAGCTATAAAAGACTATGAACAATTAACATCAATCTGTAAAGGAGCAATCATCAAGATAACAAACTACTCTGTAGGAAAATTTGTGAAAAAGAATGACCCGGAAATCTATAAGTCTATCCTAGACTTGTTCACAGAGATATCAAATGCATCAGATCAGCTAGAGAATCTGGAGATGGTAGTACTTAACAACATAATGCTCCTGTCCATGAACATTGGCTACGTTGATGCTAATATTTTAAAAGCCTATAAGACCAGAGTTATGCATGATGATATGGCGTATATGAGGGTCAAGGAAATTGCCAGAATCCTTCACATTAGTGCGTCATTTAGAATGAACAGCCAAGAGGATACAGACCTATGTCTTAAGTTTCTCAATGAGCTTGAAAGCCCTCATCGTGAACTTGAAGCAAGTCAATTCCCGGAGAGTATCCTCCAAGCCTTGGTTGCCCTGTCCTATGAGGGGATCTACTCAGTGAAACTACAAAATCAGCTTTTTAGCAGCAAGAGCATAGCTCATCTCAAACGTAAGTTATTTTAAGATTAAAGTATCGTACCTTATCTTAGTTTTTAATGTTGATCATTTTAGGCTGAACTAACAAATTTTTCCTAAATGTTATATCAATTAATCTTTAACTTCAAAACTTGACAATTGACATATTGATACTTGTGGTTCGTTACATTATATGGTATGGTACATACTACTGGTATGTTGCATATCTTGACATGGTACATTTATGTATGTACTTGTATAGTTATAAGGGGTGGTGTTGTACAGTGTATAGTGCAATGTTGCATTGCATGGTATGCTATGGTGTGGCTTGATATCGCATTGTATAGTGTGGTAAGGTATGCCATGGTGTGGCTTGGAATTGCCTGGTGTGGTGTGGTAAGGTATGATATGGTGTGGCCTGGCATTGCATGGGTGGTGTGGTATGAATGGTATGATAACGTGATTTTGTGTTGTATGATGTGGTTTAATGGTGTGGTATGATATGGTGTCATGTGGTAATATTAAATGTACTGTTGTATGGTATGGTGTGATGTGATGTTGAGGTATGATATGGGGGTGTGACGTGATATGGTATGGTTTTTGGTATGGTATGGTATGGTATTTTAGAGTGTGGTTTGGACTGTGTGATATAATATATTATGGAATGGTTCAGTAAGGCATGATATGGTGTGGTGTAGTGTAGTATGAATGGTATGATACGCTGATGTGGTGTTGTATGATATGATTTTATGGTGTGGTATGATATGGTGTGATGTGATGTTGTTTTGTATTGAGGTATGATATTGTGGTGTGATGTGATATGGTATGGTTTTTGGTGTGGTATGGTATGGAAATGTATGGTATGGGATGGTGTATGGTATAGTATGGTATGGTATGGTATTTTAGAGTGTGGTATAATATATTATGGTATGGTTCTGTAAACAAGGTGTATATTGCATGTAAGTGTGTTGTTTTACTTGAATTATACATTCACTACCATCTGTTGATCTTTCAGATTACTGTGTTATAGTGTTGTAATATTTCTTGAAGTTTCAAAATAGTCATAGAGCTTCCTAATCACCATGGCAACAGATTCACGGATACCATCTATTGATCTTTCAGGTTACTATAGCAAATACTTTGTGAGAGATCTCTTCCAACTAGATTGCAGTATCAGCATAGAACGTCCTAGTTATAATGGCAACAGGCTCCCAGAAAACATCCTCCAAGAAAACATGGTACGACATTTAGCAGATTCGATTACTGCATTTTTATAGAAAGATAACAATTTGAAATATGATGTGGTCTTAGTATTTTAGTCCATGTCAAAAGTAAGAAAGGGTGTAATAGTGATATTTTCTTGAAGTGTAATATATGTTATATATCAATATCAATATCATCCAAGGGATATTCTCAATATCTACCTGACAGGTGATTGGTGAATAACGACCTTACCTCAAAAATTCTCACATGGATGAGGGAACAATAAATGAAACATTTTAACTTCCTCCATTTTACTAGGCTGAATTATCGAATTTTTAAAAAACAAGCGTCTTTTGGAAATTAGTAATTTATTAATAGATGGCGTGAATGTGAAAAAAATGAAGTCTCAGGAGGATTTCCCCCAGAATGATTACTGGCTGGTACTGATATCAGGTTGATATGCATATCATCCTGATACCTGTCCTGATACTAAATATGTGATTTATCACTTGCTATTATATAACTGATATTGCTCTGACCATGGTTTAAATAGTTTACTACAGATAAATCACTATCAAATCAGTGCTTTGGGCTGCTCCATCAACGCTCTTTCCATTAGTTTTTAGCACCTACATGTTTATTATGTCTGTGCAGATTAATACCTGAAGTCCATGATATTTTAATCTACTTTGTCCCATTGTAGATAGCTGAGTTGAAACCACAACTTCCCAATGTGTCACTGTCAGCCAGATACAAGCAAAGCACAAGGGAAGGAGTACTGCTGGACATTTATGCCATACTCAACTATATATTTGTTGACATCGAAGGGGAATTTATGAAGGTGCACCCAATACTTCCTCATTTCCCAAAAACCCCAGGTACTGTAATATGATAATAAGTTTTTGTTAGTTTCAGTTTATTCCTATAAACTACATGTGTACATGTCCATGTGCAACTCAGTTACAATGAAATTGCAGCATTCTATCTACTTCTAAATATATACTTTTATTGACCAAATGTAAAAGTGTATTTTCCTTCAATAAGAGAAATCAATACACACTTTGGACACTTACATTGTTGTGACTGTTATAAGTCAGCACTAATAATACATTGTTGCAGTTTAATATAATGATAATATGTATATCAAAAAGATTTGCAAGGAATGCATTGATATTTCAGTTGTTGTATAAGAGGTATAGATAGATAGGAAAGTTGTCCCTCTCTATGATGGATTCTACCTTATTATGTTGAAAATAATGTGACTGAATGTTGCATTTCCAGAGATTGAGATTCGCTACAAAGGTTCTTTACCAATTCCCATTGAAGAATGGTCCAAAGAAGAATATACAGAAAAGTAAGTAGTGAACAAATTGTTTGATAATAGTACAATAACGTCATTTCAAAGGGCAATATAGTGAAATATTGGACCAAGGGCCGCAGGCCCAAGGTCCAATATTTCACTATTTTGCCCGCAGAAATGACGTTATTACTATTATTACCACCGTTAATGCCCAGGGCTGAAATAGCAAATTTGAAATAGAAAATCTTACGCACTGAACGATATCACTTTTCCCGGGAAACATAGATGGGTGGATAATGTCATTATTGCCCGACTAAAGTCATTAACCCCCGACACAATATTGCTCACGTCAATATAGCAATTTAAATGCCTTCTCAACTAGTACTAAAACCCCTAGAACAGGCCCTGCAAAGTGGTAATAATGATAGATATTGATACTTCCATCCATGAATATATTAGAATATACATATATTTTTTCCTTTTTCCGGAAGTACAATTTTTGCATTGAAGAAAATTTGATTTAAAAATGGGCATCATTTTTAGTCTGCTTTATAGTTCTGTCAGAACATTAACATTATGGATTTCAGGCCCGTAGCCAGGGGGGTTCGCATGGTTCGGGCGAACCCCCCCTGGCCAAAAATTCTTTCAAAATCATGCAGTTTTTCACCATTCTGAGCACTTTTTAAGTGATTTTGGCCCTTTTTGGACCCAAATTGTCAAAAGTGAACTCCCCCCTGGAATTTTCCAAAAAGTGAACCCCCCCTTGGCAAATCCTGGCTACGGGCCTGGATTTTCTGAGTTGGTGTTAAGGTTAATAATTATTATTGTAGGGTTGCCATTGTGATATTTTCGCCAACTTCATTCTATCAGTACCAAGAACATTCGACAGATGGCACAAGTGTTCCATCCTGGCACTTGTACGGCATAAGCAGACTTCGATTACGCCAGCTTGAACTTCTTGGGTACAGGGTGATACAGGTATAGTGTCTATAACAGTATTATATTTTTATCTAAACAAATAGACTAGATGCTAGTAGAAATAATCTTAATTTACATCAGTGTTTATTCAAAGTTCAGTCAAAGTGATGTCATAATTGAAATCTACATGTAAAAGTAGCTGGTGAAACTGGAAACTACCTACTCGCATCTGAGTTATTGGCTACGGTGATAATATATACTAATAACATTTACCTCCAAAGTTATATTGAATTTGTAAACATTCTGAAATGTTAAGTACAGTACATGTACATTGTATTTTAAAATGTTTGTGAATAACATTATTTCCTATTTTTTCAGATGAATCACTTTGATTTAAACCGAGCACGAAACCAGAAGAAATATGTCGAGACGAAGATTTTCCCTAATTATGATGACAGTAGTTTGTCTGAATGAACCTATCAGGCAATTTGTGAAGATGCAGTATACAGCTACAGCCAACATGAATATTCCAATGAGAATACTGTAAATATCCAATGGTCATGTTGTAAGACGTAAAATAGAACACAACATATATGAAAGACACTGTTTGTGTTATTTGTATACAAAATAGTCACAGTTTGTGTTATTTGTATATAAAAAAGGCACTCTGTGAGTTAAAGAGGCACCATCTGTGTTATTTATGTAGCTGAATCATTCTGGTTTCCTTGGCACTCAAGGTTAGGCAAAAATATATAACTAGTTGACATAACAACTCATGTTTGTTGGCAAATTATAATAATCTTTACTAGTATTATATACTACAGTATTACATAATCTTACACAATACTAGTAGATTACATAACCAGTATGTAACACTATTTTTGCAAATACGTCTTATTTGTATTCAAAAGAGTCATTGTGTGTGTTATTTGTATATGAAAGAGGCACATTTGGTGTTGTTTTTATATTAAAGAGGCTCAATCTGTGTTATTTGTATATGAAAGAGGCACATTCTGTGTTATTTGTATTCAAAAGAGTCATTGTGTGTGTTATTTGTATATGAAAGAGGCACCTTTTGTGTTGTTTTTATTATATTAAAGATGCACCATCTGTGTTATGTAGATATAAAAGCACCACTTGTGTTATTTGAATACTAACTTTGTATACTAAAGAAGCACCGATTGTGTTATTTGTATATGAAAGAGTCACAGTGGGTGTTTTATATATGAAAAAGGCACATTCTATATATTTAGCATTTTTTTTTTTTCAAGACACTACAACTTTTTTATTTTCCAACCTACTTACCTCAAATTTCGCAGTTATATAGTGCCAAGGGTTCTTAGCAATAATATAATGTAACATATGGTGACATATTTTATTCAAGTAAAACTGTATAATTTATGATTCATGGCTAGATAACAACCTCAAGTTTCATTTGGTATGCTAATTATGATTTAATATCAAAAATTAAAAAAGTTATAGCATTTTGAAAAAAAAGTGGCGTTTTTTTTGGCCCACCCTGTATGCCTGAGGTCTGTTATCAATATAGTCCGAGCTTGTGAGCTTGTACTGTGTGAGTTAAAGAGGTGCCATCTGTGTTATTTGTATATTAAAGAAGCACTGTTTATGTTATTTGTATATTACTGTTTATGTTATTTGTATACTTATGTTTTTAGTTAAAATGTCATTTGCACCCTGTGACATATAATGTAAACACACAAAGTCACTTTCTGTAAATTTTATTTTGTATGTAATACAATAATATAAATAGTTATATTATACTAATTTTACAAATAAATGTTATAAATAAAAATAGGTACTCTTTGACATCTGTGTTTTTGTATATCAAACAGGCATTGTCATTGCATGCTATAGAGTCAAAATGTATGTTATTTGTATTTTAAAGAGACAGTTTCTATGTTATTTGTTACAAATAAAGAAAAAGTCCCAGAGACATGAAGTTTCTGGTTTCAATAGAATGAATTATGATACAGCCAACAAAAAGTTCTAAACACAAGCCCAATGTCATTTTAAAAGAAACCCTTTTCGTACTATCGAATGTACCTGTGCACAGAATGTGCCTCTTTCATATACAAATAACACACACCGGGACTACATGTAGTTTGTATACATTAGTAACAAATAACACACACTGTGACCCGATGTAGTTTGTATACAATTAACACTGACAGTGCATCTGTTCTACTAATAAATGTACCTGTTGAGATTCAACTTGTGTCCAATGACTTATGTCAGTGCAATTGTTATCCAAATAACCATAAAATCTTTATTTTGATTCATAATGATATGTTACTCAGTCTGTATTTGCGAATGCAATTATCTGCTTCTGGGTTCATTTCAATGTGATGGCAATAGTACATGTCGTGTATCCCGTAGCCCTTACTGGCCCTGACTGTGTATAAATAATAAGTAAAATAATTGTAATTAGGTCACCATATAAATCAATAGAGAGTAGGACCAAAATTTGATAGGACCACGTCCACCTACCATTAAGTCAGCTAAACCACATTTTTGTAACTACAAAATAGCCAACAAAACATAAGATATAGTTTAAATAGTAATGCCTTGTGGCGAGGACGATCGACGACCGTGTTTATTAGCTAACATAACATCATAACATATAGACAATCACACATCAATATAGAGGATCACACCGAGTGATCTTCATTGCACCGAGCAATCTAAAGGTCTCACACCTTGCTGCTATGTTACAGCACTTTGTTCTAAACCAGAACAGCACAAATTATCAAAATTAAATAATAGCTGTATATCTTATCAGCTCCCATCAATCTCCAACTAATATAATCAGTGTAACTCACTCCTATGTTATCCAATATAGCTGTATATTTAATCAGCTCCCATGAATCTCCGATGGGTTAAATCTCCATAACAGTAAGAACAAATATTTCTATGCGCCGAGCAATAACGTAGTACAAAGCAACTAATCTGATCAGTGTAACCCACTAAGTTATCCAAAATAGCTGTATAATTAATCAGCTCCCATGAATCTCCGATGGGTAAAATTGTCCATTCCATTAAGAACAAAAATTTCTATGCACCAAGCAATAATGTAGCACAAAGCAACTGCTATAGTAATGCACAACTTTTAATCTTATCCAATATAGCCGTATATCCTGTCGGCTCCCATGAATCTCCGATGGGTATAGCTCTACTTAGCTGTAAAATCAAATGTTTCAATGAACTGAGCAATCTTGAAGTACAAAGCAACTTAAACAGTAGTTATTACAGTAACTTGCTTTACAATAAAGAAATGGCGTATAAAGTAAAGGATCCAGAAGACGTTTGTTTCAAAAAATGAACCTTAGATGCAAGCCTGGCAATCTTAAGACTTGACTCAACTTCTCGGAGACCCAACCTGAAAACCTATCATATTATACTTTTTATTATAGGATACAGGAGGTCTGACCTCACCGAACTGAAGTAGAGATAAACAGAGGCCAAGTCTACACCTAGTTATAAATGAGCTTGAAAATTATGTTAAAATGAACTACAGTACATTAATTTGCGTAAAATTAAGATTTTAAAAGTAAATTGTTGGTCGTCCACTCGCTTAGCTGAGAATGACCTTACCTATTCATTACGTACTTATCCCTAATATCGATACACTCAACAGAATCAACGAACCATGAAACGTACAAACCCCCCTTACAACTTGGTACGCATAAAAACAAAAATCTCGTCTCCCGCAAATCTTAAAGTAATTTTCTCACTAATTCGTACCTCAAACGTTAGAAAAATTATTTCTACACAGGTAGCCACTAACTATCGCGTCAAACCAGAACGCTGACCTAAATAACGGATTACTCTGCCTGTTTAAGCAGCTAGTAACATTGACTTATGATCTGTTTTGCATTGCTTATTCAAGCGACTGGATTTATTAAAATCGATCATAACAATGGTAAAAAGTCAACTAATCGATATTTCAAAATTCAAAATGACAAGTTTTAATTTTTGCAAATTACCTATATGATGTACAATGAAGATAAAGGGCACTGCGATGAACACGTTCGCTAAAATTAATGCAGGTGTAAAAGGGTAGGTGGTTCTATCAAATTTTGGTTTTGGTCCTACTCTCTATTGATTTATATGGTGACCTAATTACAATTATTTTCCTTATTATTTATACAGAGTAAGAGCCTTGAGGAAAGGGGACCATTATCCCCAGGGGACCATAATTTCTTTTACACCGGTAATGTAGACAAACTTCAAAATCTGTCACTGAGATCGCAAAGTATGGAAATGTTTAAAAAACGGCCAAGATGATAGCGTTCATTGCATCCGACGATGCATCAATGATGAATGGAGAGTGCGTTGCACATGATCGAGGTAGCACTCTTGGTGGACTAGACTCAAAGGCGATTGAGATTTGAACTTTTGTAAGCTTTTAACATTGAAGTGAATCAAGGAGGATTGGCTCCCAGGATCGACACTCGATATTTTCCAACAATGAAAACGTCGAAATGTCGTTATTTTCGGAAATTATAACCGACTATAAATTCAAAATAAACGGTCCAAAAGATTTGAACTATTATCTCGATCATTTCTTGTGAGTTTTCGAATTTTTCGTGAGGAAATAAGATCAAAATTCACGATTCAAATGTTGAAGTGAACAAAATGGCGGATGCTTGAATTCGAATTTTGTATCACGACATGCTCATATATGGGACAGAATATCGATGTTGCACTCTGGGAGCCAATCCTCCTTGGAAGTGAATAGCAAAATGAAGAATGAAGCAAAATGAAGAATGATATGACTTGTATGACATCTATTATTTCAGCTTTATTCAGCTACTTTGTAGAATATAGAAACTGTAAGCTTACTATTGCGTTTTGTTTTAAAAGTTTTGATTAAATCACCATTGACCAATGACGGAGACACAAAAATTGCAAGAAGTACTGTTGAAAAAAGTTGAGGTGTCAATCCGACCCCCCCCCCCCCCCCTTGCTGACAATAGGGTTAACTGCATGTTAAATATATCTGTTGAAAGTTTTGTTGAAGATACAAAGGATCGCGTGTATGCTCTCGATTTCATCGGAAACTTGTTCGAGATTGAACGGGTCCTAGATCAAACCGTAGGTAATAAACATGATTTGTAAACACAGGCAAGGTGAAAAACTAAGACCATCACACAAGCCTCTTCAAATTGTAGATTATTTACCGTCATACGTGTAAATATTTATCAGTTGGTCTACAATATTAGAGTTAAATGTAGGACTAGAATCAAAGTGCATCAAGTTGCTCTTTTGTCCCCCATGCAAAGTCTATGGGGACTCTGCTCACCGTAGGGAATCGACTAATACGCCGAAGCTAGAGAAATCCAAGCCATGGACCCGGGAAATAGTAATATACAATGTGATCCAGTTAACTCTAATAAAAATCATGAAGAACAAATGAGGCAGCATTACAAAGACTTTGGTAATAAGCGAGTTATTAAGGTAATCTATATTTCTGTGATTAGATTTTACAGTTAATTTGATTTGGATGTCTCATTGTCGGTGACAATCCAGGGGCGGATCCAGGAACCAACAAGGGGGGGGGGGCAAATTTCAGGTAAGAGAAGAAAACGTGCGCGGAAAAAATTTTGGGCCCCTAAAACCGAAAAGTAAGCCCAAATTTTGAGGCCCATTTTCTTCAAAATTTGGCCTGAGATTAAAAAATAAGGCCTTAGAAGGTCCAGTAATGGCCACTTTTTGGGGCATTGTGGCCTTTTTTGGCCAAAAATATTTTTTGGGCCCGCCCCCGGATCCGCCACTGCAATCAGCAGGCAAATATTTATTACAAACGGGACAATACAATACACTTCGGATAAGGCTGTTAATTGTCTCTCTAACGTTAAGGGCCTGACTGCGTCTATGTGTGATTCTTGCATGTGGTGTGATATTCCATGTTGCAGAGCTGTCAAGTGTCCCGCGAATGGCGGGATTATCCCGCGAATTCGATCAAAATTAGGCTAATTCGCGTGTCCCGCAATGTCCCGCGAAGTCCCGCAAATGTGGCTTTCGACCTCCGCGAATTTCCGAAATTGTTGCAATCCCCGTATATATGGTGATTATCTTATCTTATATAAGAAGCTAAGTTTTTGCACTTTTGAGGAGTAAAGTTTACCTAATTTTAAGTACCTAGCATGCTGTTGTTTGGTATCGAAATAAAGAGGAAGGGTTCAACTTTCATGTTAATTACGACAATAGGGATGTAGGTCACAAATAGTTCCAACGTTGGCCTTTTTACTATCCGTGTGGCCTTCATCTCAGAACTGAGCAAATGTTAGCAAACGCGAGTTACAATAAATGGACGCTGATATCTAGAAAGGGTTTGTAGAAAAAACCGGGTACCGGGTAGTAAATCCTCCATGCTGGGTTCAAACTTGGTACCCGGTACCCGGTCAAAAAACGGGTACCCAAAAAATGAAAAATACGAATATACGAGTATAACATAATTAGATTATCAGAAAACGTGTAAGATTTGTTTTGAATTTACAAAAATGTATGTAACATCCTTCAAAATTGAGCTAGAAGCTTCAAATAAAAAGCATATTTTAAGGCTCTTTTCTTCCTCTATCGTCATGACCATATTTTTTATTGGTTATGTTCACGTACCAACATACGAACTCATTGAAAATAGAGTAAAATTGATTTGTCTTGTTATTCAAATCGTCTTACAATGTCATTGGCGTAGCCAGGAGAGGGTGTGATGGTGCGATCGCACCCCCTCCCCCTTCATTACCAATGGAAATATGACCATGATGATAGAGGAAGAAAAGAGGCTTAAAATGCTTTTTATTTGAAGCTTCTAGCTCAATTTTGAAGGAAGTTACATTTTTGTAAATTCAAAACAAATCTTACACGTTTTCTAATGATCTAATTATGTTGTATATTCGTATATTTCGTTTTTTGGGTACCCGGATTTTCGACCGGGTACCAAGTTTGTCAACGTAAATTTTATTTATATTATTAATTGCATTACATTTACATGTACATATTTATATTTACATTTACATGTACATAAATAAGAATGAAGGAATAAAAAAAGAAAAAGTTTGAACCCAGCATGGAGGATTAACTACCCGGTACCCGGTTTTTTCTACAAACCCTATCTAGAAAAGTAACCTCATTCCCTATAATTTGATGTAGATTAATCGAACCCCTATATCATGGGCTTTCAATTGAAAGCCCATATATGCCTACAGTATGGTAGTAGTTGGTCACGACGCCAGAAGCAGAGAAGTGCAAAGTATTGTTCCAAATTTTTGAATTTCGTGTTAGATTATGATACTCACACCTCAAGCATGGTTTTTGTTTTTGATAAATTACAATAAAGTTTAATAATATTTCTATGCGTATTTTGTGAAATTATGTTGACGTTTATTTAAGTTACAATGTAACGGTGCATTATATTTGATTAATCAGTATCTGAAAGTTTGATTCAAGTACTTTTACACGCTTTTACATTAGTCCAAATCACGCAAATCCCTTGAATGTCCCGGGACATCCTGCAAATTTAGGTGGATGTCCCGCGAAATCAAGCAAATTTAGGGCACTTTTTCTAGAAAATCTGTCCCTCTATGAAGTTTTTGCTGGTAAACCTGTTAACTGTCCCGCAATTAGGGTGTTTGTCCCTCGAATGGTCCCGCGAAATCACGCGAATTTGATAAAAAAAAATTGGCCTATAAGCGCAATCACGCAAATCCCTTGAATGTCCTGCGAAATCCCGCGAATTTAGTAGATGTCCCGCAAAATCCCGCAAATTTTGGGCACTGGGTCTAAAAAATCTGTCCCGCGAGAAAATCTTTGGGGGTTGACAGTACTGATGTTGATTCACAAGGTTTCAGTTGCTCCAACTTCACTGATATTCGCAGATAACTCATACCTGTAGGATATTGGATGTTAATAGATATATATTAGGGAGTTTAAGCTTGCAATGTTTTTCACAAGCTTGATGTGAACGAGAAATATTTAAGCAATTGCATTTGTATTACATGTATATGGGCGATTGTAGGTTGGCGATTCCATTTTATATGCAAGCTTAAACTCCTTATTACATGGAATACGTATACGCAAACGTGTACATGTACAGGATACGTGTCCAAGTCAGGTATATAACTGGGGAGTACCTCCTTGAAATGAAATAACAACGTAATATTTGGCAATAAGTCCCGGTTTCAAAATATGATAACAACTTCAAAATTCATTCTGCCATTGCTGGGATACTCACAAATCAATTCCTTCGATTAGAAAACGAGGAAAATATTTCTAATGAAATTTATTGTCCGGTTCCTTTGAGAAACCTTCCTCCCCAGTGGTGCTTCAATTCCTTAATTTAAAAGTTAAAGTTTCGGTATACGTTTGTCTGAAAAATTATGTCGAAAGCTCTCTAATACTGACAAATGTGTCTCAAATGTTAGGTTACTGATGGCATATTCGTGGCTGTGGGGTATGGACTGGCTAACTCCATTATGTTGGAAGGACCCACTGGACTGGTGATCGTTGATGTCACCGAGAGTTACAAGGTCGGACAGGAGATATATGCAGAATTCAGAAAGATAACGACCAAACCCATCGAAGCGATTGTCTATACGCATTTCCATGCGGATCACACCATGGGTGGGCAGGTACAGAATACAATAATTATTGTTATTGTGAACATTACATTTTAACCACAGTGTTTATTCCTTTACTTCATTCACTTTCATCAAAAGTTGAATTGGAAAGTAGATAGGGTTGGAATTGTACTATCACCTGGTGGGACAGTCCGACTGACAGTCAGGGTCAATACTTTTCTTGGCTTGTGTCAAATTACTAGTATAGCATAGTATAGTATAGTTTGTTTTAATCCCAGGCGTATGTTGAAAATGAGTCGAAAATGCCAGATATCTGGGGATACCATACAATGATCGATCATCTGAGGACCGACCTCGCAATCTGCAACGAGACTATGATGAAGCGTGGACTGCGTCAGTTCGGCGTACGCATCCCGAGGAAAACGCAACTCGGCGCAGGAATCGGGCCCCGACTAAACTTTAATCCTGGGAGTGGGCAAGCGATGATATACCCGAATAAACTTATGTACCAGGAAAAACTGACGCTCACGTATGGAGGTACAGTATGTATAACGTAATGATCACATGATCAATATCTACAAAAATTACTTTCATTAAAATTTTAGGCAAAAACAAACTACGTCGAAGAGTTTACCTCGAAATCGAAGATTGTTTGAATATGTTCCCTGCCTCAAACATAAATATTTTATTCCCCAGGGCTGACGTTTGAATTGATCCACATCCCGGGAGAGACACCAGATCAAATAGGAGTTTGGGTGCCAGGCAAAAAGGCATTTCTACCCGCCGACGACATATACCGCGCCTTTCCCAACCTCTACGCAATTAGAGGAACGCCCCATCGAGACGCCATGACGTGGGTTCGCTCCATAGACAAAATGCGTAAACTCCGCCCCGAGTTCTTGGTTCCCTGCCATACCCTGCCCCAGTATGGCGCAGAAAGCATCTATCAGCTGTTGACCGATTACCGGGATGCGATCCAGTACGTCCACGATCAAACTGTGCGATATATGAACAAAGGTCTTTACCCCGATGAGATCGCTGAATTGGTCCATCTGCCCCAAAAGCTAGCTGATCATCCGTATCTGCAAGAACTCTATGGCACAGTGGCTTGGTCAGTTAGAGGGATATTCCATGGCTACATGGGATGGTTCAGTGGGGATCCCGTTGATCTCATGCCGCAAACAAGAACATCACAGGCGGGTAAAATGGTTGAGTTAGTTGGGGGAACAGATAAGGTGTTAGAAGCAGCCAAGAAAGCTCTGTCTGGGGGTGATCCCCAATGGGGCCTTGAGCTCGCAACGTATGTGCTCTTTGTCGATCCTGATAACGTTAACGCTAAAGATATTAAGGTTCAATGCTGCTACGGACTTGGACCGAAATGTCCTAGCACCAACGGTCGCAATTATTACATCGCGTGTGCTTTAGAAGCGGCTGGTGGAGATGGTCTGAAGAGTACACCTGCAACACAGATGCAAGCGGGACACGCTCGTCTGGCATTCGGTCTTCCTCTGGATGACCTCCTCCTCTTGTTGACACTACGACTCAAAGCCGAAGCGTGTGCAGACTTCAGCAAAACAATTGCAATGAATTTCACAGATGTGAAACAGACATATTACCTTTGCATACGAAACGCAATGGTTGAGCTGACTACCGAGACACAGAGTAATATTAACGCATCTGTCAACGTTGTGTCAACCGTTTGGAGAAACATCATGGCTGGCAAAGTGAATTTTAAAGACAGTCTCCAGAATGGCAACATTAACATCGATGGTGATATCGGCGATCTTCTGTCATTCTGGCAGAAATTTGACTTTAGAAATTTCGATTCAAAGTTATAAGAATTCAAAAGCGAGTTCCCCTCACCGGAGGTTCTTGTGTATACATGCAGTGATCACATACATAAGGGTTATGTACTGGGAGGTTTTAGATACAGGGTTTATCTCAAGGGAAATATATGTATCTCCCAGGGACCGCAGGAACCAAGTGACATATTCCCAGAGGGATAAACCCTGTATCCAAAACCGACCGTACATAACAGATGTATTCCAATCTCCATACCTACTGAGGTTCCATGTACATAATACCTCATAAAGTTCCGAAATTCAAAAACGTATTCAAGGTACGCATTTTCTTACGTACATGTAGTTTGTCGTACAGTGTGAGAGATTTTCACACTCATGTATTGCTGAGGCAGATCAATGAATTGCTATATATTGAAATCTGAAATATAGCATAAGTTTGTTATTTGTATTTTGTAAATTGAGTTTTATCAGTCAGGTTCAGTAACTTAGTCAACATTCGAATTCGTATGTTCATCAATATTTACTGAGAATGGTGCCACAATTAATAAACCTCTGGTTAATTATATACCTATCAGCAAACGTGTAAATGATGATTTTGATTCTCAATTTACGAAATAAAAATTACATTTCAAAATTCACATATTTCCCTTGGGATAAACCCTGTATCCAAAACCCCTGTACCCTTATATATCAATCATATATGAATATAATTGCATTATAAAAAATATAATAGATGTCTACATGTACTTATTAAATAGCACATGTACATAGTGTATGCACGCATTAGGAAATTCTAGCTAACGTGAAAGGATTCTAAAAGTGGTTATTAAGATGATAATACATATTTTTACGCATTTATTTTGAGAACTCGAATCCATTCTTGACAAAGTGTTCACGAAATGAGTATTTGTTCGGAGTGATAGAAGTCTAGTTTAAGTTCGGAGTGTTAGAAGTACGCTAAAATATACAAGTATATTGATTTTACATTTGCATTTTATTGATACCATGTATTTTACATTACACACGAAACAAGAAATTGCTTCGCCTATCGTGTCGCGATTTTCCAATTTAGCGATTTTCATAATTATTGGAATTACACCTACGAAAAGCGCTTTTTAAAATCCTATCGGGTTTCGACCCGCCTTTAGAGTCAGGTGTAATCACGATCGCGGATTTAGAAAAGCGCTTTTGTAATCCTCCCAGGCCCCTAGTCATTAAAAACCGCTTTCACACCCAAAGGCGGTTTAACGTGTAGGTGTAATACCGATTGGTTTTCAAGGCGCTTTACACTGAACGAAAACTATATTATTATAACAGCCCCAACAAAAGTACCATCTTCATTTTACTGGATCTCTCTTGGATCTCTCCTAACGACCGAGCTTCTCTCTTTGCGCGCTTGTGCATTGTTTTCCATGCTTTCTTTAGCACATATTTGTTAACGCCAGAGGTAGATTGAATACGATTTAAGAAAAAAAGGAACCGGCGATCATTTTGAATCTCCAGAGATGGCGCTACGGTTGAAAGTGTATATCTAAATAGCAGATTTTGATGCAAATGCGATGGTTGATGGCAAATTTTTGTCTTAAATCAGTCTAAAAGCGCTTTAGAAAAATCAAGTGTAATCACGAAAAGTTGTCTTCAAGGCGCTTTTAAAATTCTGGTGTAGTCAGGATTGCGGTTTTCTAGCCTACGTTACCCAAAACGCCTTGAAAACGCCTTTAGGCATGAAATAGGTGTAATTCCACTAAATGATGCGTGTCCAAGGGGACAATAATTTTCAAATAATATTGTCTCCCAGACACCGACTTCGTAAATGTACATATGTCCATGGGAACTACAGTACATATTCTACTTTATTTTGTCCCCCAGAGAACTACTCCTTAAATTTCTGGTTATGCTCGTCCATAGGTACGATATCCTCCATTATCATTTTGTCCCTGTTGTATTTACCAAAAGCTTGATTTGCATTTTGAGAAGGTCCCTTGCATTATATAGTACATGTCCCCTAATATACCTTGATGCATATGAAGTGAAAGTGCAAGAACATACCCATTCCCTCATTTGCATTTTTTTGATTTTGTTTACACCATGTTAATAGATTTTCATTGAAATTTTGTTTTCCAACTCTAAATATATGGAAATATATAATGATACGAATGATTTCAGTTTCAATATGTGCTTTAAACAACCATTTCAAGAGAGCAACATGATATCAGTGATGTAAAATGTAATTGCGAACTAATTTGAAAAATTCCTGATGTAGTCCCGAACTAGTGTACCCAACATAGTTCAACGTTCGAGCACGCATTCTATGAACCTCTTCTCATAAAATGTACATTCAATTGTCTAATTATATTGCAGTATAAAACCTTTAACGCCAGAGAATAAATTGTCAGTTTGTCGATCCTTTATGTTTGTCTTCTATTAATATTCGATATTAATCGTTTTTAATTTTTTATTTCTTTCGCTGTTCCCAGCTCATAGCCTGTTAATAATGTGCCTTTTTGTCAAAATTACCAACGACGTTCTCGATCGGCCTTACTTTTTGCTTCTTGAGATATTTATATGCGCGATGTTTAAGGCGTCTGTACCAGCCATATCTCCACCCTTTTTTCTTATCCGGTGTGTCATTACCAGCCTTATCCAATGTATCATTGTCTGGTTCAATAGGTGTGTCGTCATCAAGCTTATCCAGTGTATCATCATCTGGCTTATCTGGTGAACCATTATCTGACTCTTGTGCAGCATCGTTTGGCTCTTGTGCAGCATCGTTTGGCTCTTGCGCAGCATCGTTAGGCGTACGCATTCTATCATCACCTGGCTTACTCAATTTACCACCATCATTTTTATCCAAAATAGCATCATTGGAGTCATCTACTGTACCCTCACCACCAATATCTAAAAATAAAATATTTTGATACATTCTCTGGCTTTTCCCGAGCTTAAAGCAATGTTTAAAACGTACTCGCATTTTAACTCAGGACTCGATTATTTTTGTGTGATTGGAAACACGGTTTTTTAAACAGCTGAAATCGGTAATCCAATGTTTAAGACAAGGGTACAAAAAGGAAAGTTTTGAATCTTCCCCAGTCCTGTGCTTAATATAAATTCAGGTAGAGTATCTGCATAGTTTAGCACCTTTATCATGTAAAATTACCTTTCATGATATATGTAGGTAATTTTAGTAATGCGATACTAGTACCACGCAGTATCTAATATAATAGGTAATTTCAATAACTTAAAATCGAAATTTCCCGTGTAACGTTTAATTTAGCCCAACGTATCCAAGTATTCACCAGATTTATGCGTAATAAAACGAGATGCGGGTTCGGATACGATTAGCTGTAACCCGTTGCGCGAAACCTCTCTGATACCGTGAGGTGTCTAGGGTATAGCTTGTTTACATTAGGTAATTCAACTACAAAATTACCTATTTTATAGGATAATTTTACATGACAACGGTGATAATACGTATACCATGCCATTTACGTTCAGAGATTGTCTCTTAAAAGTAAGAAGATGCGGTAATGAGTATCAGCATGGAGAGTGTCTATAGGGGTCATGGAAATTGAAAATAAAGTGAAGTAGAATTTGATCAATTATTTGCATTTTAATATCTTTCCTATTTTTACCAATACCATTATTTTGCTCTTTTTACTTTTACATTTAAAGCATACAGTCAATTATAATAACATCAACGGTACGGAGAAGATGTTGGGAGTACTTCCATCCTGGCGTATTATTGTCACTCCGATCACTGTGTACCACCATTAGCATGGACGAATACATGTCCATGATTATTTGATAGTTTAGTGATAGTTAACATTTCCAACGAACCGATAATTTTCTGAAATTGCTTTAAAAAGTGAATAACCAACCAGATTTTAACTGACCAATGTTTTTCTGGGATATTTCTTAGTACTTGGGATTTTAATGGATTTGAGTCTCATTCTTAAATTTACAAAAACATTTCATTGATTCTCCGTGATTTATCCGTGTAATCAATTGAGCAAGGAAATACGAGAAAAACATGATATATGTGCACTTTTTGAAGCAATTCGACTGGGTTTAATACAATAAATATTCCTGGTCTTAAATTATCAAGTTGGATGAGAAAACTTTGTAGGAGACTGGGAGAGGCCCGGACACTCTTTCGAGACTACATGTACGTTCGCAAACATATGAACCCATCTTACCTGGAAGTGGCTCCGGTGGTAATCCGACTATCTGCCTCTTCGTGATTCCTGCAAGTGAAATGGCGTCTAGGTCTTTTTATAATGTCAGACGCAATTGCATTTGCAATCACATTTCTGTTTGAAGTGAAGGGCCTGGCAATTTTTATATTAAATTCAAGAATTAAGAGTAACATGAATTTAACCATTTTGGCTTTTCAATACATTTCCTTTTCCAAAATAATTAAATCGCTAGAATATTAAAATTAGCCATCTATTGTGCTTATGATGATTTTATTTTACAAACTAATGGTATTCTATACTAAATATTGATTTTATTGTTCTAAAACATGGTTTTAATGAATTAAATTATGATTTTTTCATTGTGATGCTTTGACTTTTTTTTATCTGTAAAGATATCTAAAACGTACCTGTTGAAACTGTTGCTGTAACGAGGACACCTATTAAACATTTGAAGTTCCACATGATCAAAACTTTCGCCACACTACCCGTCTCCTAAATAATTAAACGACCAAGGGCAGCAAAGTTGCTTTCTGATACTCTTTTGGCGGCCTATGTCACGTTTATGTTCCTCAATCTGCACCCGACTGGTCAGGAGCTGTTTTTCAGTGGGTACTCCTCAATGGCTATCCCCACTCGTCAAGGATGGTATTTTGTCGAGTGCTGTTTTTATACAGATTTACACAGTCGGCACTTTCATCTTTACTCAATAGTCGAATTAAAATTGTCCCAGAATTAAGACAAACTCTTTACAAGCAGACGACCAAAAACAATTTCTTTGGCTGTAAACGATTTAAATTTAGCTTTCCGTTTCCCCTTTCTTGAGTAAATTCATGATAAAGCGCCAATAATCGAAGCTTATTTTAGACCATTTACGTTGATGGACGGATGTTGGATGCTCGAAACAATGGATTCAGTTTGTATTTTATTAGTAGACTGGTGAACAGTAGACGTCACTTTGGAATTTTAACATTATTTTCGCATAATTGAGGTTGTTTTGTTTCTCCAAGATCAAAGGGTATTTATTATTTGTTTTGGGATTAATAATCGATATGGATATTCAAGAGAATACTGAAAAATAACATCACATTTTTTACAATTAGCAATATCAACTTTATAGCACTTGAACATGTTTCTTGTTTGAACACTTTTTATAAAAGGTTTCTTGACAGTATTGTTTTATTTATTTTGCCCAAGAACCCTTGATGACGGATAAAAGTTTCAGAAAATAACTCATAATACAATAGTTTAGCTACAAAAGCCTGTGACCCCCCCGCCTCCCCCTACTACTTGACAATACAACCTCTCACACAGGGGGGATCACGAGGGCTTGTAGCTAAAGTGCTAGCATTTGTATTGCAGAGATTTTTCAAAACATTTAGCAAAACCTTGAATAGACTTACACTTTGTTATAATCATCCTATGGTTCAGACGACATGCGCACAATGACTGGATGGAGAATTGGGGTAAAGTTGACGACCCCAAAATCAAGACAAGATAAGGAGGAGGGAAACCCCCAGAGCTTTAGCGATGACAGACAATTACGTCTCTTGCGTACCACATTCGTTTGCGCAAATTCTCACCAGTTGGTTTTTGAATGTAAACACGCCGTTGTGATGTTTTAATCGATGTAAGCATATTCCTTACATCTTTCTTTATCTTGGTGTGAAATAACAAGCTATGATATTGGTTTACACGCCAGAAATTAACATAATATTATTCGAAGAGTTATTAGAAAATTTTGATTCCACCATTTTTCTTTGTCGATTTGGACCTATCAGGACAGTGGGTCATCTCAATACAGATTTATATTACATCTTTGAACCCTGGGGTTTCTCCCCCTCTTGAGAAGATACTTTATATTAACGGCCGTTACCTTGTCATTCAAAATGGAGGAGCAACATTGAATTTGTTTATATAAACCACTCACCATGACGTTTTGTCCACATCAAGTCACTTACCCTACTATCACACCAAACTAGTTCTCACTACGTTCTCGAAAACGGGCTTCAACTGTGTACGAACGGACTGGACCTACTAAGAACCGTTTGGGATCTATTTACAAACTTCATCGAACGTACTCGAACGGGTAGGTCCTCTAGAACTTAGACAATGCTCAAAATGTACTCGTGGTCGTCACGTTCTACAATTAGAACGAGTGACAACGTACTAACGACGAGCTGGACGTACTACGAACGGAACCGTCGTACTTCAATCCTACTAGGGACGTTTTAACAACGAGTTGAACTGTCTGAGGACGTGTTGAGAACGAGGTAGAACTAATTGCAAACGGGTTTAAACTGATTAAGAACGTATTTAACACTGCTTATGAACGAGTTAGCAAAAATATAGCTATCACACCAAACAAGTTGCCACTGCGTTCTTCAAAACTGGTTTGAAACTGTGTGCGAATGGAATGAACGTAGCTGCAACTTTCTAAGGTCTATTTACGAACTTTATGAACGTTCTCAGACGGGAATGTGATTTTAGAATTTTGAATCGATTCAAAGTTCGATGGCGACCATGCCGTTCTGTAATCAGGTCATGTTGACCTTCTAGACTAAGGGACAAGTTCTACGACGTTGTACACCGACGTGGTGCGACCTGAACGAACTGCGAACGAGATGGACGTATTGAAGACTGTTTAAGGACGAAGAAGCTAATTATTTCAGACATATTTCCCGACCACAGCCAGATTGAGCCCGTTTTACGACGTTTTCGTAGGACTGGCAAGAACGGGTAAGAACTAGTTTGGTGTGATAGGGGGGTTAGTAATATTAACCACTTACAGTGTATTCTTGTATGTAAGTGCCACATTATCTTAATTATTTTTTTAGAAATCATAACTTCAATATTTAATTAGAATAACGTGTGATGAACGGTTTCCACAAAAAACAAAATACATGGAACTTATAAACCTCCCAAATATACAGGTAATACTGGATTTTACATGCAGTTTAAGAGAATAACACGTTTTTAGTCAGGGGCTCATGTTGGAAATATGAGTTCTTACTAAACCATGAATTCAATACATCATGTACATAGAAACAACTCAACTCATACATGTTAATTTGTGATATAAAGTAAATTATTATTTCATTAATAATCATAGTATCTGAAAATAAAATTCCTGGCTACATATTCTCGCCTCGAATGGCAAACCAGGTCCTGCCTGGCTAACATGATTAAAAATCAATCAATATCTAATTAAAAAACTAGTAATACAGTATAATAATAAAAATGCTTGTTACTAAAATGTACTGTGATGTAAACATCTCATAACACTTACTGTACATGTATAGAATCTACAAAATCATACTATATTATTCTAGATAAATGAAACTGATACTTTACTATATCTTCTACAAACGCATGTCCAACACGTATGTGAAGATGTGTTCAATTTTATAATGCCTTGGCAGTTAACTTCTAGGAAGCTCACAATAATGCTCATGCTTTTACACAAATATGGAAAAAATATGAAAAAGTGAAACTTCATGAACACTAATTATGAAAAATCAGTGTAAGCATTCTTAAATTTAAGAATTCATAAGTCAAGTTTACCCAAACTATAAACTATACAGAGCCATTCAAGCAAACCTATAGTATTATAGTAAAAATCAATTGATAACATAAGTAATACTCCAACTTGGTTCTTTTGGACAAACATACATCTCCAGGACACAGTTGTTTCATACCCAAGCTGTTCTCAGAAAGAATGCTTTGATGTATAAATACAATAAATACAATATGCTTTTACAATCACAACAAACGATTATGGTTTTAAGAGCGACACATGTTTTTAAAAAGCGACATTGTTATAGCATGGTTTAAATATTTTTATGATTTAGACTGATGATATAGGGAATGTAAATATCTATGTTATAGATGTGTATATCATAACTTTGTATATATATGTACATACATGTATATTATAAAACATATATTTTTCTAACTTAATATACATTATAAGAGTATATAGACAAAAATAACTATATATTGTGTAATGTGATCAAAATGATGTACTGATATAATGATTGTGAAGTGTAAAATACAAGAAAATGTAAATACATAATCTTGGAGGACGGATTTCTGACTCATATATCCATTATTTGTAAAAATAAAGTTCTGAAGTGTAATACAAATACATAATATAACATGTATCCCTGACATCGCAAGACTTTTAATATTTGGACGGACCTTTTTGAATATATTTATTCTGTGCTGTTATAAATTATTACTCATCAAAAACATGATTGATTGAGTTTCTTCCATTCATATGTACATGTACATATTATATATAATTATACGTATGTGTACTTATTACATGTACAATCTGTAGTCCTGCATTAAGCCTCTGATTTCCCCATCCACATCTTACATGCCAGGCCCATAACCAGGTGTGGGGGGTCAGGGATTCGAGCAAGCCTCCTGGCCAAAAAATCTTTCAAAATCATGCAGTTCACCATTCTAAGCACCTTTCAAATGCTTTTGTGCCAAAGCTGTCAAACGTGAACACCCCTGGAATTGTTTGCAAAGTGAACCTCCCTTGGCAAAAGCTGGCTACGAGTCTGATGCACTATCTATCTCCCATATTGTTATTGACAGAGTGGGGGGGGGGGCAACATGGATGCGAGCACATAGATTAAAGTAAGACCAGCTAGTTGTGAAAGTCCTCATATACAAATCATCTTTGTTCTCATTTTAATTAGTCTGCTAGTAAATTAGTCCACGATAATGGGGTTAAGTTTTATATCCACTCCATGAAATGACTTGTGTGGTCATGTGACAAGAATTGGCCAATAAGGAGACAGATTCACTCATTCATCTACCTCTTCTCCCTGGACTTGCTCACCCTTCTTCAGCTTGGCAATAATCTGGAGTAGAAATAATATTCAAATAATCAATCTCCAGCACTCTTTAAATAAACATCATACCATTTCCTGGAAGACTGCAGATAGGATGTGAACAGTTTGATTTTTGAAGCAAAATAAGTTTTGTCTTTTATATCAAGGTCAATTTGCGCATTCAAAATCTGACCATTTTTGTAAACAATTCTGATATAAAACTTATCCCCAAAGAATTTTAAGAGAAACGATGAATGTTGTAAGTAATTTTTTTAAGAAAAAAGGTTTTATATTTTATTGATTTATAGTTTTTTGCTAATTATGTATTATTGTTTTTATTGTACAAAAATGTCTCACAGGGACTGTTGATGTAAATGTAAATAAAAGATAACTGTTGTGATGAAATATTGAAATGGTGGATTATTATATGTAATTCACATACCCCTTTGAGTCTTGTGATTTCTTTGTTGTCAGCATTCTTACTGGCATCATTGGTGATGAGTTTGACACGACTAGCATATCTGTAATATTTTAAACAAATTGTACATACATGTACGCCATCTATAATCCATAATAACAATACTCAACAATTTAGAGGCTATCATGATAACTCTTCATGTAGTCTAGTAGTCTACCTCTCCTATTGTATATTTCAATTTGATGTTTATTCAAGTTATCATTTAATTTATTATTTCAACATTATTTTTCAACAATCAAATTTATTTTTAAAAATTTAAGCAGTGTTTTTATTTAACTCTTAAAGACATGCTAAATAAATATTTAAATTATTTAAATATTTATTGAAAATATATATCCTTTTGAAAATACAGTGAAACTTGTAAAGTGGAACACCTCTAGAAGTGGCACACCCCTAGAAGTGGCACACCTCTGTTAGTGGAACACTTCAAGAGTCCAAAGCTGACTGACTTAATGTGAAATGAACCTATATAAGTGGAGCGCTTACTACATGTAAGTAGAAAACTTTTTAGGGGTACCAAAGGTGTTCCACTTAAACAGGTTTTACTTTAATTTAAAATTTGAAACTTACGTGAGTGAGATGACAGTCTCATCTTGGTTATAGTCTGCCGGGGAGATATTCACGAACATAAGTGTCTTTGCATTCCCTCCGAGTGAATCCTGCATCAACATTGTGAGCTTATTGTTCCTGTAAGGGATGAACGACTGTTCGCTGGAGAGAGCGGAGATGACATCACCAAGCGCAGAGAGAGATTTGTTAATTGAGTTTGCTTCTTTGAGTTGTTCTGCTGAAGCCCCTGTCTTTGCCACACGTTCACTTCCAGCCAAATCCACCAGACTGAGCTAGAAGATAATCATCAATGATGCGTTAGACATTCTTCTCCTCTTGTTTTTCAATGGTTTTAACATAAATAAGCTGGGTTGTTACACATTTCCTTCTACATTAACAAGAAGAATATGAAGTCATGGTAATGGTTTATGAATTAAGTGTATGAAATGACAATGACTTATGAAGTATTTGATATGACAGTAGTATAGGAAGTAATGATGATGGAAGATTTTATATGACTTGACGATTGTATTTAAAGAGACGGCTGTATATATAAAGTAACAGTATTGTATGATAACAGTAGTAAAAGTGACAGTATTGTATGAAGTGACAATACTGTATGTCATGACAAAAGTACATGAAGTGAAGGTAGTATAACAAGAGACAGTAGTACATGAAAAGAAGGTAGCTAGTATGAGGTGACAGCTACATATGAGGTGACAGCTCCATGCATGTATTTAGTGATCAATGGTAGTTATGAAGTGACATACCTTTCCTTTGGTGACAACCCCACTAGTCCTGTTAGTACTCTCTATGATCACACTGATAATAAGATGGGATCTAGAACTCTCCGCATTCATTTCTAAAACAAACAATCAATAAATTGTGATCAGATATTTCAAAAATGCAGAAAAACTTGTGAATAAATAAAACAAAGATAAGAGTCAGGAAGAGCTCAATTCACCCAATCAGTTCCAAGTAAAATAACATCTATAATGAATTTATTTGATATTGATTACAATGAAGTTCTATTAAGGATTTCAATTGAAAAAAATGTGGCATTAATATGCAAAATGTCACCACTTGCAGAACACAAAGCGCCAACCACAGAATACCAAACATGAACTACCAAACACCATCCACAAAAAAGTTGGAAGACCATATCAATATGTCACCACTTGTGGTGCTGATATTAAAACAGGTAGGGACAACAGATATACATGTAGGACTCAATTCTTCAACTACTCACTTGTGGAGGCTACGTGTCTGTTCTTTGAACCCTCCTCAAAGAGTGCATTCAACTCCTTGGAACTGCTTGCAGTCTTCACTTCAGCTCCCTGGACAAACACCAAGCCTTTCTTGTCCTTCTTTATGATCATCTGGTCCTGGAATATACCACACAGATAGACATTTTATCCATAGAGTTACAAAGTATTATTTAAGAAAATGATTAAAAGAATATTTCAGGAACTGAAATAGATCAAATAGAATAGAATATATTGGACTTATTTAGGATCAATGCAAAAATATGCATCTAAAAGCTAGCCAAAAGGAACAACTGCAATACATTTACGTAAATGCCACATGTTAATCTGTAACTTGCATAATAACTTGGCCAATGGAAATAATGAATGATGTGAAATTAATTAATACATGTATATGATTAATGTCATGTTCATGCATGGGGTTTCAACTAGATACAAAATGCCCTTTTGTGGCTTATGATCTTCTATAATATGAGCAACTCTCTGGAGTAGCATATTCAAGTGGAATAAATTATTATTTAAAAGATTCCTTATTTTGATTGATATAAGCTAGAAATAGGGTGAATAAACAAACTGGAGGATGTACTCATACCAAACTTTGTTCATTGGGATGATTAACTTAATATGCAGGGTAATGTTAAAGGTGTTTCTCGCATTCAGGAGGGGGTGAATGGGGGTAGACAAAGACAAAAGACATGTTATAACACATGAGACATATAAGGGTCCTGGGTGGGGACTTGTTACTACAAACTTTGACGAAGACTAGCCATGTTCATGCATGCATTCAACATGTTAAATAGTTCATGCATAAAATAAGTTAGGAATTATGTTAACTTCTTTAATACAGTGGTTATTACTTTTTCAAACAGTGATTCCTTTAAGTACCATTCATGCATCCTATACAGGCTCAAAAATTCTTTCAAAATCGTGCAGTTTTCACCATTTCAACCACTTTTCAAGTGATTTGGGCCAACGTGTCGAATATAAACCACAGGGAAGTTTTTTGAAAAGTGGTCTCCCTTGGTAAAAGCTAGCTATGGGTCTCCTATATATGGCATTTATTAATTAAAATGTCAAATACAAATGGGTATATTTGTGAACACAATACATGTACATGTTAATACTGTGAGACATATTCAGTCTACACAACACACTTATCGGACACTTTATCTTTAATTGTTTAATACATATTACAAACACATATGTGCGCATGCAATTTACTTACATCCTTATCAGCCTATACAATAAAAAAATGATGACAAAATATTTAATAATCAATACAAGCAAAGCAATTCTACTTTAATAAAGTAAACTAAATTTGTATTTACAATAATTGTATTTACAATAAACTAGTACTATGATATAATATAGAAGCAAAGCAATTCTACGTTTAAAGGAAACTAAGTGACTCTAATCTCTACGTTGAACTACACTACTAGTCAAATGAGAAATGGCTTTAAAGTCCCCGATAAATCGGGCTATGTATACCGCCGTGTTTACATTAGGGGATTAGAAGAGTTTATTTTTTATTTAGGTATGCAAGCTACGTATATCAATATTAGGCCTTCATTCATGTACTCGTGTGCATGTAATCAGCATGCCCTTCAATATTATGTAAACCAGGCTATTCAAGTACTGTATAATGTACACTATTTATGTGTGTACTACGTACAATACAATTCCCTGGGAAACAAAACACAAATACTTTTTATATGTTCAAAATGAGCCATTTGATTGATGCAAACACTAAATAGCTTCATAAATAACATCTACAAAGTATATCTAATAGTAATTTTCATTTTCAATGGTGAAACTTCCCTGGTTACGATTATATGGGAAATCATCACGAGACGAAGATCGTTCGCCTTCCTGGCTTACCTCTGAATCGTGTACCGTGGTAATCTCTTTATATAGTTTAGCGAGAGCGGTGCGCCTGCGCAGTTTTAAACTTTGGCGCACACTTTAAGAAATTTTAATTGACTATGCAGTATAATCTCTGTATTAATAGACATTTCCTGTGTAACAATAAGTATTAAGTAAACATTAATATTAATAATGTCTAATAATTAATAATATACATGTATATTATTGATTATTGACAAATCAATAATATTCATGTAAGAACATGAAAAGCGAAACACCTTTTAAAGCTGATACTTTTTGTCTCACTAAGATTCAACATCAAAGATCAATAATTCATTTCATGATAATATAACAATGGAATGTACAAAGCATGTGCACTCGACACCCTTTGTAATTGGGCGTATCAGTGCATAAATAGAATAATGTGAAATCAATAATAATTGTGTATTGAGTGTTTGAGCGAAGTATCATAAAATTCTTTATAAGCTATTTAACAAATAGCTTATGTTTTCACGAGCCAGGTTCTACATGACGCCATTCTACTTTTCTACTATTAATAGTAAGTGCTGCATACAAATTGAAAGACTGCCCATAGCTTATTTTTTGGCATATCATTTACAAGCTTAAAGAATTTCTAATGGTTTTTATTACTGTACTAAAGTGTACTTACATCTTGTTTATGTCCAAATAAATCCAACAGCTTCTCATTGTATAACTCCATCATGTAGGTGGTCACCTTAAACTTGAACTTTTGCCTGCAAATGTTTTGAATTAACTCAAAAGCATTCATTTAAGACACCATTTATTTAAACATAACCCACATACATGTACTTCTCCATGTAACATTTGTAATTAGTATGAAAAATTTAAAAATCATATGTTATGAGTATTGAGTTCAATCCTCTGTACATACATGTAATGTACACTGTATATACTGCACCATACAATGAAAGAGAAATAGATAATGGGAAGACCAGAGACATAAGAGGAAAAAAGAAAAATTGAATTTGGAGCTTACTTGTTTTCCTCTATCACTTCATATATTTTATCAAAAGCTCTTGGGGCAATTCCTGGGAACTTTTGTTCTCTGTCTCCTATCATAGTAAATGTCTTTCCAGAGCCTGTCTGGCCATAGGCAAATATACACACATTGTAGCCATCCACTGCAGACTGGATCAGGTTCTGGAATAATATCTCTAAATTAGAACTACCCTGAATGCACACCTGCCAGCCACACTACCCTCTGATGATGAGAAATGATTTAACAAGTTTTGACAGTGATTAGATAACAAAAAATGCAAATGCATCATATTGAACTTTTATGGCATTTTGCATTGGATTTTGCTCAAAATCAATTCTCAAATCAAATAATATTAAACATCTTTAAATCAAGTATCTTTTTCTTATACCGATCAAACATACATGTAACTGTTTTGTAACCATTATTGACCAAACAAGAAATATAATAATACTGACATGTTTTTTGAATGTGCTATACGTCATTTGTAATATAAATACTTACACTTGTATCCTCAAAGATCTTTTCTTGTCCTATTTCTGGCATAAAGACCTGGTCGAACTGGAACTCTTTGAGACCTCGGGATGTATCACATGATATGGAGTACTCATCCAATGACTTGATTACTGATGTGTTGCCCTAGAATAAATGTATCACATGATATGGAATACTCATTCAATGACTTGATTACTCATGTGTTGCCCTAGAATAAATGTATCACATGATATGGAATACTCATCCAATGACTTAATTACTGATGTGTTGCCCTAGAATAAATGAATCACATGATATGGAGTACTCATCCAATGACTTGATTACTGATGTGTTGCCCTAGAATAAATGAATCACATGATATGGAGTACTCATCCAATGACTTGATAACTGATGTGTTGCCCTAGAATAAATGTATCACATGATATGGAATACTCATCCAATGACTTGATAAATGATGTGTTGCCCTAGAATAAATGTATCACATGATATGGAATACTCATCCAATGACTTGATAACTGATGTGTTGCCCTAGAATAAATGTATCACATGATATGGAATACTCATCCAATGACTTGATAACTGATGTGTTGCCCTAGAATAAATGTATCACATGATATGGAATACTCATTCAATGACTTGATTACTGATGTGTTGCCCTAGAATAAATGAATCACATGATATGGAATACTCATCCAATGACTTGATTACTGATGTGTTGCCCTAGAATAAATGAATCACATGATATGGAATACTCATCCAATGACTTGATTACTGATGTGTTGCCCTAGAATAAATGTATCACATGATATGGAATACTCATCCAATGACTTGATAAATGATGTGTTGCCCTAGAATAAATGAATCACATGATATGGAATACTCATCCAATGACTTGATTACTGATGTGTTGCCCTAGAATAAATGAATCACATGATATGGAATACTCATCCAATGACTTGATTACTGATGTGTTGCCCTAGAATAAATGTATCACATGATATGGAGTACTCATCCAATGACTTGATTACTGATGTGTTGCCCTAAAATAAATGTATCACATGATATGGAATACTCATCCAATGACTTGATTACTGATGTGTTGCCCTAGAATAAATGCATCACATGATATGGAATACTCATCCAATGACTTGATTACTGATGTGTTGCCCTAGAATAAATGTATCACATGATATGGAATACTCATCCAATGACTTGATTACTGATGTGTTGCCCTAGAATAAATGCATCACATGATATGGAATACTCATCCAATGACTTGATTACTGATGTGTTGCCCTAAAATAAATGTATCACATGATATGGAATACTCATCCAATGACTTGATTACTGATGTGTTGCCCTAGAATAAATGCATCACATGATATGGAATACTCATCCAATGACTTGATTACTGATGTGTTGCCCTAGAATAAATGTATCACATGATATGGAATACTCATCCAATGACTTAATTACTGATGTGTTGCCCTAGAATAAATGGATCACATGATATGGAATACTCATCCAATGACTTGATAAATGATGTGTTGCCCTAGAATAAATGAATCACATGATATGGAATACTCATCCAATGACTTGATTACTGATGTGTTGCCCTAGAATAAATGTATCACATGATATGGAGTACTCATCCAATGACTTGATTACTGATGTGTTGCCCTAGAATAAATGAATCACATGATATAGCATACATCCAATGATTTGATATGCAAATGAATCGATGACAGAACAAAATGCAAGTGATTAATTATTCCTACAGTTTTTAAATGAATCGGGCAGAGTAAACATTAGATATTTGTTGAAGAACATGTATAAATGTAAATTACAACATTACTTTTGTTTCAGACTTAATTGGAGAGAGAAATTCTGGATGGGCTGTTGATTGAAACAAGAACTAAATCATGATCTGTCATCTACTTACTCTGTCTTTCTCTGAGCCACTTAGAGGCCTGGCCCTACAGTAGACCCTAATCTTTCCCTTCATGTCCTCTACCATGTTGTAGTACTTCTTACGCAGAACCTACACACAAACAGTAATTGTGTTAGTACCTCGATCTTAATGCTTGAATTTGATTGGATAGAGAGCAGTCAATAATTTAAACTGTTCACCATTCAATGCATTGCTGGTGAAAGTTCCAAGGGAAGGGGATTCAACTAAAAATAGACTCGAGACAATAATCTTAACATCACATTGAATATGATCAAATAATTGTTGCATTTAAATAAAATTTAATGCTCCGACAAAAATATGCAAAGTTACAGATGCCAACTGCCAAACACTATCCACAAAAATGTTGGAGGCTATAACAATATGTCACCTCTTGTGGTGGTGACATAAAAAGAGTATTAACAACATCTTACCCTCTCACTGTTAAAATTATCAGCCAATTCTTTGTTCTCCTTTTCAAGTCGTTTCACCTCACCCTCCAGTTCCTTGGCCTTAGCTGCAGCTTCCACACCCTCACTGGCTGCCACACCCAGGAGATCCAGCTCTGCCTTCAGTTTACGTAATTCATCCTCTGCAGTCTTATGTGCCTGGATTAAACATGTAATATACAATATATGTAGTGCTAAGATGGGTGTATTATATTTCCTTAGTTTTGTTAAAAGCAAGTGGATACAGCACCCACATGAGATTTTAAAAACAGGCATGCACCAACCTGAAAAACCATTTGCACTCACTTGAAAATGAGAAGAGCATGAAAATGGGCACATTTTAACCAAGTTTAGTCTGAACTGTGAAATGAGAATTTTGAGAAAAAATCCTGTGGAGAACACTGTATTTAAAGCACTGTTTTTGAATCCAATAATCACACATCATTTATGCCAGATTGTAAAACCAACGACACCCTCTGAGATTTTACCTTAGTTTTGTCAGCTAGTTCTGCTTCTGTTTTCTTCAGTGTTGCATCCTGTTTTTCTAGTTTCTTCGTTGCACTTTCGAGCTTTTTCTCTAACTCTTTCAGGATCTTTTCATGCTTTTTCCCTGCCGCTTTCTAAAATAATTGTTTAAAGTAAATTTATCGAAATGTGTGTATTTAAATTGAATATGCTCATGTAATTATGCTAATCTTTTAGTTGCAATAGTTAAATTATATTTGATTTATCTCATTTGTTATTACAATTAAATATTTTCAATTTTTACAAATGTAATATTATTCATATCATAGAATCAATAATCAAAGACAACATTCAAAATATTTTTCAAACAAGATTTGGGAAAACTGGCAGATATCTCATGCATCAGACTGAATTATGACATAAAAACATGCATGACATGCATAAAAAATAAAACACTTTAAAAACCATTTATTTCATGTTATAGGTGACATAATGTATGTAATAGTAGACTCTCTGGAATTCAATCTTGCCACCTTCAGATGTATATCAAGGAAACTGGAGGTACAGTAAAGTGGCTTAAATTCTCAGGAGTGAACATGGGAATCAACCTAGAGAGGAGGAAATAACTTGGCCCATCAGAATTGTTTTATGAATAAGTGCAAAGGACAACAAAAAGGGAGTTATATACATGTATAAGGTGTACATTAGGTAAATGAATCTCTCCATTAGTTGACCTCACTGCAAGGCCAATACAAGGTCCAGACTCTGAAAATGATAATTTCTTGATTAGGATGCATGTAATATTAAATTCATGTAAAAGCAAAATCTTTATACAGCCAAGGTTGTGCACAGAATAAAGTAAGAAAAAATACAAAGCAACTAATTTTAGTAAAACACTGTAATATTGCATTAATCACTTATTTTGTTCTAATCATATTGAAATGGTTATATGGTATGCATTTCATGACTTATATTTTACCTGTCACTTGTTGATTCGATCCTCTCTCTACAGCTTCATACCTACTAGATACAGGTTACTATAGTTACTGTACAACCATATATACATGTAGTTCTATGCCCAGAAAAGGAATAAGCATCTTGTAAGTTAAGCTCTGTATAATCTAAGAATATAAGAATCACAAAGTACTGTGTGATAATTGGCGATTAGTGAAAACATCTAATATAAAGATCTAAAGGCAACAAGATGCAACATGTCTCATCTGGAATCAAGTAAGTTCAAATTGCCTCAACTTTACACTCTATGATAGTTTTGTGAAAAATAGGTTTTAAGCCAACATAAAGGTGGCAGCATATGTTTGTCAGCCAACATAAAGGTGGCAGCATAGGTTTGTCAGCCAACATAAAGGTGGCAGCATAGGTTTGTCAGCCAACATAAAGGTGGCAGCATAGGTTTGTCAGCCAACATAAAGGTGGCAGCAGAGGTTTGTCAGCCACCAGAAATTGCCTTCTTATAATGATTGACATTGGAATTGGATTGGAAAGTTTAAAGTTACATATGAATAGAGAAATGGGTAGACAGGTGTAGCAAGACAGGGCCAACTGGTCAGTGGTCAAGCAATACAGTATGTCCTCCATGAGTATGCAATGCTAAAATGACATGACAATACACTTTACTTTATGAAACTACAATTAGTACAATAGAAAATCTAAGCTTAAAGGGTCTTAAATGCTGAAAGAATTGAAATTGTGGAATTAGTATTTGTAAATATTTCTCTAAAATTCAGCTTTTTGACAGAAATTATGTATAACTGGGATATACATGTACATGTAAGCCCAAATTGGAAAATCAAAACATAAGCGCAAAGATCATCAACATGTTATCAGCAATTCAAAGTACCTCTTCTGGGTCTAGTTGCTCCTTAGATTGAGCTTGGAGTTTCTTCATGGCAGCTTTTTGTTCTTCCCTTTCCTTCTTCAGGGCAGTCACCTGACTTGTCAGCTCTTTGTTTTGTCTCTGGAGGCGGGCCTCATTTTTACCCTGATCAAGAAACATTTGGTTTATATCGTTCAATAATAACAGGCTAAAGATGTTAATGTTGATATAACCAGACATAACCTTATTGCAAATGAAAAAGATTAATTTGTGTCAACATGTTAGTGATTAATTCTTTTACAAATTCACAATGATGCACCAGTGTATCAATGTTATTATAATGAAGTGTATTTTTAAAATTTAAACCAGATAAGTGTCAGAATAAAATGGATTACTGTACATATAACTATTCAAAAAAAAGAAATATATGAATGGTGTACTCTTTCATGATGAATATTTTATTGTGCTGAGTTTTTGGCTCACACAATTTTGGGTCTAAAAATTCTGAATAAAAGTAAATTTCATAGAACTTTACTCTATTATATGAACTTACATCATTAGGGCCATTAGCATTAGCAGCAATGATAGCTGCAGCCTTAGCTCCCTGTCCACCTGGACGTTTCTTAAGCTCAGCCTCAAGTTGTTTCACAGTGGCAGCTTGGCCCATAATCTGTCCATTCTTGTCTTTAAGCTCACCCTTTGCTTTCTCTAGCTGGTCTTTCAGTCCCATTATGAGATTCTGGGTCTTCTGGCTTGAGATATCACCTCCCTGCAACATATTTACAGAAACTTGAGGAGAGGCATATTTTACCATTCAATATTTGAGCTCATACTGACTTCAAATTTTTGGGGAACATATTGAAAGAATAGGCTGACGTGATAAATTATCTCAGTAATGATCCAAAGAGACAAGAGTATTATATCGCAAAGTAAGGTATGTCATTTAAGAATCAATGTAGTCTTATTTTCTTTACCTCATTACTATTTTTACTATAATTGAAAAAAGTAATTGTTGTGTTGTGTAATTTAAAGAACAATTCGTATTTTTACATTTCATTTATATTAAGTTAAGGTTATAAAACGGCATATTTGCTTCCTTTGAACTATCTTCGCTGATAAGGCTCCCATTGAACTAAAGGTAATAAAACCATAAACTTGAGATATTGTAAAGACTTATCAGTGAATATAGATTATAACCTAGGGTCTGAGGGGCGGATATTCAGTCTGAGTCTAGAGAGGAACCTCGATTAAGCAACATAACTTAAGTTTTCACTATGTAAAATCCTATGATTAATATTTGTGATAACATCTTATATTGATGTTTAATCCAATATCACAGAAAGTATCATTCAATATTATAACATCTGATCCGGACTCAAAATATCACAGAGAATGATACCCGATTAAACCAAAATATATTCCAAAAGTAGCTTCAAACTGCCTTTTAATCTGAGAAAACAATAAGTTAATTCATCTGATTGCGCGAAAAGACGAATCAATCTAATTATCTGATCTCCATGCTATTTGATTCATGCATTATCTACAAGCCAGTCGGGCAAGGGTGAAATTATTTCATTTGAAAACAGAAATAAATATCAGAACCCCTCTAGCATAACTATTCGGGAGGAATTCATACAAAAACCAGAACAACGGCAACGCCAAAGCGTAGCGAATCCCATCGAACAACCATGGATGGCGTTTTTACAAACAAACTATATAGCAAAAATGGCAGGCATTTTTCAAAATGGCCGCCTTCTACCAAAAGTGTCATTAGACCATTTGCCATACTTATAGTATTCACATACCAAATATGAACAAAATCGCTCCACTACTTTTCGAGTAATTGTAAAATATGTTAAAATGGCGGCCATTTTTCAAAAGTGTCATTAGACAGTGTGCCATGCTTACAGTATTCACATACCAAATATGAACAAAATCGCTTCACTACTTTTCGAATTATTATAAAATACATTAAAATGGCGGCCATTTTTCAAAATTTTTTTCAAAATGGCCACCTTCTACTAAAAGTGTCATAGGATAGTGTGTCATGCTTATAGTATTCACATACCAAATATGAACAAATTCGCTCCACTACTTTTCGAGTTATAGTAAAATAGGTTAAAATGGCGGCCATTTTTCAAAATGGCGGCCATTTTTTAAAATGGCCACCTTCTACCAAAAGTGTCTTTAGACAGTGTGCAATGTTTATAGTATTCACATACCAAATATGAACAAAATCGCTCCACTACTTTTCGAGTTACAGCAAAAATCGTAAAATAACAAGTAAAGGCCGCCATTTTTCAAGATGGCTGCCATGCGCTTCTTTAATATCTACATTTCTAGCTTTATATATGTCCTATATAATTTTTTTAAATCTAAAACATATTGCTATTACAGTTTTACATATTGCACCTAAATTACTGTAAATTCGGCACTAAAATGGCCGCCATTTTGAAATGAGCAGCCATTTTGAAAATCGGCTTACGAGCAGAACTTCTATCCCCATAGGGTATATGTGTACAAAATATGAACAAAATCGGGCCAACGGTATTTGAGTTATTGCCCGGACGGACGGACGGACGGAGGCGTTCCCTATATCCCTCCGAACTTTGTTTGATGGGATAATAAGGTACACAACTGATGAGGGATCGCACGCAATGCACGCCCCCCTCTCCTCCTCCTCCGTGTTTGCCCACACACGACCATATTTGACAAAAGCGTTTTCTCCGGGAATGTACATGTAGATGTAGCAGTTGCCAGAAGTCGCACAGCTTGGGAGTCAGGGTATCCTGATCCATGCCTCAACGCCTGATTGGTCTGATATTTAGAGGGGGCGCAAAAATGATTAGGGGGGGGGGGTAAACGTGGAAGTTGCCAAAATATCCATAGGCGTATCCAGGGGGGCTTGCGATGGGTGCGATCGCACCCCTCCCCCTTAACAATAAAAATAAAACCCTGAGAAAGAAGAAGAAAGGAGCTTTAAAATGCTGCTTAGGCCACAATCATACCCTCCTGACTGAAAACCGAAATCTTTTTGGCGATCGCACCCCCTCCCCCCTGATTGAAAGCTGGCTACGCCCCTGATATCTGTTTTTGGTCATCAATACAAGTATATTTATATGGTGAGGATTTATGGGTTTTGATAACAATAGGCTTTATATATGTATAACTAATCCAAATTCATGTTGTATCATGTTGGCTATATCGTTTCAAGTGAAGAATTGGCTTTGTTTGAGCAGAGACATATAAAATATATATATATAGCATCTTGATTACAGTAAAGACAGGTCATCTAGGAATTATTTCTGCCTCTCATTCCTTAAACCGCTTCGTTGAATAGTGCCAAAATATTTCAGTCAGAGCCTGAAACAAAACTATTTTTATATTTAAATCCCCTCACCTTGTCAATGTCTATGCCTGCATCTGGTTTTTCCCGTATACACATAGATTACTTACTTGCCATGGACAGGGGGGGAGGGGCACAGGAACGAACAATCTGGGGCCTTTAAAGATAATTGGGGAAGGGGAAGGGGAGATGGTGAATAGTGAAGTCCGAGAGTGAAGTTAAGGGGTACTGAAATCTTTCTTTTGATATTTAGTGCTTGAATGGAGACTCCTTTCTACTCCCCGCACTCTAGTAAAATTTAAATATTTGATCCAGAGGAGTTATTTAGTATCAAACTTGCATTCCTATTAATTAACACTCCCATGATTGTACCGCTTCACTATTGTCTGAGATAATGTAATTATAATGAATTCACGGGACACTATAGTCTTCCTTTTAAACTTTAGTGGTTGGATCAGAGACATAAAGACAATTATAAATATTTGATTTAGGGAGGTATTTGCAATCCAACTCTGATGATACAAGACTAGTCAGCCAAGACTATATTATGAACTTATTTATCATTTAGACTATTAAGTTCATTAAATTATTATTCCATAGATATCGCATTTAATCCTGTCAACACAATCGTGGTATTAATTGGCATGATATTTAATCAGAGAGACGGTTTAAAAAGTTGTTTAGATTAATAATTAAGTATTAGGAAAATCCTAATTCAAAGATTTTGTTCTCTCGCAATCCAATGCAAACCCCTCACCGGACAAGCATTCTTTAAAAATGTGAAGTTTTCACCGTGTTGAGCAGTTTTGACATTGTCCATTTTGAACCATCGCCTTGTATATTTTTATAACTGCCCTGAAATCACGACAACCGTGATTCCCAACTACGGCACACAAATAGCCGTTATGGAAAATAGAAACATCGAATTTTGAAATGGGTTAAAATATCGCAGTCTTACGTTGTCTCCGTTAACAATGTAGCTTTCATATTAAGACATATTGATTTCAGTTAATTAAAAGTGCCCCGTGTTTTTGCAAGCATGTTATAAATGCTAAAACTAAAATATATCTGTCAACTGCTGCACTAATCACTTCTGGTGACTTATTATGAAAAATCATATATTAATTCATTACAACTTTCAAATGTCAAAACTTAATTTATTGATACCCGCTTCTATTAAAACACTCAATATGTCTATGTCAACAAGATAGTGTCAACACGCTGTGTCAAAAACATGTGACATAATGTAAACAAATTATACGCAAGAGCAGAGAAGTGTTTCATCCAGTATAATATGTTTTTCCCAGTTGAAACAGATGGAATATAACAGCTGATAACAAATTAAAACAAATTATACAAGTATCAGAGGAGAAACTCCAAAATTGTCCGTATCATTCATTGTTATAATTATGTCTTATACATAAACCTATGATAACAGGTAGGGCTGGCACGGAACGGAACAGAATCGGAACGGAACGGAACGGATTTCGGAACTTGGCTTCGGAATTCGGAACTTTCGGAATTTCGGACCTTATATAAAATAGTTCCTACTTCTCCCCTTAAGTTCTCATTTTTGTCACCATTGGAACAGCAGTGTACATCTACATATATATAAGTTGTATTATGTTTATTAAATACAAACACTAACACTATATAACTGCCAGAACAAGTGGCATAAATGTTCAAAACTAATGGCAAAATGTTAATGTCCTTGCCTTCTTGGCACCTTGGCACACAACTGTTACTGTCTTTCTTTCAATAATAATCTTTTCTTATAGGTACAGAATATATATAAAACAATCATACTTTATTTATTTCTATCATTTATTACATATAAAACAACTTTACCAAGTGAAAATGTTTAATAATTATACATAATACTAGTTCGCTATAGCGAGTTAGCGTGTCGGTATAACGATAAGTGAATGTTCTTTAAGGAAATAAAAGTTCCGAAATTTATGGAATATGACAAGGTAGGTCCGAAATTCCGTTTCCGAAGGCAAAATCGGACGGTTCGGACAATAATTCCGTTCCGTGCCAGCCCTAATAACAGGTTAAAACGAATTAAAACAACTGATATTTATGTTTCATAGGTTTATGATATTGTATTAATCATGGGATCATGCTAATTACCGACCCTGATACCTTAGTAACAAATCCACAAATCCTCTCAAAGCCAAGCACAACAGTTGGATGTACATTTGAGCCTAAAAGGGCATCAGTACAAATAAAATCCTTTTTTATATTGTACTGATTAAATTAAAATGATTTATATTGATTGAACTTAACTTATTCTCACTCATAATATCAAAGTAACATAATATGTCATTTTAAAGAGGCTCTGTGCCATGGGATAGCACAATCAAGACCCCTCTGGACTTTTTGCATATTGAGTTTCACCACATATTCACCCATCTACTTACCGTAGAAAAAGTCCCAAATCCCCCTCTTTCGGTGTAAATTTTGCAATTGTGCTGGCCGATCTAATTATTTTCGCGGAAATTAATTCAATCTGAAGTTTGAATATACCGGGAAAGTCCTTCTGTTTTGTGATTGGTCGCTGAATTTGTTTATCATGAAGCTGATTGGCTGCCTAGTTCAAGGTGCTTGTGTGACTCAATGGGGATTCCCCTCGCTAGCCGAGGAATCGATTGTGTTTAATTCTAGAGGTTGGTTGTTCTGTTGATTATTTCAATATTTCAGCAATAATATACCCAAAAGTTATTCTCAAGATATATCCATGGTATGTGAGATATTATATGAGCAATAACAACAGGACATCATTGATTGTCTGAGAGAGAAACCTATGGTATAATGCATCTTTAAGAATTAGATTGAACACCTCATCAGGCTTATATTATAAGTTTATATCATTTTTATTCATATTAGCTTTTATTATTCAGTTCTTGAGTGCTTGTAAACACATAAGCAGGCAATGATCATTTTGGCTATAGATTAATCTCTTTTTGTCTCACTCACTAATACGGAACTTTCCAGAGGGGGACTGTTTGTTTAAATTAACATGTATATTGTATTCTATAGCAAAGTTGTAGCATGTTCATCGGCGAATCTGGGGGGGGGAAATTAAGCCAAAAAAACTTAGGGCAAAAAAGGTGGGCCTCTATGGGCATTATCAGGCCAAATTTTGAAGAAAATGGGCCTGAAATTTTTTATCAGACTTGAAATTTGCCCCCCCCCCCCTTGTTGGTTTCGAGATCCACCCCTGATGTTTGTGGTATTGCTATTGGTTGTTATAATTTTCAAAAGTAGAATGAACATATTCCATTGATACTCTTTGAAACTCTCACTTATATGCAGCTTATAAATATATATCAGTTTTCTTAAAATACCAGTCTTCTCTTTTTAACATTGTCTTTTTTTATTTTTTATTTATTTATTTGGAAAACGCTTTTAGAGCAGCGGCACTCAATCGGTGCATCCAATACATCATGTATCAAATATAAATGGGATAAAACATATCATGCAAAAGGCCACAAAGTTGTTCAACGAAATTGACTAAAAACTTGTCGAAACATTTCTCTAAAAGAAAGTTAAGTACAAATGGAATGATTCTCTATATCCCATACTAAAAACAACCAGAACAACGGCAACGCCGAAGCGTAGCGAATCCCATCGAACAGAAATGGCTGGCATTTTTACAAACGAAATATATATAGCAAATATCATAAAACAACACACCAGAAAGGCCACCATTTTCAAAATGGTTGCTCACTAGCCAAGTTGTCATCAGAAGAAATAATATGCTTTTAAGTAGCCACCTATAGAATTTTTAAAAAATCGCACACATGTACTTGTAAAATAACACACATAAAAATGGTGGCCATTTTTCAAAATGGCCGACTACTCCCCAAAGTTTTATTAGACAATGTGCCATGCTATAGAGTATTCACATATCAAATATGAACAAAAAATCGCTCCACTACTTTTCGAGTTATAGTAAAAAGTGTAAAAATGACAGCCATTTTTTAAAATGGCCGCCTACTATCCGAAGTGTCATGAGACAGTGTGCAAGGCTAATGAGTATTCACATATCAAATATGAACAAAATCGCTTCACTACTTTTCAAGTTAAGGTATGAGTACCGTAATCCAACACCAAATTCGAAAATTCATAACAATACTTTGCACATATGGCGTTCGTGACCAACTATAAAACGCTTACCCCCCATAGTGTTATATATCAAAATGTACCTGTTCATATAGGGGTTCGATTGATCTACATCAAATTATAGGGAGTCAGGTTACTTTTTGAGATATCAGCGTCCATTTATTGTGACTCGCGTTTGCTACCACTTCCTCAATTCTGATATGATGGGCAAACGCGTAGTAAGCATGCTCACGTCGGAACTATTTTTGACCTACATCGCTATTTTCGTAATTCAAATGAAAGTTGAACTCCTCCTCTTTATTTTGATACCAAATAGTGGCATACTAGGTACCCTAGAAGCCAACTATGGCGTTATTTAGAACAATACCACGAGTTTTTAAATGGACTATATAGGGGTCATACCTTTTGGCGGATGGATATGGAACCTCATACCTTAATGTGTTATGACATCACACTGATTTTTGTCTCTGCAACTTTTTTTGGCAGAAAATATCATTTCTAGTTCAAAAATGCATAAAAACGTCGGAAATGGCTGAATATGTGAAAAATTTATCCATTTAGGCTAGAAAGGGTTAATTTGCCCTACCCCAAATACGTCTAAATATGCTAGTCTAACTTTGCCACTGTGACGTCACAAATCTAACCTGACTATCTCTGAGTTTATTGAAGAAAATGATACGTCTGACAAACAGCTTTCATTCCCTATATGGCACACCTTCTACTAAGAGTTGCATCATTGACTAAATCTAAGACAAATGCCCTGTGTCCCGAGGATTTTGACTGAAATTTGGCCATTTTCGCCCAAATCTAACTAAATTGCAGTTTCCCTCACACCTGTATTTTGAAATAAATATTGCTACAATGTAGCAATTTAAAAATCACACATGCTTACTGTTTCTGTCGACATGACACGTGTATCTAGCCCGTAAAATGAAAAATCGCTACATTGTAGCAATTTCACTGAGATATGGGCCCTGAAAATCATGTAATTTTAGCAAAAAATGAAGAAATAACCTGCAATTTTGACGCAATTTCAGAGGGCTTTCTTTCATTCCAGACCCTCCACGGGCCTCTTATGACCATTCTTATACTCACAGAATGGTTGAAAGTGATTTCAAATCATTGTTTGCCCTACGCAGAACGAAAAAATCGATTCTGTTCTCAAATTCTGCTAGAATATTGGTCTCTGGCCAACTAGCAGACAATTTTAGGCCTCATATTAAGGTATGAGTACCGTAATCCAACACCAAATTCGAAAATTCATAACAATACTTTGCACATATGGCGTTCGTGACCAACTATAAAACGCTTACCCCCCATAGTGTTATATATCAAAATGTACCTGTTCATATAGGGGTTCGATTGATCTACATCAAATTATAGGGAGTCAGGTTACTTTTTGAGATATCAGCGTCCATTTATTGTGACTCGCGTTTGCTACCACTTCCTCAATTCTGATATGATGGGCAAACGCGTAGTAAGCATGCTCACGTCGGAACTATTTTTGACCTACATCGCTATTTTCGTAATTCAAATGAAAGTTGAACTCCTCCTCTTTATTTTGATACCAAATAGTGGCATACTAGGTACCCTAGAAGCCAACTATGGCGTTATTTAGAACAATACCACGAGTTTTTAAATGGACTATAGGGGTCATACCTTTTGGCGGATGGATATGGAACCTCATACCTTAATGTGTTATGACATCACACTGATTTTTGTCTCTGCAACTTTTTTTGGCAGAAAATATCATTTCTAGTTCAAAAATGCATAAAAACGTCGGAAATGGCTGAATATGTGAAAAATTTATCCATTTAGGCTAGAAAGGGTTAATTTGCCCTACCCCAAATACGTCTAAATATGCTAGTCTAACTTTGCCACTGTGACGTCACAAATCTAACCTGACTATCTCTGAGTTTATTGAAGAAAATGATACGTCTGACAAACAGCTTTCATTCCCTATATGGCACACCTTCTACTAAGAGTTGCATCATTGACTAAATCTAAGACAAATGCCCTGTGTCCCGAGGATTTTGACTGAAATTTGGCCATTTTCGCCCAAATCTAACTAAATTGCAGTTTCCCTCACACCTGTATTTTGAAATAAATATTGCTACAATGTAGCAATTTAAAAATCACACATGCTTACTGTTTCTGTCGACATGACACGTGTATCTAGCCCGTAAAGAGAAAAATCGCTACATTGTAGCAATTTCACTGAGATATGGGCCCTGAAAATCATGTAATTTTAGCAAAAAATGAAGAAATAACCTGCAATTTTGACGCAATTTCAGAGGGCTTTCTTTCATTCCAGACCCTCCACGGGCCTCTTATGACCATTCTTATACTCACAGAATGGTTGAAAGTGATTTCAAATCATTGTTTGTTCTACGCAGAACGAAAAAATCGATTCTGTTCTCAAATTCTGCTAGAATATTGGTCTCTGGCCAACTAGCAGACAATTTTAGGCCTCATATTAAGGTATGAGTACCGTAATCCAACACCAAATTCGAAAATTCATAACAATACTTTGCACATATGGCGTTCGTGACCAACTATAAAACGCTTACCCCCCATAGTGTTATATATCAAAATGTACCTGTTCATATAGGGGTTCGATTGATCTACATCAAATTATAGGGAGTCAGGTTACTTTTTGAGATATCAGCGTCCATTTATTGTGACTCGCGTTTGCTACCACTTCCTCAATTCTGATATGATGGGCAAACGCGTAGTAAGCATGCTCACGTCGGAACTATTTTTGACCTACATCGCTATTTTCGTAATTCAAATGAAAGTTGAACTCCTCCTCTTTATTTTGATACCAAATAGTGGCATACTAGGTACCCTAGAAGCCAACTATGGCGTTATTTAGAACAATACCACGAGTTTTTAAATGGACTATATAGGGGTCATACCTTTTGGCGGATGGATATGGAACCTCATACCTTATAGTAAAAACGTAAAAATGGTGGCTATTTTTCAAAATGGCCGCCTACTACCCAAAGTGTCATTAGACAGTGTGCCATGCTTATAGTATTCACATATAAAAATGAAACATACCAAATATGAACAAAATCGCTGAACTACTTTTCAAGTTATAGTAAAATACGTTAAAATGGGGCCATTTTTCAAAATGGCCACCTACCAAAAGTGTCATTAGACAGTGTGCAATGCTTATAGTACTCACATATAAAAAAAGAAACAAACCAAATATGAACAAAATCGCTGAACTACTTTTCAAGTTATAGTAAAATACGTTAAAATGGGGCCATTTTTCAAAATGGCCACCTTCTACCAAAAGTGTCATTAGACAGTGCAGGCCTGTCAACTTGGGAACACCTAACATGAGTAACTTGGAAATGTTGAACACCTCCCCTCTAAATGTGGACACCTTGGTCCAAATCTGAACACCTTGATCCAAATTTTGAACACCTTGGTTTAAATTTTATTACATCTTGCCAAATTTTGAACACCTCAAATTTTTCGCGCTCGCTACGCTCCCGTTTCATACATCCATCAACTGGGGGGGGGGGGGTGGGGGGGTACGAAAAATTTCGAACGGAATGCGTGACATATACGTGATTCACGTGAAATGTCCGAACGAAATGCGTACTTTTTTTTTCGGCGTTCGTATTTTTGCTGTGTAGACGTACTATTTTAGAAATTTTTCTACAGAAATATTTTTGCTTGACAATTACCAGTAAAAAATGCGTATTTGCGTGACATTTTCTGTCACGCAAAAATAACTGGCGTGACTTCAAATTCTTCAGCAAATGTGTGACAAATACGCAAATTGCGGGACAGTTGACAGGCCTGGACAGTGTGCCATGCTTATAGTATTCACATACCAAATATGAACAAAATCCCTTCACTACTTTTCGAGATATAGTAAAATACGTTAAAATGGCGGCCATTTTTCAAAAAAATTTTCAAAATGGCTGCCTTCTACCAAAAGTGTCATAGGACAGTGTGCCATGCTTATAGTATTCACATACCAAATATGAACAAAATCGCTCCACTACTTTTCTAGTTATAGTAAAATACGTTAACATGGCGGCCATTTTTCAAAATGGCCGCCTTCTACCACAAGTGTCTTTAGACAGTGTGCAATGTTTATAGTATTCACATACCAAATATGAACAAAATCGCTCCACTACTTTTCGAGTTACAGCAAAAATCGTAAAACAACGAGTAAAGGCCGCCATTTTTCAAGATGGCTGTCATGTGCTTTTATATCTACATTTGTAGCTTTATTAATGTCCTTTATAATTATTTTAAATTTAAAACATGTTGCTATTACAGTTTTACATATTGCACCTAAATTACTGTAAAATCGGCACTAAAATGGCCGCCATTTTGAAATGAGCGGTCATTTTGAAAATCAGCTTTCGAGCAGAACTTCTACTCCCATAGGGTATATGTGTACAAAATATGAACAAAATCGGACCAACGGTATTTGAGTTATTGCCCGGACGGACGTACGTACGTACGGACGGACGGAGGCATTCCCTATATCCCTCCGAACTTCGTTCGATGGGATAATAAATAGGGAAAATGGGTAATCTCGTCATTACTGAGATGGCCCCCTAATAACATGAATAACACTCCATCATCACAGATAATCAAACCACAAGTGTGAGTAATCCTTTCATATACAGTACCACTGTCAGCTGAGCAACACAGAATCCCAAAGAGCTCCAAAGACTTCCAGAACAGCTTTGCACTCATATTACAGATAGTAGTAAGTAATTGTATATCCTTAAGTACAGATTAGAGAGTTTAACACTTACAGCTTTTAGCTCCTACTGGTTTATATACCACAGGAGAGAAAAGAAACAAGATGCTAACACAAATGCAGAGGATGCATGAGTAAAGATGTGTTAAATATTTAGTCTACGAGAAAAGTTACATGTTCACATGATACATTTACCTATAGGACCTTCATACAGGAAGAGAGGGTATCATTTCAGGTGAGTTTCAAGTAAATGTTGTTTTTAAGGATGAAGCAATATTGCTACAAACAATGCTTTTATCATGTTCTATGAAATGTAGTTTTTAGCCCAGTCTTACAAGTTTATGTTTGTTTATTAAACTTATTCATCAAAGGTGGATCATCACTGAGAGCCTCTCGCTCTCATAAATCACTTGATACTCAATCTCTTTGATTTTGCTTCATTATCAATGGCAATCAATAATAATTATCAATTGAGACACCAAGTATCATAATAATTACTGTTGATTTTTCAAATAATTGGTGTTTTTTCTGAGCTCCGCCTTGTTGCGTCACTGGTTACCATGGTAACAAAAGTAATAGGATAATGATGTCATAGAACAAGGAAATCTTCATGGTGTGATCCTATATATTTGGATTATATTATGTGAAAAATCACTAAGAAAGGATAAAAAATGGTAAAAATAGAGCCAACAAACCAGAAATTCCTGATCACCTCTTTATATTTTACTATCTTAGTTGCAATGTATCTTTTGTTCATTTTTTTAATTTTGCGTGAGTGTGATGCTTCATTTTTAAAATGTATTTAATCTACTATTTCCTTTTTGGGTAATGTTTCTGTGACGAAGTCATAGCTGACCTCGTTGGTCAGTTTACTTATTTCACTTCACATCAGTTGATGTCATAATGATCTTTTTCTGTTACTCATGTTTATAATTATTGCGTTATTTTGATTAGTTTATATTTGTATTATAACAGTTGTTTTAGTGATCTTTGAACCCAGTGTGATATTTCACAATATCAACAGTTTAATTTCCAATGTTTTATCATCATATTAGAGCAGTTTTAGACATGAAATATTTCTAGAGCCAATCAAATGAAAGGATTATTCTTGAGACATGAGTGACAGACAATATTATATGGAATCAGCTGATGTGAAATTTTGTAATGCTTAGTTACAGTGTAGGCTGTTTATAAGTTCCGATAGTTTTTGGCATTATCTTGAAGACTGCAAATTTCTGATAAACAAAGTAAAAAGCAATTACATTTAAAGACCTGGAGTACAGCTGACCAAAACATCAATACTGCTTTGCAAATGTTTATACCTTTATTATCTACATCACATTTTACGAATAATTGTGTACTTTTTAGGGGGAAAATTTACTTATAAATATGTGTTTCAGACATAAATTAGATAATGAATTCAATTAGACAATTAGATTAAACATCCAGAGTTCATGAGACGAGGCTCAGAGGTTTTGTCTAGACATTCCTTTCTCACCAAAATCTTCCAAATTCTCAGATTCTCAGTAAACATTCAAGCTTTGTGGGCAGAAAATCATCACTATTTCTTATTGACATTTTATTAAATTAAACATTTATTTTTAGGCCAATTTTAGTTAATAAGATTTTCTTATATTTTATTGGATAAGACCTCTTATTTCGGCTCTGCCCACCTCAAAATTAAGATATAAAAGAGGCATTTTTGGCATTGAAACCTCAGAACCTCGTTGCGTGAACTCGTGACTAACCAAAAACTGTAAGTAGCCGATTGAAATGATATTTTTTTACTTTAACTTTTCTTTAATAAATTAATATTTTAAACTATAAAATGTTTTCATGTTTTGTAAAAGATAGAGAGACTCAACTCCGCCACATTTCTTCTTGTGATCTTTTTTATGTTTAATTTGTACTTCTGTCTACAAGATGTCAGCGATGAAAGAACAGGAAGGTGTGGAATATACAAATACAAAGACAGTAGAGCAGTCTTATGAGAATAACCTTGCTGTACACCAGCCAGGAATGTCATATGAAGATATGGTTGATGGCTATAGCAAATGGGCTGAAACAGGCGGATATGACGAGGTCAGTCTTAATTTTGAATTTAATGGGTTTTAAGGAACATCATTTTCACCTGTAGAATAGCAAATGCTGGAGTGTCTATCATGAATTGTAGCCGAGTGTACCATTACAGGAGCTTAGCCAGCTTTCAGTCAGAGGGGGAGTTCAATGGCCCAAAAAATTTCAGTTTTCAGTCAGGGGGGTGGGATTGTGGCATAACAAGCCAAAAATAAGATTTATTTTGAATTTTACAAAAATTGATGCAACTTCCTTCAAAATTGAGCTAGAAGCTTCAAATAAAAATCATTTCAAAGCTCTTTTTTTCTTTCTCATGGTTCTATTTGTTATTTGGTTCTATTTGTTTATTGGTTATAGGGGGGGTGCGATTGCACTCATCACACCCCCCCCCCTGGCTACGCCTATGCAGTACTACCATTGGTTCCATATTAAATTCATGTTTTTATCATTTTAATTGCTAAATAATTGTTGACGTCAAATTAAGCTTCGGCAATGTAATAAGGATGAGCCTGGTGAGGTTTTTAGAAAATAAAAAAAATTCAAAAATAATCCCAATTACTGTTCATTCTACTTATAGCTTGATAGTATTATAATAAGCATTCCAAAACAACCTAAAATTATTAAATAAGCAGACTGCCAACACCAAAGACAGACTTTAGTCAAAAATGGTGACATAAAAACAACAGATATCAAAAAGTAAATTCTATAATTTCAGGACTTGAAAAAAGGTGTCTATAATGGGCCAACTTATGCTGCTGAGACAGTGAAGAAAATGATTCCCTGTAAGACTGCTAGAATCATAGATGTGGCTGCAGGAACTGGGAAAGTAGCAGAACATGTAGGTAGCATTGTACCACATTGGAGTCATTTCAAATCTCCTTGCATCGATTGTTATTTGCTACATTTAAATTCCCAATAATGCCAAATACGAAAAAATAGACGCAAAAAACTAAGTAGTTGGTCAAATAGTTTATTGTACCTAACTAAACTAAAACAATAAACTACAATAGAAGTTACATAATATTATAATGCGTTAATTAATAGATGTTACATAATAATACAATAGAAAATACATAACAGTACATTGCATTAAATTGCTACATTTGCAGTGCTATTTGTTTTGATAACTCCAGTTGAGGAATGTTACATAGTAAAGTTGTTTTATCTTGGTTATTTTAGTTGAAACTACATGGCTATGAAAACCTGGATGCATTAGATGGATCGTCTGGGATGCTAAAAGTGGCAAGAGACAATCGACTATACAAAAACTACATTTTAGCAAGATTTGAAGCAACAGGGACCCCTATATTGGATGGTAGGAAAACTAGAAGTCATAGGCCTGCATACAAGCTGAAAAAACTAGCATTTTGTGAAGCTCTAGCTAAGTACCAATGCTATTTCTGCCTGGTATACAGGACTAACTGATCAAAGAATCCATCAATCAACATATATTATAATGTTAAAAAACTCAACTTCATTTAAACTTCAGAGTATAATGGTTTATTTTCGACGTTCCAGATCCATATGATGGTCTGGTGATATCTGATATTGATTTGACTGTACTGTTGAATGTTCCAATATGCAATATAACTATAATATTCCAGATATGATGGTCTGTTGATATCTAATATTGATATGACTGTACAGTTGACCAATATAACTATAATATTCCAGATATGATGGTCTGGTGATATCTAATATTGATATGACTGTACAGTTGAACAATATGACTATGATATTCTAGACACATATGATGGTCTGGTGATATCTGATATTGATATGACTGTACAGTTGAACAATATGACTATGATATTCTAGACACATATGATGGTCTGGTGATATCTGATATTGATATGACTGTACAGTTGAACAATATGACTATGATATTCTAGACACATATGATGGTCTGGTGATATCTGATATTGATATGACTGTACAGTTGACCAATATAACTATAATATTCCAGATACATATGATGGTCTGGTGATATCTGATATTGATATGACTGTACAGTTGACCAATATAACTATAATATTCCAGATACATATGATGGTCTGGTGATATCTGATATTGATATGACTGTACAGTTGAACAATATGACTATAATATTCCAGATATGATGGTCTGGTGATATCTGATATTGATATGACTGTACAGTTGAACAATATAACTATAATATTCCAGATACATATGATGGTCTGGTGATATCTGATATTGATATGACTGTACAGTTGACCATTATGACTATAATATTCCAGATACATATGATGGTCTGGTGATCTCTGGGGGTATGGGAGAGGGCCACATTCCAGCAGAGGCACTGCATGAAATGGCAAGAATTGTAAAGACAGGTATATTGAACATTAATCATCATTGTTTGATATATCATTTTATTGTTGGGTAATATTGCATCAAATGATTTACGTGTAATGGCATTCTTTATTATTCAAAATAATTGCTAATCATAGATGGTAAAATAATCTTTAAACATCTCATTAGAAAACCAATTTATGATCAAAATAAAGTTCATTTTATATACACTCTCGCTTTTAATTCCTTCAAGCATGTGACAGTATTTGATAGAATGCCGGTATTAAATCATAATCATTTTTGTAGGAGGCATGATTATCATAGTGATGCGAGAGGAATACCTCACATATGTAGAAGGATACAAGGATGGAGAACTTGAAAGAATCATGGACAGATTAGAGGAAAATCAGAAATGGAAAAAAGTTTCTCGAAATGTTGTCTCAAATTATTCCTTTAACAAAAATGGAGTGGTATTCACCTTCAGAGTTCTATAAATTCATGGACAATACTATATATTGGAGCATATTACATGAAAAATCGTATTGTCCCTGGGAAAAATTGTATTGGAGCGTACTTTGAAATTTAACTTCAAACAATGTGCATTTATTTATAAAATGGTTGCATTATCCAAATGTAACATTTTAGAGGGATATATTATGGAATAAATAGGTTATTTCTGGTTGGGATTGAATATGGGTTTTATTCCTCGGAAAATATGATATTGACCTTGGGCAATATCATATTGACAATTGATCGCTGCGCTCCCTTGATCAATAATATATTACCCTTCTGTCAATATCATATTGTCCCTCGATATAAAACCCATATTCAATCCCTCCCAGTAAATAACCTACATGTATATATATCGGTGATAGTGTAGGATTTTAAATTCAGGATTTTATAATGAGGCTATCTTACTTTTATTTTAATGCTTAAATTATTGTAGATTGATTTATCTAACTTATACATACACTGCTATTTTTTCATTATCAATAAACAAAATGTAAGGCATCTGTGTAGACTTTGTTAGAACTGTCAAGAATTGACATCTAAGGGATGATGTCATTATAAATTAATATCATTTAATATGTTCATAACCTTGTGCGGAGGCTGTTTTTTCAAAATATAATAAATTATACATGTTGTAAAAAATGTATATCAGAACACCACTCTAATCTGAATACCTCTCAATCTGAATGCTTTTCCTTACTCCCATTTTGTTAATCATATTTAACAGACCCATAGCCCCCCCCCCCCTGGCCAAAAAAGGGCCATTTTTGGACCATAATTGTCACAAGTGACCCCCCTGGAATTTTTGAAAAAGTGAACCCCCTTGTCAAATCCTGGTTATGGGTCTGTTTAATTCATACTTCCATGTTAAAGAGACTCAAATTGTGAACACCTGTCAACACTTTTGGCCAATTTCGGTGAATTCGGATCAAACATGTTTTACAATATCATACTCTATGAGGCCCTTGGTGCATAAACAACTAGACTTTGGAAATTGAACGAAGTTCAATTTCAGACTCCAGATCTAGACTTTTTTAAGCCCAGTCATCTAAAATAAGCCAAGTCATCCAGAATAAGCTGAGTCATCCAGAATAAGATGGATGGATAAAATAGGAAGGTAGGATAGGATAGAATGGGAAGGAACAATAGGATAGAATAGGAAAGAAGGATAGGATAGAACAGAATAGGAAGAAAGGATATGATAGGAGAGGATAGGAAGGATAGGAGGGAAAGGATACAAAGGAAGAATAGATAGGAAGGATAGGATAGGATCAGATAGGAAGGATGGATGAATTTTTCAATATTTTCTTCTCTACTCTTGACTTTCTATCAGGACACCATCAGATCGATTTTCCGAAATTTCAAAACGCCATAACTTCCGAACCAGAATTCGGATCTAAATTTGATTTAAAGATTCGGATTCCTGACAAAATTCTACCCCTAATTCATAACTCATACGTTAAATTGGGCGAATCTTTATTTTGACCTACTTTTTGGACACGCCATAACTTCGGAACCGGAAGTCAGATCGAAATTTGGTTTGCAGATTCAGATTTCTGAGGAAATTCTATTATTAATTCATAACTCATACTTTTCGGACACCATATCTCAAAAGTGGGTCAAAATACTTTCTGACGGCAAAAGGCTAACACTATTAGCACACTCTTGGTTACATGTATACACAATTTCAAAGAATATAATTGAAGTGTAGTTTCAGAATCGCAAAAATAAGGAAAACCTTTGAATTTGACCTAGATTTTGACCTAGGCATTTTGGTGTCCAAATTTTGAAGCTAGATGGCTTTTGAGGTCCCTTCTTTTGAAAGCTTTCATTAAATTAAGCTGAACTCAGTCTATATTTCGAATTTTTCACTTCAAAAAAATCTTTTTTCCCATTGACTTAACATGGGCACCAAATTTAGCGATTTTTGAGCTTTTAAAACGCCATAACTTCCGAACCGGTAATTGCATCGAAATTTGGTTGGCAGATTCGGATTCCTGATAAAATTCTACTCCTAATTCATAACTCATACATTGAATTTGGAGCACGTTTTGGTGTGACCTACTTTCTGGACGCCATATTTCAAAATCGGTAAGAGTAATCAAAAAACGGGTGGCACACTTATGAAAGGGCTGTTTGTAAGCTACAGGATGAAAAAAAGATGAAGACGTTTCGAGAAATAACGACGAAGATAATAGACAGAAGGTTGAAAATGTAAGATTTGACCTAGTTCTTGACCTTTGACCTAGATAAAAATTTGACCCAATTTCCCACCAACTAGATACTGAACCTAAATGAACTGTATAATGCACTTTACTGGATACCTTATAGTTATTGAAAAAACTCAAAAAGAAAAATAAGAATAATAAGAAGAATACTGGCAAAAACAATAGACTCCAGATTTTCAATCTGGAGTCTAATAATAATCACTGTACAATAAAATAAGAAGGTGGTATGACATTGTCTACTCAGAAAACTCTGCCTTCTAGCCCATAAATAATGAGATCATAGAACTCACCGCTCCAAGTCCTCTTCCCTTCTTCTTCAGCTCGCCCTCCAATTGCATGATTTTCCCCACATGATCTCTGTTCTCCTTCCGAGCTGCCTCCAGTTGACGCCTCAACTCCAAAATCGCATTCTCCGTCTTCTGGTCAGAAATATCAGTTCCCTTGAAAATAATTCATTTTTATGAATTGTTGCTTATCTATACCATGAGCCTGAATAAACTGTAGGTCTGCTTATACATAATTGCTTTCCATGTAGCAAACGTGTAATTTCCATATTCAAATAATGTTTGAACAAAAATGCAGTAAAAGGGGAAGAAAACAGAAACAAAATATACACTTTCTGTCACATTGTTATCATAAGTATATAAATATTTTTAATGGAACAATTTTAAACTAACTAGTATCTGTATATTAAATACCATTACTATGCTGAATAAAAAAAAACTATCTATTAGTAAGGAAAATCTGACACAGTATGACACAATTTGGAAAATCTGACACAGTATGACACAATTTGGAAAGTGATTCAACAATTTTTATCCATTGATATAAGTATTCATAAATGTTAAATCAGAGAAATCCATGATAATCAAAATCAAAATGAGTTGGTAATCAAATAATCTAATAATGCATATGAAAATTACAAATATGGAAGAATAATATCATGTTACTTACATCATAGATACCTTTCCTTGGTTTACCATCTGGGTAGAATAAATCTTTATTTGGTTCACCCCTCTTGGGACGGACCTTTAATTTACCATGTTTGGACTTCTTCCCTTCAGTTTTCGTGCGATCTTTAGTGCGTTTTGTATCTGCATTAGCCTTAGGACCATCTTCACCATCGGAATACTAAACCAATATGTTTTATACATGTATAAAGTACATTAAATTAATTAATTGCTCAGACTTCAGACTTCAGACTTCAGTTCAGATATTTGGAGTGGGTGAGAAACAATACACATACAAATACATTTTCAAACATGTACTCTAGAACATGAAATAAACTGTAAAGAAACAATTCTAATGAATGAAAAGTATTTTCATTTTATGGATTTGATCGAGTGGTCTGTACTGTGTTATCTGGCTACAGTAGTCGTTAAAAGGTATTGTAACTTAGTTAGAGGTGGTGAGATTATTCTATTCTGTGCAACATAGCAAATTAACAGATAAGATAAGCAAGATAACTTACATATGTTTCAACTCCCAGTTGGTTCTTGATCTCCTGTAGTTCATGTTCTAGATCAGCTATGTGATCTTTCTGTTGTTTTAATTCAGGCTCATGATTGCAGCCACCTTTGCCCTTAGCCTGAAAGTAAAACCATCCAGCACTTGCAAATATCTTCTGTACATGCAGGGGGTATTAGATGCTGATTCGTTCCACATTGTAATTATGATTTGGGATAGTTGGGGTATGTTTTCCTTATGACTGGTAATTACTCCAGCGACGTAACTAGGATTTTGACTAAGAGGTCTCGCATAAGCCTGGTTATGTGTCTGTTCTCTTAGATGTTTTATTTTAGTTTCTGTATTCTTTAACAATTTTTGGTACTTTTGGATACATATTCATGCTGAGTGAAACAAAATCTGTTTCAAGTGTATGTGAATATACAATGTAGTACAATATATTCTCTATGTGCTTACCTGTTGAGTTGAAACTCCTGGCCTGAGATTTGAAGCTTTGGCTATTGGCTTCTTTTTGAACTTCTGAGCATTCTTCTTAATTTGTTCAATCTTCTGACCTCCTCTTGGGACCTTCTTAACCTGAAGGGATAATATACAATACAATTTGAAACAGATTTATTTCTCAAAGAATGGCAAGGATAGTTTAAAGCATCTACAATGCCTAAGACATATTGTTGGTATTAAACTAAGTTTGAATTTCAAATTGGAAAATTGGGCTTCGTGAGACACCACCTTCTGACTAAATAACCGCCTAAAAATCACAGGTCTCCATTTACAACAAATAAGAACTGAAGAAAAGGTACACGTAGCTCAACCAGGAAAATCACTCATGAATTCAGAATAGAAAGTGACAATACGGCACCATTCCTGAACCAGGTGATTTCTTACCAAGTATGGGAAAATAACATGTATAACTGGTCCATTCTGACACTCTCTGTTCCCGTAATGTCCCATGCCTCAGTTTGTCCCCCCCATAGATGTTCCTCCCCTCAGACTGGTCTCATTATGTCTTACCTCAGCCTCCAGCTGTTTAATCAGAGCATCTTTGTAGCTGAGGTCATCATTAGCAAGGTCAAGTTTGGTCTTTAGCTGCTTCACTACAAAAGGTGAACTACTGTCTGCAGATTTACTAGCTGCAGGTTGGGGCCGCTCCCTGGCACTCTTTACACGAATCTCTTCCACCTAAAACCACCAGTATAGACTGTAATACCATGGACTTCAAATCCTGTGGTGTAAATATCATAAAGTGTATTTGTCTGATCACAAAACTAGTTTGTAATAGCCATGAGCAAGAGCTTCATTGACATGTGAAATGTGTTTTTTTTATCCTGAATCAACATTGACTCAAGTCACACTACCACCTGACCATTGACAGAAGATTTTCTGATCTTAATGATCTCAAACGTAACTTTCATGGCCTTAAATGGTTAATGTGCACAGAATGATACCGATGTATAGGTAGAACATGTAGTGTTGTGTCGGTTTTGACAACATATTTTCTGATTGGACATTGTGTTGTTTTGTTTGAAAAATGTACCTTCTCTGCCTGTTGGGATAGCTTAAGTTCTTCCTCAAGTTGTTTGATGATGTCATCTTTTTCAGTAATATCTCCCTTTGCAGCTTCTAACTGGTCATTTATACCTTTCATCTCCTCATGGCTCTTACTCTGGAAAGTGCAAGTCAGTCAAAGTTCAACATACATGTACTTACTTTTAACTGTACATGTACATGTTACATGTTACAGATACTGAACATCAACATCAGAATGCCAAATGCCAACCACCAACCACAAAAAGTTGAGGACTAAAACAATATGTCACCAAAAAATGTAACAATATATCTGACACACTAGACTACACTCTTCTTACAAACAATCTTAAATGACTCACACATTGGGGGCAATCTTTCACGGTTTCTTCAAGCCTGGCCATGGCCTCTTGTTTCTCCTGTAGATCCCTGGTCAACATATCAGCCTCTTCCTTCAACTCTAAAACTACGAAGTTTACAATACATGTAATATCAACATCTTCTCTGAACTCCATGTGATTCAATTGTAGGTGGGTTGTGGTTTTAGTTGGGTGGGTTAATACAGTGCTGTTATATGAAATACTATGTTTGGATTGGCTGGAATCTGACACACCCTCCCTAGCTATGTGTGAATATAACTTCTCTTTGGTGCTTCCAAATTAAATATTATATACAGGGTGTTTCATACATGTATGTGTGCACCCCTCTAAACTCATACATGTAGCATTACCTACCTAGCTACCTACCATGTTATATATCATTTTGCTTTTAGAGGGGATGCATACATATGAAACACACTGTATATTCCTACATCATGGTAAGATGACATAACACACATGTGTGTCATTAATGCATGGTGGATTTTATCCAAATAAATCCCTGATGACAACAGAAATGTTGTCAAAGCACTTTATAACAAAGCAATTTAACCCAGCTGTGTAACAGGTAATATGTACAAATGTGACAAATAAACCATATACAATTCAAACCTTCAGGTTGAAATTCATCAATATATGAGACAAAAGTTGTCAATAAAGCCTTTTCACATCTTGTTCAATGCAATCACATTTTAAATTATGTCCAGAGTCCTTTGTTCTTACATACAGTACCTAAATATTGTTCAATCAGCTGTTGTATTAAGATACACCACTATTAACAACATTCATAAGAACTAATCATTTTATCCCAAATCAAAATTCTTCAATTTCTGATTTATTTGCAACCAATTATTCATTGAACAGGTATAGCAATATTTCATCCTTACCTGCAGCCTCTGCCAAGTCCAGCTTGCCTTCCAGTTCAGACCTATCATCTTCATTGGCCCCATTCTTATCATCACCCTGAGGAAAATATTTTATTTTAAGAGGTATGATTAATATAAAGAAAACAAGAAAACTGCTGTTTGAACTGGAAATGGTTGGACTGAAGGGAATGTTTATCAGAAATATTGTATGCAATCATTTACAAGCAAGATAACAAAAATATGAAAGGTTTTCAAAATTGCATCTGTATAGAAAGGACTATAATTATCAGGGCCAAGGTTGTGCACTCTGTGATCCTACAATGGGATAAAATTTATCATTTTGTCTGACACTTACACTGCTTGGTTCTCTCTGAGTTTTCTTAGCTGCATCAAGAGCTTTTCCAAGGTCTTCAATAAGTTGGCTTTGTTCATTAAGCTGATTGTTTGCTTCTTTCAGTTTATCTTCAAGATCTTGAGCGGACTCATCTGATTTTGGAAGGCTGCTAATAATGAGCTCAAGATCTTTACATTTCTGCTGAGCTTCCTCAAGTTCTCTTTGTAATTCTTCAGTATCATTGTTGTTGGCAATTTTATCCTTTAAATTAATACCAGTGTATTTGGAGCACTAATCAAGAATACGAATATGATGATTGTGAAAAATGATACAGGCATAGCTGTAATTTATCATATATAACATTTAACTACATCATTAAAATAATTAAAATCATTAAAAACACTTGAGCCTATTTCACAATAAAAAGAGAGCTTTTATCACAACTCTTAATTTTTAATTTACATTCTGTAAAAGTATTTTAAAACATTGTCAGTAGTTTTGGGGCGACTTGAAAAATCAACCTGACATTTTGGGGGGAAGCTCTTAAATGTTATTTTTAACAGATGTGAATTTCGACATTTTTTCTCCTGACATGCTCATTTCATAATAATATTCATAAGCCAAGTTAGATAATACATATTCCAGTAAAAATTCAAACTTACAGTATTATCATTAGAAGCATCTTCTCCATCTGTAACATGATATGTCTTGTGTAGATCCTTGATTTTATTTTCTAGCTTCAGGATTTTCTTGTCTCTCCTAGCAATGTCCTTCCTTGCTTCTTCCATTCTTTCTTTGATGTCAGATGCTGCCTCATTATCTTGTTCCATCAGTTTCAAAAGGGCTTGTAAATCTTCATTCTCCCCTTGCAAAGCTGCAACCTGCTCCATCAAGGCCTCCATCTCGATATTTTCCATATTTTTAGCCTAAGAAGCATCAAGTTCAATAACAATTTCAAGTAATATGGGATTTAAGATACACTTCTTTATGAACATGTAGAATGATGTCTTCTGTGGATTAATTTTCCCATTTGTACTGTTTACTTGACTGATTGAGTATATATGGAAAATAATTGTTATTAGGAAAAACATTAAGAGCAGGACAGCGATCCCTGGGGGTCAAAACATTACACATTCACATACAGGTTGTCTTAAGAACTTAACCTCCTAGGCCTATCCCTGGCATCTAACTTCACATAGACGGACTGGAGGCCTCATTATCAGTTGGTCGCAACGCAGAATCACATGCGTAATGCCTTGCAACGCATCGCAGCACAGATATTCAAACGGCAGGACGATTGCGCTCAACTGATAATATCACACAACTCAAGCGTTGCGTTTTGAGACCGCTGTCGCAGCGCAGACGCAACGCAGAAATTTTGTGATCAACTGATAATGAGGCCTCTGATCAACATTGAAAATTTGAAAACTTGATGTCATACACACCCATTGGATTATGTTCAAGTTGAAAATGATATAGTACAAACAGGGTATCTTAGTCTGAACTTTATTTGAATGAAGGACATAAACATTTTTGACGATATGAATGGATGTTCTAAAGACCTATATATTCCTCACCTGGCTAATATATGGTTCGTGTGACACAGGGACATCAGTTTCTGGCTTGTCATTAGAAGTGGCTTCACCAGCATCAAGTAGACTCTCAAGATGTTTAATAACTTTGTTCATCTTTTTGATTGTATCATCTTTATCCTTTGCATCTTTTCTAGCTTTGTCCAATCTATCTTTGATGTCAGTGGTATCCTTGTTGCTTTCCAGAAGTTTGTTTAGTGCTTCTAAATCTTCATTTTCACTTTGCAAAGCTGTTATTTGCTCCATTAGAGCCTCAAGCTCTAGATTCACAAGATCCCTATTCTAAAATAGCAAATAAATGTTCTTTTGAATCATACTGATAATTAGTAAGTTTAGTAAAATTTTCCTTATACAATCTTTTTCTTAGAAAATTATATTTTATAATAATAATAATATATCACATATAAATGTACTCACCTGTCTCACAAATGGTTTATTGGCCTTAGTGGTTGAGATTGGTTTATTGTCATCCTCTTTCACATCCTCATTTTCATTATTCTTAAAAAGTTTTAATTCATTTTCAAGATTTTTTACTATTTCCCTCTGTTCTCTTGCATCTTTTCTTGCTGAATCAAGTCTATCTTGCAGTTGTTTAGGATCTGATTCTTCATCTTGCAGAACTTGGTTCAAAGCTTTTAAATCAGCAAGTTCCTCATTAAGCGCCTCGATTTGATCCACCAATGCAATATCTTTGTCATCCATTTTCTTGAATTTGTTGATACTAGGTGAATCATTCTCATCTTCATCTTTCACTGAGGTATTGATCTCCTCAATCTTCTGTTGACCTTCTGGAACCTTTTTCAGTTCTTCTTCAAGTTGTTTGATTTTGTTCTCCATGTCTTTAATTTGTTTTGATTTCTTATCCAGTTCTTGAGCTGTTTCTGAAAGCTTTTCTTTCAATTTAGCATTCTTTTGTCTCAACTGATTGTTCTTATTTTCTTCACTCTGATCTTTTTGGTTTTCTTCTAGTGCTTTGTTCAGTGTTTCAAGATCAAAATTTTCTCTCTTAAGAATATCAAGTTGGGACATTAATGCTTCGATTTCCATATCATTCATTTTCTTTACATCAGCAACATCTGGAGTTGAATCATTCTCCTTTTTATCATTTTCTAAAGTATCAACATTTTCTAATTTGATCAATTCATCAATCTTTTTAAATCTCTCTGGTTCTTTCTTAAGTTCATCCTCTAGTTGTCTGATAATTGCATCCTTCTTTATCAAGTTATTTCTCGCCTCTTTAAATCTATGCTTGATATCCATTGTTCCCTTTTTATCATTTTCTAGCAATTTATTCAATGCTTCTAAATCAGCAACTTCACCTTTGAGAATCTCTAGTTGATCCATCAAAACAGATATCTCCATATCATTCATTTTCGTTACATCAACATGTGGAACTTTTGTTTCCTCTTCAAAAGTATGTTGTTTTCCTTCCTCATGGTCTTGCTTTATTTTTCTTAAGTCTGCTTCCAACTGTTTGATTCTTTTTTTATTCTCCTTATTTTGCTGAGACTTCTGTCTGAGGTCTTTAACAGCTTGCAAAACATTTTCTTTCATTGCTGCATTCTTTTCTTTCAAGCTGTCATTTTTCTCCTTCAGTGCCTTAAGTTTTTCGTCAGCATCTTTAATGGGTGAATCCTGAAGTTGTTCTTCATCTTTAGTTTCTTCTAACTTTTCCAACTCTCTATCCAAATTTCTTATTTTCTTATCCTTTTGGATAATAGTATTTCTGGCATCTTCTAGCCTCTGTTTAACTTCACCAACTCCTTTCTTATCATCTTCTAGAATTTTATTGAGTGCTTCCAAGTCATCAACTTCCTTCTTCAAAATACCTAGCTGGTCCATTAAGGCAGCAATTTCCATATCATTCATTTTCTTTACATCATTCACATTTGGAGTTTTATCTTTCTTTTTCTCAATTCTCTCTGGAACACTTTTCTTGATCTCTTCAACTTTATCTTCACCTTTGGGAATCTTTTTGAGTTCATCTTCAAGTTTCTGTATTTGATTTTCTTTTTCTTTATTTTCCTTCATCTTTTCCTTCATTTCCTTTGCTGCTTCAGAAATCATAGTCTTAAGTTTCTTGTTTTTATCTTTGAGGTCTTTGATTTTATCATCTTTATGACTCTGATCCTTATCCTCACTGTCTTTCTGTTCAGTTGTAGCTTCCAGTTGCTTCACGAGAGCCTCTTGATCTTTCAGTTGATTCTTTGTTGATGCCAACTCATCCATTAGTTCTTGTAACTTAATATCAGGTAGCTCCTTGGCTTCTTTTGCTGTTGGTACAGGTTCTTCAATAGCCTTTAATGTCTTCTTCTGTTGTTCTTGTCTGGTTTCTTTCTGGATCTTTTCAACTTCTTCTTTGCCCTTAGGTGATTTCTTAAGTTCCTCTTCAAGTTGCCTAATTTGAGAGTCTTTACTTTTAACTTCATCTCTGGCATCTTCAAGCCTCTGTTTAACTTCACAAAGTCCTCTCTTATCATCCTCTAGAATTTTATTGAGTGCTTCCAAGTCATCAACTTCCTTTTTCAAAATACCAAGCTGGTCCATTAAAGAAGCAATTTCCATGTCATTCATTTTCTTTACATCATTTACATTTGGAGTTTTATCTTTCTTTTTCTCAATTCTCTCTGGAACACTTTTCTTAATCTCTTCAACTTTATCTTCACCTTTCGGAATCTTTTTGAGTTCATCTTCAAGTTTCTTGATTTGATTTTCTTTCTCTTTGTTTTCCTTGATCTTTTCCTTCACTTCCTTTGCTGCTTCAGAAATCATAGTCTTAAGTTTCTTGTTTTTATCTTTGAGTTCTTTGATTTTATCATTTCTATGACTCTGATCCTTATCCTCATTGTCTTTCTGTTCAGTTGCAGCTTCCTGTTGCTTCATGAGAGCCTCTTGATCTTTCAGTTGATTCTTTGTTGATGCCAACTCATCCATTAGTTCTTGTAACTTAGTATCTGGTAGCTCCCTGGCTTCTTTTGCTGTTGGTACAGATTCTTCATTAGCCTTTGCTGTTTTCTTCTGTTGTTCTTTTTTGGTTTCATTTTGAATCTTTTCAACCTCTTCTTTGCCTTTGGGTGATTTTTTCAGTTCTTCTGCAAGTTGCCTTATTAGAGAATCTTTACTTTTCAATTCATTCCTGGCATCATCTAGCCTCTGTTTAACTTCACCAACTCCTTTCTTATCATCTTCTAGAATTTTATTGAGTGCTTCCAAGTCATCAACTTCCTTCTTCAGAATACCAAGCTGGTCCATTAAAGCAGCAATTTCCATATCATTCATTTTCTTTACATCATTCACATTTGGTGTTTTATCTTTCTTTTTCTCAATTCTATCTGGAACACTTTTCTTGATCTCTTCAACTTTATCTTCACCTTTGGGAATCTTCTTGAGTTCATCTTCCAGTTTCCTTATTTGATTTTTATTGTCTTTATTTTCCTTTATCTTTTCTTTCACTTCATTTGATGCTTCAGAAATCATACTCTTTAGTTTCTTGTTTTTATCTTTTAATTCTTTGATCTCATCATTTTTATGACTCTGATCCTTATCCTCATTGTCTTTCTGTTCAGTTGCAGCTTCCAGTTGCTTCAAGAGAGCCTCTTTATCCTTCAGTTGACTCTTTGTTGATGCCAACTCATCCATAAGTTCTTGTAACTCAGTATCTGGTAGCTGCTTGGCTTCTTTTGCTGTTGGTACAGATTCTTCATTTGTATTTGGTGTATACTTTTTTTGTTCTTTTTTTGTTTCATTTTGGATCTTCTCAACTTCTTCTCTGCCTTTAGGTGATTTCTTTAGTTCCTCTTCCAATTGCCTTATTTGAGAATCTTTGCTCCTCAATTCATTCCTGGTATCATCTAGTCTCTGTTTAACTTCACCAACTCCTTTCTTATCATCTTCTAGAATTTTATTGAGTGCTTCCAAGTCATCAACTTCTTTTTTCAGAATACCAAGCTGGTCCATTAAGGCAGCAATTTCCATATCATTCATTTTCTTGACATCATTCACATTTGGAGTTTTATCTTTCCTTTTCTCAATTCTCTCTGGAACACTTTTCTTGATCTCTTCAACTTTATCTTCACCTTTGGGAATCTTTTTGAGTTCATCTTCAAGTTTCTTAATTTGATTTTCTTTCTCTTTGTTTTCCTTGATCTTTTCCTTCACTTCCTTAGCTGCTTCAGAAATCATAGCCTTAAGTTTCTTGATTTTATCTTTGAGTTCTTTTATCTCATCATCTTTATGACTCTGATCCTGATCCTCATTGTCTTTCTGTTCAGTTGCAGCTTCTAGTTGCTTCATGAGAGCCTCTTTATCCTTAAGTTGACTCTTTGTTGATGCCAAATCATCCATTAGTTCTTGTAACTTAGTATCTGGTAGCCCCTTTGCTTCTTTTGCTGTCGGTACAGATTCTTCATTTGTCTTTGGTGTATACTTTTTTTGTTCTTTCTTTGTTTCATTTTGGATCTTCTCAACTTCGTCTCTGCCTTTAGGTGATTTCTTTAGTTCCTCTTCCAATTGCCTTATTTGAGCATCTTTGCTCCTCAATTCATTCCTGGTGTCATCTAGTCTCTGTTTAACTTCACCAACTCCTTTCTTATCATCTTCTAGAATTTTATTGAGTGCTTCCAAGTCATCAACTTCTTTTTTCAGAATACCAAGCTGGTCCATTAAGGCAGCAATTTCCATATCATTCATTTCCTTTACATCATTCACATTTGGAGTTTTATCTTTCTTTTTCCCAATTCTCTCTGGAACACTTTTCTTGATCTCTTCAACTTTATCATCACCTTTGGGAATCTTTTTGAGTTCATCTTCAAGTTTCTTTATTTGATTATCTTTTTCTTTGTTTTCCTTGATCTTTTCCTTCACTTCCTTTGCTGCTTCAGAAATCATAGCCTTAAGTTTCTTGTTTTTATCTTTGAGTTCTTTGATTTTATCATCTTTATGACTCTGATCCTTATCCTCATTGTCTTTCTGTTCAGTTGCAGCTTCCAGTTGCTTCATGAGAGCCTCTTGATCTTTCAGTTGATTCTTTGTTGATGCCAACTCATCCATTAGTTCTTGTAATTTAGTATCTGGTAGCTGCTTGGCTTCTTTTGCTGTTGGTACAGATTCTTCATTTGTCTTTGGTGTATACTTTTTTTGTTCTTTTTTTGTTTCATTTTGGATCTTCTCAACTTCTTCTCTGCCTTTAGGTGATTTCTTTAGTTCCTCTTCCAATTGCCTTATTTGAGAGTCTTTACTTTTCACTTCATTCCTGGCATCTTCTAGTCTCTGTTTAACTTCACCAGCTCCCTTCTTATCATCTTCTAGAATTTTATTGAGTGCTTCCAAATCATCAACTTCCTTCTTCAGAATACCAAGCTGGTCCATTAAAGCAGCAATTTCAATATCATTCATTTTCTTTACATCATTCACATTTGGGGTTTTATCTCTCTTTTTCTCAATTCTCTCTGGAACACCTTTCTTGATCTCTTCAACTTTATCTTCACCTTTTGGGATCTTTTTGAGTTCATCTTCAAGTTTCTTAATTTGATTTTTATTGTCTTTATTTTCCTTGATCTTTTCCTTCACTTCCTTTGCTGCTTCAGAAATCATCCTTTTAAGTTTCTTGTTTTCATCTTTTAATTCTATGATTTTATCATCTTTATGACTCTGATCCTTATCCACATTGTGTTTCTGTTCAGTTGTAGCTTCCAGTTGCTTCACGAGAGCCTCTTGATCTTTCAGTTGATTCTTTGTTGATGCCAACTCATCCATTAGTTCTTGTAATTTAATATCTGGTAGCTGCTTGGCTTCTTTTGCTGTTGGTACAGATTCTTCATTAGACTTTGCTGTTTTGTTCTGTTGTTCTTTTTTGGTCTCATTTTGAATCTTTTCAACTTCTTCTTTGCCTTTGGGTGATTTTTTTAGTTCTTCAGTCAGTTGCCTTATTTGAGAGTCTTTACTTTTCAATTCATCCCTGGCATCTTCTAGCCTCTGTTTAACCTCACCAACTCCTTTCTTATCATCTTCTAGAATTTTATTGAGAGCTTCCAAGTCATCAACTTCCTTCTTCAGAATACCAAGCTGGTCCATTAAGGCAGCAATTTCCATATCATTCATTTTCTTGACATCATTGACATTTGGCGTTTTATCTTTCTTTTTCTCAATTCTCTCTGAAACACTTTTCTTGATCTCTTCAACCTTATCTTCACCTTTGGGAATCTTTTTGAGTTCATCTTCAAGTTTCTTAATTTGATTTTCTTTCTCTTTGTTTTCCTTGATCTTTTCCTTGACTTCCTTTGTTGCTTCAGAAATCATAGTCTTAAGTTTCTTGTTTTTATCTTTGAGTTCTTTGATTTTATCATCTTTGTGACTCTGATCCTTATCCTCACTGTCTTTCTGTTCAGTTGCAGCTTCCTGTTGCTTCATGAGAGCCTCTTGATCTTTCAGTTGATTCTTTGTTGATGCCAACTCATCCATTAGTTCTTGTAATTTAGTATCTGGTAGCTGCTTGGCTTCTTTTGCTGTTGGTACAGATTCTTCATTAGACTTTGGTGTTTTCTTCTGTTGTTCTTTTTTGGTTTCATTTTGAATCTTTTCAACTTCTTCTTTGCCTTTCGGTGATTTTTTTAGTTCTTCTGCCAGTTGCCTTATTAGAGAATCTTTACTTTTCAATTCAGTCCTGGCATCTTCTAGCCTCTGTTTCACTTCACCAACTCCTTTCTTATCATCTTCTAGAATTTTATTGAGAGCTTCCAAGTCATCAACTTCCTTCTTCAGAATACCAAGCTGGTCCATTAAGGCAGCAATTTCCATATCATTCATTTTCTTTACATCATTCACATTTGGAGTTTTATCTTTCTTTTTCTCAATTCTCTCTGGAACACTTTTCTTGATCTCTTCAACTTTATCTTCACCTTTCGGAATCTTTTTGAGTTCATCTTCAAGTTTCTTGATTCGATTTTCTTTCTCTTTGTTTTCCTTGATCTTTTCCTTCACTTCCTTTGCTGCTTCTGAAATCATAGTCTTAAGTTTCTTGTTTTTATCTTTGAGGTCTTTGATTTTATCATCTTTATGACTCTGATCCTTATCCTCATTGTCTTTCTGTTCAGTTGCAGCTTCCAGTTGCTTCACGAGAGCCTCTTGATCTTTCAGTTGATTCTTTGTTGATGCCAACTCATCCATTAGTTCTTGTAATTTAGTATCTGGTAGCTGCTTGGCTTCTTTTGCTGTTGGTACAGATTCTTTATCAGTCTTTGGTGTTTTCTTCTGTTGTTCTTTTTTGGTTTCATTTTGAATTTTTTCAACTTCTTCTTTGCCTTTGGGTGATTTTTTAAGTTCTTCTGCCAGTTGCCTTATTTCAGAGTCTTTACTTTTCAATTCATCCCTGGCATCTTCTAGCCTCTGTTTAACTTCACCAACTCCTTTCTTATCATCTTCTAGAATTTTATTGAGAGCTTCCAAGTCATCAACTTCCTTCTTCAAAATACCAAGCTGGTCCATTAAAGCAGCAATTTCCATATCATTCATTTTCTTTACATCATTCACATTTGGAGTTTTATCTTTCTTTTTCTCTATTCTCTCTGCAACACTTTTCTTGATCTCTTCAACTTTATCTTCACCTTTGGGAATCTTTTTGAGTTCATCTTCAAGTTTTTTAATTTGATTTTCTTTTTCTTTGTTTTCCTTGATCTTTTCCTTCACTCCCTTTGCTGCTTCAGAAATCATAGTCTTAAGTTCCTTGTTTTTATCTTTGAGTTCTTTGATTTTATCATCTTTATGACTCTGATCCTTATCCTCACTGTCTTTCTGTTCAGTTGTAGCTTCAAGTTGCTTCACGAGAGCCTCTTGATCTTTCAGTTGATTCTTTGTTGATGCCAACTCATCCATTAGTTCTTGTAATTTAGTATCTGGTAGCTGCTTGGCTTCTTTTGCTGTTGGTACAGATTCTTCATTAGTCTTTGCTGTTTTCTTCTGTTGTTCTTTTTTGGTTTCATTTTGAATCTTTTCAACTTCTTCTTTGCCTTTCGGTGATTTTTTTAGTTCTTCTGCCAGTTGCCTTATTTGAGAGTCTTTACTTTTTAATTCATCCCTGGCATCTTCTAGCCTCTGTTTAACTTCACCAACTCCTTTCTTATCATCTTCTAGAATTTTATTGAGAGCTTCCAAGTCATCAACTTCCTTCTTCAGAATACCAAGCTGGTCCATTAAAGCAGCAATTTCCATATCATTCATTTTCTTTACATCATTCACATTTGGAGTTTTATCTTTCTTTTTCTCTATTCTCTCTGCAACACTTTTCTTGATCTCTTCAACTTTATCTTCACCTTTCGGAATCTTTTTGAGTTCATCTTCAAGTTTCTTAATTTGATTTTCTTTCTCTTTGTTTTCCTTGATCTTTTCCTTCACTTCCTTTGCTGCTTCAGAAATCATAGTCTTAAGTTTCTTGTTTTTATCTTTGAGGTCTTTGATTTTATCATCTTTATGACTCTGATCCTTATCCTCATTGTCTTTCTGTTCAGTTGCAGCTTCCAGTTGCTTCATGAGAGCCTCTTGATCTTTCAGTTGATTCTTTGTTGATGCCAACTCATCCATTAGTTCTTGTAATTTAGTATCTGGTAGCTGCTTGGCTTCTTTTGCTGTTGGTACAGATTCTTCATAAGTCTTTGATGTTTTCTTCTGTTGTTCTTTTTTGGTTTCATTTTGAATCTTTTCAACTTCTTCTTTGCCTTTGGGTGATTTCTTTAGTTCTTCTTCCAGTTGTCTTATTTGAGAGTCTTTACTTTTTACTTCATCCCTGGCATCTTCTAGCCTTTGTTTAACTTCACCAACTCCTTTCTTATCATCTAATAGAATTTTATTGAGAGCTTCCAAGTCATCAACTTCTTTCTTCAGAATACCAAGCTTGTCCATTAAGGCAGCAATTTCCATATCATTCATTTCCTTTACATCATTCACATTTGGAGTTTTATCTTTCTTTTTCTCTATTCTCTCTGCAACACTTTTCTTGATCTCTTCAACTTTATCTTCACCTTTGGGAATCTTTTTGAGTTCATCTTCAAGTTTCTTGATTCGATTTTCTTTCTCTTTGTTTTCCTTGATCTTTTCCTTCACTTCCTTTGCTGCTTCAGAAATCATAGTCTTAAGTTTCTTGTTTTTATCTTTGAGGTCTTTGATTTTATCATCTTTATGACTCTGATCCTTATCCTCATTGTCTTTCTGTTCAGTTGCAGCTTCCAGTTGCTTCATGAGAGCCTCTTGATCTTTCAGTTGATTCTTTGTTGATGCCAACTCATCCATTAGTTCTTGTAATTTAGTATCTGGTAGCTGCTTGGCTTCTTTTGCTGTTGGTACAGATTCTTCATCAGTCTTTGGTATTTTCTTCTGTTGTTCTTTTTTGGTTTCATTTTGAATCTTTTCAACTTCTTCTTTGCCTTTGGGTGATTTTTTTAGTTCTTCTGCCAGTTGCCTTATTTGAGAGTCTTTAATTTTCAATTCATCCCTGGCATCTTCTAGCCTCTGTTTAACTTCACCAACTCCTTTCTTATCATCTTCTAAAATTTTATTGAGAGCTTCCAAGTCATCAACTTCCTTCTTCAAAATACCAAGCTGGTCCATTAAAGCAGCAATTTCCATATCATTCATTTTCTTTACATCATTCACATTTGGAGTTTTATCTTTCTTTTTCTCTATTCTCTCTGGAACACTTTTCTTAATCTCTTCAACTTTATCTTCACCTTTCGGAATCTTTTTGAGTTCATCTTCAAGTTTCTTAATTTGATTTTCTTTCTCCTTGTTTTCCTTGATCTTTTCCTTCACTTCCTTTGCTGCTTCAGAAATCATAGTCTTAAGTTTCTTGTTTTTATCTTTGAGTTCTTTGATTTTATCATCTTTATGACTCTGATCCTTATCCTCATTGTCTTTCTGTTCAGTTGCAGCTTCCAGTTGCTTCATGAGAGCCTCTTGATCTTTCAGTTGATTCTTTGTTGATGCCAACTCATCCATTAGTTCTTGTAATTTAGTATCTGGTAGCTGCCTGGCTTCTTTTGCTGTTGGTACAGATTCTTCATTAGTCTTTGGTGTTTTCTTCTGTTGTTCTTTTTTGGTTTCATTTTGAATCTTTTCAACTTCTTCTCTGCCTTTGGGTGATTTTTTTAGTTCTTCTGCCAGTTGCCTTATTTGAGAGTCTTTAATTTTCAATTCATCCCTGGCATCTTCTAGCCTCTGTTTAACTTCACCAACTCCTTTCTTATCATCTTCTAAAATTTTATTGAGAGCTTCCAAGTCATCAACTTCCTTCTTCAAAATACCAAGCTGGTCCATCAAAGCAGCAATTTCCATATCATTCATTTTCTTTACATCATTCACATTTGGAGTTTTATCTTTCTTTTTCTCTATTCTCTCTGCAACACTTTTCTTGATCTCTTCAACTTTATCTTCACCTTTCGGAATCTTTTTGAGTTCATCTTCAAGTTTCTTAATTTGATTTTCTTTCTCTTTGTTTTCCTTGATCTTTTCCTTCACTTCCTTTGCTGCTTCAGAAATCATAGTCTTAAGTTTCTTGTTTTTATCTTTGAGGTCTTTGATTTTATCATCTTTATGACTCTGATCCTTATCCTCATTGTCTTTCTGTTCAGTTGCAGCTTCCAGTTGCTTCATGAGAGCCTCTTGATCTTTCAGTTGATTCTTTGTTGATGCCAACTCATCCATTAGTTCTTGTAATTTAGTATCTGGTAGCTGCTTGGCTTCTTTTGCTGTTGGTACAGATTCTTCATTAGTCTTTGGTATTGTCTTCTGTTGTTCTTTTTTGGTTTCATTTTGAATCTTTTCAACTTCTTCTTTGCCTTTCGGTGATTTTTTTAGTTCCTCTTCCAGTTGCCTTATTTGAGAGTCTTTACTTTTCAATTCATTCCTGGCATCTTCTAGCCTCTGTTTAACTTCACCAACTCCTTTCTTATCATCTTCTAGAATTTTATTGAGAGCTTCCAAGTCATCAACTTCCTTCTTCAGAATACCAAGCTGGTCCATTAAGGCAGCAATTTCCATATCATTCATTTTCTTTACATCATTCACATTTGGAGTTTTATCTTTCTTTTTCTCAATTCTCTCTGGAACACTTTTCTTGATCTCTTCAACTTTATCTTCACCTTTGGGAATCTTTTTTAGTTCATCTTCAAGTTTCTTAATTTGATTTTCTTTCTCTTTGTTTTCCTTGATCTTTTCCTTCACTTCCTTTGCTGCTTCAGAAATCATAGTCTTAAGTTTCTTGTTTTTATCTTTGAGGTCTTTGATTTTATCATCTTTATGACTCTGATCCTTATCCTCATTGCCTTTCTGTTCAGTTGCAACTTCCAGTTGCTTCAAGAGAGCCTCTTTATCCTTAAGTTGACTCTTTGTTGATGCCAACTCATCCATTAGTTCTTGTAACTCAGTATCTGGTAGCCCCTTTGCTTCTTTTGCTGTCGGTACAGATTCTTCATTTGTCTTTGATGTATTCTTTTTTTGTTCTTTTTTCGTTTCATTTTGGATCTTCTCAACTTCTTCTCTGCCTTTAGGTGATTTCTTTAGTTCCTCTTCCAATTGCCTTATTTGAGAGTCTTTACTTTTCAATTCATCCCTGGCATCTTCTAGTCTCTGTTTAACTTCACCAACTCCCTTCTTATCATCTTCTAGAATTTTATTAAGTGCTCTCAAGTCATCAACTTCCTTCTTCAGAATACCAAGCTGGTCCATTAAGGCAGTGATCTCCATATCACTCATTTTCTTGACATCATTCACATTTGGAGTTTTATCTTTCTTTTTCTCAATTCTCTCTGGAACACTTTTCTTGATCTCTTCAACTTTATCTTCACCTTTTGGAATCTTTTTGAGTTCATCTTCAAGTTTCTTAATTTGATTTGTATTGTCTTTATTTTCCTTGATCTTTTCCTTCACTTCCTTTGCTGCTTCAGAAATCATACTTTTAAGTTTCTTGTTTTTATCTTTTAATTCTTTGATTTTATCATCTTTATGACTCTGATCCTTATCCTCACTGTCTTTCTGTTCAGTTGCAGCTTCCAGTTGCTTCATGAGAGCCTCTTGATCTTTCAGTTGATTCTTTGTTGATGCCAACTCATCCATTAGTTCTTGTAATTTAGTATCTGGTAGCTGCTTGGCTTCTTTTGCTGTTGGTACAGATTCTTCATTAGTCTTTGCTGTTTTCTTCTGTTGTTCTTTTTTGGTTTCATTTTGAATCTTTTCAACCTCTTCTTTGCCTTTGGGTGATTTCTTTAGTTCGTCTTCCAGTTGCCTTATTTGAGAGTCTTTACTTTTTAATTCATCCCTGGCATCTTCTAGCCTCTGTTTAACTTCACCAACTCCTTTATTATCATCTAATAGAATTTTATTTAGTGCTTCCAAGTCATCAACTTCCTCCTTCAGAATCCCAATCTGGTCCATTAAAGCAGCAATTTCCATATCATTCATTTTCTTTACATCATTCACATTTGGTGTTTTATCTTTCTTTTTCTCAATTCTCTCCGGAACATTTTTCTTGATCTCTTCAACTTTATCTTCACCGTTGGGAATCTTTTTGAGTTCATCTTCAAGTTTCTTAATTTGTTTTTCCTTCTCTTTGTTTCCCTTTGTCTTTTCCTTCACTTCCTTTGCTGCTTCGGAAATCAAAGTCTTTAGTTTCTTGTTTTTATCTTTTAATTCTTTGATATCATCATCTTTAGGACTCTGATCCTTATCCTCATTGTCTTTCTGTTCAGTTGCAGCTTCCAGTTGCTTCATGAGAGCCTCTTGATCTTTCAGTTGATTCTTTGTTGATGCCAACTCATCCATTAGTTCTTGTAACTTAGTATCTGGTAGCTCCTTTGCTTCTTTTGCTGTTGGTACAGATTCTTCATTAGCCTTTGCTGTTTTCTTTTGTTGTTCTTTTTTGGTTTCATTTTGGATCATCTCAACTTCTTCTCTGCCTTTAGGTGATTTCTTTAGTTCCTCTTCCAAGTGCCTTATTTGATAAACTTTACTTTTCAATTCATCCCTGGCATCTTCTAGCCTCTCTTTAACTTCACCAATGCCTTTCTTATCATCTTCTAGAATTTTATTTAGTGCTTCCAGGTCATCAACTTCTTTCTGCAGAATACCAAGCTGGTCCATTAAGGCAGCAATTTCCATATCATCCATCTTCCTTACATCATTCACATTTGGAGTTTTATTTAGACTTTTCTCATTTCTCTCTGGAACACTTTTCTTGATCTCTTCAACTTTATCTTCACCTTTGGGAATCTTTCTGAGTTCATCTTCAAGTTTCCTTATTTGATTTTCCTTCTTTTTATTTTCCTTGATCTTTTCTTTCACTTCATTTGCTGCTTCTGAAATCATACTCTTCAGTTTATTGTTTTTATCTTTTAATTCTTTGATTTCATCATATTTAGGACTCTTGTCCTTATCCTCGTTGTCTTTTTGTTCAGTTGTAACTTCCAGTTGCTTCAAGAGAGCCTCTTGATCTTTCAATTGATTCTTTGTTGATGCTAACTCATCCATTAGTTCTTGTAACTTAGTATCTGGTAGCTCCTTGGCTTCTTTTGCTGTTGGTACAGATTCTTCATTAGCCTTTGCTGTTTTCTTCTGTTGTTCTTTTTTGGTCTCATTTTGAATCTTTTCAACCTCTTCTTTGCCTTTGGGTGATTTCTTTAGTTCCTCTTCCAGTTGCCTTATTTGAGAGTCTTTACTTTTCACTTCATCCCTGGCATCTTCTAGCCTCTGTTTAACTTCACCAACTCCTTTCTTATCATCTTTTAGCATTTTATTGAGTGCTTCCAAGTCATCAACTTCTTTCTTTAGAATACCAAACTGGTTCATCAAATCAGCAATTTCCATATCATTCATTTTCTTGACATCATTCACTTTTGGAGTTTTATCTTTCTTTTTCTCAATTCCCTCTGGAACACTTTTCTTGATCTCTTCAACTTTATCTTCACCTTTTGGAATCTTTTTGAGTTCATCTTCAAGTTTCCTTATTTGATTTTCTTTCTCATTATTTTCCTTGATCTTTTCCTTCACTTCCTTTGCTGCTTCAGAAATCATAGTCTTAAGTTTCTTGTTTTTATCTTTGAGTTCTTTGATTTTATCATTTCTATGACTCTGATCCTTATCCTCACTGTCTTTCTGTTCAGTTGCAGCTTCCAGTTGCTTCATGAGAGCCTTTTGATCCTTCAGTTGATTCTTTGTTGATGCCAACTCATCCATTAGTTCTTGTAACTTAGTATCTGGTAGCTGCTTGGCTTCTTTTGCTGTTGGTATAGATTCTTCATTAGCCTTTGCTGTTTTCTTCTGTTGTTCTTTTTTGGTTTCATTTTGAATCTTTTCAACCTCTTCTTTGCCTTTGGGTGATTTCTTTAGTTCCTCTTCCAGTTGCCTTATTTGAGAGTCTTTACTTTTCAATTCATCCCTGGCATCTTCTAGTCTCTGTTTAACTTTACCAACTCCTTTCGTATCATCTTCTAGAATTTTATTGAGTGCTTCCAAGTCATCAACTTCTTTCTTTAGAATACCAAACTGGTCCATCAAATCAGCAATTTCCATTTCATTCATTTTCTTGACATCATTCACATTTGGAGTTTTATCTTTCCTTTTCTCAATTCTCTCTGAAACACTTTTCTTGATCTCTTCAACTTTATCTTCACCTTTGGGAATCTTTTTGAGTTCATCTTCAAGTTTCCTAATTTGATTTTTATTGTCTTTATTTTCCTTGATCTTTTCCTTCACTTCCTTTGTTGCTTCAGAAATCATAGTCTTAAGTTTCTTGTTTTTATCTTTTAATTCTTTGATTTCATCATCTTTAGGACTCTGATCCTTATCCTCATTGTCTTTCTGTTCAGTTGCAGCTTCCAGTTGATTCATGAGAGCCTCTTGATCTTTCAGTTGATTCTTTGTTGATGTCAACTCATCCATTAGTTCTTGCAGCTTTGCATCTGGTAATTCTTTGGCTTCTTTAGCCCTTGGTACAGATTGGACTTTGACATCAGATACTTTTATCAGCTCTTCCCCAATTTGATTCTTGATTTTCTCTACTTCTTCTTTCCCTTTAGCTGAGTTTTTGAGTACCTCTTCAAGCTGTCTTATTTGTGAGTTTTTATTTTTCACCTCATTTCTGGCATCTTCTAGCCTCTGTTTAACTTCACCAACTCCTTTCTTGTCATCTTCTAAGATTTTATTAAGTGCTTTCAAGTCATCAACCTCTTTCTCAAGACAGTCAAGCTTTTCTGTTAATGCATCAATTTCCATATCACTCATTTTCTTCACATCCTCTACACCAGGAGTTTTATCTTTCTTTTGTTCTGTTTTCTCTGGAACAATTTTCCTGATCTCTTCTATCTTGTCTTTCCCTTTGGGAATCTTTTTGAGTTCATATTCAAGTGCCCTGATCTGATTTTCTTGCACTTTATTTTCCTTGATCCTTTCCTTAACTTCATTTGCTGCTTCCAAAACCTTACTCTTAAGTGTCTTGTTTTTATCTTTGAGTTCTTTGATTTTATCATCTTTATGACTCTGATCCTTATCCTCATTGTCTTTCTGTTCAGTTGCAGCTTCCAGTTGCTTCATGAGAGCCTCTTGATCTTTCAGTTGATTCTTTGTTGATGCCAACTCATCCATTAGTTCTTGTAACTTAGTATCTGGTAGCTGCTTGGCTTCTTTTGCTGTTGGTACAGATTCTTCAGTAGCCTTGGGTTCTTTTCTTTTTAGATTCTCCTTAACACTTGTCTTTATTTTCTCTAACTCTTCCTTACCTTTTGGAGACTTGTTCAATTCTTCTTCTAATTGCCTGATTAGGGCATCTTTACCTTTCAATTCATGTCTCGCATTCTCTAGTCTTTCTTTCACTTCAGCGAGTCCCTTTTTGTCATCTTGCAAAATTTTGTTAAGCGTCTCCATGTCTTCATGTTGTTTCTTTAAAACCTCAAGTTCATCAACTAAGGAGGCAATGTCATTTTCACTCATTTTATTCACATCAACAATTTGCGGGACTTCTTTTTTGTTTTCATCCTCTGGAACAGATTTCTTTATTTCCTCCACTTTTTCTTTTCCATTTGGAACCTTTTTCAGTTCTTCTTCAAGTTGGTTTATATGATTTTTATGTTTCTTATTTTCTTCTATTTTGGCCATTATCTCATTTGCAGCATCATTTATCTTTTCTTTAAGCTTGACTTTGTTATCAACCAGCTTTTTGTTCTTCTCCTTGTATTCATTCACCTCCTCTTCTAATTTCTTATTAGCATCTTTTAAGCTAGAGTTGATACCATCCAATTCATCAAGTTGATCTTGTGTTTCATTATCTGGGATGATTTTGCTGTCCTTTTGGACATTCTCGGGTTTAACTTCATTGTCACGTTCACTCTTTGCAATAACATCTTCTTCGATCTTTTCTGGGATTGCTTTTTTATTTCGTCTTTTCATTATCTAAAACAAAGACATTTCTCTTTTCAATACTTAATTATTTAATAATGTCTTTACTTAATTGGCTACACTGATGGAGTATTATTTACTGAAATAAAGGAAAAGGGAAAATATCTACTGACCACACAAACTTCAGCAATAATATTTCAAATGTAATTAATATTTTCTCGTTTGGTTTGTACATTTATATCATTTGAATGTATATTTTGATATGCCTGCATTACTTCTCATGTTTTCTTATCATGTCAGAAATGTATAACATAATGCAAATTTAGCCATAATATTAAGATATTCTGTTGTTCATATTGTAATGTTAATATGTATAACATAATGCAAATTTAGCCATAATATTAAGATATTCTGTTGTTCATATTGTAATGTTGATATGTATAACATAATGCAAATTTAGCCATAATATTAAGATATTCTGTTGTCCATATTGTAATGTTGATATGTATAACATAATGCAAATTTAGCCATAATATTAAGATATTCTGTTGTTCATATTGTAATGTTGATATGTATAACATAATGCAAATTTAGCCATAATATTAAGATATTCTGTTGTTCATATTGTAATGTTGATATGTATAACATAATGCAAATTTAGCCATAATATTAAGATATTCTGTTGTTCATACTGTAATGTTGATATGTATAGCATAATGCAAATTTAGCCATAATATTAAGATATTCTGTTGTTCATATTGTAATGTTGATATGTATAACATAATGCAAATTTAGCCATAATATTAAGATATTCTGTTGTTCATATTGTAATGTTGATATGTATAACATAATGCAAATTTAGCCATAATATTAAGATATTCTGTTGTTCATATTGTAATGTTGATATGTATAACATAATGCAAATTTAGCCATAATATTAAGATATTCTGTTGTTCATATTGTAATCTTGATATGTATAACATAATGCAAATTTAGCCATAATATTAAGATATTCTGTTGTTCATATTGTAATGTTGATATGTATAACATAATGCAAATTTAGCCATAATATTAAGATATTCTGTTGTTCATACTGTAATGTTGATATGTATAGCATAATGCAAATTTAGCCATAATATTAAGATATTCTGTTGTTCATATTGTAATCTTGATATGTATAACATAATGCAAATTTAGCCATAATATTAAGATATTCTGTTGTTCATATTGTAATGTTGATATGTATAACATAATGCAAATTTAGCCATAATATTAAGATATTCTGTTGTTCATATTGTAATGTTGATATGTATAACATAATGCAAATTTAGCCATAATATTAAGATATTCTGTTGTTCATATTGTAATGTTGATATGTATAACATAATGCAAATTTAGCCATAATATTAAGATATTCTGTTGTTCATATTGTAATGTTGATATGTATAACATAATGCAAATTTAGCCATAATATTAAGATATTCTGTTGTTCATATTGTAATGTTGATATGTATAACATAATGCAAATTTAGCCATAATATTAAGATATTCTGTTGTTCATATTGTGATGTTGATATTCAAAAACTAGTCCTATTATCAATGGCCAGATGAAATTGGAACAGAATTATTTCTTACCATGGACTGACATACTGATAGCTGCAACAATATCGCTCATGAAGCTAAAAGAAGGAACTGAAGTAGAGTGCTAAAATGCAAATACAAAAATAGTGCAAACTATTAACCAAATATTCTACATAATAAGCCTTTAAAGCTACATCTAAAAACTACTTTTCTCATTGAGAAAACGACGTCAACATAGACTGGTAGCTCTACTTTCTCACATGTATATATGCAGAATCTGTCTCATTAAAGCTCATAAAATCAATTCAAATAAAATATGGGAGCATTGTATATATTCTTAAAATTCTACAATACAAAAGCATATACATTTAAAGTATTTACTATTATTTTGTAAATGAAATGCACAAACCTGTCTTTGTCAAACCTAATGTTAGTAAACAATGAAAACACATGCTGCAAAATACGATACAAAATATGTTAGTATATCTAAACTTGGAAATCCTGAAGAGAATGAAGCCTACAAATCGAATGCATAATACTAATGCATAATATATTAATAACATTAACAATATATGAATTAAGCATAACAGACTTCTCATGAAATCTGGAGATGACCTGAAACAATTAAGTTTACTCTTTATCTCCTTTATGACTAGTCAAAAGGCACGTATGGTGTAAATAATATATGTACATACATTTTGATGCTCCTAAATCTAAACACAATTTTGCACAGGATATTAAAACCTGAAACGATGTTAGTAAATATTGAAATAAATGATATTATCTAAAGTGAATCATATGCTTAATGTCTTTTTGACATGTCTTCTTAATGAAGTCATTATACTGAAGCTGAAATATATGCAGTTTTCAATCTACAGACCTGCCAACCTTATAGGTTGACCGGTCTGATCTAAAAACTCCTCTTTACTATTATATAATCTAAGGTCATCAAGATTTGGCTTCAAAGTACAGATTAACTTCTCAAAAGATTTCTGAAAATTTTGTAGTTTTTAAATGTGGACATTAAACATACATTAAACTTTGAATGGCCGAAGATCTTGAACCCTGGAATATTAGTAAAAGCTCAGCATTAAATTATTTTACATTCTAATAATCGACTTGAGTGACCCATGTCAGACCTAAAAAGCAAAGCATTAGTATTATAGGTTTGCATATAAGATATCTGCCAGTTAAGATGAGGATCAAGGGAAGCAATATACATTGACCTTACAATCTGTTCTGCACTTACTTCCTGGGCATTTGCCCCTGCTGAAAGCTTCTTCAGCTCAGTATCGATTTGACGCATCTGTGCTGCCTGATCTGCATTCTGCTTTTTGGCTGCAGCTAGCTGCTCCTTCAGGTCTTGAATCGTCTTTTCAGATTTACCATCTGAGATATTGCGTCCCTGGAAATGATATTTATGGGTTAGATTTCTAGTGGTAAGATCTGCTTGTTCATTTTGACTAAATAAATGAAGCTAAATTATTTTTCTTAAAATAGAACTAAAAATATTTTATGGTTGATGAACTTGAAAATGTAATTTTATTCCAATTTTGAATCAGATACATGTACATGACATTGTATTCATCCCACCTTAGACCACCAAAGGAATTATCATGACCCGACAACTATTAGGAACTGTTTACAAATATTTGTTTCTCATTTTTGGTCAAATGTGTGAAGGTAAAAAGTGTTTCTTGAAGTGCTTTCATTGAATAAGCAGGAGGCATCTTTTCTTCTATTGTTTTGAGAAATTAGTTTCATGTTTCTTTACACTTTACAGGTTGTATTCTAATTGTAAAGAGACTTTGTGGACACCCTGTATATCTCAATTGTAGACTTCATTATCAGGCTTCTTAGTGTAGATTTTGCCTCTTAATGAAAGCTCTATTAAAACCTCTGTTCCAAAGACTTTATAGTTTACTTACAAATGCTCCTTCTCCGGCTCTTTGTCCTTGTTTCCCTTGGACAACTGCTCCTCCAGACTCCAACTCTTTGATCTAGCGTATGATAAAAACAGTATGAGCAATTACGTTACCTTTCAATTTGGTTTTGTTGATCAAATTCAATTCTTGCTAATTTAACCAAATGGTACATTTCTTCTACTCGAACAATCTTGGTTCCGCTACATTTCTTTTACTTAAACAATCTTAGATGACAGTGCATATTGAAGAGAGTTTACCGCTATATTTACTGCTATATTTGCTTGGGATATTAATTGCAATTTATTCACCTTCTTCTGTAGTGCATCAACTTTCTTTTTCTCATTGACTGCTCTCTCCCTCTCTTTTTTGTCACTTTCAGATTGGATCTGCTTCAATTTCTTATCATTCTCTGCCTTGAAGCCTTTTAGCTTAGTCTACAAATACATTCACTCATTTAGTCTACAAATACATTCACTCAGTTTACTCTACAAATACATTTACTCAGTTTAGTGTTCAAATACATTCACTCAGTTTACTGTTCAAATACATTCATTCAGTTTACTCTACAAATACATTTACTCAGTTTAGTGTTCAAATACATTCACTCAGTTTACTGTTCAAATACATTCACTCAGTTTAGGCTACAAATACATTCACTCAGTTTAGTGTTCAAATACATTCACTTGGTTTAGTCTACAAATACAAACACTCAAATTAGTTTACAAATACATTCACTAAGTTTACTCTACAAATACATTCACTCAGTCTACTCTACAACTATTCACTCAGTTTAGTCTACAACTATTCACTGAGTTTAGTCTAGAAATACAAACATTCAGTTGAGTGTTAAAATATATTCACTCAGTTTAGTCTTCAAATACATTCACTCAATTTAGTGTTCAAATATTCACTCAGTTTAGTCTTCAAATACATTCACTCAATTTAGTGTTCAAATATATTCACTCAGTTTAGTCTACAAATACATTCACTCAGTTGAGCGTTCAAATATATTCACTCAGTCTAGTCTTCAAATACATTCACTCAATTTAGGTGTTCAAAAATATTCACTCAGTTTAGTCTACAAATATATTCACTCAGTTTAGTCTACAAATACAAACACTCAATTTAGTGTTCAAATATATTCACTCAGTTTAGTCTACAAATACATTCACTCGGTTACAAATATATTAACATGTGTCATCATAATTGATCATATTTCCTACCTCCAGTTCTTGCTTTGCCTTTTTCTCTGTCTTCAAGGTAGCTTCAGCATTGCTAATTTTTCCTTTAGACTCCTCTAGTTCAGCCTTAATCTTTGCATTAGCTTTATCAACAGAGACCTTGTCCTTTTCAGTTGTACTCTGGAAATATACAAGTCTTCATTACATGTCTGTTATGAAGAATGAACACATTTGAATTTCATTACCAAGTTTTACATTATAGTGGTGCAAAAGGAATATCATGTTGGTCTTAAAACTTTTTTTGTTTTAAAACTTGCTGCCTCATTTCATACTGCTATTGATTATTATTATTATATATTCCGTATTTTACATATTTTACACTCGAAGATAGAGCCAGAAACCCCTCCTTGGAGGAGCCCTGTGTTCTTTTGTGTGCACAGGTGGTAACTGGACAACTCGGACCCAGGACAACTCGGACCCTGGACAACTCGGACCCAAGACATCTCAGACCCAAGACAACTCGGACCACTTTTTAAAATTATGATTTTTATAATGAGTGGTTTTATTTTTTCATTTATGAAAATTAATACATTATATTATATATTGTGAATTCATATTTTGTATTAATATGATAAAAAAATGTTTTAATTTGACTTATTTGATGAAAATTAAGTAGAAGATATTGAAACTAGAAACCCAAGACAACTCGGGACCACTTTCTGAAATTATACTTTTGGTTGTCGTAATTGGGGATTATTTCTTTAATGTTTGGCAGGACATATTGTGAGTTTATATATTGTATTTATTTGATGAAGATCTTTCAATTGGTAACCTTTCAATTAACTTATTTGATGAAAGTTATGAAGTAAGACCAGTAAGAGAATATTGAAGCTGAAGACCCAAGACAACTCGGGCCACTTTTTGAAATTAAAGTTAATTTAATTTAAAACAAATTCATCGAATTAACACAATATATCAATTCACAATATATAATTTATGTCATAAAAAAACATTAAACAAAAGAAATTAGAATCCCATACAATGATAAAAACCATCATTTCAAAAAGTGGTCCAAATCTTTAGCTTCAATAATTTCTTACTTCTCAACTCTCATCAAAACGTTAATTTAAAACAATTTCATCAAATTAACATAACATATAAGTTCATATATGTCAAAATAAACCTAAAAAATAATAATTAAAACCTAATATATATTGATAAAAATCATCATTTCAAAAAGTGGTCCGAGTTGTCTTGGGTCCGAGTTGTCTTGGGTCCGAGATGTCTTGGGTCCGAGTTGTCCAGGGTCCGAGTTGTCCTGGGTCCAAGTTGTCCGGAAACCACACAGGTACACAGACATACAGGTACACACCAAAGCCTTTTATACGAGTCGTGGACCACTCAGTCAAACACCCAGAATTACATAACGCACAAACAAACTTGTCTGAACCAGGAATCGAACCCGGGGCCAAGCGATATTGGTAACCTTGACTCTGCCACTGAGCCATAGCGGGTGGACTATTGATGGTCAGACTTAAGCATGTATCAAGAAGGAGTGAAAGCTCAGTATTAGACTTAATGAAATAAATTGTGTATACTTTTGAGGACTCCTAAATGCGTTGGTTGGTAATGAATTGGCCTATTTAATAATAATAGATTGAGCTGCTTCTTTAACCTGGTGCATTCTCAACTATACTTACTATCTTATCATTAAGGAGCTTTATTTCACTGGCAGTATCCACAGGAATGTTGGCAAGCCTGGCCTCTTCAAGTTCAGCTATGCGCTTTTGGGCATCATCAAGGGCCTAGATAAAATACAATTAGAATTCTTTAAAACTATTTAAAGTATGTGAGATTATAAGATTTAATTGTTTTATCAACTACATTGTAAATTAAACTTAAAAAAGTTCCAATAGTTTCCAGATAGAAGAGAAGAAACTTCTATATAAACTGACTGAAAAGAATGAGTTACTATAAAAGTTTGAATTCACCTGAGATTTGCTTTTGTTATCAGATTCCAGTTCTGCTGTGACAGTTTTCAACTTATTCTCAGCATTTTTCTCCTGATTGTCAAACTCCGTCGCCATAGCCTCAAGTTGGGTCTTTAGTGCATCAAGTTCATCTCTAGTGTTCTCATGTGCTGCCTTCTCCTGTCTCAGTAGAGCCTCAAGGTTGTCCATGTCATGTTGGAGCTTGGACATACTATCGGACAAGTCCTAGAACACAATGAGGGATTATTTAAAATCAGATAAAGACTTGGCGCATTGCTAGCATATAATGCATTTTGAGACACCATTACATACTATAGTAGCCTTATTTGTACACCTAAAATAAATACAATGGAACTGAATTGGATTGAAATGCTATACCAAAAAATCTGATAGAAGTCAATGATGATCTCGGTTGCACATACTCATAAGCACTTTGTGTTTATTTCTCAGCTGATATGTCCAACAACTCAATTGAAGAAGGGCGAATAAAATAGCTTTAGCATATTATATTTCCATGTTTTTGTAGATTTTGAGTTTTTCTTCCTAATCATTACATGATACTCAGTTGTTTTTGTTGTTGTTGTTTTTGATGATACTCAGTGCTAGATAGTAGTTAAAGGAAACAATGAAAATATCACTTACACTAGCATCATCTGAGGGGGTATCAGCAATAGCAGCTGTGGCAGCAACTGTGGCAGCTGTAGCAGCAGCAGCTGTGGCAGCATCCAGACTTTCCTGAAGCTTCTCAATCTCAATTTCTTGTAACTGAAGTGAAAATAGAATTATGAGCGAACCTTGTTGGTCATCATTTTTATTTGTTTTTCTGTGCCGCTTCTTGACTTTCTGAAAGCTTTATCTTCTCCTTTCTCTGGCAATTTAATCCTTAAGTTACACTGAAGTTACGCTATCTCCTACTATCTCCCAATCAATGTTCAATATCTTCCCCTTTAGAACCCTAACTCTAAATCTCTAAATGTACATTTATGACATTACTTCATATTTTACCCAACCTTGTGAAATTGCATCTTGCTTTGATCTGGTCGGTTATATACCAAATAATGGACAAAGATACCATTGACTCACCCTATTTTTCTCTTCAAATTCCAGGGCTTCATCTGTGAGCTTCTCATTCTGTGCCTCTAGGTTAGTGATCTGTTTCTCTAGTTCCTCTAACTCTTCTTTACTGGCTCCTTCTGTAATGCAGTCATGTCATACTAACATCATAGTACCAATCTATGCAGTCATAGCATAATATGTTATAGTTATGCCATAAGCAATTATAAGTATTACAGAAGGCATCAGGTACCCAAAAATTGCCCAAGCAAATAGTAACACATGATGCACTGTGTCTAACACTATTTGAACATATATCAAGTCGCTAAAGTCCTTTAGATACTTTTAATGCCGTAATGTAATTAAAATACAATAAATTCAACTTGAACCTAGTCTCTGAACCACTTCTTCCCCCTATATGGAAGGATCACAAGGGCCTGCAGCAAGAATGAATCAACTTGAAATCCTCACGGCCTATGTTAAAAAAATACAATTGATTTGTTGAAGTTTACCTTGTGCAGCACTTAGTGTTGGCATAGATTCTGTTAATTTCTCTGGGACTTTGCCATCCTGTTTCATCATGTTTAATGCTGTACATAGAAGCTCATTCTCCACTTGTTTGTCCTCTTTACTCTTGGCCTTAGCTTTCTCTGCTGTTTTGAGGTTCTCATCCACCATCTCTGAAGCCTTGGGAACCTTGCCATGTATCGCATGCACCTAATCAATATATGGAATAGTATCAACATTTACTTGGTTAATTGTCATTGCAAGTATGTCAAAGTTCAAAAACAAATATATTTTTCTTACATTTTACGCTGGGAATTTTTTACATTAATTTCTTGCATTAAAATCAAGTATATTACAATCTGTTATAATAGGACATTAATGATAAAAACACATGAAATATTCTATTGCCGTAATGGGGATAAACAAGTATACTGGTGAAATGCTTTGAAAATATCAAGACCTGTGCCCCAAGACTTCTTAATACTTCTGTTCACAATGGAACTGTGTGTTAATGTGCAAAAAAAGGTAGAAATTGTACAGAATACTAGAAATATGACACTGGAAATGGTATAGTCAAATATGACACTAATATGGGATACACACGTTATAAGCACAAAAGCAAGAGACATGGGTGCATGTACCAACCTGTTCTATAACCTTATTCAGCAATAGTTTCACATTTTCTTTCTCTTTTTCTCCCTTCTTCATTGACTTCTTTAGTTTCTTAGCATCATGTTCCATAGTTTTCCTCTCCTCATTTCTCTCTTTGAGTTCCTCTTCTTTAGCAGCAAGCTTCTGCTGGACTGCTTCATGAACCTTGGGGTCAACTCCATCAGGCTTAAAAACGGAAACACAAAATCATTTAATTTGTCTCAAAAATGTTTCATCCATCTCTTCTTTTCTTCCAACCCCCTCTCTCTCATTATCTCTGCAGCTAACACCATCAGAATTACCTCGGGATATATAGATTTCATTCAAATTTTTAATCCCTCCTTTACCCCTACCTTCCCTTCTTTCTACTACATGCTCCTCACCCCATCCCTTCACATAACAAGGAATATGAATTAGATTTTTCTAAATCATGGTTAAAGGAAATTCTATTATCTACACAAGTCAGTACCTTCTCAGTCGCCACAGCTGCTGTTGTTGCTACGGCTGCTGTTCCTGCTACAGCTGCTGCTGCTAGGGCATCCTGCAGCTGTTGTTCAAGAGTCTCATTTGTTGCTTTCATCTTCTCTAGCTCCATCATGGCATCCATCACCTTTATTAGTGAGTGGCAACAAAAATTTAAAGAAATGCATAAATTGGATCATTGCAAGCGAGAATTCATAAAAAAGAAACAACTCAATTAAATCATTGTTGGTTTATATCTATCATGACTATCACAATTAAAACATCTTTCATTTGCTCAATCAAAAGATTTTGCCAAAATTGTCTTTTTAAATACAGTAATAATTCACTCAGTCTGATATCATCATACTCATTGACATAGATAACACAGATAGATTGAAATAGATAATAGTGTCAATAATTTTTGATTATTTATGAATCATTTTGGAAACATGCTTCATCCTGTATGTGACACAATCTTTAAGATTTTAACTTTGTATACCTCTCCATTGAGTCTTGCAACATCATCGTCCAGTTTGGAAGCATCATCCTTCAGCTTAGAAATTTCTTTCTGTAGTTCAGCTATCTGGTCCTCTGCTTTCTCCAATTTGACTACAACCTCAGGGTCTGGCACATTTACCTTTAGGAAACATGCCCAATTCATTTTTTTTTCTTTGTGTTTGAAATCAATAAACTGTTAGGTACTATACAGATGTTATTTATGTCATTTGCATTGTAATACTTTTCTAGATTCTCAACAATGTTTGAAACCCACAGTCTCCTCATTGCCAATGTTATTTTACCAAATAGGGATGGTTTGCCAATTGGTGACTTATTGCCAGCTTGCGATTTGTTGCCATCATATTTTTAAAATCAACCTTAAAACCCCAATTCTAAAAATGAGTGATTTTGATAAAATATATACTATGAATTTGTAATGATACCTCTACAGTTCTGATCTCTGGCTCAACTGGGACTATAGGTGTCGCCTGTATCTCTGGGGCCTCAGGTGTCTGCCCAGCTTTCAACTTCTCTAGTGTGTCTATTTTAGTGTTCAGGTCTCTTATCATATCACTCATTTCTTTGTTTTGTACATCCAACTCTTTGAATGTGTCACTTCTGAAAAATATAGGTTCTCTTTTGATAAAGTATTCCAGTTTACATATTCAAAGGAAAAAATAAAGGGGTTCTAAATGACCAATATCGAGTAGAATCTTTATTTTAGCAAGATGTTTAATAAATGGTATAATCATTATTTAAATTGGATAAATCTTAAATACTGATATTTTAGAGAAAAAATTCACTGACTAATATATCAAGATCGTCATGATTTTATATTAATTGGGTGTTATTTTTACTATTTTGTGATGATCATTTTTTATCCAATTTACATTTGAACATCTACAACTCTTATACAGTAGCAGTTCATATATCATAACGGTGAATTGAAATTACTAACTCTTGTTTATCCTGCTCTGTTGGAGCCTCCCCTGTTTTCTCCTTGAAGTCATCCTCCCATTTCTTCATGTCTTCTTCAGTCTTTGCAATCTCTTCTTCCATCATGGCTTTATCACTGGCCACAGACACTATCTTCTCCTGAAATAAAAAATGTGTGTGATTGATATATTGAAAGAATGAAAATACAAAACAGTTATCTCCCCAGGATTTTTTCTCAGGTGGCTGCAAAATTCTCATTTTCACAATTCAGACCAAAATTGGTCAAAATATGCTAATTTTTCATGATTCTTCTCATTTTCAAGTGGGTGCAAATGGATTTTCAGATGTGTGCAAGCCTATTTTCAAAATCTCAGGCGGATGCTGCACCCACTTGTTTTAACGCTGGGGAGATCACTGTAAAATACAGCAGTTGTGACCACTTCAAAAAGAAATCAGTCCAGATCTCCAGATTCACAGGTGAGACTGATAAATGAACTTGTCTAAAAATCCAGCACAAATATTTCAACTCTTCCAAGATGAATCCAGAACTTACATCTGCTTTTTTCTTGTCTTCCTCAGAGTCAGCCTTGGCCAGTTCAGCTACTGCATCAAACTGCGCCTGGAGTGCTTTGTACTTAGCCCTCAGGTCTGCTAGTTCTGCAAGTTGCTCCTTTAAAGCTTTGTGTCTCTCCTCCCATTCCTTTGCCTCCTAGATTGTAGAAATACATGTAAGAGTGAAAAACCATGATTTTTAAGATAGCAGGTAATCTAATATCATCATAAAAACAAACATCTCACATGCTTTATCTTCACTAAATTTGTTGCTGTGTTTTAAACTGAGTAAATAAACAACTTCTCTAAAAATCATTCACAATGGATCTTAAATTAAATGTTCATATTCTATGCATTCCTTTAGAAACAAATTTTCAACAGGGAAAAAGAGAGAAACTGATGAGCATCTTGTACATTTGTAAGGCATACTTTATTTTGAGGTAAACATCCACTAAGGGGGCAAACAACAAGGGCTTCATGCAATGCCATATTTAATTGACAAAAGTGGTCTCTACCTTGTTTGCTTCATTCAATTCTTTCTGCATCTCATTTTTCTCCTCGTTGTATTTCTTCCTCTCCTGATTGAAGTCATCTCTCTCTTCATCCATCTTCTGGCGATCTTTTGTCATCTCTTCACGGTCCTCTGCCATCTTTTTTCGTTCCTCCTCCATCTTACGACGTTCATCCTCAGATAGGTCAACCACCTTGCAAGTAAGAGTTAAACATGAATACAATATCACGGCAATGTATGGTAAAACATGTGCTACCACTGCTGATTCTTCAGCTAATAATACTCTTTGAGCCCAGCCAAAATGTTGATGTTACAAAATTGATTTAGTTGTAACCTTAAAAATAAATTAAGAACTAATCCATGAAGGTTCCCATCAGGTTAACATAAGTATGGGGATTTCCTTAGTTATTTGGCTATCGTTCTTTTTCCAAACAAAGCAATGAACTAGAGAATACTACAACTGATTACCTGCTGTTCCCCAGCTGTGGGTTCTCTCTTAAGTGGCTGCTCTTCTGTAACAGCTGCTACTGCCACAGCTGCTGCACCAACTGTTACAACATCAGCAGCTGTAGCTGGCCTGTCTTCCAAAAGTTTCTTCAATCTTTCTACTTCAGCTTTCTCAGTCTCAAGTTGGTCCTTGACAATCTGCAAAATATTTTTTAGAATCTGAATAATGTCATTTATATACTCTGTAGATGTATAAGTTTATATGTATTTTTAGTTTTACCAGATATAGGTACAATATGAGACACATTTTGTTTTTAGAACCCTCATTGATACTAAAGAACTCCCCCAGTATTTGACTTACATTTTACGTATTTGTTTGCCTTAAACCTTTTCATATGTGTTCACACATCATTGCTACACATGCACACAAAAATCCATTTAAGATAATCTTGAGACCATGTCACATTTTTGAATTAGACACCCTACAAGGGTTGTCATAGAAACACATACCTTTGTTTCACTCTCCAACTCTTGGACTTTGTCTGAATGTTCTTTCTCAACTAAAATAAATAAAGTAAATATTCATATAAACAAGCATCAGATAATTTAGCTAATCAATTTTAAGGTTTAAAACAAGGCATTAACATACAAAATGTCATCATCTGCCACTTATCTCAGACGCTGAATGCTAACCACTAAAAGCTGAACACAAATAAGTTGGAGACTAACAGTATGTCACCACTTCGGCTGGTCTAGTGGTGACACAATAAATCACAATATGGATGTCAATTTCAAATCCCTTACTTTTGATTCTCTTTGTGTTCTCTTCATCAAGTTTTTGTGTAAGTTCCCTTACAGCTTCTTCTTTCTCCTCTTCTAGCTTGTCAGTTTCTAATTTGTTCCTGATCAACAGAGATTTTTTGTCCATCAGAAGTCTCTTATTTCTTTCACTTAGACTCTGAAAAGAATAAATATTGCTATGTTAGCAGTGCTCTTTAGGACTCTCCCATTCTCCATGTCCATTCATTATTGTTGTTGATTTATATATGGACTGACTGGTTACCGTGTCGCAATACAAGATCCAACTAATTTAACTTACTATGTATTTTCAGAGGCAAATGATTTCACTTAATCACACAAGAAAACAAGAAATTATTATTATGTATTATATATTTTTATTTATTATTATTATATATGTCATTTTATACACTTTTTTTATTTATAATATTGTTGCTTTGCATTTTAAACATCTACATGTATTTCACTGTCATCTGGATAAATTCGGATAAAATATATGAGGATATTTAACTGACTAGGAATAAAACCTACTTGAATTGTCTCCTCAAAATTGCCATTCTTCTCATTCAGTTCTATCTTGTGTATCTCTATGACCTGCTTGAAGGTCTTCAGCTTGCTGCTGTAGGTCTGGCGTAGCTGTAGCACAAAGGAATTGAACTGGCCCTACAAGGAAAACCAAACAAGCATGACAGCACTGTCCTTCAATTGGATTAGCTAAATTTCATTAAGACTGTGAAATCTGGGAATTTATAACACAGTATGAGAAACACCTTTTCACTAAAACTGGAAAAATACAAGTACAGTGTACAGTAAAATTTCTAAAGTTGAACAGCTCTGTATGTGGATTCTTAGTGGAGGAACACCTCCATTTAAGTGGAACACTCTTCCAAGTCATTACATCAATATAAATGAATATCTGTAGGCTAAACACCTTCAACAAGGAACACTATTAGGTGTTCTACTTTCACCTGGTTTTACTGTACTATTAAATCAAAATAATTGACCATAGAATTATTACTACAGGCATTTTACAAATTGTGCAACTTAATCCAGGTCTTGAGAATGCACATGGGGTAATAACTGTAAAATAGAGTGAAGCCTGTGTTAAGGAACACCTTAAGTACCTCAAAATGGTGTTCCACCTAGAAAATGTTCCACTTACAGAAATTCAATTAATGGATAACAGGACTTTGTCGTGTTCCACTTATGGAGGTGTCCCACTTACAGAGGTGCTCTACTTTGCAGGTGTTACTGTACCACATACATATAAAGTGCTCCAAATAAGGAGATAATTCTAAGTAACCAACCTGTGTCTCTTCTTCGATACTCCTATAGTGCATCTCAATCTCATTGATAATTGTGATGTGACGAAATTTCATATTTTTCATGTCACTCATGATCTTGGCAATCGAGTCACGTGCATAAATGTATGGGATGTAAGCCTTCTGGTCCGTCAACTCAGGTGGTGACATGATCGTCTGTTGTGACATAATACTTTTGGCATCTTAAATCATATTAAATGAATATATAACTCATAATTCATGTTCTGTGTTTCAATTTGACCTATTTATCCTTAGGGGGTGTTAATCCTTAAATTTAGATATCCTAATTAATCAATCATTTAAGTGCAATTAAAAAATATAAGAACATTTTTCAAAAATAATTTTAATTTGTTTTAACTTTATCATGTACTATGTTTTATTTCATACAATGAAGCAATGTATACATGTGCATAAAGCAATGTATCAACAATACAATGAATCAATAAAGCAATGTATCACCTTCATTGTCCCTGTAGGAAACAATTGTGTTGTCTGGGTTGGCTTCACTGACGTTGATTAGACTAGTTGCTGGTGACTTTGGTTTCTCGCTAGTTGATGCCACATGGCCTGGTGATGCCCAGGCCTCTGAAATTTGACAATTATATAGCGTGTTTACAAGGTGGCGAGTGTGACAAATAATTTATCAGATGTTCATGTGATATAATCTGACCAATCACAATCTATGATTTAAACTTTGAAATGGTGGGTTTGTTTAAAACACTTCTGCGAATGTTAATTAAATAGAAAAGGAAAGCTCGTTTTGTTTAAAACAGCAAATGGGAATTATTACTTTGCAAATTGGAAACAAGCAAATTGAAATTTTAGGTTCCAATTGTAGATGTATTCTGATGATCTATTTCATTCAATATGCAATTCTATATTGTTATGTCACTTCTCATATATACAATTATCATTCATTTCTTTTAGGTGATGTTTGTATATATGTTGGCATATAAGCATCATGCATGTAACTTACCTTTCACTACAGACTTCAGGGACACCTGACTGCCGGTGGTTGAACCATTTGGATCCATGTCAACTTTATTGGATGCCATTGGAGATTTGCGTCCTGTTGCACTTTTTGGTCTCTCTGGTTGGTCCTCTGGATGGAGACTAGTCCTACTGGCAGACCTGGGTTCCTGGTGTAGACTAGTTCTACTTGTTGGCCTTGGTAGGGGTGGCTGTCCTGCAGCACTGAGGGGTCTGTTTGGTGTTGCACTTGGGGGTCTATTAGGAGATGCACTCGGGGGTCTCTCCATTGCACTAGTGGAATGTTGGGTACCACTTTTTGGCCTTTGTTCATTGGAAGCTGCGCTGGGTGGCCTTCCCTGTGCACTCGAAGGCCTTCCCTGTGCACTAGGAGGCCTTCCCTGTGCACTGGGTGGTCTAGGCGGCTCATCAGGGGATTTGTTGTCATTATTCTGTAAAATATAATTTATCTATATAGACACATGAAAATATGTAGCAGTAATAATACTGTCTTGCACAAAAAAATGATTTACCCAGTAAGTAATGTTTCTCTAAATAAAAGGCCAAATGGTTATTTTTTATTTGTTAGTTAACTAAGTTTTGGAAATAAAAAGGTGAATTCAATATTTAATCCTCACAATTTGATGAGAAAGACTGTCACTGTCAGCCTTAATTTTCTTTGGTAACTAAAAAACAACACTACGATTTAAGAAACATAACATAAGGTACTGTGGTACACACCTCAACATTGTCAGATTTATCTGTTTTTGCAGCTTCCTTGACGGAGATCATACTCGACCTACTTGAGGGTCTGGCGGGAACATCTCCATCATCACCACTCATCAAGGACAATGCAGTGGTCTGTGTCTCGGGATAATCTGGATGAAACAGCATTAACTATGAAAGTGTATAGACACACTATGCAAAGTCAATGATGGATGCAAGTACATGTATGTTATTGTAAATAAGGCATTTAAAGCAAAATGTCACAGCCTGCCATTTGTTACAGATGCCAACCACCAAATGCCCACCACACAAGTAGTTACATAATGAATTAACCATTATGCATCATTAAACTCAAGTTATATTAGAGGCTGAAACAATCCTTCTAGATTATTTTGTGCGAAGTTTAATTCTATATATTGAGGCTTTTTGATTCATGACTTTGGTCAAGTATTTGTATTGATAGTAAATCATAGGGTATAGTCTGTTATATACTACATGTATAGGTACTAAATGTAGTACATGTATATGCTTGTAGGTAACTGGTAAAAGTACCTGTGTCCTCTTGCTGCGACTTTTCCTCTATTTGATTCTTCTTTTTCTTCCTCCGTATCTTTTCTACTGTCGCCATTTTCTCTACAATATTATTCATTTGCATTAAAATTGTATACAGTCAACTACTGTATAACAAATTACAAAAGTCTAAAAAAAGTCACAAATAATTACACTCACTGTTGTCTATGTCTATGCACCAACCCTGTCAAAAGTCTTGTTATTGATATAAGATAATACATGTATGTACATGTACATGTATACAATGTACATGTAATCAATGAATATTACTATGATCAATATTGTAAATGTTTACTTCCTGCGAAAGCTATGTGGATTTTGATATAACATAAGTTTCAAAATCTAACATGGCTCTCGAAGTGAGTAAGTAAATGTAACATCTCCCTTGCCAAGATTTATAGAGAAGCTTGAACAAATATTGATAAAAATCTGTCCCAAACATAAAGAGACGTAATCACTGAACAATCAACAAGACCATAGTCTTCTGCGCCTTAAGAGCAAGGATACTATATTCTAGGCGCACCTGGGAGGCGCACAGGTCATTTGACTCATTTCGTATACCGCTGGAGTAATTCAGTGCAATTTATTTTAACTTTTCTAATTTATTAGTCACATGATATATTTTGAATCTTCACGAAATTGAATGGTCGAGTCAGCGACCGTCCGAACAATTGATGAAGAAACAATCCTGATAGTGATAACTTGATCGTGAGTATTTGCACACAACATTTCCCCCATTTGTTCATTGTTGTACATTCTCTCACTATTGCTCAAAAAACCAACAGTCCACTATACTATTCCTAGGCCTACATAGGTCTATAGCCTAGAATTTTGAAAATGAAAACAAAAACTTGAAAAGTTACTCACCAGAATTTTGAATGCTGTAATTTTACACTGAATGCACACTCATCAGTATCTTATTCTGGGACACATTTCAAGTATTTTTATGTTCTAGTCACATCACAAAATTATAGCAATAATCAACATGAATTGGACCTTTATTTCAATAGAAAAGGGCCTGTTTATAACTTTGCCAATTTCGACCTGCAAAATGGCTAACTTTCTGCACTTAATGACCTCAACTTGTTGTGGCGACGTTAACTACGTCATCAATACTTGTGTTAACGTCAGGTGATTGAATTATTTATATCACCAAATATTATGGCAATTTTTTAGTCTAATAGCATTTAGCAACTACATATAAAATGGTTAGGCCTAGTTTGTTTTAGTTAAAAGTGCTATTTGACTCGTGACTTTTAAAGGCTCATTATAGAGATATTGCTATTTAAAAAGGCTTGATATCTCCAACTGTTTTGTTTTGTGTGGCATAATTAGTGATTACAATAAGGCAGTCACTAAAATATTTCAAATTTTTGTTTTTTTAGAATATTTAGACATTTACATACTTTTCTTCCATTATGTGGCTAATATGTCGAAGATGGAAGATTCTAGGGTGACTCAGGATCACAGAGAAAGGTATAGACTTTAAATCAAGTTGATTCTATCAGTTCTAGCCAGGAGTAAGAATCCACCTGATTTTCATGATTTTTTCAAGTTCATCTTCTTCTAAGTTCTTAGTCCTTTTCAGTGTTCCTTATAAGGTGTTCCGGGATCACTTTGACATTATTATGCTGCCTTTGATCACTTGTTGCTGTTTTTAAAACTCATGTACTAAAAATATCACTTGTACTTTTCACTTGTGCTTATTTTACTTCTGTTGGGAGAGAGAGCGCTAAAACTTGTTATCTAACGTAGTCTAAAATGCAAGTGTTTTTCCATTAAAATGAGATGTTAAAATAGAGTCACTATCTCACTCAAGTTAAAAATAAGTTATTAAAATCTCTTGGATTTCTGTATAAATGCCTGCAGGCATTTCATAATTTCTTTATTTAACTTATGGTCCAGGCTTGTGTTGAATCCTGTGATTGTTTGTAGGTCCAGAGCTGGATTGTATTTAGCTCCTAGTAGTATCTGTTGCACTTTGGCCAATAGAATCTCCCTCTCTTCCTGGAACTTAGAGCAAGCAAAGATGTAATGTTCAACTGTCTCTGGTATGTTACAGTGGTCACAGTTGGGAGATAAAATATCGGGGTTAATTCTATGGTAATGGCCATGTAAACGGGTGTGCCCAGAAATAATTTGGTTACATATATTTCTATAATACCTAGTTCCTGTCTTTACAATTGGACTTTTCAATTTAACCTTAGGAATTAATTCCTGAACAAAGTTCACCTTGGTGGAGTTGTTATACCTATTTTGCCATTTCTTTAAAGCGTTACATTTGATATTATTATAAGCTACAGACTTAGATGTTTTACAGTCAGTGAGAGATTTGGCTGCCAATGCTGCTTTCTTGGCAGTTTTATCCGCAACTTCATTCCCTTCTGTCCCTTGGTGACCTGGGACCCAGTAGACTTCTAAGGTTTTGTTCTGTAAAGATAGCAGTTTGCAGGCTTTCCTTGTGTCAATAATGTCCTCTGTGATGCTTTTACACTTGGTAGTAATAAAAGATGCTGTTATAGCGGGTTGGCAGTCTGACAAGAGCAGGATGTTGCTGCTAGTCTTTATGGTTGTCAGATATTCTACCGCCATCTTTATTGCTACCACTTCCCCATAATAGTTGTTACCTATGAGGGAGACTGGTTGCTCAAGACATATAGGTGTAGATTTAAGTCCACCCACATAAACCACTGCAGCAGCTCCCGAAGGACCAGGATTCCCATAGGCTGACCCGTCTGTGAAGACTATAGTCCTACCGTCCGGCTGTTCACTAAGCACTGAGCTTATTCGAACACTTTGGGTGGACTTTGTGTTGGCAAAATCTTCGTCATGGATGGTTGCCTTCGTAGTTTGGAAGATGTCTACATCCTGGTGATGGTAATAGTGCTGTATATAATTGTTAGGTTGTGTGGGGCATCTATGAAGTCTCAGTCTGGCTGTTATGATATTAAAGCAGGAGGGGGTCTTCTCAGTTTGAGATGACCCACCCCATCTCAAAAATTCCCTGGCAATGGGGTCTGACTCAGTGTGGGTAGCTATTCTCACACCCTCTTGAGCCTGCCTGCTTCTTAGTAAAATATCAAGCGGTAGTACACCAGCCAGTACTTCTAATGAGTCAGTGCTAGTTGAGTTGAGGCATCCGGTTGCTCTAAGTAGTGCTGCCCTCTGGACTGGTGCATAGGCAGAAACAGCTTTCTCGGTAACTGCAGCCAGAGCACTAATGCTGGTTTCGAAGTGCGGTATCACCAACGTTTTGTACAGCATGGTGAATACCTCTTGGCTACAGCCCGATTTGCTGGAAGTGAAATTATTTATGCCCGCAAGAGCACCGAATGCAGATTTTTTCTTATTTTCGATATGTAGATTAAATTTAAGTTCGTTATCTATGGTGCATCCAAGAATCTTCTTGTGGGACACCACCTGGAGTTTCCGGCCGTCGATAAATATGTTAATATCGGGGCTAGTGATACCAGGTGGACTGAAGACCATTACCTCGGTTTTTTCAGGGGCGATCTCCATGTTCCATCTTTTGCACCATTTGTTGGTTAATTGATTCAAGTCCGTGTTGATGAGTTTCTCTATCTCTTTCAAGTCAGCTCCACATGCCCATATTGTGTTGTCATCTGCAAAGCCAGCCTTCTCCGACCCTATGTTGTCCATGGAGTCTGCCGTGTAGAGATTACAGAGAAGCGGAGACAACACGGACCCCTGAGGGATGCCCACCACTGTAGGGGAGTAGTGTGGTTGTTGACAGATATAGAGAATTGCCTATTAGTTAAGTATTCACTGATGTACACTAACAGGCGTCCATTGATTCCCTTCTGGGCTAGTTTGTAGATGAGCCCCTCCCTAAACACCCGTTCAAAACAGCTCTCGTAATCTAATACTGCTGCGATGACATATTCTCCTCTATTCCACGCCTCCTGGATGGACTGCACCAATCTAATCACAGTCTGTGAACAGGATCTATGTTCCCTGTAAGCATCCTGGAAGGCACAGTAAGAGGATGTAGTCTCGCTTATCCATGATAACCTTGGGCTGACTACCCTTTGTAGGATTTTCCCAACTTGAGCTTCAAGTGTTATAGGGCGATAGGATCTGTCTGAATTATAGTTATTTTTGTTAGGTTTACCTAACATAATCTTTGGATCAATTCTAAATTCCTGGGGAAGCTGACCTTCCGCCCAGCATTTCTGTGAGAGAAGCCAAATTGATTTATGTAGTGTGATCCCCCCTTTTTTGATAAAAATACTCAAAATTTTTTCCCTAGGACTAGGAGCAGTTTTAGCTGGTGTTTTCTCAATAGCTGCTATTATTTCATCAAATTCTATGTCCTTGTTAAAAGGTTCGCAAGTCTGATTGTAATTAGTGTTTTTAATTTTGATTTTTTCAAGTTGGACAGATTCTTTGGCCTTTCTCACAACAAAGTTGTACCATTCATCATACCGCTGTACTGGCAGATGTTGCTTGCCATATTGCTTAACCATAGTTTCTGCAATGTCCTCATCGGTATGATGAATGTTACCATTTCCATCTATAATTGGTTGGACTATTTTCTTACCCTTTTTGGTTTGAGTTTTCATTACAGTTTTCCATATCATATTTGGGTTACCCAGATCAAACTCTTCGAAGAGATCATCCCAATAGCTAGATTCAGCTTTATGTGCACTCTCTGCGAACTCTTCTGCGAGCCTGGTATAGGTTTCCCAATTATGAGGGTCACTGCGCTTGTTATAACGGCGTTTTGCCCTTCTCAGAGCTTTAACTTGTTGATTTAAATTGTCGTTCCACCACCCTTTGCTCTTAGAACAAACTTTTTTCTTAGGTATGATGTCGTTTATGACTTTGAGCATTATCGAGCATAGGGAGGTGTAAGCTTCTTCAACATTGGCAGCAATAACGTTTTGTTGCCAGTTAAGACAAAGTTTTTCCATTTCAGAAACAAATTTTTCCCAATTTGCATTTTTCAAATCATAATATTCCCTGACTTCCTCCTTCCCGGCCTGGCCGACGCTGAATGAGATAAGTTTGTGATCTGATTTCAAATAGATCTCATCCCGCACCGCCCACTCCGAGATCTTGGATGTCAGTGAGCCGGAGCCGATGGTTAAATCGATGATAGTTTCATTTCTAGTGAACTGATGATTGTTGAAAATGTGTAAGTCATGGATCATGGCAAACTCTGCAATAGTGCTTCCCAATTTGTTAATAGAACAGTCATTCCATAAGGGATGTCTCCCATTAAAATCCCCTGTAAAAAGTACTGGAAGCTTGCTATGTAAAGCAGAGGTTGCCACTCTAGAAAATTTATCCCATGATTCAATGTTTCCTGGGGGTATATAAACTGAACATAGAAGAAAAGCAAGGTCTTTACAATAGACATTTGCCCAAGCTGCCTCTATGTCATTTCTCATGAGATCATTTCTTTTTACCACCTTTGTGTCTGATGATGCTATAATGGCTGCCCCGCCCCCCTCCCTGCCTTGTCTGATAGAGGAAATCCAAGTCCAGTCTTTTAGACCGACTCTTTGGATTGATTCAGCTGTAGGGTGCCAGATTTCTGTAATGCAAAATATAGATGCTTCAGGAGAGATATGTTTGATGTATTTAGCCGAGGTGTTGATAGAACGTATGTTAGCTTGGAATATTTTCATTGTCACTAGCAGAGAAAGTAAGAGAGTAGCAGCCACTATAGTTATGGAGTTACTATACATTAGTGCTCCTTTTGAGCTTTAAATCAATATAATAAATGCACTTATTGGAGCTAGCTTTGTGGTTTTCTCCACAGTTGTTACACTTAGTTGAATTGGTACACTTATTCTTATGTGCACCACCACAGTTTTCGCACTTAGCTTTGTTAGTGCAAGCCTTCGCCACGTGCCCGTAAAATTGGCAACGGAAGCACCGGGTTACTTTGTGCTTGGCTGTGTTGATTGCTTCCACTAACAAAATTTTATTACCAATAGTTAATTTTGTTTTGAATAAGATAGACAGATCAGTATGATTACTACATGTGGCAGCCACTATAGGCATGCCCTTACCAGTATCCCTGTATTTGAATCTTCTTATAGATACACTTATACCTGATTGTTGCTCAACTACTTGTTTCAGTTCTTCTGGATTTATACTTGTAGGGACGTTCCTTATGATACAAAGGGAGGTGGGGGTAGTGTCGTGTATGTCAAGTTGTTTGCCACTTCCTCCAAACGCTGATTCAGGCCAGTCCCTGCTGAGGAGTTCCTTTTGTTCTGGGTCAGCGTAGTGAATTGCAATTCCTCCTCTGCAAAGCTGATAAGTGTGGGTTATTTTAACTTGGGATTTATGTTTGAATATTTCTTTTTGGATTTTATCACTATCCTTGAATAGGCCTGGGTTTTTCAAGTTGTCGATGATTAAAATGTTCTTTGGTAGATTTTGACTCACAGTGCTATTTATAGCACTCTTGCTACTATGTTTAGCTTGAGAAATCTTAGGTGGACTCAAATTAATAGCCAGTTTGTTTTGCTTATCCGAAGGAGAGACCGTGTTCTGAGGCTTAAGCTTTATATCAGCATTGATGCTGTTGAGTATGCAGTAAGGGCAGTTGAAGACGGTCTCTTCTTGCGCATATAATTTGAGTAACGGGCAGTCTTCCTCGCTATTACCTAGACCCAGACAGTTAGAATGCCACCATTGCTCACAATTTGAGCAGTTCAGAAATATACTATCTAAATCTTTATTACATGGACAGGAGTCCTTTTCCTTTGATTTGAGAATGGTAGCCTTTTTAGCTTTTGACTTAGATTTTACAGGCATTCCAAGCTGTCTGGAAGCTGGTTTAACATGTACCTGTACAGTTACCAAGTGAGTTGGTTATTTGGCAAAGATAAAAATACTCTATGTGTATATATATATATTTATAAAAAGGTTTATATAAAAAAGAAAGCTTTGTAAAAATAGACTCTATAAAAATAGACTTTTCAATCCTAACACATATAAAAATAACTAAAATGTGCCAATCTAAATCGGCCACAAGTTCAACTTCAGATCCCTAAGGCTTAGGCCTAAGCTTGACTTCTTTTTTCAACCTCAAGATCTCCGCTGCAGTAAGAAAGCTGTCAGATTTTTTGCGATAGCAGTGACAGTAGTGTTGTCATAATTAATCGACACTCTGTGATGTACAGCGTAAATCAACAAACGTGATCTGATGCATTTATGTGCTGCCCTGTCAACCCTCACACATTAGGCGTGATTGTCACGCATTTGCTGGAAAATAGAAATCACACATCAATTTAGTGTGTATGATCAAATATCACGCAAATCCAAATTTCGTTGATATTTTTAAAAATCGTTTTACCGACACGGTAAAATACTGAACGGCAAAAGAAAGCGAACGCATTCCGTTCGGTCTTTGCACGCGAATGCCGTTTATGTCACGCATTTGGTACAAAATATGTGTACATATCACGCATTTGTTTCGAAAATATTTACACCATGATGAATAAATAAATAAATAAACCATATTTTCCCCGCTTGTGCATCGCACTGCATTATTCAAGAAATGATATAACAGAACATGATCATACACTGTAGACATTACCCTTGACAGTGGTGCGTCTTCAGTGTGTAGGTAATTGTAGGTATTTATATTTTCTCTCAGGCATACAATGATTTAAATCCAACTTTAATTGTACATGTACATGTATGTCGCAATTACATATTTACAGTTTGGCAAGAATAAGAAAACATCTTGGTTTGGAAGATGTGAACAAAAGCTTTCAAGGCAATACTAGTCATGTAGTACCTAATGCTACAAGAACATTCCAGAAGTCAAAGCTAGGAAAGTTGCCTAAATATGAGTATCGAAGATCTCCAACTCCACCAAGTCAATTGCCAAGGTAAGCATTTTAGAAATTATAAAAGGTGATAACAGCAAACTCCAGTATGACACTGTAAATTAATGAAATTACTGTACATAATCATCGTGTAAAAGCAAGATGTTTAAGATACAGCAAATTCTACTCTTCAGCCAATGAAAAAATAAACATATTACATACATGTATGTAAGCTGTGAAATGAAGTACATTGGTATTACATATACCAAATAAGTGATGATTGACAAGCCGTGATGTGGACCAAAAACAGATATACAATTGATCCAGGCTACCTTCAAAATAATAAAAATTTATCTATTTCAGAATACAGACTCCGCCAGAGCATGATCAATATTATGATAAGAGGGCTCTGAGGGGTAGGAAATATGATGTAGTACCACCACTATACCCTACAGCTTATGATCACAATCGGTTTGTACCTATCTTGTGTCCTTCACTAATAACTCAATTGGGCTGTACTCAAATTCTAATTTAAGTGTTAGCAACTTAAATGTTAGCAATATTCTAATTAACTGTAAGCTTTTTTAGATTTTGCATGAAAGTTTTAACAATGTTCTATAATTTAAGCAATATTCTACTTTAGGTGTCAGCAATAAAGACTAAGAATGTATATTTTTTATTTTCATGTTTATTTTATATTTCAGTGAAAGTGACGAAGATAGCTGGGGAGAAGAGAGTAGTGATGAAGATACCTACCACCCCTGGCCATCACAAAATGGACTCTTCCAAGGTTACCCACCTCAAAATGGTGCTCTCTCTATGGTACCCTTTGGGAACCCTTACGCTAAAAACTCTGGTGCTCCAATGATGTTTCCCATGCCTATGATGTTTATTCCTCCAAACTTTCAACACAATAAAAAGCCAAAGAAGCATAAGAATGCAGAAAGAAGGCTTCAAGGCGGGGTATCTGTTAGAGATGCTTATGGGGCCAATGACAGCTTCCTTGTACCAAGACAAAAGGTATGGGCAAAACTGACTCATCGCATCAGAGGTCGATTGATTGTTATAGTAGTGATGTAATGTAGTCAGAACTTCAACATATATTTTTGATTTATTTCCTTTTTCATTCTAATAGAATAAAAATATATGATTGTTTGCACATTGTTATAATGGTGATCGGATGAATAGTCAGTAGTTTTCAACATATTTCTTATATATTTTTTCTTTATAATATTATTTGATTATATGAGTGCATTTTACAGTATTTTTGGATGCAGACATGACAAAGTTGAAATACTGCTGATACTTAATGTATTGTTTGCTTGTAATTTCATAACTCAATAAAATTGTTCTTCTACATGTAAATGTGAGTTTAGCTTTTAGGGCTGGTTATAACATGACTTAGTTTTTCTAGAACATGTTCTATTTGATAATATCAAGAAATACTGACTAAGTTCCTCACTATTGTTCGAAGTAGGAATGCAAGTGGCAAATGCTGGGGATATTTGCAGAGACTTACCACCTGCATTCTTGTGACGATATCAAGGAGCTAAAGTCATATTTTGTTTTATCAGGTAAAATAAGTTGTTGACTGTAGAATATGCTTCAATACTATTGCATATTTTAGCCCAATATGAATGTAACCCTAGAAGAGTGTAAATGAACTGCACTGTTGTAACTATGTGGGGGCCAGTGAAATCGGTACTGATGTCATGCAACTAATTGCTCCCCTATTTTTGCTTTACTAACTGTATTTATAATGCCTTTGATCATATCAGTGGTCCAATGTGTCTAAATCTCAGCAGTTTCGGAAAAATGGAGTCATATTTTTGTGGGCTGGTGACAAATTACTTTTGCAAAATGTATATTTCTAACTCATGGGAGGTTAGCAAAGTGTTTGTTCAGCAATAATAGTTTGATCTAGGCACTGAAATTAAATTGACATGTAACCAATACTTTCAGATTTCTTTTTTTAGAGAGGGAGTAAAATTAATATTTTTTCATTTCCACAATTTTGTCCACAATTCATCAAAATTCCTGATAATTCTGATATTCTTGCTATTGTAGTTGTTAGATGCTTTGAAATATCTCAGTCAGAACCCAATGTTTGCCAGAGATTTCATAGATCAGTTTCTCCTAGACTTCTTAGATGAAGAAATACCTGATCTCCTTATACAGGTCATAACTGGGGTAAGTATCACATGCCCTTACACAACATGAAAAGCAAAATAAATCTGAAATCTTTAATGAAACTGCTTATGCTTTGTCATCTTCTATTCTAGTCAAGAATTCAGTAGAATAGAACAATGCACTATTTGGTCTGGATTTTAAGGGTAGTGCTTAAAAGAAAACTAACAGCTTAGAAATTCATTCTGAGATTACTAAATGTTTTAAATCACATAACATGTAATGCTTTTTGATGAAGCTTCAGTTTACGTATCGATGCTGATATGTATTTAAACTGCTTTATTTAAAGAATGTGCCGGAACCTGGGAAACCTGGAATTCCACAGTTGCTTGACAGGTGAGCTCACTATTTATTAATACATGTTTACTTTTGCGTAACAGACAACTGTGTTGCAAACTTGTGTAAACAAACACCTCTTTAAAAAATTGTTATTTTAAAATGATTTTATTTTGCAGTTTTTGGTTTTAATTTCAGTCATCTCATTGATGTTATCAAAACCTTTTAATTAGCTAATTCCAATGTTAACTCAAACATACTGTATATTGAAATTCAATTCAATCTTTCTCAAGAATAAACTCTTTCCCTTATCAATAATTATTGAACAAACCTTGGACATATACCTCGTATACCTTTATTGATAATTTATTTATTAATATCTTTGCTGCATAAAGAATAATTTTGTGAAATGTATTGTAAACATTATACTTTACATTATACTTTACTCAGTTACTGTATAATTTAGGAATAGCAATTTCAAACTTGGTGCAGAACAAGAAATTGAACAAGCTGAGATAATCAGTGACATAACTGAAGAGCTGATTGCTGAAGAAATCAGTCAAGTTGGAAAGGAAACTATACAAGACTTGGCCGGAAATGTCTTGGAGCGTGCTCAGATCTATGATGTCACAATGGACATGGTCTTAGAGATTCTCTCAGAAAATGCAATAGATATCGTAAGTTTTTCATACATTGGTTATACTGACGTATTGATTCGGTCAAAATACATGTACTGCCAAGTCGTGGGTGAAGTTACAAAATGCTATTTATGTATCTAATGTCCAATACTTCCAATTGTTACATATTTGTATCAATGTTTTAGTGTGTTAATAATACATGTAATGCTCTATAGAGTGTCATACATGTGAATGTTGCATTGTTACATAAGAATAAATAAGGTGAAGATGCAGAAATGTTATCAGTTATTGCTTTTTTTTCCATGTACATGTAGGTGGAAGATGCAATGCATGAGGTGGAGGGAGAGGAGATCTTGAATAGCTTCCTAGAAGAAGAACTTAATGAGCTATGTCAGAAAACTGCCGTTGAAGTCCTTACTCATTATGACTCAAAGATACGCAGGCGAGAACTCAAACAGGTAAATCATTGTGAATAAAAGCCCTCTATACAGCACAGGGCTGACCAAATTATATTTGTCACAAAATTAATCATTGAACATCTTGAGATAAGTTCTTTCAATTTTGAAGTGAGAGTCATTGTTGATGAATTGGTATGTGATGACATTCAGTGTATATTTTAAAATGTGAAGTATGCAAACTGCAGCCAGGCTCCCAGCGACTCTAGCTCCTATTGGTTAGGAGTTGGTTGCATTGAGTCATGGATCTGGTTGCAGTTTACACAGAGCCTTTAAAATCTATGTATTTTAGATTATGAGTGATGCTAATGAGAAGGTGCTTGACAGCTTGATGCTGGACCATTTACTTGCCAATGTTGCCCAATGACATGCAGTTTATATTTTGAAATCAATGTATTTTAGATCATAAGTGATGCCAATGAAAAGGTGCTTGACAGCTTGATGCTGGACCATCTGCTTGCCAATGTAGCCCAATGACATGCAGTGTATATTTTGAAATCAATGTATTTTAGATCATGAGTGATGCCAATGAAAAGGTGCTTGACAGCTTGATGCTGGACCATCTGCTTGCCAATGTAGCCCAATGACATGCAGTGTATATTTTGAAATCAATGTATTTTAGATCATGAGTGATGCCAATGAAAAGGTGCTTGACAGCTTGATGCTGGACCATCTACTTGCCAATGTAGCCCAATGACATGCAGTGTATATTTTGAAATCAATGTATTTTAGATCATGAGTGATGCTAATGAGAAGGTGCTTGACAGCTTGATGCTGGACCATCTCATTGCCAATGTAGCCCAATGACATACGGTGTATATTTTGAAATCAATGTATTTTAGATTATGAGTGATGCCAATGAAAAGGTGCTTGACAGCTTGATGCTGGACCATCTCCTTGCCAATGTAGCCCAATGACATGCAGTGTATATTTTGAAATCAATGTATTTTAGATCATGAGTGATGCTAATGAGAAGGTGCTTGACAGCTTGATGCTGGACAATCTCCTTGCCAACGTAGCCCAATGACATGCAGTGTATATTTTGAAATCAATGTATTTTAGATCATGAGTGATGCCAATGAAAAGGTGCTTGACAGCTTGATGCTGGACCATCTACTTGCCAATGTAGCCAGACAGGGACAACTCTGGACTGAAGATGACTTTGCTGAAAAAATATTAGACAGTATGTTAGATTTCTACCTTGATCATGATTATAGAAGTGATGCTTACACATTTCGATATTCAAAACAATGCACCCATTCTTAAACCTTTTGCATGAAAATTGTAATTTTACCCAATTTCGGGTACTTGACTTTTTACCAGGATTCTTGACATATAGTCTCCAAGTTTTTTATGGTCACTGTTCCATGGTTGATGTTTGCTGTATGTATTCAGCATCTGTAACAAATGGCAGCTGTTGACATTTTGCGTGTTTATGCCTTGTATTAATTATGCGGTTGTGTCAATTTCAGGTGAAATTCTTGACATTCTACTCTTCCAACATTTCCAAATTCGGGATAATGCAGCATTAACTTTGAACAACAGACCATTAAGGAAGTTCCATGAGAGAGTTGTAACTGATGTGGTACGTACAGACAGTATTTCTTCAGTTAATTCTTTCATTTAAGTTGAGCTCTTGACTGGCACATTTTCTCCAGGAGGTTTAAAACATTCATTAAAAATACCATGCATGAAATCTTTGTTCATTGTTCTGTTCATTTTGAATTATAAAATTTATACATACACAAATCTGGAAAAAAATCATTAATGGTAACTTGTCGAGAGCACCTGTATGTCTGTAAGCGACATGGACTTGTACCTGTGCTACTTTCCTATTGACTACAATACAATAGTTTTACTAACTTTGTAATTCTCATTTATACATGTAATGTACTTTTACTTTCCAGGCCCTGGATGTACTGCTAGGTGAACTGGGTGAGTCATTGGAAGAAGATCTCTTGGACATAGATGAATATGAGGTTGGCCTTAATGACACTAACCTAATTCTTATATGACAATAAGGATATGATGTTGGCCTGTTAAACTAACTTAATTCTTATTGCAATTAGGGACTGATGCTGGCACCTCACACATATAGAAGCATATAGCCTATTAGGACAGTCACCTAGTACAGTTGGAAGCAGTTATGAGAAGTGAGATAAATAAGTGCAAAGATCAAATATTTCAGTTTAAGCCAGGAAAAAAGTATGTTTTTGCCTGTTTCGATTGATTTTCAGATGGTTTTGATATTGGCTAGATGGAAAGGGAATTTTATGTTATTTCGAATGAAATGCATTTGAGCATAGTATATTTTAAATTTCCTTGGCGATGTCAAAACACAGTAACAACTAATTTTTGGTGACTTAAAATTACTATAATGTCACATTGAATACTTGAATAGTACATACATTGAATAGTATTGAAGTGTGTTCAAAATAACCAGCAGTTGGGATATCACTTTTTTTCTTTTTTTTTATTCATCAAATTTAAAATGTATATATGTAGTCTAAAAATCATATAAGTCACTCCATTACCCATTCATTCACATTTTCCACTGAGTGGGGATATCACATTATACATGTGTACAACCAATGAAAATTCTTCATTTGGTATTTGTTTTCATCAACAGGTATAAATACACATTCCTCAAATATGTAAATTCAGCTCTATGGTTTTCTATAAGATGCAAGTTCCATGTGTTAAATGTTTAAGATTATTCCGTCCGATTTCACAAGTCTCACTTTTTTTCTCAGATTTGCCCCTTGGGCTTCTTTGAGAAAATGTCCAAAATGTGGGAATAAAACTGAATGCTCATACTTCAAATTGTACAAGTCTCTGACTTCTCTCCATATTCACGAGACCATGTACCATATACACCATGATTTACTGTGATAATGATAAATATAATGTGCATAATATAATTTATGTAATTAATTTATTGTAAATAAACAAATCACTGTGATGATTATATTTTAAAAAAATATTTTTGTCAATTTTGGTCCAGAAAAATAAGTATTCCAAGACTCGGAGTGCAGAGTTCCTCGACACATTATTTTAACTCATAATATTTCTGATGTGTCCATCTGCGCTGAGACATTATGTCTTTTAACAAGATGGATGAAATTTTTCCTTTCATTATTTTGACAAAGAAGGGTCAGTTTGTATCTAAACATTTATCCTTATCTTAAAAGCAGCATCTGGTTACTGAATAGCGAATTAGTCAAAGAGTTTATACATCCAAAGGCTCCAATTATTGAGTGAGAATTCCTTAATTCAGCAACCAGGACGTTAATAGGCTATTACACAAAGCAACCAAGATGTTAGGAAATTCACCAGATAACGTCATGGTTGCTGAAATGAGGAATTCTCACTCGATTATTGGAACTGCTGGATAAATATCAGAACAGCACTTTGATATGAATTTGGTAAACAATGGGTTTTTCAATGTGCCGTCGTACTGTGAGATGTGTCTTTACTACTAGTTATCTAGTGTATATAATAGTAACAAACAACTGCAGCTTAATATTATTTCTAACTGTTTTATTAGTTAGTGTTGTTATGTGCTTCTCACTTGCTATTATCACATAGTAGAATATTGACAGTGAAATATAAAATAAAGCACTAAACAAAGCAACTTTTCCCATCAAATCAAAGTGTGAAAATAGCAATATTCTTTGAAATCAATTCTTTAAAAGTTCTCTGATACTAGTAAACAGATTTGGAATCAATACCACTTGGATCACTATGCATATTGTACCCTAGGCAGTTTTTCTTATATTGCAATATACTGTTTTTCAGACTTAATGGTATAACAGTAGATTCAAGTGATAACAGTAGTACCTTTATTTAGATTAAAGAGAGTTACTTTCTGTTGCCTTACTAAAAACTCCACAAATAAAATTACAAAATCGATCTGTCATCACCATTGTAAGATTCATGCCAATTTATTTTGTGGGAATATCATACCTTGAAAAAGGTTTATCCATTAAGCATTGAGAAAACATTACGATTTTTAGAGATCTCTTGTAATTCAATACTTGTGTAAGTAAGAGATTGATGGTTCATGAAGTTTTTCGTAAGGCAATAGAAATTGAGTACCTTGAATGTAAACGATTGCAAAAGCTCACAATGTGGGCTAATAAGACAGAACTAAACATACAAAATATTAGGGATCCAGCCTTGAGCTATATCAATATTTTCTATTAATGAAAACTTACAAGACATTACCATTGTACTCAATTTCATTCGAACAAAACATACAATTTGGCAGCAAACTATTCAATTCATGTTTACTATCAGATCTTATATTTGGCAAATCATTGAGATAAATGACTATTGAAGATGACAACTTTGACTACATTTGACAGTTTGATATATGAATAGAAACTGAGATGAATCATCTTTTTACATTGTGCAGGTAGACTAGAAACCTGAAATACCAACCCGATTGCTTTTCAAATGAAAAGAACCCTAAGGGCCAGAACACAATATTTTATGCTTGAACTGTTGAATCTATCCATATATCTATCCATTGCTTTTCAAATGAAAAGAACCCTAAGGGCCAGAACACAATATTTTATGCTTGAACTGTTGAATATCTATCCATCTATCCATTGCTTTTCAAATGAAAAGAACCCTAAGGGCCAGAACACAATATTTTATGCTTGAACTGTTGAATATCTATCCATCTATCCATTGCTTTTCAAATGAAAAGAACCCTAAGGGCCAGAACACAATATTTTATGCTTGAACTGTTGAATCTATCCATATATCTATCCATTGCTTTTCAAATGAAAAGAACCCTTAGGGCCAGAACACAATATTTTATGCTTGAACTGTTGAATCTATCCATATATCTATCCATTGCTTTTCAAATGAAAAGAACCCTAAGGGCCAGAACACAATATTTTATGCTTGAACTGTTGAATATCTATCCATCTATCCATTGCTTTTCAAATGAAAAGAACCCTAAGGGCCAGAACACAATATTTTATGCTTGAACTGTTGAATATCTATCCATCTATCCATTGCTTTTCAAATGAAAAGAATTCTAAGGGCCAGAATGCTTTTCAAATGAAAGGGATAGGTAACTATTGTTCAGATCCATTTGTATCAAGTTTCTGGTACCACAATGCATTTCTCAACCAAAATAGAAAGATTTGCAATACACAGCTCAAACAGCTTGCTGCAAATGAATTCATTTGATATTACATGGGAGAAATACAGCATGTAATATGTGGCACATCATTTTCATCACGTGACACATCATGAACCGGTTAATTGAGGTGTTTCTAGTCTGACCCTATATGGTAAATATCTCTTTATATCAAATAAGCAGATTCACAGTTATTCTGTATTCAACAATGACGCTGAAAATAATTTGAAAATCATATTTTGTTGGGGTATACAGACATTGGGTCAAAATATTAGGTCAAGAAATCAAGTCAAGACATGTTCATTTATCAGCTATGATTTGTGTGAGAAGAATGAATCCTTCTCCAGGGATATATACATTGTATCACTTTCTTCCATGATCTTCAGTGACACTTCCAAGACAGTACAGGTTGTCACACTATTTCATCTTAGTGTGCACTATTTTAGCTCTGGTGTCACTCTTTTTTAACTCTCCTTATAACGTACACACATGCTAGGGTCACGCAATCTTGTTAATTATAGCTTGGTGTACAGAGTGTATTTGAGCTGTCCATTTATCTAAAGCACTATAACGTGCAATACCCTGAGTCTCTCTAGCTAGTTCTAGTACTTGATTCACCTGGTCTATCCTCCCATGGATTGTACTGGAAACACACAAAGAACGTATGAATTAACAAAAGTTGTAAAATTAGAAGATTAACTATTTTCAACATTAGTTTCAAAGACTGGGGTAAATAGAAGGAATAGAGACCAGCAGATAGTAAAAATTGGCAGTTATACAGAACCTTGATCTAATCACTCTTACTATATTGTGTCTGTTTTAAAAGCCACAACAGTTCTGGTTCTATTTCAGGATTAGCCTTTAGTTTTTTAGATTAATTCTATGAAACAAGATATTTGAATTCTTTTCCAGAGCATGAAATTGGATTGTAAAGATAACATTTGCATGCATTATTTTTAAAGATTGCTTCCATCATTTTATATACGTTATCCCTTCTATTTCCTTTCATGCAATGTAATTTAGTATTATTTCTACAAGTCTGGCTGAATAGAAATTATGTGAATAAAAATATGATGTTTTGATTTCTTTTAAAGTCCCCGTCTAAAGTTTGAAAATATTTTTTTATCATTCATTTACTATTTGTCAGGACTTAAAAAGTGATTTTAGAGATTTTTGAACAAAAAATATTTTTTGAAAAAAAAGTTGTGAGCATTTCATTTCTCAAATATTCAAATTTCCCGCCAAAAATGGAAATTTCTTAATCATCAAATATTTCTTAATGCATTTCAAAAAAGATTATATTTTTAACACCAATGCAAAGATTGAACAAAAGACACACTATTTCAATAATAAAATGTCATATTTAATGGGCCACTTCAATGTTTTAGCTTATCAAAAATATTTTGAAACATTAGTGATGTCACTAAGGTAACAAAAACTTTTTGAAAAAAATTGAATTTTTTTTTTCGATGTCAATCTTTTCTAAATATGCTAGACTTTCATAAAAAACCAATGTTGATTGTCTTACCAGGTTAAAAGGAAGAATAAATGATGTTTTAGATATCGTTGTACCATTGGTTTCTATGAGAACTAAAATTTTGAAATGCATTTTTCTCAGAACCATTTTCATGCACTGATAAGTTCATTTCTCGCTTGTTTATCAACCGATTTTCTTAATTTTTTCGGCAAAAAACATGGGAGGATGTATGCTATGCATTGGTATGAATTGTGGCTAATTAGAAGATATGAGTGACCTCTAAAAGTTGGTTTAAATAAATTCACAAATTTTGGATCAAAAAGTCTATCAAAAACCACTTTTTGAAATTAAAAAAAAAAGTTTCACATATCACACTTTGATAACATTGGGTAAGACTAGAATATAAGCCAAAGTGGTTTAAACTTTACATGGGGCCTTTAACTCAAACAGAAGTCAATTTTATCGATCAAACAGTTTTTACATTGACGAGAATTAATTTATCTTTTACAACTTACTTGTCTAAAATGCAAGACACCAACAGGCTTTCTACCTCAGTGACATCTATATTAAGCTCCTGAAATTGCAAACACTTTGTTCATGAACTTTATGATTTTTACATGGTAACTTCTATAATAGTGTACATAGGGTAACAGTTTTTAATATGCATGTTAGTACATCAACTAAATTATCTATAGCCTGATTGGGGTGAATTACCAAACAATAAATTATTTAGGTTAGTCATTAATTAGTTCAATCATGGATTTTAAAATTACGATCAATCTTCGGTTTTAAGTAGATATTTCAGATAATCTTACCTTAGATATAAATGGAATATGTATTCTGGTATAAGGTTTTATAAGCTTTATAAGCACTTGGGTTCGGATGTTTCGTAACAAATCTGGAAAATAAAACCTAAGGTATAACTATTTAGAACAATCAAAAACATACTTTAACATATTTTAAGAAACAAGTGCTACTTTCTGTTTAAACTTTATTTCATGTATGACAACAGTATGTTCACTAAAATGTTTTTTCGAGGAAGTCCATTTTTCATATCACTTAAGATAAATAGATGAATTAGCACCAAGTTGTATAATGTATATGACCATGAGCATATGATGATGAGTAAAAGATTTACTTCATTCCTCAAAGATCTATTAAGCCATTAACATGCAAAATGTCACCACCTGCCATTTATTACTGACATCAAGCACAGCAGCCATGTGCCAACCACCGAATGGCAAACCCAATCCATAAAAAAAAACTATAACAATATATCTTTAGACTCAAATCATTAGACCACCATGTAGAATACAGAATACATACCCTCTATGTGTTCCCGAATGAACGGGTCTTCCATTATATTTTTCCTATTTGTTTTTAATATTTTTTCAAATTCGTTGATATCGTTATTTTGGTAGGCGCTGAAAAACAAGCAAGAACAATAGAGAATTTTAAAAAGGAATATATTCAAAAAGAGAACTGTCCTAACAAGTACTTAATTGCCTACTGCACTGTGTAAAGATTTGGCTATTAATGTCCAATCAGGACACAGCCAAGGAATAATTGTTTAAATAATAAAAAATATGATCAGTCGTTTATTAATCAGTTCAAGGCAATCTATCACTAAAAATCATCAATCTTCTGTGTGCTGATCCACACAAAAATATGTGGTTTTGCATATAAAAAAATTATTTTATTTTGCAAACAATAATTCTACTCACCTTACTAAGTTAGTCATTGCTAGAATTTCAGGGTCATTTTTGTAAGGTTTTGCCTCCTGAGAGTCAAATGGGTTGATGCCAGACTTCATTAACATGTTAGCTAAGACAAGGTACTTCAGACAAGTTGTCCGCCTGGAAAAAGGTATTGTATATGTTTATTAAAACCATTAAGTTCAATTTTGTTCACAATTCAATACAAGGCATTAACATGACAAAATGTCACCACCTAAAACAATTTGGTCAATTTAAAGCAAGTTGGAAAATACCTTTTGACCTTGAGAAGGTCATTGAAGGTCAAAGGTCAAATCTAAAGTCAGATTTGAACTTCTGAGAACTTGTAAAGTCAAATTTGAACTTTTGAAAAGATGTAGATGATTTTGAAAAAAAAATTTGGTCAATTTGAAGCAAGTTGAAAACAGACCTTTTTGACCTTTTTTGACCTTGAGAAGGTCATTAAAGGTCAAATGTCAAATCTAAAGTCAGATTTGAATTTCTGAGAACATGTAGATGATTTTGAAAAAAAAATTAGTCAATTTGAAGCAAGTTGAAAAAGACCTTTTTGACCTTTTGTGACCTTGAGAAGGTCATTGAAGGTCAAATGTCAAATCTAAAGTCATATTTGAATTTCTGAGAACATGTAGATGATTTTGAAAAAAAAATTTAGTCAATTTGAAGCAAGTTGAAAAAAGACCTTTTGACCTTTTTTGACTTTGAGAAGGTCATTGAAGGTCAAATGTCAAATCTAAAGTCAGATTTGAATTTCTGAGAACATGTAGATGATTTAAAAAAAAATTTAGTCAATTTGAAGCAAGTTGATAAACGACCTTTTTGACCTTTTTTGACTTTGAGAAGGTCATTGAAGGTCAAATGTCAAATCTTAAGTCAAATCTAAAGTCAGATTTGAATTTCTGAGAACACGTAGATGATTTTGAAAAAATTTTTTAGTCAATTTGAAGCAAGTTGAAAACAGACCTTTTTGACCTTTTTTGACCTTGAGAATGTCAAATGTCAAATCTTAAGTCAGATTTGAATTTTTGAGAACACGTAGATGATTTTGAAAAAAAAATTTAGTCGATTTTGAAAAAAAAATTTAGTCAATTTGAAGCAAGTTGAAAACAGACCTTTTTGACCTTTTTTGACCTTGAGAAGGTCATTGAAGGTCAAATGTCAAATCTAAAGTCAGATTTGAAGGTCAAATGTCAAATCTAAAGTCAAATCTAAAGTCAGATTTGAATTTCTGAGAACACGTAGATGATTTTGAAAAAAAATTTAGTCAATGTGAAGCAAGTTGAAAAAAGACCTTTTTGACCCTGAGAAGGTCATTGAAGGTCAAATGTCAAATCTAAAGTCAGATTTGAACTTCTGAGAACATGTAGATGATTTAGAAAAAAATTGAAGTCAGTCTAAACAGTATTTGTTAAGTTATAGGAAGTTGTAAGAAATTGTTACAGACGCCGGACGCCGGACGCCAACCTCCAACCGCCAACCACCAACCGCCGTCGCAAAAAAATGGAGACCATAACAATATGTCACCACTTTTGGTGGTGACATAAAAATGAAACAATGGAACAATATTTAACTCAAACAAAGCAAATAACATGACAACATTTTAACACCTGGTTTATGCAAATTGTCTCAGAAGTGTAAAAATTTGTTTAAATTAGTGTCTACGTATGTTAGTGACACGAAAAACAAAAGAAAAAAATAAATATCCGATTGTTTTTAAGAAATCTCTGAAAATTCATTCACAAATCGTTGAGATAATTACCTAGGACTGCCTGATTCATCATAATTTTTGAAAGCTTCAAAGAAGTCTGTATGTGCTTTTTCATATTCTCCTTCTCGGAGGTGCATTTTGCCGCCACACTCTGGAGAGTAAATACGAGTAGACAGTTTTAACACTTGTAGCATTCTCCAAATGCAGGGATCTACCATCCAGATCTCATTTACTTAAGTGATTAAGGGAATCCAAACCAAACCAAAATTTTCCAGTGATACACATATAAAATAAACCCTGGGCCTCCCATTATCTTAATATTCTTTGAAATAAATTGCAGCAATCTCATCTGTTTCTTTCATATCAACAGCAAAATAAAAGTTGATAATAATCATTTTAAATAGTTTTTTTTTTACTTTATATCCAATTCTTTGCAACAATATATAATTCACAAGCCAGTAGCAAGCCTTCATTTTGGGGTTATTAGTGCATGTATCAAAATTGGAGGCTAGAAAGAGAGAATGTGTAGTCCAATAGTAATTTTGAAATAAGTGAATTGGTAAATTACCTCGAATCACGCCCATGATTAGTGGATGTGGAATTGCAGATTTAATGTGCAAAGACTGCTCATATAAAGTCTGGAAAAATAAAAAATACATAAATGAACATCATAGTTAAACCCCTAGCTTATGGACTTGTGAATGTCTATTAGTTTTACTGTGAATATCTCAGAGAATGGCAATAAAGGAAAATCGCCTCCAGTGCTTCATTCTCATTACATTGACAGCAAATATCTTGTTTTTCTGTTTTTTATATTTTTATTGTGCCTCAGCAAGTGAACCTTCAAATTAGCTTGTCAGAAAACAAAGATCAGGTTCATTGGCACCGACATATATTTCTGAATTGTGGAATTAAATTGATGAAACTTAACGAATTTTGATTTCATGCCTTTAATTTTTTGTTGTTTTTCTGTTCTGTGTACATCTGTATTTCTAATGCATATATTTCTAGCAGCTGGGTTCCTTTTTTCAAGTCATCTTCTCCATCCTGGGTCTATAACAATCAAGACTCATAGATCAAGACAATGGATTAGACATCATAAAAATGGTATACTGTATATGATGTACTTCAAAACACTTTAAAATGAGTAATAAAGATGCTCCAGGGACTATGTCGAGTCGATGTAAAGCAATGCAGATCAAATAAGTCATACCTATATAATAACAAACACACATACTGCAAACAAACCTGACTATGTAAGCAGATTTTAGAGAATACAAATTAAGAAATTAGTGGGAATATCTCATGTATGAATTGCCCCTGATAAAGAAATCTCAGACACGTCATGAGAAATCACAACCTTCAATTAGCTTCGTTCTAGATGAGCATCAGAATGTCTCATAACATCAGGGGTTTCATTAGCAGCAGGCAACAGGCGATTTTCACTGTTTTTTTTCACAAAATCACCTGTTGTTTTTAGGGATAACTTTTCAATGTTATGATTTCCATTAATTTTGCCAATTGTTTTCATTTATTTGGTCTATTGTGGGAAATTTTAGTGAAACCCCTGGAATATGCTCACTATATAATCTTACTGACAGCCAGAAATATCTAACCTGACATGACTGATGTAACTGTTTCAGAATCTTCTGTAGTTTCATATACTCCTCTCTATCAAAGTAGAGCTTGCCTAACTTTGTGTTGGTTTTAAACCAGAGTCTATCATTCTTCGCTTCTCTCAGTGCTTCTAATGTGGTTTCGTAAAAGTTCTGGAGTAAAGTCATCTGAAAACAGATTTAGTTGATTAATTGTTAATCACTCAATCTTTGATGTTGTAGCCTTCTCAAAAAAATATTCAGTCTTCTGCATGGAAAAAATTACAAGAGAGTACAACATTTCTTATTATTCTTTTTTTGATTGCTGAAAATCTCAGTCTTACAAGCAAAATTCATCAATCAAGATTTGCTTTCTATACAAGAAATTCTTCCATAATTAAGAGGTACTCCAAAACAGTTTGTTGAACATATTTTTGGGGGTCTCCGTAATAATACAGCCTATATAGCAAGGGACATTTTAATGAGCAGTGGCCTAAAAATGTTAATAGGTCATCACCTGTTTTGAGGTTGATATATAATCTAGGATGGAATTGATTGACTTTTCTGAGTAGTTTCTAGTCACTGCAGATTTAATATAGAGAAGTAACTGCTTGTAGCGATTCATCATCTCTGTGTAGTTGTTCTGCAACACAAAATTTATGAGATGTGTAATTAACTGTGATAGCATGACAATTTGTGTGTAAACATTGTGTAAACATGAAAAGGGTATTTGTGTTTAAACACTGAAACACGGCATTTGTGTGTAAACATTTAAACACAGCATTTGTATATAAATACTTAAATGGAGTATTTGTGTATCAATATTGGAACACAACATTTGTGTATAAATATACAATTCTTTTATCGACGATTAAAGAGGTGTACTAGCACTGAATAAGTAACAAACTTGTCATGGTATTTAATTTAAGTTAGGTTGTTTGATACTTGATTAGGTATTTGGCATTATAATTTGATATACATATACATGTAATTGTACCCCAATTACTGTAAAATCAGCACTAAAATTGCCGCCATTCTTAAACGAACAGCCATTTTGAAAATTGGGTTTCAAGCAGAACTTCTACTCCCATAAGGCATATGTGTACAAAATATGAACAAAATTGGGCTAAAGGTATTTGAGTTATTACTCAAAACTTCCATTGATGGAATAATAAATAACTTACCAGTTTGAAGTTTATTTTTATCATTTGTTTGAGAGCTTTGAATCCCCACTCTCCTTTCTCCGTTCCTTCCAAGTCAAGCACCTACAAAACATGAATAAAAATAAATAAGTTCAAATATCAAATGATTCAACTGTTCAGCAAAAGAAGCAGTACTTTATTCTGAAATTTGTTTTCTGCATGATCTGAAGACTTATTAGAGTCCATGGGTTTCATTAGCAGCAGGCAACAGGCCATTTTCACTAGATTTTTTTCACAAAATCGCCTGTTGTTTTTAGGGACTTTTCCATGTTAAATTTATGATTTCCATTATTTTGCCTGTTGTTTTCATTTATTTAGCTTGTAGTGAAAAGGGGGCTCCAGTGTGGCATATAAGAGGTCGCCAAACGCCAAAAAATTTGGCGATAGAAGTTGCGATCTATCTCGACAATTTTGGCGATGGATGTTAGAACTTCACAGTTTTTATCCCCGACATTCTTGAAAAATGAAGTTTCATGGTTGATCCTATTCCCATTCACAAAGCTTTTTATTCTACCTAAAACATGATCAGAATAGAAGAACATAAAGCCACCTACCTTAGAGAAGAACAATTTGAAGTAAAATAGCCAGATAATCATCAGTATTTAGAAAAAAACACTGAAAAATCATCTAAATTTTGCCGTGAGCAGGCAGCACTAGAGGCAATCTGCGCGAGATTCCATTTTATGATTCGGTTTTTGGCGCATGCGTATTAAAGCCAGCAATTTAATTGGTTCAAATTATTATGACGCATGCGCAATGAGTAACTTAATAAGAACATTTAATTTCAGATAGATGTCACTTACGTTCATTATTTCACAGCAGTCCTTACCCATAATACACCATATTTGCGGGGATCTTTTTGTTTCGTGTCAAAAATACACCAAAAACAAATGTAATGACATAATATCAACCTGCCCCGGATTTGTAGACGTTTGTTGTACAAACTTAAACCGAACCGATGACAGCAAAGCACTTTGAATCATGGGAGTGACGTACTTCCCTTAAAGAAAAACCGAACCAAGTAAAAACCGAACCTCGCGCAGATTGCCCCGACTCGCAGGCAGGAAGTTAGCCTACTCAGAGGTAACAATTTTGGTATTGTAGCTGTATTGATCGCACTGCCATCTTTATAACTTATGAAAAACTGTTGAAGTCAAGATTCATTTATAACAACCAGATACCTGTCTAGAACTCCTTGCACGTTTGATTCCTTTATTTGTTTATCCTCATTAGACTAAAAAAAGTTCATGATGTTCATTTTAAAGAGGTTTAATTCAAAAGATGCTACATTTTCCAAATATTGATCTCTCCAAACTCTGAAGTAAAAGCTTCTTTGATGATACATACTCAGTATAGCCTAATAACACAATTTTCTTTATCTATATTGTTAGTACATACAACTCTAGTATAGACATTTGATCAGCATGCTCTGTCTAATTAACCCTCAAAAAATTTTGAGTAAGATTTTTCCAACCTACCTACCTGCCTAGTGCCTACCCCAAATCTGAAATTTCATTGATCAGGAAACAGACATGTGTGGCCTTTCCACTTATTTAAGCAGTTTAATTTACCATTCGCAATTCATGCACAGTTTAAGATGAGGGCAAAATTTATGCTGACTAGACAAAATTATGGCCAGACGAAAAATATTTTGGCGAGAGTGTTTCAAATGTCTCTGGACAAATTTGGCTATAGTGAAAAAATCCTTATTTGCCAGACTGGGCTCAGAACTGCACAATGGTGATCAAGATGTATGGATCTGCAATTATATAGACGCCAAATAATCAAAAATTGATAACTTCCAAGCTCAAAGTTTGGATAAATATTTACTTTCTTGTTAGTTGAGAACAATAAAATAAATAGGAACGAGTTTGAACAACATGGACAGTTTTGCCCAAACAAAAAACATTTTGGTACTATGCAGGGAATATTTGGTAAGAAAAGGAATGATCTTTGTTTCTAATCTAAACTAAATTGATTTTCTGATTCTAAAACAGGGTAATAGGGATTGGACGGTTATTTGGGATCAAACTGTTTCATTCTGAGATGACATCAAAAATGGACTCGTCGAAACGTAGGGGACAAGGTATGTATATATCAAACGCTGCCATCTTTCTTTGCAATGGCGAGTTACAGGCACAGTTCCTCACTTTATGTGGAAAAGAAGAAGTTCTCAGACTTAGTTGTCCATCTCCACCGGGCACTTGAGAAGGAGATGACTACAAAGTTGAATATTTCTAACCCCTGCCAAATGAACTCGTCCAGATTTTGAGATTTCTAGTTACTCTGACGTCACTCAAACAGAAGTCAAGAGGAACATTTCTGAAGAAAATGACTTAGTTTCTTACTGTATTTGGATCCAATTTCGAGAATCTGCCTTCTGACTAGGCGAATATGCACACATTTGACTTCAAAAAATAAGTCATGTAAATATGAGTAAGTAGACCAAATGATTCGATTCAGGCATTTGAACTTTTTCTAAAAATGGATTTTCTGACTGTCGGACATCATGTGAATAATGTTGATTATGTATTTGAAGCTTATGACATCTGGTATGGATCATGTACCTTTTGAAAGCTCTCTAAAGCTGCCTTTGGGTCATCCTCTTTAGATGCCTTGCTGTTATAGTACTGGTTCTCCAAATCAACATCTGGTTCAGAATTACTGTCTTCAGAATACTCCTACAAATACAAACAATACCATCTAGGCCTCGTCATCAACATGTATTCAAAGGATTTGTAGAAACCATTGAGTCAACCAAACATTTCAACAACCTCACCTCAAAAATACTGTACTCCCATTAATATTTGACGCTATTATTTTTCGCGTTTATCTGATTTTGAAATTTTGCTGATATTATATTTCACTAATTTTTGTTTTTTTAAATTTCGTTGCTATTAATTTTCGCAGTAGTTGACTTCTCAAAATGTGTCTAACTCTTGCACAAATTTGAATTCATTTCTAAAAATAGAGAAAAAATGAAAAAACTGATTTGAAAAGCTCACTCTTTTCCTTTTTATGAGCACAATTTTTGTTTCAAACAATTTTTCTAATTTTCAAAGATCCTATCATTTAAAGCAATATATTGGGCATATTTTCTGAAAAATTTAAAATATTCTGTTCAGTGACCTTTCAGAAATGCTAACTTCTAACTTTTTCAGTCACAATTTCAGAGGGTGAAAAAACTTTTTCAGCATGGTAAGGGTCATTTTGAACATGACCATTGTGATCCTTGTCATGTAAATAATATATGGGAGTGGTAAAACTGATTGAAGGTGAAAGCAGAACTCTGTTATCTTAGTTCAAAAATTTTAAGATCCACATGCTTTTTTCATTTCCTGTTTGGTGTAAATAACTGATAACTACCCCGAGTTCTTAATCTCCAAACAATTTGTTCAGTGCTGATTTCTACTACAAAGAAAGCACCTATGAACTGCAATAAGAACATCATAACTGGCATGGCTCTATGTCTATGTCAATAATCTGCAAAAGGCTAATAAGCCCATTTCAACCAGATATATAATTTAAAGCAGATATATAAGGGTTATGTACTGGGAGGTTTTGGATATGGGGTTTATCCAGAGGGAGATATGCATATCTACCTGAGGGACCATAGGGACCGAAGGTAGATGTGCATATCTCACGAGGGATGAACCCAATATCCAAACCGACCATACATAACTGCTTTATCCTATACCAAGTAGAGTTTCAGGTGCATATGGCCATTTCAATAGTACAAGGTGTAAAAACAATCAAATCATTCTTATGCAGTCATTTTATTGCATTTCCACTACTTACCGGAAGCGGGAAAATATGCACCGAAGCGGGAAGATATGCACCGAAGCGGGAGATATGGCGGGAGATATGGAGGTTCTGGATATGAAAACCTCAAAATCAGGATACAGGATATATCTTACCAACTTATCTCCCTAAAACTCTACTTGGCATAGGATAAGAAATGGTATTTTTAACCTAGAGGAATCAATATAATTTTTTGATAGATGTATTTGGACATGTTTTCTCATCAGTAGTGTGAAAACTATTTCACTCTAACGATCGTTATAGCTGCTTAATAAGCAATATTCGAATTGGTTGTGACGTTATTGGCCCCCACGTGATCTCTCACTGGTCCCCACGTGGCCCGTTTTGGTCCATTAGATCATGACGTCATAATACCAAAATGTATTGTTATTTGTTTACACAACAACCCAATGGTTGCCGTGACGTTGTGATTACTATGGAACCAATAAACCAAAGCTATATTTTGTATATGACGTTACTAATCATGTGGGGGCCAATTTGATTTATCAGTTAGTTTTATTTCGTTATCTATGACCGTTAGCAGTTATCTAACATTTATTTTATAATGTCTATCGCAAGAACTCTACGGTGGGCTTACAATGGAGAAAACTGCATTTTTGTAACTGCAAGTTGAGAAAAGCTATTTCAGTTGTCCTTTAACAGTGATAGAATTTGAATAGAATACAACGCATTAAAATGACAAAATGTAACCACCTAGTTGCTCACAATATCATTAGTTCATATGTTTAGACAGAGAACTCTGTAGTCAGAGAACTCTGTAGGTATATGATTTTGAAAAAAAGGTAAATTTGAAGCAAGTTGAAAAAATAGCTTTTTGATCTTGAGAAGGTCATTGAAGATCAAATTTATTTTACCTTGGGAATGCCATTGAAGATCAATCTATAGTCAGATTTGAACTTTTGAGAACGTGTAGATGATTTTGAAAAAAAATGGTCAATTTGAAGCAAGTTGAAAAAATACCTTATTAACCTTTCTTTGACCTTGAGAAGGTCACTGAACGTCAAATCCTAAATCCAAAGTCAGATTTGAACTTGAATTGTGATTTGAAATTTTTATTTAGGAACTACTTTTTTCAAGGCCTGATTTTACTGAACACAGCTGGCTCAAAAGCAAACTGTGTTCAGCCAGCTGAGGGAACGTTCAAATATACTGTCTTATGTTGCATTGTACTTTACATGCGCATTTGTTATTTTGTAGCAAATCTTTACTTTTGAAAGTCAAAAGATCTTGCGAGACCTAAAATGGCTGCATTCTAAATTCAAAAGTTTTGTTGTCTAGTAGAACATTGATTTACTACAACAACAGACTGTTGAAGGATCAAAATAAGGTAACAACAAATAAATTATGTATTGATTCAAATATATAGTGTGTTATAAACGCTACTCAGCACAGCGTTTACACTCTGTTAAGCATGATAAAAGGCAAGAAGTTTAGTTAGAAATAAAAGAGTTATCTCATGAATGGGACCCTTACACTCTGTTAAGCATGATAAAAGGCAAGAAGTTTAGTTAGAAATAAAAGAGTTATCTCATGAATGGGACCCTTACATAGCTCCTAAAAGGTAGAAGACACTAAATGATGTAACACTATAAGCTGAATTTTGTCCACATAGAGCATGTGCACAATACTAAAGACATGTAAAATTGAACTGTCAAAAGAACTGAAATATACTTACCAGCTCGCCTCTACCGGAAGTTATGATACGTTATGGTGTAACTACGGTAATTAATTTTAAAATATTGAAAAAATCACAAAATACAAGTTCTGAGGTATATATCGCCATTCTTAAGCGAATTAGCCCATACTATGACTATATATTCGCACCCCCATATACAGATATATATAAACTTCATCTTCACAATAAATTGAGCTTCTTTCAAATTTCCGTTTTTTGAGATAAGTGCCATTTTCTTACAATTCAAGCCGTAAAAATAGTTGGAAAGTGCTTCCCAGTTGAGGTTAATGGCTTTTATACTTACATTAATGTATGAAGCGCTTAAAATGTACTTAGAATCGTATAAATAGCTCTATTCTGTGAGATTTATTTTTGTTTTTATTTTTACATTTTTCTCACCTCATAATTGACATGATTGAAGAGCTCCGCTGTTGATTTACATTCAGGTATGAGGTTCCATATCCATCCGCCAAAAGGTATGACCCCTATATAGTCCATTTAAAAACCTGTGGTATCGTTCTAAACCAGAACAACGGCAACGCCAAAGCGTAGCGAATCCCATCAAACAGAAATGGCTGGCATTTTTACAAACGAAATATACAGCAAATATCATAAAAACACACCAGAAAGGCCACCATTTTCAAAATGGTTGCTCACTAGCCAAGTTGCCATCAGAAGAAATAATATGCTTTTAAGTAGCCACCTATAAAATTTTTGAAAAATCGCACACATGTACTTGTAAAATAACACACATAAAAATGGTGGCCATTTTTCAAAATGGCCGACTACACCCCAAAGTTTTATTAGACAATGTGCCATGCTTAGAGTATTCACATATCAAATATGAACAAAATCGCTCCACTACTTTTTGAGTTATAGTAAAAAATGTAAAAATGACAGCCATTTTTTAAAATGGCCACCTACTATCTGAAGTGTCATGAGACAGTGTGCAAGGCTCGTGAGTATTCACATATCAAATATGAACAAAATCGCTTCACTACTTTTCAAGTTATAGTAAAAAACGTAAAAATGGTGGCCATTTTTCAAAATGGCCGCCTACTACCTAAAGTGTCATTAGACAGTGTGCCATGCTTTTAGTATTCACATACCAAATATAAACAAAATCGCTCCATTACTTTTCGAGTTATAGTAAAATACGTTAAAAAGGCAGCCATTTTTCAAAATGGCCACCTTCTACCAAAAGTGTCATAGGACAGTGTGCCATGCTTATAGTATTCACATACCAAATATGAACAAAATCGCTCCACTACTTTTCGAGTTAAAGTAAAATACGTTAAAATGGCGGCCATTTTCAAAATATTTTTCAAAATGGCCGCCTTGTACCAAAAGTGTCATAGGACAGTGTGCCATGCTTATAGTATTCACATACCAAATATGAACAAAATCGCTCCACTACTTTTCGAGTTATAGTAAAATACATTAAAATGGCGGCCATTTTTCAAAAATTTTTTTCAAAATGGCCGCCTTGTACCAAAAGTGTCTTTAGACAATGTGCAATGTTTATAGTATTCACATACCAAATATGAACAAAATCGCTCCACTACTTTTCGAGTTACAGCAAAAATCGTAAAATAACAAGTAAAGGCCGCCATTTTTCAAGATGGCTGCCATGTGGTTTTTTATTATCTACATTTGTAGCTTTGTTAATGTCCTTTATAATTTTTTTACACTAAAAACATATTGCTATTACAGTTTTACATATTGCACCTAAATTACTGTAAAATCGGCACTAAAATGGCCGCCATTTTGAAATGAGCGGCCATTTTGAAAATCGGCTTTCGAGCAGAACTCCTACCCCCATAGGGTATATGTGTACAAAATATGAACAAAATCGGGCCAATGGTATTTGAATTATTGCCCGGACGGACGGACAGACGGACGGACGGACGTACGTACGTACGGACGGACGTACGTACGGACGGACGGACGTATGGACGGACGGACGGAGGCGTTCCCTATATCCCTCCGAACTTCGTTCAATGGGATAATAACGCCATAGTTGGCTTCTAGGGTACCTAGTATGCCACTTTTTGGTATCAAAATAAAGAGGAGGAGTTCAACTTTCATTTGAATTACGAAAATAGCGATGTAGGTCAAAATAGTTCCGAACGTGAGCATGTTTACTATGCGTTTGCCCGTCATATCAGAATTGAGGAAGTGGTAGCAAACGCGAGTTACAATAAACGGACGCTGATATCTCAAAAAGTAACCTGACTCCCTATAATTCGATGTAGGTCAATCGAACCCCTATATGAACAGGTACATTTTGATATATAACACTATGGGGGGTAAGCGTTTCATAGTTGGTCACGAACGCCATATGTGCAAAGTATTGTTATGAATTTTCGAATTTGGTGTTGGATTACGGTACTCATACCTTCAGTTACACGTATTTCCTTGAAAATTCGCCATGATTGGAACAAATGATGGTTGGTTTATGTTTTATTCATTTAGTTTGTATTTGAATCTAGCTACTTAAACACAAAACATGTCTTCGTGTTATGCTAAAGAGCAAAGATCGCGAATTCTAGGTGAAGCCAATTATTTTGCACAAGTCATATCCTGATTGCATCATAGTTACTTTGTACTAGTCACATCCTGATTGCATCAGCCAATTCACGTGATTTACAGTTTACACATGGTTTCAATATACATGTTATACTACTTCCGGGTAGGGTAGTGTTTTTCATACTTTAAAAACGAAGCCATTTCGATCAGTTTTTATAATCTTTGGTAGAACTGAGAGGTATTACAATACATATTTAAATTAATACATATGAGTGTATTTGATGAACTCTCAAAAAATAAAACCCACAATAATATCTTTTTTTTTCACAATTTTATGTCATTGTTTCTAACAAGTCGCCTCTTTCTCTCTTTTCTTTATTTTTGTCAACAGTCAAAATCGGAATTTAAAACTTGGTTTCTTTACAAGCTCTGCTTCTGTAAATACTAAATAACATGAAAAATGTTAAACCTTACATCCTACACTTATTTGATATAAAATAGGCGATCATTGATATCATTTTTGTGCTGTTAAGTGTGGATCTTTTAATTTTTTAGTCAAACTTGATCGCTGATCTCTGTCGATGTGACGTCACGCATTAAGTATGCACGCATGGGCAGTACAATACATAAGGCAATATGGCGTCTTAGGCCTATACATGAGCCAGAATGGAGGTCTGCAAGTTGAAATGAATATGTTTGTTTATGCATCAATCGATCACACATATAATCCAGACAATCTTTCAAATCATATACTTAACATTGTAATGGATTTATTTATTTTGTGAGCTAACGTTCCCTTTAATTTTCATTGGTGAAGCAATGATTTTACCTAAAATGAGTCCCTGTCTTTGCATAGTGATATTTAAAAATCGAGAAGCAAAACCTATGTTGAATATACTGTGTATTGATGAAGTTTATATAGCCTAGCGGAACTCAAAAATATTGTTATTATATCGGCAAATTCGCTCGAAAATGGTTGTACACCCTAGAAATTGAATGTTGTTGATTTTTTCAATATTTTAAAATTAATTACCGTAGTTACACCATAACGTATCATAACTTCCGGTAGAGGCGAGCTGGTGAGTAATTTCTATTATTTTGACAGTTCAATTTTACATGTCTTTAGTATTGTGCACATGCTCTATGTGGACATAATTCAGCTTATAGTGTTACACCATTTAGTGTCTTCTACCTTTTAGGAGCCATGTAAGGGTCCCATTCATTAGATAACTCTTTTATTTCTAACTAAACTTCTTGCCTTTTATCATGCTTAACAGAGTGTAGTCAAAATGGGCTCGATTTTTTCTCTTCAAGAATTTTCAATCCAGCATCCCAGAGCAGACTTCTGTCAGCTCGGTAGAGTAAGCCTGATTGCATCGGTAGAACTTGAAATATAAGATGGGACTCAGACGCAGTCATTAGCCATGAAAAAAGTAGTAAGACCAAAACCTGCGATTCAAATTCCTAAGTGAAAAATGGCATTTATTAGATTTTGAATTCTTAATCGTGACATGACTCGGTATATGGCAAGGTATGGAGTTGGAATCCTTGGAGCCAATCCTCTTTGATGAGAAGGGAGTCTGAAGTTGAAGTTCAAAAAATCAAAAATGACAGGCGAAAATTACACGTGACTGTAAATATCTGTGAAAGTACATGAGGATTCTCGGTGAAATCTGCTCACAATCAAGCCAATTATCTGATTTACATATATAACACTATACAATACAGATAACATAACTTACCAAGTCATATTCTTCATCCCCATCGTCAACCATAAAATCATCTTCATCCGACATTTTGGTTTGGAAAAGTTGTACTGCGCATGCGTGACAAGAGAGTAAATCAACAGCGCAAAATTTTCTGCTAACATTTAGATGTAAAAGCATTAGATAATTAAAATTTAATAAGTGTAAAAATAAATTGATTTATGCTCTATGAATCAAAATCCTAAGACATTCTTTTAACACTTTGATTAGACCCCGGGTTCCTGCACCCTGTCATTGTAATGCGTGACGTCACTCTTCAAAATGGTGAGAAAAATTTTGGATCTCAAAATTCAATCTTTTTTCGTGAATATATTACACATTAGATTAACGAAAATGTTCATATCAAGCCAGTAGTTAGAAAAATTATTTTAAAAAAGATTGATGTATAGTAGCTCTTTTATTTAGCTTTCTTTATTGCTGTGTAAGAAATGTTTGAAATATGTTACATTTTCTTTTGGATTTTCTGACTGAAGTGAGTCTCCTACCTTCTCCTTAGGTTTCCAAGGCTTACACCAATCATAAATGTGTATGTGTATTTTATTGCTGCATTATATTAGATATGCCACATCACAGTTTGTGTTTGAATTGCAAGTGACACAATGATTTACAATATTTACAATACTACTACTTTTTGCAAGGCCTGACTTCGTCGCTAACATGCTAAATATAAGAGTTAGCTGACGTTTGGGAGTCTGACTTACCTTCTAAAGGTTAGAACCCGAATCTTAATGAAACCATATCACCTTTGTTGCGTTGATGATGATGCATAAACATAGCATTTGATAGAAATTAGTGTAAATGCTTTTCCGACTTTTTCATTTTTCATCAATGTTGACTTTCGGGAAGGCGTTGTAGTTATCACGAAATAACGCATTGACCCTTGAACTTTACTTTGTTGACGTGTCAACCAAGCATGTCTGGTGTGAAAATTAAAAGAATATTAAGCAATGTTCTACATCCGCCAAGCTAAGTGAAGTAGCCAATATAAAATTACCAATTTCGAGTGAAGTACGCAACGAACGAAACTGCGTGATCTACAGTCCCACTATTTGTCTGAACGAAATGCTACGTAGAAATATGAGCCGTCTGCTGTATTAGTCGATTAATAGAGTAGAGTAAGACCTGTTGGTGATGCTTTATAATTTAGACCAAAACATTGAAGAACATACGAACCTGTAAATCGTGAAAACAACGAACAAATATTCGGTTTTCATATATGTTCGGTAATTTTTCGTATTGAAACTTCCGGAACTTACAAGGAAATCATTCATTTTCTCGGTCCATGATTTACCTCTTGGATGTTGTGGCATTAATGCTCCATGGTTGACGGAACAAAGGTGATATGGTTTCATTAAGATTCGGGTTCTAACCTTTAGAAGGTAAGTCAGACTCCCAAACGTCAGCTAACTCTTATATTTAGCATGTTAGCGACGAAGTCAGGCCTTGCAAAAAGTAGTAAGGCAGCTCAATCTTTCTACTCAAAGCAGGAATATAGAGAAGGCTTTGGACCGAAGTAAGTCTTATCGCTTCAGAAAAACTTTCAAAACAGATGAAATGATCGATGTTTTCGTTCAAATCTTATGGATTTCGTCTACTATCAATTTACAGCAAGTTATAACATCAGACATTAAAGACATATTTGTCCAGTTTTCGTCATCGTAATCAAATATTCGCCATCATTTTGGATCCGTTGATTTAATTTAAGATGAACGTATTGTGATCTTACAGTGTTCGTTTCAATTGTAATTGATGAAATATTCTCATTACGATTTTTTAAATAACATTAAAATTTATTTTTTTCTAGAACATACTTTTTCAAGACTGCACGGTGGTCCACATGTCATGCCTTCTAGCCGAGTAATTTGGCTAGAGTAAACTGACTCACTCAATTTGAATCCCACTCAGTTTTATTTCTGTTATTTTTTCCAGGCAAACTTTTTACAGGGATTGCCTAGCCATAATTCCAACAATTTTACCAAATATCAACAAGATGCCTCGTGTAAAACAACAGTAAGTCTGTCAAATTTTTAGTTTGCCTATTCATTTGTTCAAGTCAAAATGAATACTCTAGCCTCTATACAACATATGTGTGTCAGGTTTTTATTGTAGAAAATGTAAGATTATCATTATTTTTATTTTCATCAATTGAATGTATATGTATGACCTCCATCAAACTAATGTCTTCTTGAAGTTTGAAATTTGAAGTTCCATGTTACTAGTTATTGTATTACTCATTCATTACAAGTTCTGCATCTTTAGTTTAGCGTATATACTTTTTATGTGTTAAAATGTAGGAAGTTCAGTGACCCACTTTTTAAAAAAGTATAAAGATGTAAGTCAAATGATCTGAAAGCTGCAGACCATAGACTCCAGGGTACCATGGTATTCCAGTTGAAAGCCAAGAAAATTTCTGAATATACGAAACAACCCGTTGAATCCACTTAACACAACTGATATGACATAAAGACCCCAGGATCATTACATCTATCATTATGTATTTTTGTGAATGAGATTAATAAATACATGGTGATAAATTGATAATGTAATTTTATTTTCAGATAAAAAAACCTGCAGTATATATTTCAACAGTAGATCATCCATCTGACCAAGGTATGTATATGTTGAACTATGTGGCACTATACTGAACATTAATATGGTATAGTCACTTTTAATGCATTTATAATTGTGAAATAAATGAAAAAATGATATATCATGCATTCCTCAAGCGCCTGAAAATTCCATGTTCAACTATAAAGCCAGTGTCAATATATGGAAGGAATGTACAGGGTGATCAATAAGTAGTGATAATGATGCTCCCATTATAACGCATTTACAGTTGTCATGACAACACTTGCATTGGGTAGGCTGAGCACGGTCATTGTCTTGTAACTAAAAGACAATATCAGAGTTCCAGAGAATGATATTCGGTCAATCTAAGTGACTACTAGCCCTGCTATACAGGACAATTCAATCACAAAATGTCACCAAGTCACTACTCATGTTCAAAATAAACACCATCTCGACAAAAACATTCTCCATTCCTCCTGGCCCACTCATGATACAGTGCTCGCAATAACTATTAAGGCATACTTACCAAGCAGACGCTGTTGTGATTGTATAACATCAAAATGGTCTAATTTATGATATAAATCAGAGAATATTTGGATTCAATAAATCAACAGTTGTGCCAAGGAAGGAAATAAACAAGATTAAAAATAAAATGAAATGACGATCAGCAGGTAAATGTCACCTTCTCTGGGTACCCTACCCCTATGTTACTTCAATCACCGGTAAATCATATACATTATGACAAATATCCTGTCTCTTGGTAGTTACATTGGGAACTTATTTTGGTATATTTTTGCCAAGTTTCATTTTATAACAATGAAATCTCTTCAAATGGGAGCTTCATTGTCACTACTTATTGATCACCCTGTAAATAGGTAAGGTAAAGGAGATATATTATACCTTTAGATTTCATTTTCACTGTTTTAGTTGTAAAAACATCTGTATAAATAAGATAAAATCTGTGTGAGACAGTTTCCTCCCATGTCTAGCTATACCCATGCAAGCAGCATGTCAGTTAATTATAATAATCTGGAAGCTTACTTCAATATGCATGTAATATGGTCATATCTAGGTTGTATGGATCACAAAATACAGCTTTGGATAAGATTCAATGTTGCACCATAATACAATTATGTCCTCTCCTTATGTTTCAGTCATCACTACAGAAAAAACTAACATTCTTCTGCGATATCTACATCAACAATGGGGTAAAAAGGTAGGCCATATTCAGGGTGCATCAAAACGATTAAAAACCAACTTATAAAATGGCATCAGTGGTCACTTGTCGTTACATTTTTTATACATAATAATAAATAATCTGCCTGGATTAAGCATTTGTGCTTATGTCACATTCTGAAGATACTCGGGAGACTGATAACTCCTTCAATAGAGAATATGTAAGCTTGATATTCACCGACCTTTGGAGTTTTGGTGAAAACATTTGTATCACATTTGCAACAGAACATAATACTTGGTGTTAGATTAATGAGTCAAATTAATGATAATTTAATGTACATTATATTGAGTCATTTAGCAAATGAGATGGCAACCCTTGTACCTTTTTCCAGGATCACACCTTTTATACAGAGCTGTTTATTTACTAAATGTTACACATTGAATTAAAAAGGCAATCCTGATTTTCATTTTAAAAAAGGACTTATTTCTGTTTTTAGATAATTTCTAAACAACATTGATTTTCTTTTCAGAATGCCCAGAAAAAGCGAGACAGTAATCGTGCAGATTTAGAAACAACCGAAAGTCCCTCAGCTGCCAAAGTACCAAGATTAAACAATTCTTCAAGTAGAGAAGAGGATGGTGCCTCTTAGGGTCAAATAACATGAGACTATAAGTGCTAAAGGAATTGTGAATATAACCTGTCCTAGGATGGTACTTCCCAGGATGATATAGCCTTGGATGGAAATGTATATTATTTGTTCTATGATGATACTACCTTGGACTATATAGCCTGGGATTAAGCACTCTCGGATATCTGTATATTATATTATTTGTCCTAGGATGGAACTGTCTGGAATAAATAACCTGGGACTAAGTGCTCTAAGATACGATGATCTGTCCTTTGAGGGATACATACAATGCAGTACTAGTAGACCTGTGTAGAGGTCATGCAAATAGTGTACTAATGTTATATTCTGAATGACTCAGGCTTGGATCTGAGCCTTGTATAAAGGGACAATTTTATACTTCTCAACAGGAGATATGAGGAATACATTTAAATTGCACAATGTGACAGCATTCCTTTAAATTTTGTATCATTTTGGTCAATATGATGATGCAAAATATTAGAAAAAGAGGAAGCTTGAGAGAAAATCAAAAAACATTCCTCAAATTTCCAAGAAATGTATTTGAAACTGGCAAATATTTGAGAGGCAAATGAAAAAATGAAATTAAAGGATCATTGTGAACATATGTTCAGCAACTCTTGGTAATCTCATGATAATGAAGCTTCCCCCATATCATTATGTCAAGAGTTTGGGATGTTTTTTCTTTGAGGAAGTGGAATTTAATAAACCTGCAATGACCTGTTCCCTGGAATACTGTACTGTACGATTTTGAAAGGACGATTCTCGGTTTGGAGAACAGTCTCCTGGGCTAATAATTTTTTTCATGAAAAATATAGAAATATTACCCAAATTAAACTATGAATATTCAAAAGAGGACATTTAAATCTACAAGATGTAAAAATAACAAATTGGTCTGAAGCAGGGATAACGCTCAATTAGACCGATTCAATAAAATACAAGTCTCGATTTGGGGAAAGAAGTTCATCAGTGTACTGCCCTAATATTTTTTTTGCGAAAAATCTAGAAATATTACCCAAATTAAATTATGACTATTCAAAAGAAGACATTCAAATCTATATTTATGTAAAAAAAAATCAAATTTGTCAGAAGCAGGGATAATGCTCATTTAGATTGATGAACTTCGTTCTCCAAACCAAGAATCGTCCTTTCACAGCTATTATTTTTCACGAATTTTCAAAGGCGACTATTAATTTTTCGGATATATGACTCCCTTAAAAGTCGTCCTGCTTCTTTTTTAACTTGGCGATTCCTTTTTGTATGTTTTTATTTAAATTTTGGGTCGGATTTGTTATGCAATATCACCTTTTCCACTCCAATATCAGCGATGCTTTTCCCTTCACCCAAAGATTTTGACTGCATCATGAGCCATTTTGTAAAAATGTTTTTTTAATTACGATCCTTTTGAACCCAAATGTAAGAATACAGTAACCTCCCTCCCTTTTATCGCCAAACACTGTACGAAATATATCATCAACATTGAATGAAATAAATTCCTGAGAATTTCATGACTATTATATTTCGTGAATTAGAACTATTCGGATTTCGAAAACTCGTGAAAAGTGTGAAATATAGTAGCATGTGAAAGTTTTCGGAGTACAGTGTTGTCTCTCTATCTCTAGTATAGTAATTTTGTTAATACATTTTTGGTGTAGGCCATTTACTCATCCTAAAATGAAACAATAATCCAAAAATACTATTTTATTTTATTCATAAGACAAGGTGCTATATTATTATAATTGAGCGTGAAGTTAGTTATTATTAATAGCAAAGAATAGCAAGTGTAAAATATTGGAGGCAATTAAGATTCAGAAATGTTAAAATTCAATAGAATAGGGAAGCTCACGTTTTATCACAATTTTTTAAAGTGCTATAATGTAGTCGTCTTGCATTGATGGGTATGCATCTGTGCAATGTGTGCACTCAGCTGGCGTAAAAAAAACATTATCTTCAAAATTCCAGGAAGACTATTTACCTGTTCAACTTGAAATTTTTGCAGATTCAATGGCAGACCTTTTTATGCCCTATGCCAAGATTTGATTAGATTTTGGGTGTGCTCTAGGTAAATTACTTAGTGGCCATTTCAAATTTTTCAATAAAAAGTGTTATATTTATCACTGTATGTCTTGTTAAAAATTGTTGCCAAAAAATATTAATAAATTGTGAATTGTCAAAAAAGTTTCACAAAGATTTCTGCAAGATTTGATGCCACAATGTTTAATAACTTTGAAAACCTTTAAATGTGATATCTAGCAACATAAAAGGCACTTATTGCTTATACAATGGTCATCATAACTAACTAAGTTGGAATAAGTTTAAGAAATAAGCGGTCCATTTTTAGAACTGTCTTTACTTACAGTTTTAATATGTCATAATTCATGTTACAGTAGATAACTTGTTTTTCTGGGAGTCTTAATTTACAAATCAATTGACTTTGTTTGATAGTTTAATGCAGTGTCTACATATCTACTCTACAATAATTTGACATAATAACAAAATATACAAAAATACCAGAGAATGCCACTGGTGATTTGTAGTAAATGTAAATGTATATATTGCCACTTTGTAAAATATTTATAGTAATGTGTATTTTACTCTGTGCTAACAAGGGTTGTAAAATTCAAATGTTTGTACATCGTTTGGGTTGCGACCTATATGTCAAATGTAAAGCGTCATAAAATATTGTAGATCATCCGAAATCTTTTTCAAGTATCAGTGCTGGTATGTGTTTTAATATTTTGTATTAAATTGTTATTCTCACTGTGGTTGTGAGCATTTGGTCATCCAATTTGGAGAAGACTGATTCTGACTGAAATGTAGCTCATCAGCCAGAATAGGAGGGGGTGATATGCCAAAATTTAGGTACTGGGGGAGCTCAAAATATGTACCTTATTTAAAGACTGTATAGTAATCTGGGATGAATTTACAGGGTCACACAAAAATGCAATCCTCTATTTTTGGAAAAACTTTAAAATGTGACGGAATTTTTAGGTAATGTTGTGTGAATAAAATGTTGAATGTGTGAAGCAATGGTGTGCTTATATAGCATCAATGACTACTCGATTGAGAGAAATTTTCGCTAGGCATGCGTTCATGTCAAATTGCTTTAAATTGCAAGTTCAGAAACCTGTCATTGTCTATATTTGTCAAAATATTGTCAAAAAATCAAGTCAGTTCATCATGATTTACTTATTGTAGAATAGTTGGTAGATTGGATATGTTATTGATAATGTATACGAAAGCAATCCAGAAATAACTCAAAAGTGGCAAAAATAGAAATCTTATATTTATAAAATTACATTTTTGACTATTTTAAAAAATAGTATGCCAAGACAAAAAAAAAGAATATATCTTTATCCCAAAGTTAATGATTCTATTCATGCATACCCCTATTTTCAAAAGTCAGAGGGTTGTATAATTCATGTCACCCTGTAGTTCGTTAATCCTATAAATAATTGGCTGTAGAAATACATTTGCATTCAAACAATTATATATTAACTTGTTTCCATTCCTCTTCTACATGTTGAAATTAAAATACCTGGTTTACAATACCAACAAAATTAGAGCAGGGCGTCCAAGACTTTTGGATCACCCCTCGTATTTACTATTTAGTCGTATGTATAGACTATTAATGTTTCTCTATTATTTTTTACTCATTTATAGTCCAGATATAAAAATTATGTGTAAGATATCATCATGGTAATAAGGTTCAGTGTAAAATATTTGAGTTACATCCAATACAATAAAACTTTCAATTAAATAAAATTAACTTTTCTGTTTTTAGTTAAGGTCACAGGATGTCAATGTCACATAATATGCTACACAATGTCAATGTCACACAATGTGGTTAGAATTGTACAAAGGCAGATTAAAATGAGTTGATATGAATATTTTCACCAGCATCCAGCTGCAAAACCATCTGCACCCACTTCACTTGAAATTGAAATCAAGAAACACATCATAAATTCAAAACAGTGCTGCCCTCTTTTATAACTGGTTGTATTTGAATTATGTTCACACGTTCATACAACATTAATATTTGCATTAGGTTTTCATGATAAATCCATTTGACTAATCAGAAAGAATATGTTTTTCTTTAATTAATAAAGGTTCATTGGATGAGTTTTGATGTAATGTTTTTTCTTTCCAGTCAGGTTGACGGGCTGTACATTTATCCTCTATGAGAGATAAAGCAACACCAAGAAAATATCACAATTTTCTTTTCAACTCAGATGTTACACCAAGAAAATAAAAAAATAATACAATGGCCATATCATTTGCAGATATTCTTCAATTTTCACAGAAGTCTCTTTAGCCCAGTCAAAGACGTCTATCTCGATTAGACGTCCTTGATCTTAAAAACTACCTTTTTGGGTATTAGGTTTGTCGATCTCGAAAATAGGTGAGTCGGGTATCGAACGATGGATGATTACATAACGTAGTTGATTAATGATGGATCCTCTGATTAATATTATATAACGTAGAATTGAATGTACACAACATATGAAATAACGCCATCATTTTGACATATAATATACAAGGTTGGTTATAAAATCTGCATCATTTTTAAAATATATAGGGTGAGCCAAAAAGGTAACCCAAACAAATCTTAATAACTAAGTCATTCTGCATGGGTTAAATGTCATATTTGGCACAATTAGGCTTTGTCCAATGTTTTGTCATTCTAGTAAGTTTCAGTGGTCTATCGCTAGTGATCACGATTTTATGGCCATTTTACAGAACATGACTTAAACTATGGGCGTCATGTCTGGAGGCCTATTTGAACGTATTGGGCGTAGTTGTTCACAGCACGAGTATAAACATCTTCTTTCATGGCTCTCATCTTCTCTTGTTTCAAGGGTTGTTAGTGGACGAGAAAATAGGCCCACCGATTAAAATTTGGTGGGATTTATGTCCAGTCAGCGAGGCACATTTCGGCATCTTGAGCACGTTTTGTAAATGACCATAAAATCGGGGCTATTAGGGATAGACCAATGACACTTAGAAGAATGAAAGAACATTGAGTTATTAACAAACGTGTGTTTGGGTTACCTTTTTTGGCTCACCCTGTATGTATTACACCAAAAGGACCTTAAATAAGACGCATTGTCACATTTCTTTGATGCAGTAGAAGTTAGCTAATAGGACAATTCACTAAAAACAGTATTTACTCATTAGTAGTGAAGGAATTAATATGTGAGATGTTCAATATGTCAAAAATTATGCCATTATTTTCTTCATCCTAGTCTGTACTCAGCTCTACTTAGAAAACCGATAAAATTCTTTTTAATAAGAAAATTATTTCAAAGGACCCCCTTTCAAAGTGTTGATGACCAGGGTGATAATGAACATTAATAATTAATATTGTCTTGCTTATCTAGAGAAAGAGGGGATAAGAAGATACCGAAAGTGTCTTATCCGTTGTTGGGAAGATAGCCATGTTACATCATCCGGGAACCTTGGCCCGACCATCCGGGATTCTCTCAAAAACACAAAACTTACGACGCAAACTGTTTTTTGACATTTGAGAAATAATTTGACAAGGTTTGTGTTTGGTATATTTGATTGTAAGAAAACGTATGGAATTTGAAAATGTATTAATTAGCAAATTTAGTAATATGGTTTCGTTCCAGACTTGCCGAACACACATAACGTTTTAACTCAATATGAATATGGAACACATGGGCCAACCCCAATATATGTAAGTCGACCCCACATACTTGAATAAGGTGATATTGTTTTGGTTCGGGGCTTAAGACTTGAAGAAGTCAATGGAGATGAACTAGTTAATATTTACGGAACATATTTTCTCATTTACAATTGCAGAGCTTGGAATCAGAATTTTTCATCAATAAATATTCCAAATTGCTTACAATTGCTTTAAAATGAAAATGGACGATCAGTTTGCATACAGGGATATAGATGACATCGATGCATAATTTAAAAGGCTGTGGTTATATTTAGTTTAAATAGCACAAAAACCTTTGCGTTCAACGACGATGACATTCGATTTAAAGAGGTCCATCTTGATTTTGTACACATGTGGATTTTTAGTTATCGGGGCAGACTGTCTTATCAAAGAGCTGGGATACTGTCCCCCAGTGCCACCTGGAGGACTCGGGGACTGTATTATCAAATGTAATTATGATAGTGTCTGCGACAAATTCAGCAAATGTTGCTCTAATGGATGCGGCTACCAATGCGCTGAAGTTCTCCCTACTAAGAGAGTGCTCTTCAGAACTAATCTAACAATGGCGTTCATGCGTCCGTATGGTCAACTGAACTATACACAAGGTTTCTTAAATGTGATAACCTTTATGCTGATGACTACATATAATTTCGCTCCAGGGGAGCTAGATGATATGAGATATCAAAGTTCTCAACCAAGTAAAAATTTGACAACTATTCGATTTAACATTTTAGCAGTCCATGACACAAACAATGCTACAGCACAGGCAGACTGGGAAGGCAGAATTTCTGTACTCGGTTATGACATACAAGCTCGTTTCTTTTTCTTCATATACGAATGGCGTTTGTGGCGGGTGAGCAACACACAGTCCAGAATGACATTCGATTACAAAGACGCCAACACCGGGAACAAGGTGACACAAAACATTGGACTGTTATATATTATTTATTTATTTCATCTTTACACAGTTTTCTCTTATTAACATTAAATTCAGACAAGTCTGCGACACCAATTCCACTGAGAGTCTGATGGAGTACACCGTATATGGCTATTGGCTATATTGTTCCCGATATTGTTATTAGAAACTTTGCTTTCCAAGGTATCATTCAGCTTACTGAGAGATACATCGCCAAGGTGATTAGATTGGCATTTATCACAATCAGCGACACCGTTTTCAATCTCACGTGGTTTCACACGTCATCGATTGTGAGTTCAGATCTGCGTTCTTCTTGGGTCGACCTTTCGGTTTAGTTGGAGGGTCTGTACCCCCATTTTGCATGACCTGCAAACACCAAAACATGAATGTGTCAATTATGTTATTATATCATGTATAACGAGGGATGATCAATGAGATAAATGAATGAAGCGCCCATTACTTATTATTGATCATCCCTCGTACATGGGCATAGTCGTGATCTAAAAATAGCTAAGGCAAATAAGAAATAGTGATGTAATATTACTATTGGAATTCATTTTTACAGTTTCAATTTTGAAGAAACGTCTGAACAAACAAATTTCTGTATTTTAGCGAAAGCTTGTCATTTAACTCAACACCTAGTCAGGTAAATTCACTATGATTTTTCACTTAGATTAGATAAGTTAAGTTTTTGAACGGGAAAATGAAAAAAGGAGCGTAACAGGAGAAATTATCGAGAGTTTAATTTGATAAAGTCAATGCATTAATTCAGAGTTTTATATGTTCCTAATTAATTGAAAATGATTAAGCTATTTTGTAAACCAAATAGGCCTAGGCCATAGATTGCGCCCATCTCAGTAGATTTATACGATAATCGAAGGCCAAGGTCAAATCTTCCAAAGGTAGTTCATCTAGGTTGTTATACGAGGGGCCCGCTTGTTGCCGGGTACGCGTGTAGTAAATAGTATGCTTAATCATTACAAAAAAGTGAAAGAACCCTATATCTGACTCACGTGTTTTTTCCATTTCATACGCCTGTTCTGGTACCACGTCTTAACCTGGATCTGACTCAATCCTAGAGAATCTGCGAGGTCAACGCGATCTGGAGTTGACAAATATTTTTGATCGTCAAATTTTTTCTCCAAACCCATTAACTGAAGTTCAGTAAATACAGTTCGACTTCTGCGACATTTCTTTGGGCGGAGGTACCCATCTGGTCCGAGCGGTGATCTCGTGCGGACGTATACAGGCAATGGGATAGGCATAGACATCTGGTCCTGGGTGATGCCATAAAGTCCCGGGAGATGAGGCATCTTTCCGAAAGGTTGCGCTGAAAAAATGGGCGAATAATTATGAAACATACACTCTAGAATATTGCAAAGTACGAAACAGAAATATTTATCATATCATTTGTAGAATACTTAGTATCATGGCGATCGGGAAAAATATGTATATATTTAAGGCATTCTTTTGAATCTTGGCTGAATTATGATATTTTGGAGCAAGCAAGAAGGACGCTATTTTTCATTAATAAGTAGTTTCATTGAAACGTGAAGCTATTGTAATATAATTCAAAAATGGGGAAATGTTTTGAAAATAGATGTTATTTCTGGTGAAATGTTTCAAGAACAAATGTAAAATTATATTTCAGATACCATATACTCTTCTTCCGGCCGTTTAATGTTTTAAAAATACAAAAGAAAAAACGCTTGACTTTAAATAAGTTGTATGCGAAGCCACATCCTTCCTCAATATTAGATTCGGTAAATTGGTCCAAAAATAACAACAAAAAAGAAATAAACCACCCATCTCTATATGTTCTCCTACTATACACCATTGTGCGTTGCAATACAACCTTCACTTTGACTGATAAATAGTATTTGTGTATTACAAAAATACATTGTTTATAAAATTGAGCTGAATTCTTGTAAGTTCATATTTAATGTATACTTGGGAATGGGATGGAAAAGGACAGTTAGACTTTATTTCATAAAATATTTTGATTAAAGAGAGAATCAGATCTAGCGAGCAGCTGCACTGGCTAACGAAAAATTGTTTCAATTTTAGAATATTTCTGGCTCATGTCATCCCTTGTCATGTCTATTTTCTAAAAATTCCTAAAGTGCACACTTTATTTCAGGAAAACTAAAGATTTTTGCAATAATGCATTATTTTCTATAAGAATGGTTACCATTCTTATTATTTGGGAGAATTTACCCATTTTCACCCATTTTTGAACTTTGTATCTTTAACATTATATCTTAAACGTCATCAATTTATAACATATCGTGAATCTTTTGGGAGATATGGTATTTAAGATTATAAAGAATAGATTAATAGGCCAATTTTTTATGTTACTTTATGTAATTTTTCACCCCTGATCTGATCTGATTCTGCCTTTAACAAATGGCTTATGTCATTACGGAATAAGAAATACATTTTGATTTGATTATATAATGTATTGAAGGTCGATGTGCAAAAATAAATGATTTCCTATAAATATTCTTTCTGACTTTTTTAAATTTACAATGGCTTTCAAATTGAGGAATTATACCAATGATGCTTTGTGTTTCCGTTATTCCTAAATCCTTTTTTCATTTTGATTAAAACTGATCTACAACTAAAACAAAAATGTGAAAAAATAATGATCCATGAAATTTAGTTGACCCCTGGGGTCTTTTTCATAAGAATGTATTGCATGATTAAATGTTTACCAAGATAAATCAAATTGAATCGAATATATTATTTCATCCTATTCCCCTCTTCAATGATGAGGTTAATGAATCAATGTTTCACCATCACTATTTCAGCAAGTTATAAGTATTGTAAATTGTACTATCACTTTTATTGTATTATTGATAACTTAATATTAATCATCACTGTATCATTGATGTACTTAATAATCACGGGTGTGTGTGGAAATAATTAAACTTGAATAGTTTCAACTTTCCAACAGTATTCCCTTCTCAAATAACTCTAGTTTCTCAGTAACACTTCCCCTAAATAAACTCAGCATGTTTGTCGTTGATACCATTAAATGTGTCTTGTTATTTTACTTGTACATATGGTAGAAATTATTTAGGCCACAAAAACTTGACACACGTCAGTCACAAGGTTTGACAAGCTTTACATTATCTTCAAATACATTAAAAATAAGTTTAACTAATAATATATGCATGTTTAAGAGTGCTAATAGCTAATACGCTCTTTCTAAATAATCCCAAATATATTTTAATTTATATATGATAATGATATCTAACATAATCAATTGCCTTTGATTTAAACCTATTTCTTTTTTGGAAAATCTTGACTTTGTCTCGCCTGGTAAACAGTCTGATTAAACTGCAAGCGCCCTTTCCCATCTTTGGTCCAAGGGTATTTCATTTCTTTCCATATTCCCTGAATTGAGGAATAAATGAAGTCCTTTGAATGAAGGATGCCTTTTCCAATAGTCTTTCTAGCATTGAGAATTACAGAAATTATGGTTTATGTCGAAGTTTATTGATACATAATTATGTTATATATTTACAAATTATTATAAATTAAACTTTTATTTTTGGGGTAAAAAGATTATAGTAATTTAAAATTACCTAAAATTCCGCAATAAAAGGGAAACTCGATTCAAGGATTGAAATCAACTTTTAGGTTTATTGATACAGTTTTCGATATCAAGGTCTTCATTAAGTAGGAGTTACGTAATTACTGCAAAACTTTAATTGGAATGCACAGGTTTATTGGTACAGATATAAAAATATCACTTTATCTGATTTTAATCTCAACTTTATATCCGAGCAGTTTTTTTTATCAAACAAGGTTTTTGTTTGAACGGTTCACCATTCTTACTTCTAAAATTACTTTAATTTCATACATCGCTAATAAAAATATTTTACACTATTTATTGAAAATAGAAATGTTAAGTGATATGTTCTTGAACTGAGTTTTAAAGTAATTAAATAATAAGAGCTTTTATAAACTCACGCCCGGTGATCGTGAATATGGGACGGAGGGGGGGGAGCAGGCAATTTCTGCTAGGAAATTCAACAAATCTGGAAGATTCATTTTTTCAAGAAAAAGTTTACTATTGAATTGCTAAATGGATAGGCGCACGGTATGGTAGAATATGTTAGGTTTTCTGGGATTTTTTCTGAAACGATACGCATCTAAGGTATGAGATCTATTAAAAAAGGCGCAAGGCCATCAACAGGCGCAAATCAACGTTTTTGCTATAAATCAAGCAACAATGGTCTGGACGACCTGTAATAAATACTTGTAAGTGATGTTATCATAACTAAATTAATGTCATTGCTGAATTAATAAAATAAGTTTCCATATGTGAAATAAAAAATAATCGAAAATAATGAATTTGGGACGGAGGGGGGGGAGGGGACGGAGGGGGGAGCAATATGTATATCAGACATGATTAGAGATGTTTCGCGACTTTAAGTCCTTTTACTCCAAATGTCCCCATTTTTCAGTCTCCAGGGGTATATCATCCAGTTTCTTACTAAGTTAATGAGTTCATTTTTCAAATACAAGAATTCGTGTGAAGTTGTTTCACTTTATAGAATTATAACTCCCCCCCTCCGTCCCCTCCCCCCCCCCCCTCCGTCCCATTTTAATTATTTTCGATTATTTTTTATTTTACGTATGGAAACTTATTTTATAAATTCATCAATGACATTAATTTAGTTATGATAACATCACTTACAAGTATTTATTACAGGTCGTGTAGTCCATTGTTGCTTGATTTATAGCAAAAACTTTGACTTTTGCACGTTGGTTGCGTTGCGCCTTTTTTAATAGATCTTATATCTTAAAAGAGTATCGGTTGAAAAATAATCCTAGAATACCTAACATATTTTATCATACCGTGCGCTTATTCAATTTGCAATTCAATCGTAAACTCTGTCTTGAAAAAATAATTTTACCAGATTTGTTGAATTTTCTAGCGGAAATTGCCTGCTCCCCCCCCCCTCCGTCCCATTTTCACGAACACCGGGCGTGAAACTACTGGTCAAGAATTAACAAGGCAAAAGAAACTGTATGAACTGGCATGCTTTTCAATAAAAAAACAAAAAACATTTTGATATCTGTTCAATAGGCACACGTTATTCACACATTGCAATTATTTTATTAAAATTATGCGTTACACGTACCCCTGTGTAAAAGGAAGTCGGGCGATAATGGGATATGACTAGGAGTTGGCGGCACCCGACAGCATCCACAACTGGGCATTCCATTTCTGTGAAGTCCGTGCCTGAATATTGGTATCCTCGGGATAGTAGGTTGTGTCTTCTGTTTTACTTGTATCGATAGGTCCCTATGTTGTGTATCATCTTTGTCTTTATTACGTACGCTATGTTGTTTTGTTTTATCCTGGTCATTTCCGTGTTCATCAGAGAGTATGTCTTTGATTAAAAATGATGACTTTTTCGTTGCTACACGTTGAGATAACATATTTCCTAAATTATTTGTCTTAAAATTATCACCAATACTTTTTTATCCGGTAGGGGCTAGTTGAACTTTTTTACCATTCTTTGTTTATCATTCAAAACTTAGAGTACTGATATCATTCTTCGTTATTCGCTAATTGATCACTTACATTGTCTGTCTGTCACTTAATACAAGATAATGGTTTCAAAATGATTTGTTTTCAAAACTTATCTTGTTATATTCAATGTTAAAACATAAAACATTATCATCAATCAATGTACCAAGTATAAACTGTCAGAACGACTAAATCATTATGTTTATGAACTCTTGAGTGCTGCACGTTCGGTTTTTATATGCATGAAATGTTATTACAGGTTGAGTGTGTTGTCAGTTTCATTTGAAACTGATTAGCGTTCCACGTGGTCCATTTCTTGTTTGTTTATTCTCAAAAACGTGTAACAACACATCATGATAATGTTTAATACATTAACTCTAAAACTGACACTGAGCCTAGTCTCTGATTTCTTTGAGACATAAATTAGAACACGATCTGCAAAAACGAACTAAATAATATACAAATGTACTCTAAGGATTCCAAATATAAGACGATCCAGAAAGTTGATGATCGTGAAAATAAAATTCAAATACTAAAACACTTAAATTGAAGTTAGAGCGCTCTTCTCAAACGTTCAGCCCGTTTTGATGGAAACTGTTCTAAATGATTGGAAAGTGCTATTTTATAGGACTGAACCCTGACCCTATATCAAGCCCAATTTGGAATCTTCTCAAACAATTAGGAAAATTGGGCATTATCATGCGTTAATCTAGACATTAGCACATATTGCATATCGAGATAAAGCAAAAAGTCTAGGCAGAGGGAAATAAGGCAGATAACACCAATTAATCTTAGACGTTGCCGATGGCTTAACGGTGATAATCTTTCCATGATCCCTTTCTTCCTTTTAAAGTTTGTTTTTCATTTGGGTGTAATTAGTTTACTTAGGAAGCAATAGGGGAACCGATACATGGGGATTTGAAGAAAATACTCAATTGTCAAGGTTTGGTTAGGTCCATAATGACGTCCAACCAATACTTTTCCAAATCTGTAAAATCTAAATTAGAGTCTGGATTTAAATTATTTATATACGAGAAGTCCTTGATTTAAAAAAAATTGGTATATGCACAAATTCGGTTGTATATTTGCAAAGTAACACGTACGGTGTATTTTAGGAAACGCAAGTGATATTGGAGATCATTTAGAAAAACGATTGTGGAGGGTCTGGAAACATGGAAACAATATATCATTTTATTACCCGCTAATTATGATGTGAAAATTATTAACAACAGTTCAATATTTGTAATTTTAAGTAAAATTGAATTAACTCTCTGGCAACGAAGACGTCCGAACACTTCACAGCTTTGTGTCAAATGAAATGCCTTTCAGATGTCCTCATGGTAAATCGTTTAAGATATTATTTGATGGAAATACCTTTTTATATCAATTGCTCGACACTGTAATTTGCTGCCACATCTGGTAGTGAATATTTGCCATACGGATGTGTAAATGGATATTGCATTTATTTTAGCTGAAATAATTTAGAGATGTCTTCTCCAGCTGCTGTAACGAGCATCCTCACTGGAGAAACAATTTAGAATTTACACACCTGTTAGAGCCATAACCATCGCATGTCCTCGGCCGCTGAGGTAAAAACCAATCCATCTGCACGCTGTTCTGTTCTTTGTCGGAGAGGGAAGAAGACCGGTCTTGGGTACAAATCATATAAATAGACAAATAATTGATACATTTTTCATGGTTTCTGAGGGGGTTCAGTTTTTTTTAATTTCAAAGAAAGTTCAAAAGTCCTACAATCACCAGAGAAGTGCTCAGAATGATGAAGATGATTTTGAAAGATTGGCCGAGGGGACCTCCGACCCCCCTCCCAGACTACGAGTCTGATGTCACAGCAACCAAATGTCATGCAGATGTGTAACACCATTGTTCGGCTTACGTGATTAATTACATCATACAGTCGATATCTGTATTCTTATTCAATTGAAAAAATATAGTGCAATTGCAATACAATGCAATACAATACAATACAATACAATATCAATATCAATACAATACAATACAATACAATACAATACAATAACATACAATACAATACAATACAGTGTAGTAGAATACAATACAATACAATATCAATACAATATCAATACAATACAATACAATACAATACAATACAATACAACTACAATGCAGTGCTGCAAAATATGAACCAAACTCATATGCTAGTTTACTATAAAAGGATGTATGAACATACATTAATACAGAAATAGAATTCATACCCCACAAAACTAAACAAAACAGATATTTTGGTTTTGTCCAGTTTATTGTCAGTTTCCTGACGTCTATTAGCAGCTATTTACCATCAGTAGCAGTTCCTCTCAATTCAGACTCTGACACCGAACGTTTCTAAATGCCCAATTAGCAACACCGTATCCGATAAACCGGAATTATATGAAGATTTGTAAATACAAGCTTGTTTGGAAAGAAAATACGTTATTTATCTAGACGATTATGGCAGCAATTAAACCCAGGAACAGACTAATGAAGAAACGATGCACCGGTGATTGCGCTCCATGGACTATTTTCCTGGGATAATATTGTCTTTGCTACGCACCTAATTGCAAGAAAAAATTATCCTTCGACTTAAATCATTTTGAGCAAGGAATATGGTGTTTTCCGTCAAAAACCTACGGGATAGCTTAGCCCCGTGGCTTGAAAAAACAGCAGTAATGAGTGTAATGTTTAGCAAATGCAAAACTGATAGCGATAACAGGCAAATTAGGCATGCGACTTGCAAGGAGAGTTAACATTTCAAGATTTTCTCCCCAGGCAAGACGAGTGAGACCAATCAGCTGTCATTCTAAGGTAATATTGTTTCAAATGTGAAGAAAAATCACATGGCAAAAGGAAGGAGTGCGAAAATCACGAAGTTGGAATGTTAAGTCTCGTTCCTTCAGTTTCTGTTCTGTAGACAGGCCACCTGCCTCTCATGCATGTTTTGTATATTGTTTATAGGGATTGTTTTCTGTTTTGTAATGGTGCCGCATTTTGTGCTATACATTTAAGAACGCTGCTGTTTAGTAAAGTAGATCTATGACTAAACATTGTGGAAATTCGGGAAAATAGCAATGTAAAGGTAACTTTAATTCGTTTCCTTACGATGATTTTATACCCAATTTAAGCCCATACAATCGCTTGTGACCACAATTTCTTGCATACCGTGCGGCTGTCTGTTCTCTGGTCTTGGGTTCAAACGAATGCCCGGGACTAATGCTCGTTCGATCGAAATCGAGCCATTTAATCTGTGTTTATCTGACTATATACAGTATCAAATTCAAATAAAAGTACGTGTTTTCTAGGTCAAGTTGAAGACTAAAATTATAAACATTAAAAAGTTATCTAGTGTCGTTTTCAGTGTTTTATCGAGGTACTACTTAAACGATGTAGATAAAGCATGTGTAACAAAATGGGTGACCATTTGCGTCATCGGCTTTTTATTGTTCGATTTGTGTCTTGCATATGATCAAATACATTTAGATGCTACCACAGATAAGAATATTGTCCTGGGTAATGGCAACTCAATTCTATCAGTTTTGAGGTGAAGCTATAAAAGAACAGATTGCCGGCAAATCGTCATCCATTTTGTTAAGCGAGTGCCCACTCGTTGAACTGAATAGAGACAAGGTGTAGTTGACCTACATGCTTCTTCTAGAAAACACGTTCGTTAGGTTGTATATTACCATGGGCTTTCAACTAGATAACAATAACTCAATATTTAATCATCAAAAAAGTAGGGTACTCCATGTACCAATGGAGCATTTGTAAGTTACACCCGGGAAGTTACACCGCTAAGAAGAAAGAAAAATGGCAGAAAAATGTATACTCGTACCGATGTTATTGCTGACTCTGCATCTTCTCAGCTGCGAATATGCTACGAGCACACCAACACCAAAGGAGCAATATCGTCTGCAGTATCACTTTTCGCCACCTGAAAACTTCATGAATGATCCCAATGGGCTGATTTATGTTGACGGTACATACCATCTATTTTACCAACATAATCCATTCGGTAAGTATTTTTGGCTCTTCATTTATTTCACGAAACCTATTTTAACCAAGGCATCATTCGTATTTTCTACTTAACGATGTTTGAAGCAATTATATTGGGTCCATTATACAATGTTTCCGAGGTTGCAGTTATGCATTTATAAAAAGCCTTTTCAGTTTGGAAACCAGATGAAGTATTATCATGTTGTCCCAAATAGATTTTCAAAACACAAAGCAAAGGCTACCAGGAGTTGTAACGGAAATGTTTTTAGGCAATGTTTGGGGCCATATGAGCTGGGGACACGCTACGAGTAACGACTTGGTACATTGGACTCATCTTCCCGTAGCGATTCCAGAGGATGGAGACCTGATGGCGTTCAGTGGGAGTGCGGTATGGGACGGCGACAATACCAGTGGTCTAGGCAATGACACTCACCCACCTATGGTAGCCATTTACACAGGACATAACAGGTAAGAGTAGTCATTAAGGGCATGTGCTTGACTCCTTGGGCTATGCTAAGGTTGAGCTATTTTTGTGTTTAATGTTAACAGTATATACAATTAATTAACTTGTGCATCAGAGATGTTGATAAAATGAGCTTCGATTCTGGGCCCTAGCCTCACGCCTTCATAACTTCAAACTCTACTAACCATCACTGATTCCTTTAGTGTCACCAAACGCCAAGACCAAAGGATCGCCTACAGTATTGACAAAGGCGACACGTGGGCTATTTACAAAGATAATCCTGTCATTGACATCAACAGTACAGCTTTCAGAGACCCTAAAGTATTTCGTTATGAATCCGCCTGGATTATGGTACTTGTACTTTCCGACGAAAGAAAAGCCCGATTTTACAAGTCGAGCGATCTTATAACCTGGACTCATCTGAGTGACTTTGGTCCCGAGGGGCATCCAACTGGCATTTGGGAATGTCCTGAACTGTTTGAACTGCCTGTAAGCGGAGGTATGGGCCTTAAGAAATGGGTACTGCAGATTGACCTAGGAAGTCCTGGTGCACTGTATGAGGGCTCCGGAGGAGAGTATTTCATAGGTACACAATTTCCTTCACTTAAATTGGGCCAATTCGATTATGGTCACCACCTCTTTAACCTTACCCGATGAAAAGCTATATATAAATCACAAGATGTCATTGCTATAAGATTTTTCCGATGATCACGTTTTGTCTCTTGTGCTTCTTAACCAATTGGTCTTTCCTCCCTTTATCAATTCCTGTTCGATTAGATTTGTCGTACGATTAAGAAAAAAGAGTCTAGTACTCTAGTATACGTTTGAATGTTCTACTGATTATATGATGATATTCAGGCCCGTAGCCAGGATTTGCCAAGGGGGGTTCACTTTTCGGAAAATTCCAGGGGGGGTTCACTTTTGATAATTTTGGTCCAAAGATGGCCAAAATCACATAAAAAGTGCTCAGAATGGTGAAAAACTGCATGATTTTGAAAGAATTTCTGGCCAGGGGGGGTTCATCGAATCCCCCCTGACTACGGGCCTGATATTACAACACTCTGTTTCTAGGGCAGTTTAATGGCAGCCATTTCTTGAACGACAAC